ACTAGATCACCCATAGCTAGGCCTAGTAAAGAACGTTGCATTCGATGCTTTCGTACTGTATGCTCGAGCTCTAGATCGATGGGAATTAGCTCTAATTTGAGAGAACGCCTCCCTTGCATACAATTTTTAGAAATTAGGTTTTTGTACCTACAACAAACGCAAATAGTTGTTTAAATAATAAAAGAATAATACAATTGGGGTAGGAAATCCACAAAACCCAAATGAAATTGGAAAGGAAATGAAAAATTGAAGCCTGGGTTAGATTGGGAAGATGATTCCCAATCGAAGAAGTAGAAGGGAGAACGTGAATGAGTCTCCTTTCTTTTTGCCGAGATTCCCCTAGCTCAAATTGAATAGGAGATTTAGATTGGGCATGAAGATTCCTATTTGGTATAGGGAGAATGCAAATGAACGGTTGGTGAAACCATTTCTCCAATTTGAGATTGAGTGAAGTTGCAGTTGTCCAATTGGAACCAATAAGTGGAAGCATGAAAGATTCGCTCTTTTTCTCTTTTTGCTTTTCGCAACTTTCCTTTTTGTTGGTGCGTCCTCTTCTTTGTGTTCCTGGAATGAAGCTTGGTGGGTTTGGAGCAACTATGATGTTACCAATTCGAAAAAGAAGTTCTCCAATTAGTGAATTTGGAATTCTCCAATTGGAAGAAGGATTTCTCCTTTTGCTTTTTACAACTTGCTATTTTCCAATTTGCTGTTGCGTGTTTCCTTATAATTCTATTTTCCTTTTTCTTTTCGAATCTTGTATTACTTGAAACCAAAACAACTTTAAGAGAAAAGTTAATAATAAAAATAGTAAAATAAGAAACAAAATAGGAAGTAAAAAAATAAAACACAAAACTAAATAGAAAACAAACTCAATTAGAGGTAAATTAGGAATCCAAATGTTAAACTAATTTAGGAATCCACGGCAACAACGTCAAAAACTTGGTATGCCCTTGCAAGTGCACAAGAATTATTAGGAATCCAAATGTTAAACTAATTTAGGAAGCTGCTTATGCTGTGTTTTGAAAATAATGAGCTATAAAGTAAAATAGTTCTATGTTTTGTAAAATTATTTTCAAATTGTTGTTAGTATAAAAAGCAATGTCAAAACCGTTTGATAAATCTTAATATAAAATAGTTGTAATGTAGATAATGACTAAAACATACATGATGCTGATAGTGTTATGTGCTAACTATGTGGTGGTGGTGGTGATGATGGTAACGGAGCTGGTGGTGGTGATGGTTTTGGTGGTATAAGTGGAGGTGGAGTTAGTGGTTATGGTGCAGGTGCAGGTGGTGGGGTTGTGTTCCAGGTAGAGATGGTAGTGGTGGTGGCAATGGAGGAGCAATTGCAGTGGTGGTAACTCAGCTTCTTGTGAAAGCATCTTTCAAAAGCAACTTAGAGGTTGTTTCTAAAAGTTGCTGTCAGGAGGTCATTACTTTTAAAATAATCAAACTATTTTATTTTTACCAAAACACTACTTAACTTTAAATAAGAAAAAAAATAAACAGGGCCTAAAATCCTGTGCTGCAAACCACTACTACGTCAACTACACCACCACTCTCACATCTTGAAATCATCTCATCTTCTTCTTTCCAATCCACATATGAGGTTGGTGTATTTTTTTTCATTTTCTGAATTTCAATTTTTGTTGTTCATTTAATATTTCTAACATTTATTCTTCTTCTAGATGTTATTGATTGTTGCTTATTTTTTAACACTCTTCAATATTGGTTGGAAGGGAAAATTGAGTGCTAAGCTTTTGTATTTTCTTTGCAAACTTGTAAGTTCATTTCTCTCTTTATTAAGATTTTTGTGATGGCTCAAAGTTCAAATAATTTTATTCCTGTTGATTCCTAAAATCCGGCCATGGTGCCAACACAAACCCCTTGCCCTCATTAATATGGGATAATTTTACCAAACTTCCAAATTTTAAACCTAGTGAACTTAAGGTTGTTTGCAATTATTGCTAACATGATTATGCATGTGATACCAAAATATGTGGCACCTCTACCCAAGGTCAGCCTTGAGATTTTGAAGTCCCAAGGCAATACTGAAAATAGATCCTATGTATTCATACATCCACTCAATAAAAATCATTTAATTTTTATTGCATGTGTATGTATAAAGTATTAAAAAAATGGAAACTTTTATAAATAAATATTTAAAAAAAATAGATATCAGACATATATAATTTCTTTTCTGTATATCAAAAAGGATTGAAAAAAAAAATTCAAAAATTGAAATAGTAAAGAAGAGCCATTCACTTTGACAAAAAAAAGAAAGCAACATTTACAATAGTGGGATTCGAACCCAAATTTGATTAGAATTAAAACATTGTCTAAACCACTGGTGTTGAAGTCAACTTCATAAATAATGCTGCATTTATCTGTATAAGTATTAAAAACAAATCTGACCTTATATAAATAAAATAAAATTGGGGCCCTCCCTTGATCAAGGGCCCAAGCGGTCGCACTTCCCGCCCTAACTCAGGGCCATCACTGCCTCTACCTTGAAAAGCCACTTGGAGAATCAATGTAAAAATACGCTTAAGTGGAAAAAAATAAAAAAGTTCTTGATTTTGGAAGGTCACTAGGAGGTTTGACTATATTGGCAATAATCTCATGGTTGTGAGCTTTAGCAAAGAAGCTTGAAGAAAAACATTGGTTGTGATGATATTCTTTGATGAACTTCCTTTTAAAATTGTGGAGGGTTTAGAAAATTTTGTAACTTGGCATGTCCTAAGTTTGTTCTTTCTTCATGTAGAACCATTGTTAGGGATGTGTATCCACTTTATGTGGAAGAAAATAAAAGGTTGAAAAGTGTGTTTGCTTCTAATAAACACTAAGAACACATGTATATATCCTCAAACACAAGTTACATTGTAATTATTGCACACTTCTTTGGAAAATATTGGACATATCATAACATAATTCTAAATTTCAATGTTATTGTTAATCACAAATGGTAAAGCTTAGGGAAACTTATTGAAACTTGTTTGCTTGACTGGGGCATTGAGAAAGTTTGTACTATAATGTTGATAATGCTAGTGCGGATGATCTTGATCTGCAATATGTCATGAAAAGGTAAATAAATGGAATCAATGTGTCTTTGATGGTGAGTTTATGAACTTGAGGTATTGTGCACACAATGAATTTTATTGTGATCAAGGGGTTGAAGGATATGCATGGATACATTATAAGCATTCCGAATGTTGTGAGGTATCTTCGTTCCAACCCCTCAAGATTTGATAAGTTTAAAGCTACTGTAGTGAGGGAGAAACTTTATTCAAAAGCTCTTGTTTGTTTAGATGTTCCAACTAGGTGGAACACTACTTATATGATACTTGGTACAACTATTATATTCTAAAAGGTTTTCGAGAGGTTAGAGGAGGATAATGGGCAATATGAGAGAGAGAGAGAGAGAGAGAGAGAGAGAGAGAGAGAGAGAGAGAGAGAGAGAGAGAGAGAAGGGTTGATGGGGAAAATGCTAAGGTTTTCTTTATATTTTAAAAATCTTTTTATGATATTATTTACATGTTTAATGGTTCCTTGTGTGTGACTTCCAACATAACTTTTTATGAAATGTGTGACTTGTAATCTGAGTTGAAAACTTTGAGTACAAGTGATGATCCTCTTTTGGGTAGCATGACGAAAAGCATGAAGACAAAATATGATAAATATTGAGGTTCAATGGAGTTTATTAACAATATTTTGATTAATGCTGTTGTTTTTTTATTCTAGATATAAGTTGGAGTATGTTTCTTTCTGCTTCAATGATGTGTATGATGTTGGTGTAAATAATGAGAAAGTGAGTGAGATCAAAAGTCTCTTGTTTCTTTTGTATGTCTTTTATTATGCATTGCTGCTAGGTGGTGGCCAATCTTCTAATGATGCTACCATTTCCAGTGTGATTGTTGTTCCAAAGGGTAATAATGATCATTATCAATCTGCACGTCTTGCTCGGGTTGCACAAATGAAAGAACATAAAGAGATAGTTGAAATAAAAAGTGAAGTTTACAGGTATTTGCTAGATTCTGTTGAGAATATTGAAAGTGAAGAAAAGTTTAACATGATTAATTGGTGGGGGGTAAATTCCACTAGATATCATGTTTTGTCACTTTTTGCTAGGGATGTGTTTGATGTTCCGATTTCTATTGTGGCCTCTGAGTCACTTATTTGTGGACATAATTGGCTTCAATCTTTTCTTATATCATTGGAGAGTGAACTATATTTTTAAAATGATGGAATTTTATAAGCAAGTTGAGTCAAGTATGTCATCTATATTATTGATTGGATAGACTATATTTTTGGCTACAATCTTATTATTCAGTTAATTACACTTTTTTATTTCATGTAGAGGTGAGATCAACTTCAACAACTCTCTTAATTGAAGACTTTTAACCTTTGTAAGTTTCTCATATACTTCTATGTTTGTTTAGTGAATGAAGTGGTCTTGATGTTTTATTATTATCTTGTTTATTTGATTTAATTTACTTTTTTACTAATTAAGTTTTCTTTTTTACTTTGCTTTTTGGATAGTGTGCAGTGGAATGAGAGGATAATGTGAATCTCTATGGGATCCACTTTTCGACCAAAAAAAAAATGGGATCCACTTGGGCTCTGAAAAAAATCGTCAAATGTGAGAATGATTTGAAAAAATATGTTGGGCCCCCACTTTTTGTTAACTCTTTCAGGCCCATTGTTCTCCATTGGGTCTCTACTTAAAATGTGAAAGGGAAGGCTCCAACATTTTGAGACCAAAAATGTAAAACTAATATGAAGAGGCCCAACATTTGAAAAATTAAAAAGAACAGAACAAAAGAAGCCCGACTTCCTTGTTTTGACACAAAAGCTGACGAAGAAGGCAGGTGCCACTTCTAAACCCTTCTTAAACCCTAGCTCCTCCTCTATTGCCTCTAAGAAAGAAAAAGAAAAATTCACTGAACTCGTTCAATCATTCAGTAATCTGACTTCATTCTTGGACTCCCTATGCTGGCATAATGCTACCTCACTACAATTCGTTTCCTCACAATTCCAACCAAGTTCACGTCAATGGTAGCTCTGCTCCACCTCACCAGGTATCTCTCTCCTACACTGCCAGGCACTCGTAGATGCCAATAATTGCTTTTACAAACTTAAAGCTGCTTCGTTTTGTTTTCCTGGGTTTTGGTTTTGGTTTGTTTAAGCAGCAGTGGATTATGCAATCTAATCCAGGGCTTAAAAATCCGTCTTCTAATATGTTGCAAATTCTTCTGCAGATACAACCTCAATTGGGTATCAAGAATAATCAAGTTCCAATCCCGTTCAGTAATGCTAATGCACATTTAAGCAATGGGCATGGAGGGGCCATGCCCAATATGCCACCTTCCATGATAGCTCAACCCAATTTCATGGGTGTACCTAACAACCTTCATCCTATGCAAAGTAACCATCTGGGTATGCCTCAATTCGGTTCTGTTGGTCCTACATCTCAACCAGGTCAGCCCCATGTTGGATTTTTCAGTTCACAAAATAATGCACACAGTATGAACTCCGTTGCTTCCTTTCCGCTTCATGGGCAATTCTGCAATTTGGTGCAGAATGTGAATCAAGCGGTTTCATCGCAGCCGCCTGGGCAATTACTTGGGCATAACCTGTTAAAATTACCACAACAGATCAACCAAAATATGGGTTTGCTATATGGACAATTCTGTTTGCCAAATCCATTGCAAAATATGAATCAATTTGTGCAAATGCAAATGCATAATCCATCCCAACTTGGTCCTAATTATGCTTTTGCGGGATTGAATCAAGCACCTCAGGCTACAGTTTCTCAAAATTCCCCCTTTTTTGCAACTCATCAGTTCGGTAATGTGCATTCTAATCAGGCAGGCCAGCAAGTTAACCAGAATCAGCAAAACTCGGTTCTGCCTGCAATGCAAGGGACACAGGTAACTTTATTTTGCTTTGTGTGTATATGAAAATATATTCTTTGTGGCAAATGTTACTTGGATATCTCTCACATATCTCCTAATATTTATTTACATTTTATTTCTTCTTTTTAAGAAAAAAAAAAAAAAAAAAAAAAAAAAAAAAAAAAAAACTTAGGTTCAGTGGTTTCACTTTATTTACCCCTTTTTTTTCCGATTTCATCAGTTTGGTGTGCGTATCCTAATGCAGGCAGGCAATCAAAGCAAGTTAACCAGAATCAGCAAAACTCGGTTCTGCCTGCAAAGCAAGGGACACAGGTAGCTTTGTTTTGCCCTGTGTGTATTTGAATTTATATTCTTTCTTGAAAAAATATTACATGAATATCTCTCACATATCTACGTTTTTATTTCATCTTTTAAAGCTTCGAAAGAAAAAAAAACTTAGTCTTATTCAGCTTAAGGACATGATAGATTCTGGGACTTCCTTTGTCTGTGCATTTGTATGTGCACTGGGTAGTTAATTTGCATAAACTGAGTCACTTTGTTGTTGGTTAAGATTGTAAGGGCAAAGTTCTTACATTGTGTTGATATAGTAAGGCCATACTTTTCTGAAATCCATTATTTGGTTATGCCTTCATTTCCTGCCTTCAATTTCTGTTCTCTCTTTTACAGATCTTATGCCAGCATTTTTCTGAAGTACATTTTCTCGAAAAGAGATAATTTCTAATTGATATACTATTCTGAATTAGCTGCATCGGTTGTGGTGAATACACATGTTATCAGTTTTTTCAGGGAAATCATACAAACACTGGTGGTGTTTACAGTTCAAATACCAATTGGAAACATTCACCAAGCAAAAGCTTTACAAAGCATCCAAAAAGAGGGGTGCAGCCGCAAGGGGGGTAGGTTTTTCTCGTGTAACTTCATTTTTTTTTTCCTGAAGATTTTGACCAGTGACTTGTGATTCATTATAAATATTGTTTGTGCAGATTTCAGAATTCTCAGTTCCATCATATGAAAAATGCAAAGGGAAAGTTTGCTTTTCCTAACGGGAACAAAGGAAAAGGTGTGGTTTTATATATATCTACCAAGTTTATTAAGTCTTTTATGTTATAGATAGGAAAATGGTGTGCTTTTGTGACGGAGGTACTGCAAATTTGGCTTGTTTTAGTAGAATCCAACTATATATCTACTACTGCTTATTCCCTGTGTGCATGTTCTTCAATATGCTTGATCTGGGATGCAGTAGTCCTTATCAATTTCTTCAATTACATAGAGTTTTATTTTATTTTTTGTGTATTCTCCCTAACCACCTGAAGCTTGTGGAATATCAGTATCATGGAATTTCACTGACAAAACTTGGATTCAAAATGGGTATGACTATATTTAACTGCTCTTCCAAATGTGTGGAATCCCATGAAGGTGGGCTTGAGGTAGCCTAAAACACACAAATTGTTCTCTTGGTTTGCCTTGCGGTGTTACTAAAAGTTCATGGAAAACACCGTACTTTAGACCATAGCATTACAGAAGCTTGCCATATGAGATTCAATGGATATTTGCCAAAGAAGAAAAAAATTCTCACTGGATTAATAAAACATTAAAAATATTTACAAAAAATAGAAAAGAGGTTCATGTGTGCTCATTAACTTGCGTTGTTTGATGAAGCCCTGTATCATCTAGTACCCTTTCATATAATTTTTTATAGTCCCTATTTTTCTCCTTTCAGTGTCTTTGTTAGGAATGCATGAGTGGGTTTGGGAGCTACTGTACACTATGAATCTAAGATTTCCTGTTACTTTTAGCAAGTATGGAATACTTAGAGCTTTGTAAGAATGATGTTAAATGAATATCTCTCTCTCTGTTTCTCCACAAAAAAAAGCAGGGTTGATAAATGAGAGCAAAGGAAAGTTTACAAACCAAGGCAGGGAAGGGAAAAGGTAATCTCTGCTTAATCTCTCGTATCTTATATTGTTACATGTGAACTAATGAGTATGCTCTAATTGAAATATCACAACTCAGGCTGCCAAATCTTTAGGGTTAATCAGTGAACTTTCCTCTCAGGTGGAATCAGTGATCAAAGTTGAATTATTTAGGGCCTGTTTGGTAACACTTTCATATTTGGGTTTTTGTGTTTTGTTTTTGATTGAAGATAGAGGGGAGATGGATGGGTGGAAGGAGGGAGGGAGAAGGAAGAAATAAGGGAGAAATTCAAGGAGAATGTGTGAATAAAAACTTGATAGTGAAAGCTATTTGGAAAATCTTTTATTTTTTTGAGTTTTGTTTTCATTTCAGGTAACCTTACATGCACATTGTCTCCCTCATCCATTGCTCCCTCTTTGATCTCGCTCCCCTCTCCCTCTTTTCTCCCATGCATTTCCTCCCTATCTTTTACTAAAAACAAAAAAACTGAAAACCAAAAACAAAGGTATTACCAAAAGGGCCCTTAGTTGATTATGGCAGTGTCCAAAATATAATAGCTTCTTTGAGTAGTTGAGTAGTCAATGTAAGACTGTCATTTGGCGAGCTGAGGGCATATGTGAGCTTCACCAAGATATGATGTGCTTTGGCTGAGCTCATCCCAACCTGATCTTCAATCCTAGGCCTTGAGATTGAAATCAGCCCGTTATGTAGACTTGTATTTGGGCTGAGACACTGACAGCATGGAATAGTTTGAAGATTTGGTTTTAATCAACAGTTTCAAACTTATTTAAAACATGAGTTATAGGTTGGGACTGTTAGGATTGGGCTGATCTATACTTTATTCCATTTTCCAGGCCTAAAAGCTTTTTCCATAATCAGCTCTGTTCAAGTTCAAGGACAGTCAACCTAAAAAGTTCGAGCTGAACAAGTTAGGGTTTGAAATAGCTCAGCCAAATTGACAGTCCTAATTACTATATCAACAGCATCAACGGGGTCCTTATTCTTCCTCACTCTTGTTCTTCCTCCCTGCTGCACAGTAACATTAGCATTGATAGTTGACCAATGTTTTCAATAACAACAATATTTTGACTTTAATTTCAAAGCCTTTGAAAATATCAATTTTAATATAACCTGAAAATTGGTGACATTATAAAGTTTCTATAAGAATGAGTTGATCTGTTTCAAGGATAGAGATAACAGGAGACTTCCTCTGTGTAAGTTAAGATGACTGATATTTCTGTCATCTGTGAATTCCAAAACTGTTTAAAGCTTTTTACACTGATGGCCTGGTTCCAAGGAGCACTGATAGGAGTTGAAAATTAAAATGTTTTTGTGCTTTACATAGCAATATATGGAAAAATTTACAGACATGAATTAGCTTGACATTCACAGCATCCATAATCTTTACGTCTTGCCTCCTTGTGTATGATCACTCTTATATGTTACTCCAGTTTCTTAATGTAATCTCATCACTCTTTTTTCTCAAATGGACATGAATTCTTTCTGTCTCAAATGGGAAGATCTCTTTCTTTGCCCTATACTGAACAAGAGATTCAGCGGTGGCGTGAAGAACGCAGAAGGCACTACCCATCAAAATCCAACATAGAGAAGGTTTGCCCGACTGAGACGTGCCTGCTTTTTCTTTCCCCATCTAATGTAGATGTCCTGATATTAAAATATCACTTGCAGAAGCTAAGTGAAAAGCTGATAAACTCAGAGGTCATTGAGAGAGAGGCCAAAATGCGACGAGAGGTATGCTTATTAACTCTCTCTCTCTCTCTCTCTCTCTCTTCTGATTGTTTGTACACTATAATCATTGAACAAGACTGAGCAATACTTTTGCTCAAGTTATTGACACCTGGACCAACTGAGCTAGTTTTGGTTTACGTTTTGCCTCTTATAATAACTTGTCACTTGTGCATGTTTCTAACGCATTGTCAGATAAATTTAATTGATACTCAAATAGACCACGGGTATTTCATTAAACCTGAAATTTGGCTTATATCCAGATTATGTCATGAAAGCTCTTCGAGACTGCCTTTCTTGGTTATATCTCTTCCCTAATATGTGCACACTTTTGCCTAGACTTTGGCTAACGTCCAGATCGCAGGTTACTGTAGATAGTCTAGGGGGAGAGGGGCATTGTGATCATTACAATAAAAATGGAGAAAGCCCTTTTATGTTAAAGGTGGCATGAGAACTCCCTGCCCCAAGTTAATCCATTCAATACTCAAGTGCAGGAAATTTAATGTGTTTTGTCTTTTTCTTTATTCTTTTCTTACATGCTCCAAAAACCTCAAATGTTTCAATTCAATTTCTAACTGGTCTGTATCTAAGCTTGTCGCTTGAGTTAAATACACTATCAACATTCAGTAAATGTTAAGGAACTTTGTTGCAGCAACTGAAGGAGATTCTTACAAAGCAGGCTGAGTTGGGAGTTGAAGTTGCCGAAATACCATCATACTACCTTGAAGATTCAAACCAAGGGCATAGAAGAGAAGACAATAAGTCTTTCACTAAGAAGGGGAGATTACCAAACAATTTTGGTAAGAGAGAAAAATATGATAAAAAGGATTGGTTTGCCAAGAGGCAAAAATCTCATCACAAGGATTCATCTAATGACCCTTCTTTCAGCAAAAGGGAGCCAACCTTACTGCAGAAACTTCTTAGTGCAGATATAAAGAGAGATAGAAGCCGTCTGCTGCAGGTGTTTAGGTTCATGGTGACAAACTCTTTCTTCAAAGATTGTCCTGACAAACCTTTGAAATTTCCTATGGTAGCAGTTAAAGAAAGTGGGTGCAGTGAAGACATGGCTGAAGAACTGTCTTCACTTGCAGCGAAAGATGCTTCTAAAGGCAGTGACAATTCCATGGTTGAAATAATTCATAACAATGATTATGAATATCATAATGATGTTTGTAATTATGATGATGGTGGTGATGAAGATGATGAAGAAGAAGAGGGAATTGAGAGAGCTGAGGAAGAAGAGGGAGAAATCATAAACTAGATATGCTACCTGAGTTGGTTAGTTTTTACACAAGCGACATTGGGGGGAAGGACGAATCATACATTGGACTTCAGTGTAAGGATGGATGCCCCTAACCACTTCAGCTACAAGTCCCCTCTTGAGTTGATTATTTTTATCTCCCTTAATTGTACAAAAATGTATCATATGATTTCTTGTTAAATTCCTGTTATCTCATACAACACTGAAGCGTGTGCTTTAATTAGTTCCTTATTAACAAGTGAAACGGCGTGCAAGAGATATTTCTACTCATATTTCTTGTTTCTTGTATAACGGAAATCAAACTTCTCTTATCTTGTTAAGGGAAGATTAGATTAAAGGGGCTTTTTGCAACAGGTTACAAAAACAAACTCCTTCCAGCAATAAAACTGAACCAATTGCGGTGGATTCAGGGATAGAGTCAATATTTCAAAATGGATTGGGTTGAATTTACTTCAGGGATGGAGCGAGGATTTCAAAATAGATTGGGTTGGATTTACTTTATGGAAAAAAAAATTCTTATAGTAAAAAAAAATCACCACAGAAATATATATTAGTAAAATAGTTTAGGGAAATAGCCCTTAATGCCACCCGTTTTGAAGTTTTAAGTGGAAATATCAGCCCTCCCCAAAAATTTTGCAAATACCACCTATAAATATATATTTATTGTCCAGTTATTGCCCACATAACACTTTATCTGAAATTTAGTTCTCTCTAAGCTCTCTCTCTCTCTCTCAGCTCTGTATTCTCTCCCTCTCTCTCTCTCTCTTCTCGCTCTCTTTATCTCTCTCTACCCCAGCTCTTCTTCTCTTTTCGTGCAGAGGTATCCCTCTCACGCAGCTCTGTCTCGCTAGCGCACTTTGGTCTAAATTGTCCCCATCTCTTTGTTTTGAATCTAGAAACCCCTCATCAACCCCATCTTCTAGGTATGTCTTCTAAATAACGTAAGGTCGTAGCTGCTTGCAACCTTGAAGCTCTACTCCATTGCTGACCTCCAATAGGAGGTGTTGATGGTCATTTTGTTAATATTTGTGGGATTCTATGAAATAGGTTTTATTTTAATTGCTTTGGGTAATGTTTTTGAATCTTGATGCTCATCCGTCTGGGTTTTTACCAAATGCATTGAGATTGCTCAGGATATGTGAATCTTGAAACTTGGGATTTTCCATTTGATGTATTAGATTTGTATAGTGTAATTGTGATGATACATTGTTCAGTGTTGTGTTATTGGTGTTTTATTGTTGTTGTGTTATTGTTATATTGTTATTATATTGTTGTTTTATTGCTGTTGTATTGCTATTGTATTGCCTGGTTATTGTGGTTCTATTGCAGTGATTTGGTCATGGCTTCATATCTGTTAATGAAATGTTGTTTTGTCATGGTCAGAAATGGAGACAATTGTTATTCTGGTTTGCTACAATGGAAAATAGGTAACCTCAAAGAAGATGTGCAAATACAAATGGGGTGACTCAAAAGGCTTAATAGTACCACGGACCATCACATTTGCTGAACTGTTGGATCGTGTGCATCATATTGTTAATACAAACATGGAAGACAAGGTTTGCTTAAAGTTCTCAGTTTTGATGGCCTCGAATGAGTGGAAGCACATAAAGATTGAGGACGATGATGCAGGGTATCCCACTGCCCAAGCAGCCATCTAGTATTGGGCATTCAATGGATAATTTAAGGGTTGAAAGAGGAAGGAGCATGAGGTTTTTTGGCGGCATGTTTATGTAATTTAGGGGGGGATGTGATGGTGATGCAAGGCATGATTTGTATATATAGAGTCCATATTGAAGGTGTGTACTATAGGCCATCTGTCTTTTAAGGGATGTATACTTCAACCCTTTTCCAATTTTTAATTTAATGTTGGTTTACTTTTTTTTAATTTTTTTCGTCTAAGATATTTTACAAACCATGCTGATGCAGTACCTACTGCAAAAGGATCGTATTGCAACTCTATTGTACTCTTATTGACATCATATTGTCATTAAACACATGAATATTGCGGATTTATTGCCTCTATATCGCCACTGTACTGGACATGGATAAACTGTATACGCAGAAATACAAAAACAAAAAGAGGCATCATAATTCCATAAAATCTACTTTTCAAACTTACATAATACAAGTAGAGGCCACCCCATAGTTACTTAATACAAAAAGAGGCTACCTAAACATGATTCCATTTTACATGTTGTTTTCACTACATTTTACAGCCAGTCCAAAGTCATATTAAATTGTCACAAATTTGTTGTTGTTGCCACATTCGAAGTTGCATACTCTTCAATTGCGGCGACCGCGACCCATGAAATTCATGACCCCGTCCATAGTGATGTTGTCCCAGTTTCCTTTTGAATCCACTATTTTTGCAAACTTACGAAATAGTTCGAATCCGGTTTCCACTTGTTGTTGCTTCAGTTGGGCCATTTCATCAGATTCCTTGAATACCATAATTGCAGTGGCAGGGGCAATTTCAATTTTGGCTTTCAACCCTTGTCTCTCACTATGTTTTTCATGTGTCCTTCAAATTACTTGTCTCTCACTCCAATTTCTGTCTCACAAGGATTTAAGTCTTTACCTTACATGATCATTGACAATTAACTAAATATCTAAAGACACATCTCCAGACGCCAGATAATCATGACACAGCTTAAGCTATAATAGGAATGTGCGGTAGCAGAAGCCTAATTGAGAACAATTCAACAAGAAGACATCAGGAAACAATTTATTGACTTCAAGGTATAATGTAATTATTGAACATCCTATCAATTAGTGACAACCACAATAATGACTCCAATATGCCCTCCTTTCAAATGTAAGGAAATTAATGAAATTGGCACCATCCCTTCAGTTTTTCTTAACAAAATAAGAGGTTTGTATGTATTGTCTGCGTTATCAATATCAAAGATAAATGAATAAATAAACCATCAAAACTGTAAAAAAAAATGTTTGTTACACATGTACAATTAAAACATTAAAAGTTCACCTCATAAACAAAGTTCTCTAAGTATCCATACACAAAAAAGAAAAGCAAAAGCTTAAAGAGTTAGCTTATAGCAAAATCCATGGCCCCATTTCTCTAAACCACACCTGCTAGTGACATGTTCCCATCTTCACTCATTTCCCGCTTTGTTTTAAGCAGACAATGATCAAGCACAAAACAACAAACTTTTAAAGAACTCATATTACACCACATATGGTTCTTTGCCCTTTGTTTAGACATTGAATATTCATCCCCAAAACTGAAATTCCTAATAATCACAAGAGAATATGAAAAACAAAGAGAACTTATCCATATCCAATATGCAAGCCCTAAAGTTAGCAAACTGAGTAAAAGCAAAAATATGTCAAATTAACAAGCATTATTCTAAAACAAAAAGTATTATATGGTTGGGAGCATACAAGTTATAACTTATATACACAGGTTAATTGTCTTTGACTTTAGATATCATTTTCAAGAAAGAAAATAGATACCGATTAGACTTGTAAGAAGGTTACATTCATTGGTCATAAAGACCCATAGTAAGCCACCAACAAAAACCAGATGAGACACAGAGGTGCCTCACGGCTCCTCATCCCCTTCAAACCTCTCTTGCTATTTCTTTTGTTTTCTCTCTTCTCTTTCTAAATCTTGAATGCAAACCAACCAAATTAAATGCCAATCAAAACACACCTTTTAATTTGCCAAACTGCTGAGACCAATATGGATGCAAGGCAGCAGTTTAGGTCTTGGAATTGGGTGATTTTTGGGTTTCTAAGTATGACAGACAGAAATTGATTGTGGAGGAAGGAAATTGACAAGAGATGGAGGTTGTGAGATGTTGAGAACAAAGACGACGATGGTTGACAGAGGGACGATGATAGAGGGTTTGAGAGAAAGAGAGGGAGTGGGTTCTTGAACGAAATCAGAGCGCCAAATTCGAAACCTAGTGACACAAAAAAAAACAGCAGCACCTGAACAAAAATTCGAGGAAACAATCATACATCTATGATGCCTAAGCCCTAAACCAATTTCAGTGAAACCCCTAAACCAATTTCTGAGAAACCCCTAAACCCTATACCCATTTCAGAGAACCCACTAAACCAATTTAAGAGAAACCCCCAAACCCTAAACCAATTTCAAACAAACCTATAAACCAATTTCATACAAACCCATAAACCCTAAGTCGTAAGAAAACGTCGATGAACAGTACCTGTTTGAGGTGAACGATGGTGTTGATCTTTGATGAACAGATTCTGTTGGGAGAGGAAGAGAGAAGAGAGAGTGATAGCTGAGCGACGAGAGACAAGAAAGTCAGAGCTGAGCGACGAGAGAGTGAAGAGACCGTGAGAGACGGAGCCAAGAGAGACCTGATTGGCGGGAGATAAATTTCAAAAAAAGTGTTAGGTGAGCAATAAGTGGACAATAAATATATATTTTATAGATAGTATTCATAAAATTTTTGGGGAGGTCTGATATTTCCACTTAAAACTTAAAAACCGGTGGGAAATTGGCAGCTTTACCCCTGGCTCACCTAATTTATTCACTAATATCCTTATTTTGAAACTCAATCACAAATGCCCCTTATAAAAACTCCTTATTGACAGCTTATTGCCCATCCTTCACTTCTTCTTTTTTCTTCTCAGTTGTTTCTCTTCCTCTTCTTCTTCCTTTTCTTCCTTCTGCCAAACCTCACAAAATCCACCTCAACCATAGAATCTCCCCTAACTCTATCTCATCTCAGTTATATCTTCCAACTAGGAGCTGATTTCAACCTCAAAGTTGAACCCCAAATTTGGACAAGACCCTAGCCAAGGCACGACTCGCCACCTCCGTTGTCGGTCTCCACAACGAAGCCATAGTCTTGACTTGCCACCTCCATTGTCGACTTCCACCACAAAGCCACGACACCTTCCTTGTCAATCTTCACTGTGGTGAGTTCTTATATTGGTTTTGTTTTTGTTTATTTATTTATTTATGGGTTTTTTTTGATTGATTGAGATTATTGGGTTTTGAATGATATATTAATGGGTTTCTATTGTGGCTTGCTGTTTCTGTGATTGAATGAAATTTACCAAATATTTCATGTGGTTGTTAAGCTCTTGGACTTGGATACACTGTTTTGTGCTTATGATTTGTCTTTGAAATGATGTATACATTGTTTTGTGATTAAGACTTGGACTTGCAGATCTCCTTAAAAGTAATGTATTCACCCTTTTGGATGGTATTCGATATGAAACAACCTTGGACAATCAAGGTTTGGCAATTTGTAAGTAGTTAGTTAGTAATAGGATACCCTAGGTTAATGGCTTTGGGTTGGATTTAACTTTAAGAGTTCTTAATACATGCGTTCCTTGCTGGAGCTTGAAACACAGCTATGCTAGCTGAACCATTTCACTTTGCATAATAATGATGTTTTAAAATTGTTGGTTATTAATGTTTAATTGATGTTTTATCTATATGGTTTATACACTAGTTTATAGATTTTTTATTGGTAGCTTAACATGTGTTAACAAAAGGAAATTTTATGATGATCAGAAATGGACACAATTGCAATTTTGGTTTGCTACAATGGCAAATGGGTAACCTCAAAGAAGATGTGCACATATGAAAGGGGTGACTCAAAAGGCATAATAGTTTCGCGAAACATCAAGTTTGGTGAGCTTTTGGAACGAGTGCATAAGGTTGTTAATAGAGACAACATGGAAGACAAGATTTGTTTAAAGTTCTTAGTTTCAATATCCTCGAATGAGTGTAAGCATATCAAGATTGAGGACAATGATGATGTTAAATTTTTTATTAAGTACATTTGTGAAGTAATTCCTTCGAAAGTGGCTCCTTTACTGGTGAGCATAGAAGACAGAGGAGTGACAAATGTCGTAGGTGATCGTATACATATCACGACGGATATGAGTCGGATGGCCTATTCTTCAAATGCCATAGTTGAAAGCAATGGTGATGTACATGGGGATTTTGGAACAGAATATTTAGACATGATTGATTTTACAAGGGTGGAGGGGATGCATAGTGGTGAATTCCGACACAAGGACATACATCCACACCGATGAGAACAATCACTTTTTGTATTTTTTTATGGCTGTTGGGGCATGTATTATAGGGTTTCAATCTTCAATGCAGCCAGTCATTGTTGTGGATGTCACACATTTAAAATGTAAGTATAAGGGTGTCCTTTTTGTTGCCAATGCATTTGACGAATATCGAAATATATATCTCGCTTTTGGAATTGGGAATTTAGAGACGGATGCATCATGGCCTTGGTTTTTCGGTAAGCTTCATGAAGTCATTGGTGAGTGTCCAAATCTTGTGATTACTTCTGATTGGAATATTAGCATCGAGAATGTGTGGCACAACATTTTTCCAATGGCACAACATGGCATATGCTTTTACCATATGAAGGGGAACATGAAATGCACTTTCAAATTGAAAAAAACGTGATAAATTATTGCTATACTTTGAACAAGCTACAAAATCTTAACATGAAATGATGAGGTTTGCTCAATATCTTGAAAGTGCAGGATTACACAAGTGGTCTAGAGCTCACATGGATGGACGTCGATACAATGTAATGACAACAAATATTGCGGAGTCAATCAACTCAGTCCTTCGGTTCGCAAGGATGCTACCAGTGGTGCATTTGATTGATGAAATCATCAATTTGCTTGTGAAATGGTTCAGTAAACGTCGCGATTTTGTTTTAAAATGTACATCAACATTGTGCCCTGACTTTGGCGAGAAGAAGCTGAGACGCAGGTTGGAATGTGCTTCAAGGATGAATGTCGTGAAACTGAATCACATAGAGTATAATGTCGTGGATGGTGATATGGATGGCCACGTACATTTGACGAATAACACTTGCAGTTGTAGGAAGTTTCAGCTTGAGCAACTACCTTACAAGCATGTAGTTGCAGTTTGCCGTTTCTTGAAACTAAATGTATACTCCATGGCTTCTCGTTATTACACTCGAAATACATGGTTGGATGCTTATTCAGATACCACATACCCGGTACAGCCTCAAGAGTTGTGGGTTATTCCTGAAGATGTCCAAAGTAGAGTTGTGCGTCCTCCCAATGCAAAGGTCATGCCAGGTCGACGAAAGAAGTTAAGGATTCCCTCGCAAGGAGAGGATATCATAAGGAGAAAATGCTCAAGGTGCAGTGGCACATGCCACAATAAAAGCACCTGTAAAAACAATGTTCCACTACCTAATGTTGGACATACATTATGAATTGTGTAGGTTTGTTATGGAGTGTGAATTTGAATTGTATTTGTATTAGGTTTGGTGTTCTGTGGATTGTGAATTATGTTAATTTTCATAATTTGGTATGTATTTGTGTATTCTATGTGCTACATTGTTGTTAACATCTGTAATTTTTGGGCATATATTGTGTATTCAAATTTTCTAATTCAGTGGGTCGAATTAGGGGTGGGTATGTCATTCTCATCCCTATCCCCACCTTCATACCTGCAATACAGACTTTAAAAAAAAATAATAAAAAAAAAGATACACGAGGGCAATACACTAGCAATATACAAGCAATAAAGGGCTATAAAATGGCAATACACATACTCCCCTATAAATTTATCCCAACACAGACTTGAAAAAAAATATATATACGGGGGCAATACAATAGCAATACACAAGCAATAAAAGGCTATACAATGGCAATACACAAACTCCATACTCCCCTTATAAATTTATTCCAACACAGACTTAAAAAAAAAGATATATAGGGGCAATACAGTAGGAATGCACAAGCAATAAAAGGCTATACAATGGCAATACAAAAACTTCATAATCCTGTTATAAATGTAACAACCCGGTCCTTAATTAATATTTAATTATTAATTTATTCTGGTAAAAGACACTTATACCCCTAGAATATTTTATTAGTTTAAAAGTTAACTTTTCGACCGGGAAGGAATTTGGGGATTTCAGTGATACCGTTGCGTAGAGCGCAGCAAGATGAGTCCGTAGACATGTAGTGGACTCAAATCAGAGTTGTAACAAAGGAGTTACGAGCAAAAGAAGTTCAGTGGCACAACCGTAAATATTTCGAAGTTCAGATTTTATAAACCCAGTTTTCTTCTGCTCCTCCAGTTCGACGAGCCGACTTTAGGAGTGGGTTTCTCTCAGCTCCGACCACCAAATTGAGCAAGACCAGTGCCAAACGAACCACCTCACTCCCCTCTTTCAGTTTTAGCCCATCCCAGCCGTGATCCGCCGGTGCGGACGCCGGAAACCGCCACGAAACAGGGCGGTTTGGACAGTTTTTGATGGAATTTCACGGAGCTCGTTCGGACACCTCCGGCCACCAAATCGGACGAGTGAGGTATGGTTTTCTAGCTATTTTCCATGCTCTAGCTGCTAGTTGGGTAGGATTTCAGGAATTCCAAGCGTAAATACTTCGATTATCAAGTTAGGTTTCAGCCGGTTTTGAGGGTGCGATTCCAGCCACTTCCGGCCAGTTTTTGGGGTAAGTTCAAGAACAAAAGAGGCTCCACATAGGGTGTTACACCTAGGGTAGGAACCTTGAGCCGTGATTCGGAGTTTTTCCGACGAAGCGTTATCGCTTTAGGGACCACGCGCTGCCGGCTCGTGAGCAGTAGGGTGGAGACCACAGTCAGTCATAGAATAATCTCCTAGTCCTCACGAGCGCGTAGGATTTCGTGGATCTTAATTCGGATAACGTTTGAACCCCGAACGGATCTTGCCTAGTATGCGATTTTCGGGTTCTATACGTTTGAACCGTTGGATCGTAGTCAATTTCAAGTATGTTGATCTAGGTATTTCCAGGATCGTATAGTGTTTGACGGATCGTAAAACGGAGTCCCGGATACTCCAGAAATGTCAGTCCTAGAGTATGTTTTACGGATAATTAAACCAGTTACAAAATAACAAACCAGTTGCAGGTCAAGAACAGAGGAAAGAACTATGTGTGGCTTGATCCCTCAGTAAGGGTACGTAGGCAGCCTACAGTTGTCAGGCGCAGCCACGAGTTAGGTCCCCAGAGTTTGTGTTACTCTTTTTCATGGCATTTTGGTCTTTTACGACCCACGGTTACCACGTGTCAGTTTTAAACAGGTTTCGACCTGCATTCCAAAGTGGAAATTGGGTCAGGTCGTTTCAATTGGTATCAGAGCATTAGGTTAACTTCCTGTAGACTTTGCATTACTTGTGCATCCTTATTTTGAGGAATTGCTAGACTTTTCTTATGTTATTTTATCTTGTTGGTGTGACTGAGTAAACATGTATCCAGAAGAGTTTGACAAATTTGTTGAGGTTTTCATTTGAAAAAACTTGTTATACATGTTATTATATGCTTATATGTCGAGAACTGAGGTTTAGCAAGATCAGTATTTAATTATCGGTTTATTCATCACCTATTTATATTTGTTCATTTGGTTAATGGTGTTGTAAGATTATAAATATGATTTTGGATTGATATGTTAATCAGGGACCGATATGGCTAACCAGCTAGCTAAGTATTTGATACATATATTCAGTGGTTGAGAGGGAAGAATTATAACTTTTGATTTTTATCAGATTTTGATATATATATATATATATATTATATATAGATATTTTAAGTTCATATGAGAACCAGTTTATTGAATAAGTTCAGTTGAGAATCAATTTATTCAAAGTTTATGTAAATAACAGATTATGATTTTCAAACCCATCATAGGGTACCCCCCAGTTGCCTTGAGACAGTTGGCTATTTTGCCCCACGAGTTCGGGGACGCCTGAATCGTGTGGTGCCAGTTTACAGTTGTTATGATATTGCCCCACGAGTTTCGGGGACGCTCGAACCGTGTGGTGCTAGGATAGCAGCTCAGGCTAGCTAATGGCCCCCTGAGACCTGCCAGGATTGCGGCTCAGGCTGGCCCCCTGAGACCTGCCAGGACGCGGATCAGGTTGACCAAGGTCCCCTGAATCCTGCGAGGTTGCAGCTCAGATTGACTTTGTGTCACCGAGACCTGCGAAGACGTGTCACCAATGGTGATGCGAGGGGAATTGACGGATATCAGGAATTGACGGAATATCAGGAATTGACAGATCAAATATGGGGGTACACCTAGGTGGAGAGGATTTCAGTTTGAGATGCTTTTAAACTAAATTAAGGATTTTATACAGTTATCATTATTTTCTTTCAGCATCACAAGTACTATATGGAAATATATATATATACACATGGTTACTTACGAATTTTTAATGAGTTCAATACAAAAGCTTGTCTATTTTGTTTTAATTAAGTTTGCTTTAATTTACCTTATTTTATTTTATTGAAGTTGCTGATATTCATCTTTTTATTATTAAATATGGTATTAAGCAGCTCAAGTATTTCTAGCATATTTTGCCCCACGAGTCTTAGAGTTACCCAGACCGTGGGAGCGAGGATTTCAGGTCATGACGTGTCACCTTTGGTGTCACGAGGAATTGATGGTTATGGTTTTGCGAGCATGATTATTTGATATAAATGTTTTTAATTCTTCGTTTAAATTATGCTGTCGAGTGGGATATCCATTATGGATACAGGAAAAGGAAATTCTAGCTAAATAGCAGATTAATGGCAGTAGAGTTTTAAATTTATTAGATCTGTTCGGAGTTTGTTTATTTCATTTATTTAATCCAGTCTGCTTTCAGTTATTTTATTTCAGTTAATTTAAATTGTTGACCTGAAATTTTTATTATTGAACACGATAGTAAACAGTTCCAGTATTTCCAACATATTTTGCCCCACGAGTTTTACAATTATTCAGACCGTGGGAGCCAGAATTGCGAATCAGGTTGACCAGATGTCTCCTAAGTCCAGCTAGGATTACAGAACATGATGAGTTATACATTCAGTGTTTTTCAGCAGAATTACTATTTGATAAGTCGTGCATAAGTAAGAATGCATGAGTCAGGATGTTTGAGATTGTTAGAGTATCACTGCTAATCTAAAATTTGACATGAATTTCATTAGTAGATCGAATTATTTGAATTGTTGTGGCCTGATGCCAAAATATTATAATGTTTGATTGCTTGGATATGATTTAATGCATGTTGGCAGATGAGTTATATAAATATACATACTTGTTTTATAGATAGAATGTTTTTGGGAAATGTTCAGTTTGCAGGGGAGACTCTGCCGAACTTTCGGCAGAAGTCACACTAGAATTTCAGATAATTTCAGTTAGAAAGGGCAAATTAGTCTTTTGTGGCCAGCATTAGCCAGGTGTCAGACACTCAGAGGAAGAAGGGGATTTTTAGTTAAATATCAGAGTAATAGCAGTAAAGTTCTAGATTTAACAGAATTCAGTTATTACCAGAGATTTCAGAGAGTTTTTATATATTTTCTTAAGCCACCTCAGGTATTCAAATATAAATGTGTGGCCCTCAGATTTTATTGATTGCCTTACCGTTACAGTTATTGAGATGCAAGTGGTGAGTGCAGTTTCAAAAGAGCAGACTTGAGAATCCGAGTAACAGATGCAGGCTTAGTACCCTCACCTTTTCGAGTGATGGGTAAGTAAATTTCGAGGACGAAATTTTTGTAAAGGGGGTAGATTGTAACAACCCAGTCCTTAATTAATATTTAATTATTAATTTATTCTGGTAAAAGACACTTATACCCCTAGAATATTTTATTAGTTTAAGAGTTAACTTTTCGACCGGGAAGGAATTCGGGGATTTTAGTTATACCGTTGCGTAGAGCGCAGCAAGATGAGTCCGTAGACATGTAGTGGACTCAAATCGGAGTTGTAACGAAGGAGTTACGAGCAAAAGAAGTTCAGTGGCACAACCGTAAATATTTCGAAGTTTAGATTTTATAAACCCAGTTTTCTTCTGCTCCTCCAGTTCGACGAGCTGACTTTAGGAGAGGGTTTCTCTCAGCTCCGACCACCAAATTGAGCAAGACCAGTGCCAAACGAACCACCTCACTCCCCTCTTTCAGTTTTAACCCATCCCAGCCGTGATCCGCCGGTGTGGACGCCGGAAACCGCCACGAAACAGGGCGGTTTGGATAGTTTTTTATGGAATTTCACGGAGCTTGTTCGGACACCTCCAGCCACCAAATCAGACGAGTGAGGTATGATTTTCTAGCTATTTTCCATGCTCTAGCTGCTAATTGGGTAGGATTTCAGGAATTCCAAGCATAAATACTTCGATTGTCAAGTTAGGTTTCAGCCGGTTTTGAGGGTGCGATTCCGGCCACTTCCGGCCAGTTTTTGGGGTAAGTTCAAGAACAAAAGAGGCTCCAAATAGGGTGTTACACCTAGGGTAGGAACCTTGAGCCGTGATTCGGAGTTTTTCCGACGAAGCGTTCTCGCTTTAGGCACCACGCGCTGCCGGCGCGTGGGCGGCGCGTGAGCAGTAGGGTGGAGACCACAGTCAATCATAGAATAATCTCCTAGTCCTCACGAGCGCGTAGGATTTCGCGGATCTTAATTCGGATAAAGTTTGAACCCCGAACGGATCTCGCCTAGTATGCGATTTCCGGGTTCTATACGTTTGAACCGTTGGATCGTAGTCAATTTCAAGTATGTTAATCTAGGTATTTCCAGGATCGTATAGTATTTGACGGATCGTAAAACGGAGTCCCGGATACTCCAGAAATGTCAGCCCTAGAGTATGTTTTACGGATAATTAAACCAGTTACAAAATAACGAACCAGTTGCAGGTCAAGAACAGAGGAAAGAACTACGTGTGGCTTGATCTCTCAGTAAGGGTACGTAGGCAGCCTACAGTTGTCAGGCGCAGCCACGAGTTAGGTCCCCAGAGTTTGTGTTACTCTTTTTCAGGGCATTTTGGTCTTTTACGACCCACGGTTACCAGATGTCAGTTTTAAACAGGTTTCGACCCGCATTCCAAAGTGGAAATTGGGTCAGGTCGTTTCAATAAATTTATTCCAACAGACTTTTAAAAAAAAAGATATACAAGGGCAATACACAAGCAATAAATGGTTTTACGCGTGCAATACATATGCAATACATATTTGTCATGGCATTTGCCAATTAAATCACTGATTTGGTTACATTTGTATTTTTTTTTCCTTCTTTGCAAAGCAAACGATAAAACCATGGAAACTAGAGATTGACAAATTTCCTTGTAACTTGACCTTCATAAATTGATGAACTAACAATGTTATCTCATTACATCTTAAGATATACATAAGAAAGTGGCAAAAAATAAAATAAAAAATAAAAAAATAAAAAAATTTACATCTCCTCTTGGTTGGGAATTTGAACACATTAGCAAAATTCGATGATATTTCCTCTTAGAACTGAATTTAAGCTGAAAGTTAGCAATTTCTTCCCCAAGAGAACGCTACCACTTGAAACAAGACAATCTTCCATCTGTATAAAACGAATCAAAAATGCATATTAGAAGCAAATCATTCAATCACAATGGAAACAAAAACATAATATTCAATCACAACTGAAACCAATTTCAAAACAAAAACCAATTCCAAAATTCACAACATAAACCAATAATAAAACAGATTTAGAAACCAATATCAAAACAAGTTCATACATATTTATAGGCACTACAGGTATCATACACATACATTTACATGCACTATAACTAATAGAGTGGATAAATGTAAAACTGCAGTATGATATACATTTTTTAATAGAAGAAAGAAAAATAAATTATGATATACATCATTTAAGAGCTGAGCTTGAAGTTTGCTGAGTTATATATATCTCTGAGAAATCTATCTGTGATTTCTCCAGTGAAGGATGACCTTCAAGAATCTTATCTTTATACAGATTGTTGGCTTTTCTAAATGACCCAATTCTTCATAAAGCAAACTTTCACAAGATAGTACCATTGCAAAATTAAAGTTCACATTCATGCACACTATCAAACGTATGTTAAAATATTGGCATTCTCATAAAACTCACAAACTCTCCAATCACTTTCAAAAGAAGTAAAGGATGAGAATCTTGCATTTGTTGGTGGTGCTACTAGTTTCAAATTATGATGTTGGTTTCTTACGGTTAAAACCCACATTACTGTTCTTTCAGAGAGCATCTATGAGTTTTATATCACCTAAGTGCTTTCACAGACAAATCACAATCACAAAAGAGTGAATACACCACTTTGAAGGAGGTCTGCAAGTCCAAGTCTCAATCACAAACTAGTATATGCATGATTTTAGAGACAAATCATAAGTACAAACAATGTATCCAAGTCCAAGAGCTTGACAATCACAAGAAATAGTTGGTAAATTTCAGTCAATCACAGAAACAGCAAACAAACCACAACAAAAACCCATTAATGTCTCATTCAAAATAATGAAAGTAATCACCCAATAATCTCAATCAATAACAGAAACCCAAAAAAAATGGAAAAAGAAAAAAAGAAGCAAAACCAATATTAGAACTCACCACAATGAAGATCAAAGATGTAGGTGTTGTGGGTTTGTGGTGGAAGTCGACGACAAAGGTGGAGAGTCACGATTATGGCTTCGTTATGGAGGCCGACGACGGAGGTGGCGAGTCACGCCTTGGCTAGGGTTCGATTCCGAATTTGGGGTTCAACCTTAAGGTTCAAATTAGCTCCTAATTTGAAGATATAATTAAGAGAAAATTGAATTAAGCGAGATTCTACGGTGGAGGTGGATTCCTGTGAGGTTTGGCAGAAGGAAGAAGAGAAAGAAGAAGAGCAACGACTGAGAAGAAAAAAAAAGTGACAGATGGGCAATAGACTGTCAATAAGGAATTTTTATAGGGGGTATTTGTGATTAGATTTCAAAATGGGGATATTATTGAATAAATTAGTTGAGCCGAGGGTAAAGCCGCCAATTTCCCAAAACCGGTGGCATTAAGGGCTATTTCCCAATAGTTTATAGAATATGATGATACAGTATTTGAGCATGAATATTCAACTTTAGGACAAACAAGACCATTAAAATAAGGCTTAAGTGCTACAGTGCCCCTTGAAACATTGGTCAATTCTCACTTTAACCCCTGAAAGTTAAAGTGATCCACTTTGCCCCCTTAACTCCATCCAAAAGTTTGTTAAGTTTGGTGACGTGGCAGGGGTATTTTAGTAATCTTGTGCACCTAGGTTTTTTAATTACTTAAAAAAATTAAAGTACAAACATAAAATTGAAAACAAAATAGATTTTATGAGGGGGAGGGGGAACCCTACCCATCCCTTCTCCCCCAGTCCACCAAATCCTCCCCTTCCTTCTTTGTCCTTGTAACCCCCCCACGCACCAGAAACCCATTGCTCCCCCCCAACCCACAACCCACAACCCACCCTTCTCCCTATGCAGAACCTGGAAAGCCATCACCCCCCCACCTGCAACCCACCCCTCCCCAACCCCCATACCCATTAATTAGCTTTCAAGTTTCATACCTCCCATCCCAAAAATCAAAACAACAAAAAGTGGAGAGAGAGAGAGAGAGAGAGAGAGGAGAGAGAGAGAGGAGGAGAGAGAGAGAGAGAGAGAGAGAGAGAGAGAGAGTTCAATTTTTTAAAGTTTTAAATTTTATGTTTGTATTTTAATTTTTTAAAGTCACTAATTTTTTTATATCCATGATGGAGGTGGGCTCTAGTTTGCTACATTACCCACTCGAATTTGTGAATAAAAAACTTAGGTGCACAAAATTACTAAAACACCCCTGCCACATCATCAAACTTAACAGACTTTTGGATGGAATTGACGATAGGGGGCACTGTGGAACATCAAATCTTGGTCAAGAGGGCAAAGTGGGTCACTTTTACTTCCATGGGGTTGTAGGGGCTTTTTCATTCCGGCAGCTACTCATGGGCTTGGGGTGCTATAAAGAGCCAAATGTATGAAATTGCCCCTCGAGTCTGAGTTCAAGGATCAAACCCCAAGAGTGTTTCGAAAGGGTAGCTAAGCTTTAGGAAACACCTTGGTCTTCTTCACCAATGAAACCAACAGTTGCTTACAGATAAATTCTTGGCTTGGCATGAAAAGCTTGTGGTATGAGAGCTGAACATTCATGAGTTTAGCATGAGAGAGAGAAAGAGTTGTGATTTCCTATGAGAAACAAAGGTTTAAAGCAAGGGGGAAGAGATTTTAATGGGATTTGTTGAGGATAGAGAGAGAGAGAGAGAGAGAGAGAGAGAGAGAGAGAGATGAGAAGTGGGTGGTTTGAGCAATTTTCCCATGGCTTGCCAGAGGAGAAAATGAGAGAAGATAGAGGAATAAGGCTCGAAATTGCAGAGGTTTAAGGGATGAGAGATGAAACTTGCTCTTTGGATATGGGTTGCTTGCCTTTTTTTGAGTTGTTTTGGTGGGTAGAAAGTGTCTTCCTTTTATAGGCGCTGGAAGCTCCTTCTTCCCAAGAAAACCCTAGTTGGTTTTCTCCAATTTTGCTAAGTCTTCTCCACCATTTCTCTTATCTTCCTTCGATTCAACCTCTTTTGTGAGACCTTTCTCTGTCCAAACACACAAAGACAAGATTTTTGGGAGCTCTAAGGCCTTCCCGCAATTGCTTCATTGTTAAACTCCTATTTTTGGCTACTACCTCACCTTCTTTCCTCCCTTATTTCATGGCAAGAGCTGGTAGGAGAAATGAGTGGGTAATGGTGCTGGTCTAAAGGATGTTTTGCTCAAGTATCCTTTGGTTTTTTGGATGGCTTGTGTTGGGATTTATCTTTGACCATGTGCTGGAAATTCCCAGCAGCCTGCATACATAGGTAACCTTTGGCTTTTATCGTTGTTTTGTCTCCAGCCATGTGCTTGAGACTTTTAGATATTTCATGGGTCATTTGGGTCATTCTAAGGTGATGGGTTAACCCATTAATGGAATGGGCTAATTTCCTATAGTATTGGGCTATTTTTCTTGAAGTATTGAGATATTTTCTCTCCTTTATGCTTACCTACATATTTGGGCTCAAGAAATGGGCTTGAGTTTCGAGGCTCCCAAGTAACCCAAAACTTCCATTTCTCGGCTCATCAATGGGTCTCATGAAAACTCGTAACTATCCATACCACAACCCGCTCAACAAGCCCCAGGCATTCGCATAGCTTGGGCCCACTTAAGCTTGTAGCGTGGCATGTTGCTTATTTGCTTGGCGTGGCACGTGTGTAAGCGCATATGATGAATTCTTGAGTACCCAAGTTGGGTTTCTTCCCAAGTTAGGTGTCGTACTGGGCTAGAAATATATTTGAGCCCATCCTTGGATTCTTTGGGCCTCAACATTTGCCCCCTTGATTATTGGGGCCATGAATGTTTATTGAAATGGTCCGAATAATCAATTTCTAGCCCAAAATAAATCGCAATGGCATGGCATGGCATGACATGGGTTTAGGAGCAACTCAAGGATAACCAGTTAAAGGTCTCTGAAATTACAGCTAGGTTTTTTCCGGGAAGGTTGGAGGGCTCGCAATGGTCCTGCTTAAAACCCAATCCTTCTTAAACACTGAGGGTGTTGCCTTGTAGAACTTTCCTAAACACTGTAATTTTGGAGGTCACTTACTAGAGTTACCAAGAGTTTGCCTATTTTGTGGCATGACAAAGAAGAAAATGTTTGGTGGATTAGCTCAAAATAACTTAGCTTGCATGATTTATTTGCTTGAGTGACTAGAGAGGCTTGATTTTGCATGGTTAAGAGTTGCATTGACTTGTGTGTTTGATATTAGTTTTGTATGCTTGATATTGGCTTGCACGCTTGGTTTTGACATGTATATTTGGTATTGGCATGTATTCTTAGTATTTAGCTTGATGCTTGGCAATTGCATGTATGCTCTATTTTGGCTTGATGCTTGGCATTGGCGTGTATGCTTGATTTTGGCTTGTATGCTTGGATGCTTGGCATTGGCTTGTACGCTTGATTTTGGCTTGTACGCTTGGTATTGATTTGTATGCATGGCTTTGGCTTGTATGTTTGTATGCTTGGTATTGGCATGTACGCTTGGTATTGGCTAAGGTGGCATGATTTAATATAGCTTTTGGGATATTTAGCATGGTGGATGTCATTTGACAGTAACCAGACATGCTAGTAGATGGTGGGGATCCAATCTTGGAATTGTGGATGCAATGAGCTTTGATTCACCATTGTGTTTGAGTTTACAGCACCAACCTCAGAACACTTGAATTTGGTAGACAAAACCTTAGTGAAGGTGATAGCATGCGACATGATGGCTAGATATTAGAAGAATGCTTGAAATAGGGCATGTGCTGGAAGGATGTTTGAAATAAGGCATGTGCTGGAAGAATGTTTGAAATAGGGCATGTGCTGGAAGGATGTTTGAAATAGAGCAGGTACTGAAAAATGTTTTAAATAGGGCATGAGCTGGAATGATGTTTGAAATAGAGCAGGTGCTGAAAAATGTTTTGTTTGACATGGAATAGGGCATGTGCTGGAAGAACGTGACTTGTCTTGGCATGATTAGCTTGGATTTGCTATGAGGATGTGGATAATCTAATGGTTGAGTTGAATCAAGATATAGCTTGGTCTAGCATGAGGGTTCACTCTTCTGGCAACATGAATATAAAGCTTGTGTTATTTTCCAAGAGCATCTCGTACAACGCATCATTATCTTCCATGTTTTGCTTGGCTTGAATATTGGTTACTGCAAGCATATTTTGGCTTACAACAGCTTGAGCTCTTTGCAAGTGGCTATTATCTTTTCCTTTCATTTGGCATGGCATGCTTTATTTTTTGATTTTCTCTCATTCTCTTCTTTCTTCTTCTTCTTCAAGACCCAAACCCGTGGGTATTGTTCATCGGTACATAAGTCAAATTTTGGAAGCTCATATTAGAAAACTTCCTTGATAAAAGTTGTTCATCTGCTCGATTACTATAGCCTGTAAAATTTGTATGATTTTTTGAATTTTTCTGATGCCTAAAAGTTGGTTTGCAACTTCTATGTTCATCCATAGCTGGTGAGTTTCTATAGATTCTACTTCTGCATGTGTCTTTAACTTCTGCTGCTTGGATGATTGCGCTTGCTTCACAAAATTTGCTCGAAATTATGTTGTTTATAACATATCCAAAATTGAAGATCATCCACCCATTGTAGTGCTCTCTGCCTCCATTTTTCTGAAGCCTGTTCGTGAGTTGATGTTAATGCCTTTGTTGCATGCTTTTTTTTATTTTTTATTTTATGCTTGAATGCTTGAGTTCCTATGTATTTCCCAGCATTTGTGAACTATAAATCGAATTTTGAGGTTGAGCTTTTGGTTTAGGATTCTAGCTTGGTGATAAACAAGAGTCATACAAGCTCACTTGGGTAATGCATGCCAAGTGTTTGTCAAAAAATCTCAAAATAACTTGTGGGCTGTTCTTTGAACTTTCGAAATGTTTCTCTTGGAATCTGAGTTGGACATGAAAACAGACTTCTCAATGGATGTGTTGGAATTGGTCTTGTGCCATTTGAAGGAAAAATGAATTTTTGATTCAATTTCAAAGGGCTAAGCTGTTGGAATTGTGCAGTTTCTGCTGCATAGCATGTTTTGAAAATTTGTTTGACATGCTTCTCTAGCTCTAAATGTAATGAAATTTTGGAAAAATGAGGCTTGATATGTCTAGTTCTAATTTGGAAGGTTTGGGATTTGTTGGTTGTAAGCTTGATTTCTAATGATTTTCCAAAGGTGGGATGTTCCAGCTAGAATGGTTGGAAAGCTTGTGTATAAGTTTTGCTTAGCATGTTGCTTTTTTTTTAGAATTTAGCATGCTCTTTCTCTTGGCATTGAGTGCTGATATGGGCATTGCTAGAGCATGATCTTGAGCAATATTGTCGTGAGAGCTTGATGTTGTATGGTATTGTCGCAAGAGCATGAGTTCTTCAATTTGCTTGAAATGCCTGAGTTGCTTGGAATGCTTGAATGAAATGAAATATCTTGGCATGTGGATTGGTATTACGCCCTGTGAATTTGTCAAATGCTTGATAGATGAGTATACTTACACTTTGAGAAAATTATGTTTCCAGCGCCTCTCTTTGTGTATGAGTACCTTTTTAGCGCTTGATTTTGGCTAACGTATTCTCTTGTTTAGAACCTCCAAAGCTTGCTTGCAACTTGTCTTTGGAAAAAAAAAAATTATGCTTCCAGCACCTCATTTTTGTAACAACCCGATCCTAAATTAATAGTTAAACATTAAATTATTCAAGGAAAATACAATTTTACCCTGGGAATATTGAAATGATTTAAGAGTTGACTTTTATTCGGGGGAGATTAAATGATTAAAATAAGAGAAAATAAATTGAAACAAACAATAAATAAAATTATTTGAATTAATTAAGGTTTTTGAAAATTAAAGATATTATTTAATATAAAAGGGGGCAAAAGGTCAAATTTTAAGTTTGGGAAATTTGAAAATGTAGAGCACGTCGAGACGAGTCCGTAGACACGTAAGGGGCTCGAATTGGAGTTGTAACGAAGAAATGACAATCAAGAATAGGCCAGTGGCATAACTGTAAATATTCTGAAGTTTAGTTTTTTTAAAACCTAGAATTTCTTTACTTGGGCAGCTCAACCAGCCAACTTCAGATCGTGACTTCTCCCAACCCCAGCCACCGTTTCAACCAAGACCGGTCCCAGACGAACCACCACACTTCCCTCTTCCAACCCTAGCCCTTCACCGCCTCTATCCGCCGTCGTATTTGCCGGAATCAGCCACTAAACAGGTGGTTCTGGACAGATTTTTCTTAAACTTTCGCTGGCCATTTCTCCCTTCTTCGGCCACCAAACCGGTCAAATAAGGCATGCTTTTCCACCTATTTTTTGAGCTCTAACTGATGGTTAGGTAGGATTTGATCGATTTGTAGCCTAGATAACCCGAAAAATGGCCAGTTTCGGATAGAAGTGGTATCTCCGAGGCCTAAGAGGATTGCGGCTCGGCATGGGAGGATTGCGGCTTGGATAGAAATGGTATCTCCGAGGCCTGCGAGGATTGCGACTCGGATAAATAGGTAAACTTTGGCTTTTATCGTTGTTTTGTCTCCAACCATGTGCTTGAGACTTTCAAATATTTCATAGGTCATTTAGACCATTCTAAGGTGATGGGTTAACCTATTAAGGGAATGGGCTAATTTCTTAGAGTATTGGGCTATTTTTTCTAAAGTATTGGGATATTTTCTCTCCTTTATGCTTACCCACATATTTGGGCTGTAGAAATGAGTTTGAGTTTCGGGGCTCACAAGCTCATCAATGGGCCTCATAAAAACTCGTAACCATCCATACCACGACCCACTCAACAAGCCCCAAACATTCTCGTGGCTTGGGCCCACTTAAACTTGTAACGTGGCATGTTGCTTATTTGCTTGGCGTGGCACGTGTGTAAGCGCATATGACAAACTCTTGAGTACCCAAGTTGGGTTTCTTCCCAAGTTAGGTGTCATACTAGACTAAAAATATATTTGGGCCCAGCCTTGGATTTTTTGGGCCTCAACAGGGGTAAAGTGAGAATGACTAATGTTTCAAGGTGCACTGTAGCAATTAAGCCTAAAAATAATGTAAATAAGATATAAGAGAAGACTCAGTTACATTGGAGCAAGAATAAGATAATAGCAACATTAGATATTATTAACATAGATGTAACCATTAAGACAACATATATCCCTTGTAAAATAAGAAAAAATTTGAAAATATGATTATAGATATAAGTTACCAAATATAGTTGAGATCATAAACAAAATTCAAGATAGTAAATATTTTAGTAAATTTGATTCTAAATCTGATCATGATTTTGGAAGATTAAATGAGCAAAAAAATCAATTGAGTGACAACATTCACTTGTCCAAAAGGATATTTTCAATGGCTAGTCATGCCTTTAGGTTTAAAAATGCACCATCAATCTTTCAAAGGAAGATGGATAAATTTTTTAAGAAGTATAATAGTTTTTGTAGTATGTATGTAGATGATATACTTGTACATGCATAAAATAGGAATGAACATAGAAAACACTTAGAAATAATTTTACAATAATTTATTAAGCATGGTATAGTTATTAGCAAGAATAAGATAGAACCACATAAACAAGATATAGAATTCTTAGGCATGCATGTTAAATCAGGAACAATACAATTACAAGAAATCAATTTGAAGATAAAAAGAAATTACAAGCAATTTTGAAGACCTCGGGATTTGAACTCCATCACCTCTCAAACCGACTTTTGGTTTATGAATATAACAACAACAACAAACAAACAAAAACAAAAAACAAAAAAAAGAAGAAGCAAAATCAGCACCATAAATCATTGGCAAAAGTCACTTTTTGTTCTTGTAGTTTGATGAAATTTTCACTTTCGTCCTTTTAGTTCAGTTCTGGCAATTTGACCTATGTAGTTTGATTTTATTGGAATTTAAGGACACGTCCAAATTTTCGTCCAGTTTATTGACGGAATAAATACTTGACTATTATGTGGAGGGTATTTTGGACTGAATTTTGGATGAAATTGGATGGAAATTTGGTTGTATCCTTGATTTGCTATAGAATCAAAGTACAGGGACCAAAAGTAACTTTTCCCTAAATCATTTGAGGCATTACACAATTAGGGGCTGCTCAATTGCTTTTGGTGTTTTGGGCTTGGTTCATTATTTGACCCATTCTGTTGTCTCTAAATTAGGGGTGGGCACGGTACAGATTAAATCGATTTTATCTCAAAACTATGGCTGAACCAATTACAATATAACAATTTGGTTTGGTTCAGTTTTGACAAAAGTCATAAAGGAAACTGAACCAAAACAAACCAATTTAAGACACTTTGGTTAGGTTTGGTTCAATCGGTTTGGACCTAAGCTCAATTCTCTTTTTTTTTGCATTTTTTCAATATTGTTAGCCTAATTACAACCAACAAATTCACAACTTGCTCCATACTTAAATCATTTTCTAGAGTACGAAACCATCCTTAGCTCAAGATGCCATAAAACTTCAAATTTCAATAACTAATATAGCTCAATTCAAATATCCATATATAGTTATTACCTAATTACAATATTACACATATAAAATATAATATAAATAAATAAATATACATATAAACGATACTACTTGGTTTAGGCTAGTTTACAAAAATTAAAAATCAAACTAAACCAAACCAAATATAGTCATATTGGGTTTTTAAACCGTTTACCAAACCAAATTGGTAATTACAATTTGATTCGGCCAATTTCATCGATTCAGTCGGATTCATGCTCCACCCTTACTCTAAATGGCCCCAAATAATAGGGGGCTAATGTTTATACCAAAAAGGAATAAAATAAGTGCAAGTATGTGGATGGTCTAGTGTCATTTAAAGCCATCTCTAGCCATAGGGCTAAACTACTATGGCTAAAAATTTAGCCCCCCAAAATATTAATTTTTTAAAGAATAGTGCAGGGCTAAATGTTTTCCATCTCTAGTCATGCAGGACTATATTTTAGGGTCTTTCATATTTTATTATTTTGAGAAAACTATAGTACAATACTCATACATTCCACAACTATATATTGTTTAATTTAATTAAACTACTATTTAGAGACAATATTCCATATATGACACGTATTAAGAACAAGATTTCTGAAATGTGGGATGAAATGAGTGAGAGAGGTATTTATAGACAAATTTTAGGTTTTTAAATTTTTAAAAGAAATAATAATGAAGCCAACAAAGGGAATTAAAAAAAATAAAAAACTAGAAGGGTTCAAGGGGCTGCGCTCAACGGTTATGAACAAGACTTTTTTATTATTATTTTTAAACAACACTTGAAAAGATGGCAAAAGCTGACCACATTTATTATTTTTTTAAAAAAAGGGGAGTGGGTAGGTATGGATTCCAACGGTCATTGCCAACAAGAAACATTCAAAAAGCTTTTAAAAAAGGGAGTGAGGAGTGCTTTAATGATTAGTTGTTGAAAAGCACATGTATGAGACCCATTATAAATTTGGCCTGATTTGAGGTTTAAAGGGCCAAATTTGGCCCTCCAAAATTGGTCAAAATTTTATTTAGCTCATGGTTGGAGATGAGTTTTGCATTAATTTAGGGTTATATTTGAGATATAGCCCATGGCTGGAGATGGCCTAACAACTTGAAATGAAGAAATCATCATTTGCTAATCCTAATTAATTTTGGGAAATCATTTGTCTAAGAGGAATGCTATCAACTTTCTCTCTAACCTTTTACTTTGGACCTTCTCCATTTTTCACTTGACATGTGTCATTCTCCTTACACTTAAAACAATGTCATTAATATATTATACAAGTTAACTTTTGCCTTCCAAGTTTACCCTTATTAAATGTGTTCAATTTATCCAAAAAATTTCACAACTTTCTTACCATCTTATAAATTGAATATATTTAATAAGGGTAAACTTGGAAAACAAAAGTTAACTTATATAATATATTAATGACATTGTTTTAAGTGTAAAGATAATGACATATATAAAGTAAAAAAAAGAGAATATTAAAGAGAAGGTTGCTAGCATTCCTCTTTGTCTAATAGATAAATCAACGACGAAAGAAGCAGGCTTTATTATTATTCAAATCTTTTCTTTGGTATAAAGGTGAGCCGAAGCCCAAGAAAACTACAGCAGTACTTTGGGTCTAGGGATAACCAAAACATCCAATCCAATAACTCCCAGTGCGACAAACGCCTGTCGTTTCGAACAAAACTTGTTTTACACGACAAATCCTTCAAAATTTACGATGAGTCGTTTCACCAGATATGCACAATTTGAGTGTCCTGGACGGACCAAAAAATCCTATGCTTTTTCACCCAAAACTTGACCTTGACCGCTCTGTTACTAATATAGTACTGTTTCTCTCTGGAGAAAGTGAAGAGAAAGCAAGAAAATATCTAGAAAACAAGTAAGAAAATGGTAGTGAAGCGGAGCCAAGCGCATTTGAGCAAGCATTCAAAGGTGGAAGTTTGCAGCAACGAAGAGGGTTACAGAGGTGCATGGTTCCCAGCCATAATCCTTGACCCTCAACCCCCCGATCTCTCACCGAAGAAGAAAAGGAAGAAACTTGGCAACTCAAGCAACGCTCTGGTGCAGTACGAGAATCTGGTCTCTGAAGATGACCCAAACAAGCCACTCACTGAGCTCGTTGACGTGCGCTCCATCCGGCCAGTGCCCCCTCCTGACAATCTTGACCAGCCCTTGGAGCTAGCCGACGTCGTAGACGCTTCTTACCTTGATGCTTGGTGGGTGGGGGTTGTGATGAGGTTTGAGGATGACAAGTATACAGTGGGTTTCAAATGCCCACCTGATCTGCTTGAGTTAAGGCGCTCTGAGCTGCGGCCTCATTGGGATTTGCAGGACGGCATATGGGTTCGTGCCCGGAAGAAGGTATTAGTTCTACATTTTAATAATGCATGTGGGTTTGTCTTTTTAATATAGGATTTGCACTTGGTTTATGCTTGCATGAGCTTTCTTTTGTTTATCAATGAATTGTTTTGGAGCTTTCTACCATGGGTTTTCATGATTTAAGAACATGCAGGTTGTTTATTGTACATTGGCCTTGCCTTTGTTGTTCTGCTTTTAGATTCTTCTTTTTTTCCTTAAAAAGATTTCTATTTTTCCTAAAAGTATAATCTTTTTATGTTGTTGCAATTTTTAAGAGCAGTTTGTCCGTGTTCATGTTTTCTTTAATACCGGTTGTCATGAGTATCATTGGTTCTCTTGACTATTCTATTGATTTTCCTGAATTATCAACCAAAGTTGTTATTTTTATTGCTTGTTGTCCTTGGTCAGTACTTGATATCAGGTTTGTTTGTGCTTTCTAATTTTTTTCTGGGACTTCTCTGATATTGTGGTGTTTGTTAGGAACTTGTGATTTTATGGAGTTTAAAGTTTGGATTTATTGAGGTCTTTACTTATATGTTTGCAAGTTCATGCCTTTTCAGTTCATTCATTAATCTCATCTGCCATATATCTGGATTCCTATTTTTGAAGGATGATAGAAATTTCTATATGCTGTGCTTCTAATAGAAAGAAAACTGATATTTCTCACTAATGGTTCGAAGAGGATGGCGGGATCATTTTTCAGCCCTGGGACAGCAGTGGAAGTGAATCTCAACAGAGAACATCTATTCTGTGCTTGGTTCCCAGCAATTTATCTTGGTGAACTAGGGGTCAACTCTTTCTTGCTTCAATATAAGAGCTCTAACAACTGCGATGTTAAAGTGGTTGTAGGTGGGAAACAGATTCGGCCTCAGCCTCCAAAGTTGGCGGAAAGAGATTTTAAGTTGGAGGAAAAGGTGGATGCATTTTTTGATATGGGTTGGCGTGTCGGAGTGATTAAAAAAGTTCTTACAGGAAAAAAGTATATGGTCAGTTTGAAATTCACAGAGGAGGTGAAGCAATACAGTCAGTCAGATTTGAGGCCTCACATGTACTGGACGGATGGAAGATGGGTTACTATGATCAATGGAAAACAGGTTACTATGATCAATGGAAACTGGATTCCTTACTCTAAGGTATGTGTATTTTTGTCTTGTTTTATGATGGGAAAAGGGCGGGGGGTGTCACGGCTTGTTACTTTATGGGTATGATGGTAAACATGTTTGGATCATAGGTAAGTTTGAGTTTCTATGCTGAGAAGCATACATGGTCTCAAATTATTTGTGGGTGGCTAAATTTTTGCCCTTCCTTTTCAGGAAGGTCACTTTAGTAGGGACTATGAAGTACGATCAAAGCTAGCATGTGAGAGTTTCAGTAGTTCTGAGTTAGCTACAGCACTTGAAAGTTCAGGTGCTACCAAGGATAATAATGAAGAAAAAACACCTTGTTCGAGGATTTCGTGGAAGAATCAGTCGGAGGACTTGAGTCCTTGCATTGATATATCACCTTATGGAAAGACCAAAAAGAAACTAAAAATTAATCACAAACCTAATGATGATGCAACCATTTTAGGTCTGTCCAAGAAGTTAATATGTGGACATTCAGAAGATTCCGTATCTTTTGCACAATTATTTCAAAGCAGAACACCAGTCAAAACATCAAGCAAAGAAGCCCCAGTTAGAGATGGTGCGGTAAGTGAACTCTCAAAATATTATTGGTATATATTCTCCTATTGCTGAGTGTTCCTTTCGGGGTAAACAAAATCATAAGTCAAGTCTTCCCTTGCAAAACCTCATTAACATGCCCTCATTATATGAATTTTATAAGTTGATAGCATCTGAAGACTGCCATTTGAATGTAAGAAGTGATATATAGCAAAAAATAAAAATAAAAATAAAAACAGATGCATTATTTTTTCCTCTGGTTTTGTTTCTTCTGACACCTGATGGTCCTGATTAGAATGCATTTTATTCCCATTGCAGAAGACTAAGCAACAGCAGGTTGGAGGACTGAACAATCAAACAATAGTTTTTTATAAACGAAAAGGTAAACCACAAACTTTTGAAGTTGATATCCCTTGGCCAAGACTGAGACATGAGGGAGGGGCAGGCCACTGAAATTGCCTGGTGAAAAAATCAATAGTCAGAGGCATATATCCATGCTGAGTATCATTACATGATATTGTTTCTATATTAACGTGTATAATTATTTGCAGTCAAGGAGGGCAGTGAAATAAAAAAGGCAAATGAAGATGTTGAAGATGAGTATGGACGAGACAACATTGAATCTTCAGGTATACAGTCTGATTTTGAACTAACAGGGGGATCTCTTGCTGACACATCATGTCTGCTGCCCATGGAGGTATATCTAAAGCCCGTATGCTATGCTTCTTCTATATCTCTCTATTTATCAAAACTGCAGTCTACATTAATCTTATATATTAAAAAAAGTTAGAAATATTGTTGCAAAAAACAAGAGAGCTTAATTTTACCTCAGAGGGTGGTGTATAAGTGAAGGGAAGGAATAAAATGGAAAATGCCTTTAATTCTACAAATATTTAATATTGACCTTACTAGAGGATTTGTTTTTATGAAGACAATTATTAATAAAAAACTATAATATTTCATTTTAATTTTATCTATAATTAATACAAAAAATGTATTCGGCTTTACTTAGTCTCTGGAATAAGTATGGATTTGGAGGCATCCTGTTGATATTTATTTCCCTCTAACACAATTTCATTGATGATGATATTTCTTATTAATTCATGCAGGAGGTTGAGCAGAATGAAGATGGAGTGAGCAGTGAAATAGAAGGGAAGGGAAAACTGCCTGAATATCTTATTGAACACCCAAAAGATCCAGCAACAGGTATGTATAATGTGTCAGAGAGACAATTCTCGATAGATGTGTATATTTACAAAATCCAATGTATACCAGCATGAACATAATTGCATTGGATCTTTTGCTGCAGATGATACGTATGATATATTTGAATTGCCTGTAATAACAATGTGGGATTTGACATGCATGAGTAGCTAACAACCTGAATTAAGCACAATGGAATAGAAGACTTGTGGCCTGAATAAGTTCTGTTTTTTTGCAGGTGAGAAGCACAATGGAACTGGAGTTGGTCAAGTTGAATTGACTAAGACACAATTTGTCAATGGTAATGGTATGGTACATCACAGCCTGGAAAAACCTTTAGTTTATGTAAAAAAATTACAGGAACTCGTGTCCAATTTAATTTGAATGCTCCCCATGACCGATATGCTTTTGCTTTAGTATTCTATAATTTTTTGCTGCGAAAAAGATACGAGTCAAGTACAACATTTGGATGAGTGATTAGGAAAATGAAATTGGAAGAGTCAATAAATACAGGGAGTGAAACATAATTAAGAAGCAATGATTTCGCAATTCAAGAAATACACTGACTTTTGGTAATACTGAGTGTGCTTTATGCAACTGAATCACGTGTGAGGGAGATACATTTAAATCCTTTAATATTGTTCGAATGTCTACAAGACAGTCCACTTTGCCTTTTCTGAAAAGTTCTCCAGTTGGGGAAAAAATTGAAACCATGGATGTATTCAAAATGTTGCTAGACCAAAAACAATGTTAGCTTAACATAATAGGGATATGCTTTTCCTTTATTGTTTTTTCCCCTTTGGATGTACTTGCTTATCCTATTCATTTTTATCTTGTGTTGTCTAAAATTTCATGTCTTTCTCAAATTTGCAGGTTCTGAAGAAGCCATGAGAGAGACAAAAATTGTGGATTCTGCAATGGATTACTTGACAACGGCATCTGCCCATGATCAACCTTTATCTCTGTGCTGCATAGAGGAAATGCATTCTGTAAAAGCCATAGAGTGCTCAAGTAAGCTATTGAAAATTTTCAATAGATTCCTTTGGGTGTCATTAGTTTGACTAATATCAAGATTGTGTTCTCCAGGTAACACTACTAGGACTGTCAACCAACAAAATGAGGTTAGAGGAACACAAGTTGAGCAACAAGACAGTCCACATTCGCCTTTTGTGAGAAGTTCTCCATTTTGGGAAAGTATTGAATCCATGGAAGTATTCAAAAGATTTCCGCAAAAGCCACATTTTCATCCTCTGGTGAAGTATAAAGCAGTTTGCCGTGAAGGATCAGCCCTTGGAAATATGATAACCTTTGCCGCTTTGGTGGAGAAGACTTCCAAGCTGCAAGTAGGCGATCCTAGAGACTTATTTGATAGCAATTTGGAGGCACTTGTTGACTTGGAAATGTTGGGATTTGATGTAACAGCAGTACGGCATCGTCTGAAGGAGTTGGTTGAAATGAAAGTTAAGTTGGGGCAGCTTCATAACCAATTAAAAGAAGTTGACATTCAGATCACTGAGTGTACTCTGGACAGAACCAGAAACAATGAAACCATCAGTCGGATTGATAAGAAGATTAAGGACTTGAAGGAAAAAGGGGCAATGCTGATGTCAATCAATGTGGCCAAAGGTTCTGAAATTAGCAAGCTGCAATCAGAAGCAAATGCTATCACTGAAGGCATTCAGAGCATCCATTGTGATTTTGAGAAATTAGCTGCTGCAGCATGGTGATTGTTGTGATTCTGATGGATGACACCCTTTAGATTACCACCCCTTTTGCTAACCTTCGACACTTATATAATATATATACCCTTTTGAATGTAATGATATAATATTTACACCCTTTAGATTAACTTTTCTGTAGCTTTTTTATTATAACAGCCATTAGCCCTCGAATGCTGGTAACAAACAATTATTTGTATGTACTACTGTATCCTCAAGCCATTATATAGTGAGCGTCTTATCTATAGTCCTTGGGTCCTATTTCGTAACCGTTAGATCAAATAGGTTAGTTGTTGGATCAAATTGATAAGCTCTCACTATGGAATTATTGTTATATCCTCAATCTCGAAATTCTATAGTAAAAGTGTCATATATGAATTTATCAGTCAGTGTTATTCGAAAAAACTTTGTTTGGTATGAAGGTGGGCCGAAGCCCGACAAACATCCAATCCAATCCATCAACTCTCAGTGGGTCGACTAAAAGCCTGTCGTTTCCAACAAAACTTGATCTACGCGACAATTCTTTCAAATTATACGATGTTACTCTTTTTATAATACTACTCTTTTCTCCCAAAAAGTTCCAACTTGAGAGTCCCGGACAGCAACGGACCAAAAAATTCCAACTTTTCTCCCAAAACTTGACCTTGACTAAATAATACTACTCTTTTTATCGACCTTGACTAGATATTACTATTTTTATCGCAAATGGGTATGAGGTCTGTGAAAGGTCTGTGAAATTATCACCTTTCCTACTTTGGCGTTTTTGGAATATTAATGATCACCAATCGTACTTGGGCTGTACATCAATTTGGTACTTAAAAGGTTTTCTCAATCTGTTTCTCTGGAGAACCAAAAAGTGAGAGAAAACAAGTAAGAAAATGGTTGTGAAGCGGAGCCAAGCGCATTTGAGCAAGGATTCAAAGGTAGAAGTTTGCAGCAACGAAGACGGGTACAAAGGTGCATGGTTCCCAGCCATAATCCTTGACCCACAACCCTCAGATCGCTCACCAAAGAAGAAAAGGAGGAGCCTTGGCAACTCAAGCAAGGCTCTGGTTCAGTACGAGAGTCTGGTCTCTGACGATGACCCAAACAAGCCACTCACTGAGCTCGTTGACGTGCGCTCCATCCGGCCAGTGCCGCCTCCTGACAATCCTGACCAGCCCTTGGAGCCAGCCGACATCGTAGACGCCTCTTACCGTGATGCTTGGTGGGTGGGGGTTGTTATGGGGTTTGAGGATGACAAGTATACTGTGGGTTTCAAAAACCCACCTGATCTGCTTGAGTTAAGGCGCTCTGAGCTGCGGCCTCATTGGGATTTGCAGGACGGCATATGGGTTGTTGCCCAGAAGGAGGTACTAGTTCTACATTTTAATAATGCATATGGGTTTGTCTTTTTAATATAGGATTTGCACTTGGTTTATGCTTGCATGAGCTTTCTTTTGCTTAGCAATGAATTGTTTTTGGAGCTTTCTAACATGGATTTTCATGATTTAAGAACATGCAGGTTGTTTTTTGTACATTGGCCTTGCCTTCGTTGTTCTGCTTTTAGATTCTTATTTTTTTTTCCTAAAAAGATAATCTTTTTATGTTGTTGCACTTTCTACGAGCAGTTTATCCGTGTTCATGTTTTCTTTAATACCGGTTGTCATGAGTATCATTGGTTCTCTTGACCATTCTATGATTTTCCTGAATTATCAACCAAAGTTGTTATTTTTATTGCTTGTTGTCCTTGGTCCGAACCAGTACTTGATATCAGGTTTGTTTGTGCTTTCTAATTTTTTTCTGGGACTTCTCTGACATTGTGGTGTTTGTTAGGAATTTGTGATTTTGTGGAGTTTTAAGTTTGGATTTATTGAGGTCTTTACTTATATGTTTCCAAGTTCATGCCTTTTCAGCTCATTCCTTTATCTCATTTGCAATATATCTGGATTCCTATTTTTGAGGGATGATAGAATTTTCTATATGCTGTGCTTCTAATAGAAAGAAAACTGATATTTTTCACTAATTGTTCAAAGAGGATGGCGGGATCAATTTTCAGCCCTGGGACAGCAGTGGAAGTGAATCTCAACAAAGAACGTCTATTCTGTGCTTGGTTCCCAGCAATTTATCTTGGTGAACTAGGGGTCAACTCTTTCTTGCTTCAATATAAGAGCTCAAACAACTATGATGTTAAAGTGGTCGTAGGTGTCAAACAGATTCGGCCTCAGCCTCCAAAGTTGGCGGAAAGAGATTTTAGGTTGCTGGAAAAGGTGGATGCATTCTGTGATATGGGTTGGTGTGTCGGAGTGATTAAAAAGTTATTACAGGAAAAAAGTATATGGTCAGTTTTAAATTCACAGAGGAGGTGAAGCAATACAGTCAGTCAGAATTGAGGCCTCGCATGTACTGGACGGATGGAAGATGGGTTACTATGATCAATGGAGAACGGGTTACTATGATCAACGGAAACTGGGTTCCTTACTTTAAGGTATGTGTATTTTTGTCTTGTTTTATGATGGGAAAAGGGCAGGGGGTGTCATGGCTTGTTAATTATGGGTATGATGGTAAACATGTTTGGAATAGGTAAGTTTGAGTTTCTATGCTGAGAAACAAACAAAAAAAAACAAAAAAAAAAAAAAAACACAAAAGAAGAAGGTATTTTCCCTCTGGTTTTGGTTTCTTCTGACCCCTGATGGTCCTGATCAGAATGCATTTTATTCCCATTGCAGAAGACTAAGCAAAAGCAGGTTGGAGCACTGGACAATCGAACAATAGTTTCTAATAAACGAAAAGGTAAACCACAAAATTCTGAAGTTGATATCCTTTGTCTAAGAGTGAGACATGAGGGGAGGATCAGGCCACTGAAATTGCCTGGGGAAAATATCAATAGCCAGAGGCATATATCCACACCGATTAACATTACATGATACTATTTATGTATTAACATAATCATTGGGTAATGTAATCCACTAAACCAAATGTGTATAAATTGTTGCAGTCAAGAAGGGTAGTGAAATTGAAAATGCTGATGAAGAAGATGTTGAAGATGAGTATGGACTAGACAACATTGAATCTTCTGGTATAAGTTCAGATTCTGAACTAACAGGGGGATCTACTGCTGGAACATCATGTCTGCTCCCCATAGAGGTATATCTGAAGCCTGTATGCTACGCTTCCTTTCTACGTATCAAAAGTCTGCATTAAGCTTTGGGGTAGAAAGGCAAGACCAGTGTGCTTCCTATTGAACAAATGGAAGACCAATATGATGAGAAAGATTAAAACATTTATGTTCAAGAGAAAGGAATGATTCTCGTGTTAGCTAACTGGATACATGCTAATTTGGCGATTAAAGTAGTCATGGTTGAAATACAAAGTGGCCTCTTTTTCCTTTTTTTTTTCCTTTCTAATTATATATATATATATATATATTTTGATATAGGAGTGTTACATAACACAAGAGAGCTTAATTATACCTCAGAGGGTGCTGTAAAAGTGAAAGGAAGGACTAAGATGGCTCATGCCCATAATTCTAGAAATCATTGTTTTTGTTTTTGTTTTTTTAAGACAATTGTTAATAGAAAAAACAATGATATTTTATTTTAATTTTATCTATAATGAATTCAAAAAACTATGAGGCATCCTATTGAGATTTATTCCCCTCTAACCCAAGTTTGTTGATAATCATATTTCTTATTGATTCATTCAGGAGGTTGTACGGAATGAAGATGGGGTGAGCTGTGAAATAAAAGGGAATGGAAAACTGCGTGAATATCTTGTTGAACACTCAAAAGATCCAGCAACAGGTGTGTATAATGTGTCAGAGCTACACAATTCTTGATAGATGTGTATATGTACAAAATCAAATGTGTACCAGCATGTGTGGTTGAGGTTGAGGAACATAATGGCGTTGGATCTTTTGCTGCAGATGATATGATATATTTGAATTGCCTGTAATAACAATGTGGGATTTGACTGGAATGAGTAGCTAACAACCTGAATTAAGGACAATGGAGTAGAAGACTTGTGGCCTGAATAAATTCTATTTTTGGCAGGTGAGAAGCACAATGGAACTGGAGTTGTTGCTCAAGTTGAATTGACTAAGACTCAAGCTGTCAATGATAATGGTATGGTACATCAGAACCTGGAAAAACCTCTAGTTTATGTGAAAAGAATTACAGGAACTCATGTGCAATTTAATTTGAATGCTCCCCATGACTGGTATGCTTTTGCTTTTGTATTCTATAATTTTTTGTTGTGAAAAAGGTACAAGTCAATTACCACATTTGGATGAGTGATTAGGAAATGAAATTGGAAGATTCAAGAATAGAGGTAGTTAAACATAATTAAGAAACAATGATTTTGGAATTCAAGAAATACACTGATTTTGGTAATACTGAGTGTAGATTCTGCAACTGAATCATCTGTGAGGGAGCTACTTAAGTGCCTTAAGATTTTTCTTTTGTCAAAATGAGTCAACAACGAAAAGTACCACATATTGGTAGACGAACAAGAAAAAAGGAAAATAATTGGGGTTTCCTTATCCTTTTCTCACTTTTTAAAATGTTGGTAGTAATTGTTTAATCCTATTTATTGTTATCCCGCATGGTATAAAATTCATAGCTTTTTTAAAATCTCAGGTTCTGAAGATGCAATGGTCGAAGCAGACACTGAAGCTACTGCAATTGATATTGAGAAAATAATAGAGGGCTTAAGTAAGCAATTGAGAAAGTTGTCAAAAGTATTTCTTTGGCTTTGGTTTCTTTGATTAACATCAAGGTTGTGTTGTAGGTAACCCTGCAGGGTTTTCCAGCAAACAAAATGAGGTCAGAGGAAGACAGGTTGAAACTGGTATAACAGGTGACACTGATCAACAAGACAGTCCACTTTGCCTTTCCTGAAAAAGTTTTCCAGTTGGGAAAAAAATTGAAACCATGGATGTATTCAAAGTGTTGCTAGACCAAAAAAAATTGTTACCTTAACATAATAGGGATATGCTTTTCCTTTATTGTTTTTTCCCCTTTGGAAGTACTTGCTTATCCTATTCTTTTTTATCTTGTGTTGTCTAAAATTTCATGTCTTTCTTAAATTTGTAGGTTCTGAAGAAGGGATGAAAGAGTCAAAAACTGTGGATTCTGCAATGGATTACTCAACAAAAGAAGTTCAGGTGTCTGTGACCGGAATATCTGCAACGGCATGTGCCCATGATCAACCTTTATCACTGTGCATGGATGAAATGCATTCTGTAAAAGCCATAGAGTGCTTAAGTAAGCTATTGTGAAAATTTTCAATAGATTCCTTTGGGTGTCATTGGTTTGACTAATATCAAGATTGTGTTCTCCAGGTAATCCTGCTAGGACCGCCAACCAACAAAATGAGGTTAGAGGAACACAAGTTGAGCAACAAGATAGTCCACATTTGCCTTTTGTGAGAAGTTCTCCATTTTGGGAAAGTATTGAATCCATGGAAATATTCAAAAGATTTCCGCAAAAGCCACATTTTCATCCTCTGGTGAAGTGTAAAGCAGTTTGTCGTGAAGGATCTGCACTTGGAAATATGATAACCTTTGCCTCTTTGGTAGAGAAGACTTCCAAGTTGCAAGTTGGCGATCCTAGAGACATATTTGATAGCAATTTGGAAGCACTAGTTGACTTGGAAATGTTGGGATTTGATGTCAAGGCAGTACGACATCGTCTGAAGGAATTGCTAGAAATGAAAGTTGAGTTGGGGCAGCTTCAGAACCAATCAAAAGAAGTTGAAATTCAGATCACGGAGTGTACTCTTGACAGAACCAGAAATAATGAAACAATCAGTCGGATTGATAAGATGATAAAGCACTTGAAGGAAAAACGGGCGATGCTGATGTCAATCGATGTGGCCAAAGGTTTTGAAATTAGCAAGCTGCAATCAGAAGCAAATGCTATTACTGAAGGAATTCAGAATATCCATCGTGATTTTGAGAAATTAACTACTGCAGCATGGTGATTGTTGTGATTCTGATGGATGGCCATTGTGATTACCACTCGTTTAGCTGACCCTTGAATAGTTTGGAGCTAGGTTTGTCCATGGAAACTGATATATAATATTTATACCCTTTTGAATGTAATATAATGATGGAAGTGATACCAAACTGTTCTGTAGTTTTTTATAACAGATATTAGCCCTAGAATGCTGGTAACAGTTTTCTGTACTACCATATATCCTCAACCAGTATTAGACCTAATGCTGCTCAAAATATATTTATAGACCAGTTTACTGCCTATATCACTATCTATTGGTTTCCTATAAGATGTCTTGTCCACACTCTTTCCCTGGTAGAGAAGCTTCTGGTCCCTTTCAGCAAGTTATGAGCTTTTTTTCTGTTAGAAAGGCAGATAAATAGCAGCGGTGGTAAAACTAGAAAAGTTAGAACAAAACAAAACTGACTCTGTAAGTAGGGCTGAGGTTGCTCTTCAGCATTTATAAGCATGAAATTTGAAAGAAGGCACGCGTAATTGGAAATGGAAAGGCCCACGATGCACTTCAAAATCTCTAATTACTTCATAAAGTAAATGGCCACCATCCACATATCAATCATGACGCGAATCAATATGAACTTTTCCACTTGAACAAGTAACAATAACCATTAGGAACAACTCAGAACGTACATTGAAAACAGGGCTTTTGGCAACAACCATCTGTTTTTTTTCCCTTACAAGGGAAACAACACTGCTTGGACCCCTTTACCTTTCTTCATCAAGAGGAGCAACTTTGCAGCTAAAAGATATCATTCCTCCTTGTGGACTTCGAAGCCATAATTCTCGGAACATAATTCTGACTCGCCTTCTGCGGTTTAAGATGGTCGTAGGTCAAGAAAAAAAGGTGAGGAAATGAGGTTCCAAAATATACTCCATCAATTTCTAAGGGTGTTTGTCGAGGAAACAATGAAAAACTGATGTTCAACAAAACATAACTGAAGTCATTTGCAAAAGTCATACATATTTGGGTAAATTCAGCCAATTTAACCATCATACTATTTTAAATTGCCAATTTAGCCCATGCCGTCAAGTTTTTAGACTTCCATCCAACTTTCTGTTAATTATTTAGACTTCCATCCAACTTTCTGTTAATTATAAGGGTAAGTTTGTCATTTTACAAAGGCAATATCAACAAATAATAAAGAAAATATAAAATCATAATTTCTTCTTTCTTTTTCTTTTTTTTTCATATTCTTTTTCCTTTTCCTTCTTCTTCCTCCCTCTCTTTGGACACTAACCCTCATAAAAAAATAAAAACAAAAAATAAAAAAAATCCCAAATCTGCAATCCTGTCACTGATGAGGAATCTGAAAAACCAGGTGTCGCTTTGTCTTTGAAGGTACATATGACTTGAACCCAATGTTCATTTGCACCAAACTTTCCATCTACCACCTCACACCCTAACCGACCTCCGGCCCCCTCACATGAGCCTAAACAAGTTATCTCCCATCGGCCCCTCCGATCTGAGACCAAAATGTGAGTACGGACGTTGCTTCGACGTCAATTAGAGCACGGACGATAAGATCAATGGCACCAGCTACTCATGTCCAACTTTGATCTCATCACAGCCGTCCATCTTTCTTCGTCGCACGGGCTTTGCCCCATAATACTTACACCTGCGTCGCACCATAACAATCTCCCTATCTCTGCCGGCGAGTCACAAAAACGGAGAGATTTTACATGGAAGGAAAGTTGCAGAAGGGCGGAGACTGAGTTCGAAACTCGTGCTTGAAACACTCGTTCTGATTCGGGCAAGCAAATCGGGTTGAGCTTGGTGCGAGAGCTCGCAACAACCGAGTTCGCCAAGCCACGCGGTGATGAGAGGGAGCTTGTGGAACCGTCGAACGGTATAGAGGCTGCAGCAGGCGTTGATCTCGACCGTTGGATCCATGAAGATCAAGCTTCTGCTCTGCTGTTGTATTGACTTCACGCTCATCGCGCTCGCCAGCCGAGCTGCGGACTTTATGGGATGGACCCAAGCTTCGGACGTTGATTGCTAGGGAATTTTTGTTTTTGTTTTTTGTTTTTTGTTTTTGCCTTTTTAGTTTTTAAAGATTTAATTATTTTTAATGGAAAATTGGATGAAATTACATGAAAACTAAAGGCAGAGGCTAAATTGGCCATTTAAAATAGTCTGATGGTTAAATTGGCTGAAAAAATCATTCATGGTGGACATTTCGACAAGCGTTACAGTCCAGAGAGGTTTTCGGCTATTTACCCTACATATTTTATTACAAGAATACGATCTTGGTGTCTGAATGTTCCTATTAGTCCACAATAGTCCGCTAAATAAGTCCTAAGAGCAACTCCACCCATTTACCCTTAGCCATGGCAAGGGGGGGAGCAAGGGCAGCCACTATTCACGTGAATAGTAGTTGCCCTTGCAAATGGTATTTTCCGTTTCCATCAATTATCATGGCAAAGGACAATTACTACTCATTTTTTTATTTTTTTCACAACTTTTTTTACCACAATAATTAATTTGGATAATATTTTCGGATTATATTTTCGGGTTCCTACGTGTCAATACTATTCATATATCATAATCGGATAAAATTTTCAATTTCAAATTTCAGATAAATTTAAAAAAAAATTGGCTGGTATTTATAGAAAAAAATTCATTAATTTTTGGGTATTTTTAAAAAAAATTTCCGAATTTTTTCCAGTATTTTATTGCAAAAAAATTGGCTGCCGTTGGATTGGAGGAAAAAATCAGATCGGAGAGCCCAGACGACGCCATGTGGCAACAGGAAAAAATCAAATCAGTGAGTACTGTAGCAGTACTGTAGAGGGGGTACTGTAGCGATGACGTCAGCAACCCTAGTTTTGGACCTCGGGCTGAAGCTGCCTTCGGGCCAGCCCGAGTTGGTGGGTCCCACACCTCCCCCGGGCCTGGGCTATTCGCTGGAACAACTTTTTTTTTCTTTCCCCCCCAGCCTCGGGCTGGGCTCCCCCGTTGGAGTCACTCTAAGAGTTTGGCTACGATCCGACAATCGGATCATCGTCGATTGCATGATTGGAGACGATCAACAACCCTACTTGGATTGATGACATCGGAAAACTCAGAAAGGTTTGGCCTTTTTGAAGCTCACAGTGTCACCATGAGTGGCTGATGGGCCTAGTTATGGTGTTAGATGGGTTCACTTGTCGGTGGTGTTCCTTTTCCAACTGGTGCCATCACCAAAGGTGGTTAGACGGCAGAGATTCCTCACTAGGAATCCGAGGAGGCGCGGTGCACCTATTCTGGAGAGAGAGAGAGAGAGAGAGAGAGAGAGAGAGAGGTCTCCACCTTACTGGACCAGCTGGCAAGGGATTTAAAATTTGGCTTTTCAAAATTTACGGAATTGTCTCTAACTTCCGTTGATCAAAACTTTGTCGTTTTAACTTCGATTCGAGTTCGCCACGTGGCTACAGACTTGTGAGCTCGAGCTTTATGCATTGGAACCAAGAAAATTTCCAAAACTAATCCTAAACAAAAATTGAACCCCAAATCACTTTAAAAATTCTAATGGTGTGTTTGGATGAAATAATTCTAGTTTATATGGAAATGTAAATGACAGAATTTCAAATTACATCATTTAAAAAATCTGTCAATTGCAAATTTCAACATTTGGATGTAATATATGCAGTATTAGATACTGATTAGAACACAACTCAACCATAGAGATCTAATAACAGTACAGGTTACAGCTCAAAATGGCAAACCATGCCAAAAGATTGGACCATATTTTTCCCTTCACGACCATATTTCATGGCTACAGCCAAAAGATTGGACACTGATTAGAATACAACTCAACCATATAGATCTAATAACAGTACAGGTTATAGCGCAAAATGGCAAGAATGTGCTTGAAGTAGCTTCGTTGAAAACTTAGTTTCAACTTGATTATGATCTTTTTCAAGAATGTGCTTGAAGTATCTTTTCTTAATTCTAAAAATAAAATAAAAAAAGAAAAAAGAAAACCAATAAGGGGCCAATAAATCATAAAAGAAAAGAAAATATTAAATAATCTTAATTGATGTGGTTGTCCACCTCAGCTGTCACATAAGATGGTATAAGGATGTGGTATACAAATTTGGTAAGAGTAGCATTATTCTAAGTTAATACTATTTTATTTTAAGAGTATTTTAAACCTTTAATTAATTCTAACTATTTTTTTTAAATAAAGATGGACCAACTAAAAAAGACTTATAACATTTATGACTTCTTAAATTAGAGAGTATTATTGGAGTTAAAATTTTATAGAGAGCTCCTAAAATAGCATTTATATGTTTTGAACTAAATTTTAACTAAAAAATAGAGAGCACGATTGTAGATGCTCTTATAAGATGAAGTGGGAAAAATATGAGTAGGTTGGCTTATTTACTCATTTACCCTTTAGTTTAGTTGGTTGTGTAGTGGGCTGGGTTGGGGTTCAAGAATGGTGGGCTACAGGCTATGTCGTACACTGAGTTTCCTTTTTTTTTCTTTTTTTTTCCAATTTCTTGAGTAGCCCATACAGCTCAGACCTGGCTTCTTCACGCATTTTTGTTTATCTTTACACTGGAGAATAACACAAGTCTTTATTAATTTTGTTGGACTTACAACAAATGAGAGTAGTCCCCATTCTCATGTCCAACCAACTGTCAAAACAGGAGGAGCATTCTACATAAACTAGAACACTTATATTTATTTAGAAAATATATATAAATTATTGACACAGTCGATTTTGAAGCATATGCATGCACAACATGAAGATATGATAATTTAGTTGCATGCACCCATCCTTTAATTTAGAGGAGCACCAAGTCGGAGTGATGGAAGTGTCTTGTCGTTAAATTTTGCCTTGAGCACAATATACTCATTCCAAATGACCGTCGGGTAGAGTAGAGGGTGACTTGAGCCTACCAATTTTGATAAGGGTGCAATCTGGGAATGCTCTGGTGGACCATATAGGCAAGCAATTGATAGACGGTGTCGAGTTCGGTTCACCACTGCCTGGTGAAGGGCGGGCAGGTACAACCGATTAGATAATATATGAATCAAGTCGACAACGTTGATCAGGAAAGCACCCGGGACCGGTGGAACCATAAGCCACCCTGCGCCTTCTCGGAAAATGTTAGTTCTAGGGAGAAGAGAGGCTTAGGATAATAGCTTGATGATGAATAGAAAGCTTTTGAAAGAGTAACAAGATAATTTTATTTTATTGATTGAAATAAGAAGGGTACAAGAGCTTTAGAGATAGTTGGATACAAGAGGTGGCTGATGGGGATTTGGACAGCTGTAGTTATTGAGCTCTTTCTAACTTGAATACATAATTGGGCTGCTATAGCTATATATAGAGTAGCAAAACCGACTCTCTAAGTTGGCTTTTTGCTTAGTTAGGTCGGTTTGCACAGTAACTGACTTTATCTAAGTAATTTCAGCCATATATTGTAGTTTCTACTAGAGCTTTCTACTAGCTTCATTAACTAGTGTTTAGGGAATACAACCACCGACTTTTCATTCTATATTATTCTAGAAAATTCTACTGTCTTGTAGAAATCTCTCTCAAATGTGCATTAATGTTTAACACTCCTCCTTAATGCACATTTGTGTAATTCCGAGCATGTTACGTAGCATTTCGAATCTTGGTCTAGGGAGTGCCTTAGTAAAAATGTCTGCAATTTGCTCCTCTGTCTTGCAATACTTGAGCTCAACCTCTTTGTTTGCTGAGACTTCTCGTAAGAAGTGGTGCTTGATGGCGATATGCTTTGTCTTGCTGTGAAATACAGGATTCTTCGCCATTGCTATAGTAGACTTGTTGTCGCAAAGTATTTCAGTAGTTTCTGTTTGGCACTCTCCCATATCTTCAAATATTCTTTTGAGCCAAATAGCTTGACATGTTGAACTTGCTGCTGCTACATACTCGGCTTCTGCTGATGATAAAGCCACAGTCTCTTGTTTCTTTGATGACCATGAAAATATTCCTGATCCAATTGTAAATGCATAGCCTGATGTGCTTTTCATGTCATCTACTGATCCAGCCCAATCACTGTCTGTGTAGCCAAATAGCCTTGGATCTATAGTGGGCTTATACCATATGCCATAGTCAATTGTGCCTTGCAAGTATCTTAATATTCCCTTTGCTGCTCCATAGTGTATTTGACTTGGATTTTGCATAAATCTTGATAGTAAGCTCGTCGCATACATGATGTCAGGTCTTGTTGTTGTTAAGTATAGTAAGCTCCCAATGAGACTTCTGTAAACTGATTCATTAGCTTTTCTTGATCCATCTTCCTTTCTTAATTTCTCATTGGTTATAAGTGGAGTAGCAACAGTCTTGCACCTGTACATTTTGAACTTTTTCAAAAGATTCTCAGTGTACTTTTTCTGGCATATGAAGATTCCATCTTCTTCTTGGTTTATTTCGATGCCCAAAAAATAGTGCATCAACTCAAGGTCACTCATCTCAAATGTTTTCGTCATATCTTTTTTGAACTCTTGAATTATTTTTTCATTGTTTCCAGTGCAGATGAGGTCATCCACATATAGAGAGACGATCAAGATATCGGACTTACCTTGAGTTTTAGTGTAGAGAGTAGGCTCGCTTTTGCTCCTCCTGAAGCCTGCGTTGATGAAGTACTTGTCTATGCAATTGTTCCATGCTTGTGGTGCTTGCTTGAGTCTGTACAGGGCTTTCTTTAGCTTGAGTGCTTTATTTTCTTCTCCTTGCTCAATAAATCCTTGTGGTTTCTCCACATATATTTCTTCTTCGAGCTCTCCATTTAGAAATGCAGACTTTACGACTAGTTGATAAATTTTCCATTTCTTTTGAGCTGCTAATGCTACCAGTACTCTTATAGTATCAAGTCTAGCAATTGTTAGTGAATATATTGTTTTGATGGCATACGCATTCTAAGAAACTAGTTTCAATGATCCAACCGTTAAAATTGTTTGCTTATACTTTGAGATCATATACGCCAAAAATCGGAAAAAATAAACATTCAGAGATCAAGTAACAGGACAAAAATTTTCGACGGTTACAAATGAAAAATCATGATTTAACGGTTATTTTAACTCCGATTTTGATTATTTTTTACCGCTACACTCCTTGACTCTGTATGAATACAATGACTGAATTTGATCTTCAATTAAAAATATTTACACTAGTGGATACCACAAAATCTTATGTTATATTTAACGAAAGCATAAATAAACTGTTAATTGTTAGTGAATATATTGTTTTGATGGCATACGCATTCTAAGAAACTAGTTCCAATGATCCAACCGTCAAAATTGTTTGTTTATACTTCGAGATCATATACGCCAAAAATCGGAAAAAATAAACATTTAGAGATCAAGTAACAGGACAAAAAATTTTGACGGTTACAAATGAAAAATCATGATTTAACGGTTATTTTAACTCCGATTTTGATGATTTTTTACCGCTACACTCCTTGACCCTATATGAATACAATGAATAAATTTGATCTTCAATTTAAAATATTTACACTAGTGGATACCACAAAATCTTATGTTATATTTAACGAAAGTATAAATAAACTCTTAATTGTTAGTGAATATATTTTTTTGATGGCATACGCATTTTAAGAAACTAGTTTCAACGATCCAACCGTCAAACTTGTTTGTTTATACTTCGAGATCATATACACCAAAAATCGGAAAAAATAAACATTCAGAGATCAAGTAACGGGACAAAAAATTTCGACAGTTATAAATGAAAAATCATGATTTAACGGTTATTTTAACTCCGATTTTGATGATTTTTTACCGCTACACTCCTTGACCCTATATGAATACAATTATTGAATTTGATCTTCAATTTAAAATATTTACACTAGTGGATATTACAAAATCTTATATTATATTTAACGAAAGTATAAATAAACTGTTAATTGTTAGTGAATATATTGTTTTGATGGCATACGCATTCTAAGAAACTAGTTTCAATGATCCAACCGTCAAACTTGTTTGTTTATATTTCGAGATCATATATGCCAAAAATCGGAAAAAATAAACATTCAGATATCAAGTAACGGGACAAAAAATTTCGACAGTTATAAATGAAAAATCATGATTTAACGGTTATTTTAACAAACCATCATCTTTACATATAATAGACGACCCTTTTTTTTAATTATAAAAATCGTCATTTTTACATATAATATACGACCATTTTTTATAAAAAGCATTATTTTTATATATAATAGACGACCATTTAAAAAAAAACCGTCATCTTTACTTCATAATATACGACGGTTTTTATAAAAAGCGTCATCTATTATATATAATAGACGACGGTTTTTATAAAAATCGTCATTTTTACATATAATAGACGACGGTTTTTTATTTATAAAAAGCGTCATCTATTATATATAATAGACGACGGTTTTTTAAAAAAGCGTCATCTTTATATATAATAGACGACGGTTTTTTTTATAAAAAGCGTCATCTTTACATATAATAGACGATGGTTTTTATAAAAAACGTCATCTTTACATATAATAGACGACGGTTTTTTTTATAAAAAGTGTCATCTTTACATATAATAGACGACGGGTTTTTTTATAAAAAGTGTCATATATTATATATAATAGATGACAGTTTTTTATAAAAAGCATCATCTTTACATATAATAGACGACGGTTTTTATAAAAAGCGTCATCTTTACAAATAATAGACGACGGTTTGTATAAAAAGCGTCATCTTTACATATAGTAGACGACGGTTCTTTCAAAACAACCATGTCTTTACCAAAAAAAGGACACTTGATTTTTAAAAGACGACGCCTGTCATACCTACTGTCGTTGTTTTTTGGTCAGATTTTAACTCTGAAGAAAACCTTTTTAATAAGACGACGCTTTTTTATTTGTGTGCGTCGTTATAAAAAAAATATTCAACAGTACCTCCGTTTTTTTTGTTGTTTAAATCACTTATCCATGACGGTTTTTTGTTACCGTCATCTTTTTAAATATAACGACGGTTTTTTCTTCTACCGTCGTCTTTATTTAGTCGTCTTTTTCACTTTTGTAGTAGTGTGGGGATTTGGACAGCTGTAGTTATTGAGCTCTTTCTAACTTGAATACATAATTGGGCTGCTATAGCTATATATAGAGTAGCTAAACCAATTGTCTAAGTTGGCTTTTTGCTTAGTTATGTCGGTTTGCACAGTAACCGACTTTGTCTAAGTAATTTCAGCCATATATTGTAGTTTTCTACTAGAGCTTTCTACTAGCTTCATTAACTAGTGTTTAGGGAATACAACCACCGACTTTTCATTTTATATTATTCTAGAAAATTCTACTGTCTTGTAGAAATCTCTCTCAAATGTGCATTAATGTTTAACAGAAAACTTGCAAGCCATTGGTGCTTTTGGTGCACGATTGACAATAGGTTTGAATCAGTATGTTGAGCAAGACCCATGGTCCGATTCGGATCCGGACAAGCCGGGTAAGAGTTCAATTGTAAGACAGGAGATGCATATTCAAATTCACGTTTTGGAGCAGCCCATTTGATGTCTTCCTTGGATACGCCAAATGAGCCATGCATTAGCCACATTAGCCTAGAGCCAAGCCTTCTCATCTCCATTTCATATTCTTCAGTAATATTGCTGACGAGAGAGAGAGAGAGAGAGAGGAGAGAGAGAGAGAGAGAGAGAGAGAGAGAGAGAGAGAGAGAGAGAGAGAGAGAGAAACAAACAAAGCTATTTGCTATTTGTGGAGAAAGAAGAGAGAGGGAGAGTTGTGTGGGAAGGAACTCGTGCATAGCGAGTATATATATAGAGATGGAGTCTTCTTTTAAAACAAAACAGTCTTTAAAGCATGTGTCTCTTTTTTATTTTTTTCATTTTCATCAATTTTTTTTCTCATTTTGAATCAAATTGCTTTTGGCTCCTCCTCATTTATTTTTGCTCCTTTATAATGAAACTGTCAACTTCTTCTTACTTGGCGGATGTGCATCCTCTCATTTTCTTTGTGATCATGTTTGCTCCTTTTTAATGTAACTGCCAACCTATTTTCTTATTTATTTATTTTAATCATTTTCTTCCCTCTTTTTCATCAATTCAGCTGCTACTCATTTATACATTTTCATTACTCTCTCCTTTTGGATCCTCTCTTTTAATTTTTCATCATTTTCTCTCCCTTTTAAGTTTATGCATGCACAATGAAACTGATCCAATATATATATATATATATATATATATAGAGAGAGAGAGAGCCAACTTTCTCTCAAAAAACCAAAATCCAATAGTCAACTTTTATTTAATTTTCTTTTTTGAACTTATCATTCTCACTCTTTTTTTTCTTTTTTCTTTTCCCGCAACGTCTAACCTCTTTTGGGGTGGGGGTGGTTAGGCTGGGGTGTTTGGGTAAGCTTGGCAGCATCATTATATATATACACACACTAAATGCATAAAAATTACATCCAAGAACAATCTCTCTCTCTCTCTCTCTCTCTCTCTCTCTCTCAACATTTGCTCTAACAATGGCTCCAACTGCAACAGCCCCTGATGCTCACAACCCCAAAACTTTCGATGTTATTCTGGGAAAGGTACCAGATGACTTCAAGTCATTGCATGAGATACCAGAAGAGTATGCATGGACAAACCTCAATGAACATCCATCTTTGGACTCAGATTCTGTGCCCATCATTGATCTAAATGACCCAAATGCCTCCCAACTCATAAGCCATGCATGCAGGACTTGGGGTATGTTCCAACTCATAAATCATGGCGTCCCCAACAATGTGGTTGAAGACATGGAATCTGTTGCTCAAAGCCTCTTCTCTCTACCAGCGGAACAAAAGCTCAAAGTAGCCCGAGGACCCGGTGGCATTTCTGGTTACGGCTTCCACCTCATATCTGCCTTTTCGGATAAGAAACTTTGGTCTGAGTGCTTCACTATTCTTGGTTCACCACTTGAACATTATGCCAAACTTTGGCCCCAAGGGTACACCAAAATCTGGTACTCACAGTACTCACACACACAACTTATTATTATTTTTAATTCATGATTTTAACATGTACTCTTGATATATATATTATTGACATATTAATAATGCATCAAGGCGCTCTCGACATGTTATCGACATGTTCTCGAAATGTAACAACATGTCTCCATGCATTTTTCGTACCATGTAGCATATCTTTGTTTTGCACTAACCAACGTATTGATTTTCTTTTTCAGTTCTATTACCGAAGAATATGATAAAGAATTGGGAAGGCTTTCCTCTAGGCTGATGTGGATAATGCTTGCCTCCTTAGGTATATCCAAGGAAGATGTCAAATGGTCTGGCCCCAAAGGTGATAACCACGAGGCACATGTCCTCCAGTTAAATTCTTACCCTGCTTGTCCTGATCCGGATCGGGCCATGGGTCTTGTTCCCCATACTGATTCAACCCTTGTCACCATTGTCCACCAAAGTAAGATCTGTGGCTTGCAAGTTTTCCAAGAGGGCACCGGTTGGTTTACGGTTCCACCGGTTCCCGGCGCTATGGTAGTCAACGTCGGTGACCTCATGCACATATTATCTAACGGGTCGTATGTGAGTGTCCTCCACCGGGTACTGGTGAACCAAACTCAGCAACGTCTATCAGTTGTTTATACTTATGGACCACCAGAAAATGTCCCAATCTCACCCATACCAAAACTACTGAGCGCAAGCCACCCTGCCCTCTACCCACCCGTCACCAACTGGAGTGAGTACATTGACACCAAGACAAAGCTCAAGGGCAAGGCACTTGCATCACTCCGGCTTTATGAGCCTCTTACAAATTGATCGTGTTGTTTCGTAGGTCTGAACGATCAGACAGTAAGAGTAGAAGTAATTACCATATCAAATAAAATCTTCCGTTGTCAAAATGTCACGTGCGTTTTGCTTATATGTGAAGTTTGTATTGGCCGCTAGTGCCCAAGGACCTTGTTATGAACGATATAGTGGGAAAATTGTCCAATTTGAAATATTTCAGTAATTGGAGCCAAAAAACCAGCATCTTTGCCCCAAAAGACATGATTTAATATATAAAAAAAACCTAACAATATAATTAGGTGGAGTTTCAAAATTGAACTTTTTATAAACAGACTCATTATAATATGACATTTTATATATAAAAAAACCCTTCATGTCCAAATACTTTGGAAAAACTCTGCTGTATTTGCAAGTTTCAAGTGAAAAAATTGTAACGCATTAAAAACCAATTAGAAAATGACAAGCGGTTAATTGAGGGCTTTTTTCTCCACATAGGTTCTTTAAGGGTGTATAAAATGTCATGTTGGAATAGGTCTATTTGTGAAAATCCCATCAAAATTTGTGAAAAGAGTATTAAAATTCAATGGCTCTAGAAGCCTTAGAAGAAGACAAGCGAACATGAGAATAGGAGAAAATGACATTTCCTAGTTCTCAATGTTCCCAAACACGGAAATGAACATCCTCAATTCTCATCTTGTGAGATTAGACATGAGAATTTAATTCCCATGAAGTTCAATATGCAAACGAAATGGACACTTAAATGGATCATATTCAGAAATATTTATAGACTCGAAAAAAATAAAATTCCCATTAGTAAACTGGTACCTTTTATTTTAGTAAAGAAACTCTTTACACACATACACCATTCTCCAAAAAATCAAACATACATAAGAAGTAAAATTTATATTATATATTGAATCAAATCATCATCGGAAACGACCAACTTAAATTTGATTTAATTTGTTAAGTTGATGGATTATTGGATTTAAATCATAATTAAAGAGTGCTGCTAAACGAACCCTAAAATTAACTTAGTACACCCTACTACCAAACTATTTATTGAATTACTAATTTACCCTAATATAAAATGGCCAAAAAAGATATATTGAACTGTGAAACAAATATAATTTTAATAAGTACACCCTACTTGCCACATATTCAACCATAATCAAATAGCGAGCACTGGCGGAGGGGGCAATGAGGTGTCATTGAATGTTAGAAGATCCTACATTGAACTTGAATTGATTTTGGCGTTGAATTATTGTCTTGCCTTGAAACTTGTAAGAGGCTATTTCTCTGTTCTATTTATCTACTAAACTTGAATTATTGTCTTGCTTCCACGATTCCTTATTGTAGGTGATGGTTGGCAACATATTGAAAATAAAGACAAGGATACTAATGATATTTACACGACGTCGTGATATTTAAATTCACACAACGTGAATATTAATATAACGTCGTGGTATGTACATTCACACGACGTAAATAATAAGATACCGTCGTCTGTATAAGAATCCAAAAACCTTTTTCTTTCTTTGTGAATGTTTGATTGCAGGTTTAATTTCTCTGAAACATGGTTTTTGTTTTTCATAATTTGATAAAATACAAAGAAAAAGAAAGAAAGGTTTGGCATCTTATATAGAGGACGGTATCTTAGTATAACGTCATGGTATTAACATTCACACGGCGTCAATAATAAGATACCGTCGTCTATATAAGATACCAAACCCTACTTTCTTTGTCTTTGTATTTTATCAAATTAGGAAAAATGAAAACCATGGTTCAGAGAAATCAAACCTGCAATTAAACAAGCAAATAAAAAATCGACCGTCATTTTAAAAACAACTTAGATCAATTTTAAGACGACGCTAGGACGACTGACGAACCGTCGTGGTCTACATATTTAACCACGTAAATAAGAAGCTACCGTCGTCTTATTTAGTTGAAGTAGTTGTGTTCAAAGTTGGAAACTTTCCCTCTTTGTTTGTGTATTTTATCAAACTTGGAAAGAATAAAAATGATTTTGGCCAGAAAAAAGGTAAAAAGATTTTCAAAACAAAAGCCGTATGAGCACGCAAAATAGCAACAAAAATAGTGAGAAATAAAAGCTTACCTTTTGCGTGCAATGAAAGCTTTCTCTCAGAGTTTGGTGTTTAAGTTCAAAGACGAAGACGAAGACGAGAGGCGATGAGATACTCTGACAGTGCTCTGACAAGGAAAAAAGACGAAAAGTTTTCTCTGGGAGATTGAAATTTTTTCTCGGGTTTGGAAACAGTGCATGTGTAAGTCAGGTAGACGAAAAGTTGTATATATATACAAATCGTTTCATAATAATAAGACAGCGGTTTACATAGAACGACGACGTATAAATAAATAAACTACGACGATAATTTGAACTTAGGACGTGGTAAATAAATACGACAGTAGTGTTGTAGGTACCGTCGTAGTAAACTCCTAAATAAAAGTCGATAAATCAATATCTCTCGTCATGGTAGAAGTATTTAACATGATGTTTTTTTGTAATTTACCGACGTTGATTTTTATAATAGTGAACTGACTATATTGGTGGGATATGTTTCTATTTTTTCTTTCCAAAGGCTTTCGATTTTGTTTTTTTACTTTGTGTGATAGTGTATTAAGGTGTACGAAGGATATTTTTGGTAGTTACATAGGGTGTACTTAGTTAATTTTGCATTTTTATTAAAATATTAGGGTGTACTTAGATCATATGGTGTACTAAGTTAATTTTAGGATTCGTTTAGCAGCACTCTAAGGGGGGTGTATTCAATTGAGATTTTAATAGATTGTTTTGAAGCTTAAAAGTCCATTGGTATTCAATTATGATTTTTAAGTAATCAATAAAAGTACGTTGGTATTTAATTAGGATTTTTAAGTAGTCAATAAAAGTACTGTGGTATTCAAAAACGTATTGATTTTAAAGTATTTCATTAAGTGGTATATTGTGTGAGACTTTTAAGTGAGTAATATAAATACCAAATCTCATAACAAATCTCACCCTTACATGCCTGATTCTTATAACCCACATACTGCCCCCAGCAAGAACCAATAAAAAAAACCACCAACACACCAGAGCAGATAACTGAAAAAACAACACCAGACTAGGCATAAAAAAACAAATGTATGTCTTCAGACTGGAAGCACGTCAAATCACCTAGCCCAGCAAACTAACTCCTTTGGGGGCATGGGAGTCATCATATTTAAGGACAAAGACTAACAAAGTTGGGGATCTGGCTGCCCAGACCTCCAAGTTATGAATGAAAAACTTGTTGAACAGATTCTAAATATTGCAGTGAGAGTTGGTGTGGAATTTCAAGTGAAGTGGATAGAGGATGAGAAGATTATGGTGGTTGTAACATCTCACATCGACCAACGGAGAGGGGGTGATGCACCTTATATGTACATGCCCTCCTTTATCTAGCACGAGGCCTTTTGGGAGCTTACTTGTGAAACCCCATATTTTTAAATTTGTATATTAATATTTCATAAAATTAATTAATTATAATTATTAGTTTTCAAAACTATATATATACATTTTAGTTAGTTGTATGGTAAGCTATGTGAATCTAGCTATAGCCTATCAAACCTTATTGTATGACTTTAACTATAGAAATTCATTTAATATTTATTCTATACACACAAAAGCGTTTAGAAAGGTATTGGTGCTTACTAAGCTTTCTCTTAAGTGACGTGTTCCATTAGGGAGTCTTCAAAAACCAATTGAAGCATGAGGTGGTATGTTTTGGTATGAGGTGTAAGAACAATAGATATTCTTAGATATATAAATGTAATTGGCAAGTGCTCACTAAGCACTCTCCGGAAGCCAACACCTAAGACTAAATGGGGTGGCAGTTTTACCTTCAAGCCACCCATATAGTCTATAAATCCTAGGATGTAGTCTAGAGATCCCTAGGTTAGTTAGGTGGCATAATGTTAAGCTTCATCTATATTTCCTTTACCGACTCTAACCTACTATATATAGTTCTAACTAATAGTTATTGAATCATAGGTTCTTCAAAGTTGTGTTAGTTTCTTAAAATTTGAGAGTGAAAACTAAGTGTGTTAAGATTTTGGAAAAGCTCAACTGGGAGATAGCTTTGGATTTGAGGTAGGGGTTTTTTCTTGGGGAAATTTTGCATACATTGATTTAATTAAATATTGCAAATACTATATTATTAATGGCAATATTATTTTAATTATTATTGTAAATCCTATATTATGCTTGGTTATATTGTTTGATTGTTATCCTTGATATTGGATATATATGTGTTGTCAATTATCATTATAATTTAATTAATTTTGACATATTCATATGTTGTCGGTGGTGGTTGGAATTTTGGGTTGATAAAGAAATTATGGAAAAGAGGATAATGGGAAGAATCTTTTGTGTAGTTGAGTCTAACCATTGTAGGGACCAAGTTTAGGCGAGCCGTGTGCACAGTAGATTAGGAAATCGGCGGTATAATTGTCGATTTGGTGATTTGGGCTTGGAGATCATATTGTAGACAAGATGACTAGCAAAAGGGGAATTATAGGATGATTGAAATGGGTGTTAGTTTATATAATGGGGCATTCGAAATCACAGTGGTAAAATGCATGGTATGGGACATGCTGATTTGCTTGCCCTATTATATAGATTAATAGATTGGGTAGAAATGAAGTTCATTCATGTATTGCATAAATTGTACATTATAAATCTCACTAATCACATAAGACATAGGACCCCTACTGAGCATGTAATGCTCACCTCTTATTGAATCTATTGCAGGCTTTGAATCTGAAGTTTAGTTTTTGCTAAGGAAACAAGAAGAACAAGTTGTGGATAGTTTTGAGTGTTATGTTGAAAGTTTGTTAGTTTCTTGTTATTTTGCTTGTAATAGTACAATGTAAATTACTTTGACTTAAATAAAAGTTTATGTTCAATTTTCATGTTTCTTGATATTTAAATTTTTAGTTTTAATTTTTCTTTTACCTCACATTCCCAAAAAAAAATTTGGGGTGTGACATTACTGACTTCGAAGTCATGGGAACTCCGAGGAAGAAAGAGAGAAAAAGAGAAGGAAAAAGGAAAGAAAAGAAATGATGGAAGAAGAAGAGAAGGAAAAAGGAAAGAAAAGAAAAAAGAGAAAACGAGGAAGAAAGAGAGAAAAAGGAAAAATATGAGAAAAGATGAAGGTGAAGTACAAAGGAGGAGTACAGGTCCGAAAGTATCAGTTGCTCAAAAAACTACAAGCAAACCAAATACAAGATTATGCCATAAGAAGCTTAAAAAAAAGTGTGGTTTTTCACCCCACAATTTTTGGTCCAAGTCTTGACAAAACTGGGAGTGGTCATGGGGTTAGGCGAACGTGACTAACCCGAATCTAATCTACACTAGGCAAATTTATTTTGGAGAATACAAAAAAATCCCGAGTCAAATTGCAATCTTTTAAAATCATAAGTAAAATTATGTCATTTCAATATATTAAAATCTTGTAATTACAAATCATGCTGAAATCTGTTGCATTATAATCTTGTAATTACAATCTATTAAAATCTTTATTGAATATATCTGTATCTTATTAATTACACCAGATTAAGATTCTGATTCATAATCATGAACGAAATAGTGAGAACTCTCTCTCTCTCTCTCTCTCTCTCTCATATTCAATACGTCCAATAAGAAATAAAAGATCATCCGGTCAATTTCAGACACCCAATATTGATTTAAGCAATAGATTAAATTAATAATCCATAGCAGTCCTTCTAGAGCATTTGAAAATAAAGAGCATCATTAACAATCTCTCTCTATCTTCCTCTTGTCTTTGTCCTTGGCTTTGTTCTCTCTTTCTCTCTCTCTGGAAGAACAAAGACTTTACCAACATTTTTGAATTTGATATGTTCGCTGTCGCCACCCAATACGACTTCTTCCTCATTTATTGTAATAGCCGCCCTTCCTCTAACTCTATAATGCTTAACATGCCTTTGACCTTTTACAATTCTTTAGTCTCTTTCAAATTGTATCACACGCTTCTTCTTCAACCTCCATTGAAGCACAGCTATAACACCATGACCATCCACCTCTACGTGTAAAATGCCGAGGTCTGCAAGCGAGTAAGCTCAACCAAAGCTCATCTGACTCTCACTCTCAAGTTTTGCATGTACAACATCTGTATATCTAGCTGACTAGTGAGTTGGGTTCCTGTTCTTGCACATACCTATTGTACTGATTTCTGGGTTTGTTTTGTTTTCTCGATTTGGTTGCTGTTGTTGTAATATATTGTGATTTTGATTGGATTTGGCATCTGGGTATTTCTTGAATTTCATGATTGTTGACTGAATAATGCTGTTCAAGAGGCCTCTGATCTGATCTTCTTCAGATCATGACATCAAAGCGGCCTCTTTTGATCCCATCTCCAAGAACCCCAAATACGCAAGAGCTCCCTACTTTACCTGTCTTTTCTGATTTTGTAAATCCCAGTTCAGGTCACTCTGGATCGTTTTCCGGGATGGATTCTAAAAACCCAGCTGAGAATTCCCTCAACATTGAACCCGCCTTCAATTCCTCCTCACAGAGAAGCATTTCTTCGATTCATTCCAGGGCTTCTGGCACGAATTCTGTCCGGGAAGTGAGTTTTGGTGATGTCGGATCAAAGCCTGTACGGTATGGATCGAGAGGAGCTGATTCGGAAGCGTTCAGCATGTCCCAAAAGGAGATGAATGAAGAGGATGTAAGGAACATTTATATAGATGATCTTGGTAAGACTCACGAGAGGTTTGAGTTTTCTGGGAATTCAATAAGGACGGCAAAGTACTCAATTATCACTTTTTTGCCTAGAAATTTGTTTGAACAGTTTCATAGGGTAGCATACGTATATTTTCTTGTGATTGCTGTGCTCAATCAGCTCCCCCAGCTGGCGGTTTTTGGCCGGGGAGTTTCCATTTTGCCACTGTCATTTGTCTTGCTCGTTACTGCAGTTAAGGATGCCTATGAGGACTATAGGCGGCATAGGTCTGACCGAATTGAGAACAATCGGTTGGCATCAGTTTTGGTTAATAATCAGTTTCAATTAAAAAGTGGAAGGATATCCGAGTTGGTGAAATCATCAAAATTGAAGCAGGTGAAGCTATTCCTTGTGATATGGTACTGCTCTCGACGAGTGACCCAACTGGGGTTGCTTATGTGCAGACTATCAATTTAGATGGGGAATCAAATTTGAAGACCCGGTATGCAAAACAAGAAACTCTCTCCAGGTTGCCTGAAAAGGAGAAGATTACCGGGTTGATTAAGTGTGAAAACCCCAATAGAAATATATATGGTTTTCACGGATTCATGGAAATTGATGGCAAGAGACTGTCATTAGGACCCTCCAACATTGTACTTCGAGGCTGTGAGCTCAAGAATACTCGTTGGGTCCTTGGGGTTGCTGTTTATGCTGGTCGTGAGACTAAAGTTATGCTGAATAGCTCCGGAGCCCCATCCAAGAGGAGTCGTCTCGAGACCCGTATGAACTCAGAGATCATCATACTGTCGGGGTTTCTTGTTGCTTTGTGTACAGTTGTGTCTCTGTGTGCTGCTGTTTGGTTGAGACGCCACAATGATAAGTTGGATGACATACTCTTCTACAGGAAGAAGGACTACTCTGAGGGGAAAGTGGACAATTATAAGTACTATGGATGGGGTTTAGAGATTCTTTTCACATTCCTAATGTCCGTCATTGTATTCCAGATCATGATCCCCATCTCTTTGTACATTTCTATGGAGCTTGTCCGGGTGGGTCAAGCATACTTCATGATCCGTGATACTCAAATGTATGATGAGGCCTCTAATGCAAGATTTCAGTGCAGAGCTTTGAATATCAATGAAGATTTAGGACAAATTAAGTATGTATTCTCAGACAAAACTGGTACGCTTACCGAGAATAAAATGGAATTTCAATGCGCAAGCATTTGGGGAGTAGATTATAATGATGCGACAAGCAATTCGGGAAAGGACCAAGTGGGGTACTCTGTTCAAGGTAATAAATCTGTGCTTTTGATTATACTGCCCTCTGAATAATACTTTCTATTGTTTAGGGTTTAGGGTTTCAAGAAAAAAAAAACTTTCTATTGTTTTAGTAATTTCCAATTTCTTACTTCTCTTGTTTGGTATCAGTGGATGGGAAGATTTTGAGGCCAAAGATGAAGGTGAAGGCTGACCCACAGCTTCTACAATTACTAAGAAGTGGAGTGGACACAAATGAAGGCAAACATGTGCATGAGTTCTTCCTTGCATTGGCAGCTTGTAATACTATTGTGCCTCTTGTTATAGATACGTCGGATCCAAATGAGAAATTAGTAGATTACCAAGGGGAGTCTCCAGATGAACAAGCGTTGGTTTATGCTGCTGCTGCCTACGGTTTTATGCTTATTGAACGAACCTCTGGTCATATAGTTATTGATATCCAAGGAGAAAGGCAAAGGTAATTTGACACTCTCTCAGCTCGCTTATTCATCAATATAAATACATAATCTATAAATAGATAATTTTGGCATTGCATGAGCATGCTTGTCTAACCTTGTGATTACAGTATGATAATTAATACTGAACTGCCTTTTGAGAAATAAAGACCTTAGTTATCTCATTCATAATTTCCCACTCATGGGCAGTGCAGGTTCAGTGTTTTGGGTTTGCATGAATTTGATAGTGACCGGAAGAGAATGTCGGTTATATTGGGTTGCCCTGATAAGACCTTCAAAGTCTTTGTAAAAGGTGCTGACACTACCATGTTCAGTGTCATAGACAGAAGATTAAACTTGGACATAATACGAGCAACAGAAGCCCATATTCATGCGTACTCCTCTCTGGGTTTGAGAACGCTTGTTGTTGGGATGAGAGAACTGAGTGCTTCAGAATTCGAGCAGTGGCATTCGTCTTTTGAGGCAGCAAGTACTGCGTTAATTGGCCGGGCTGCTCTACTTCGCAAGGTTGCTGGCAACATAGAGAACAATCTCATCATACTAGGTGCCTCTGGTATTGAGGATAAACTACAACTGGGGGTGCCTGAAGCCATAGAGTCTATAAGAACAGCAGGGATTCAGGTCTGGGTTTTGACAGGGGATAAGCAAGAAACAGCCATATCCATTGGCTACTCATCAAAGCTTCTAACAAGAAAGATGACTCAGATTATAATTAACAGCAGCTCTAAGGATTCATGTCGAAGGAGTTTAGAGGATGCTGTACTCATGTCTAAGAAGCTTACGATGTTTTCTGGGGATACACACACCGCCAGAGGAAGTTCTGGAGATGGTGTGACTCCAGTAGCTTTAATTATTGATGGTACCAGCCTTGTTTATATTCTTGATAGTGAACTTGAGGAAAAGGTAATTGCTCCTAGACCTTGCTGTTTAGTTTTCTAAACTTCTTGATGATGTCTTGTATGCTTGTTTTGATCTGAGTGATGTCTTATATGCTGATCAAACTTATTTCATATTGCAGCTCTTTGACTTAGCCAGTAACTGTTCTGTGGTGCTTTGTTGCCGAGTGGCTCCATTGCAAAAAGCTGGAATTATTGCCCTTGTGAAGAACAGGACTGCTGATATGACACTTGCAATTGGGGATGGTAATTATTCTTCTGTTGATTTCACTTAAATAAATATCTTATACTTCCAACACCAAAATCAAGATCTTATTCCCAGTCTCATTGGGAAATCGTGTTGATGGTAGAATTTTTTTTGGAATATTGATAGGTGCTAATGATGTTTCCATGATCCAAATGGCTGATGTGGGAGTTGGCATCAGTGGCCAAGAAGGTCGACAAGCTGTAATGGCTTCAGATTTTGCAATGGGGCAGTTCAGATTCTTAGTTCCCCTTTATTGGTACATGGACATTGGAATTACCAGCGAATGGGTTATATGATATTATACAATTTTTACAGGAATGCAGTGTTTGTGCTTATTTTATTTTGGTGAGTAATTCTTTATCAGATAAATTTTCAGCTCATGCATGCCACCAAGGTCACTGTCAGTGGTTGTTGTGCAGACTTAAGTTCTTTTCCTCCAGCCTGAAAAGGTCTTGAGATGCGTTGGTTTTTCTTTTTGAAGTTATAAATCAAAGAAAACAAAATACTAGACAGAAGATTGCTCATGATTATGTAGATATGGAGTCACGGTCATTAAGGGCCAAAAGTTGTCTAGTTCCATTTTTAAAAGCCATAAGCTAATTTCTGGTTATGAATCTGATATGACTTTTGAACTTGAAGCTACGAGGTTGAAAATAGTCAGATTTAAATCTATTTGTGTCAAACCTAGGTCGTTGTGTCCAGATTGTCATGTGTTATAATTGATGTTGAATCTTGATGCGAGTTATAATAGGTTTTAGTTTACATGGAAAGTGAAGGAAAGAAGAATTATTATGAATCCTTGCTTATCCATTTAGCTGATTAAATTTCATGTGCTTTCTGTAGGTATGTGCTCTTTACTTCTTTTTCTTTGACAACTGCGATCACTGAATGGAGCAGCATGTTGTATTCTATAATCTACACTGCAGTACCCACAATTGTTGTTGGGATTCTTGACAAGGACCTAAGTAGAAGGACCCTTCTGACATATCCTCAGCTATATGGAGCTGGTCAGAGACAAGAATGCTACAACTCAAAACTATTTTGGCTAACAATGGTTGACACATTTTGGCAAAGTCTGGCCGTCTTCTTTATCCCTCTCTTTGCATATTGGGGCAGCACCATTGATACATCAAGTATGGAGATCTTTGGACACTTTCAGTTGTAATTTTGGTTAATTTGCACTTGGCTATGGATGTCATCCGGTGGACGTGGATTACACATGCAGCCATTTGGGGATCTATAATTGCGACTTGGATTTGTGTCATTGTCATTGATGCTTTACCTTCACTCGTTGGCTACTGGTATGCTCTCTAATTAGTAGTATCAGATTTATACTCTTTTTTTTCTCACCAGCATAATTGCATTTATACTACTATCGCACCCTATGAGATGCAGTGGCAAGCATTTATGTTGCATTTCATGTCACACAATGCATGTAAAGATTACATGTCATGATAAGTATGCCTCTCGAACTCGGTGGCTCATTTAAATAGCGCAAGTGCAAACAGCTCACAATATTGAGGCAAATAAAGAACGCACCACAAAACTAAATATTAAGTTAGTTGTCTCATGGTGGGTTACTATTTTCAACAAAGAATTCGATGGAAGTTTTCCTTACATTGCAGGCACAATATCTGTACCTCATATAAAAATGTAGTAGTTCATGCCTCCACAATTTATTCCCAAAGTAACCATTATTTCCAGAAATTATTTATTCAAAGTACATGGGTTGATTGGTTTTCTTTTCTTTTATTTCCACTTATTGGATCTAGGTAGAGTGACATGTGGGTTAATTGATTTTACCTTAGTATATCTCTAAATTATTTCTAGTAACGGTCTCAAGTCACTCCATCTGCTGTCCCTTGGAGGCTTCAGAAACCTGAAGCAGTGGTTCCATAAAGAAGTGCGGGCAGTAATTACAAGTTTATTTTCTTCTAGCTAGGGCAGAATTGTTTAGGGTTGGTAGACAATAGCACTTGTTGGTAGACTAACTTCTGGGGACCTGTCTGTCAGAAGTATGGTATCATGGTTTTTATTCGGGCACTACATGCACTACTTATTTCCATTTGGTACACTTTTGAGGTCAAGTCATAGGTGTTGAACTTCTGACTGAGGTATGTAATGAGCTCATAACCAGCAGCTTGTGGTTGAACATGGTAATTTTTGTCATTCTTCCAAAAAAGAGTGAAGAAACCATGTCTGAGAAATACCCATCACATTTTTTTTTTTTTTTTTCTTTAAACTAAAATAGGCATCTCCAGTCAGAAACTTATGACTGCCAACAAAACCAAGTTTGTTGTACTATGAGAAGCTCCATACATGCATCAAACTGAAATTTTCCATCCATAATGTATGATACTTGCATGTGAATACTAATCTTTGCAGTTCCAAAATAATTTGACAGGGCCGTTTTTGAAGTCGCAAAGACTGCATCATTTTGGTTATGTTTGCTTGCAATCACCACAGCAGCAATCGCTCCTCGCTTTGTTGTAAAGTTTCTGTATCAGTACTATAGACCTTGTGATGTCCAGATTGCAAGAGAAGCTGAGAGGTTTGGCAATCAGAGTGCGTTAAGCCCTGTACAAATAGAAATGAATGCTATCTTGGACCCGCCAAGGAGATGAGAAGGTATTCGTTTTTTCATCTCTTTTCTTTTTCTTCTGTAATATATGTTATTCTTTAGGCTGCTTCAGAGTCTCTCTCTCTTGGTTGCCTCATTTTCATTGTTTGCTATCCAAAGGATAGGGTTGTAACTTTGTAGTTCTAGGTTTATATCTTGTGTTCTGATTTTGTTTTGTTGTATCGCATACGATTCATTCAGTGTAATTAGCCTTATGTAAACGGAGAATACTTAAGACACTTGGTACATGATTTTTACCACAAAAGAGTTATAACAAGAGTTTTTGTTGTCTTTTCTTGGCGGGTTTATTTCCTTCAGTAGTTGGATTCTGGTTTGGTGAAGTGGAATAGCTGATTGAATATGCTGGGATTTAAACTCTCTCATTATTTTCTAATTCTTGGTTTTTAACCTAAATCGTCTATTGAGTTATAAACAAGATGGGAGAATCCTCGAGTTTCTAGCAGACGACTAAAAACAAAGAATCCTTTGTTTTCAATGTAAATCATCTATCGACTTTTACCATTAGCCAGATGTTATGTTTTTAGTTACCAAATAAAAAACCCAATCAAAAATTGAAAAAAAAAAAAAAAAAAAAAAAAAAACCATTAGGGTGGCAAATTTAACAAATAATTAAAAATTCCAAAATCTGAGGCCAAGCCTGGTTCATTCAAACTTAATGCATAAACAAGATAAATACTTGTAACAATTCAATCAATTCTTTTTCTAAAATGGTCATGTAATTTGAGTAAAGATGAAAAGACAAATATTATCAAATTCTAACTATATTTTTAAAAGCTAACACTTCCACATGCTTGATCAGTTCATCTTTGCCTTTGAAATTACCTGTAAGATGACTAAAAATGCCTAGAGGAGATGAATAAGCCAATTTAATATTAAATCAATAATAATAATAAACTTCAGTAGCACAAAAGCCCACCTCTAGGTAAAATCCACGGGACTCCTCAGTCAAAACAAATCCATTATAGAACGATGATTATAATAAGTACTTAATTACTTATCCTAGACACATTCTAGATAATGTTACAGACTTCTTCGTAACTCAACTTCTGTCACAAGATGATCTTTCAACACTCTTTATGTTGAACGAAATACTAGTCACGATTATTTCAATCTCACCGGAGAAAAACCGCCACTGCGGTCTTGGTGCCCTCAACCATATGAGTCACCAATTAATGCAAATGAATGCAATATAAATGATAAAAGTATTTAATAAATCACCAAGTAAACATGGAATACTTAATGATTTATCTCAAATAAAAACTTAGCTTTCCAAACTTTATGGCCTAAAATATGATCATGAAAGCTACATGAAGAAAGAAGACAAAGCCTTATTATCTGAGTGATTTTCTTCACAAGGAAGAAAACCTGCGTTCAAAACACAATCTCCACTAAATTTGATTCTACATTGTCTTCGACAAAGGTTGTTGCAAATTACCCAATTGTTCTTTGGCAAAGTTGTTGTTTTTGTTTATTTATTCGCTCTTATATGCAAGTAGATCGCTGGAAATCATATTTTCCCCAGATTTGTTATGGATGCAGTGGTGGGTGTGGCCGTGACAGCGCTTCATCAGGTGGTGGTGGTAGAGTTCGTTTAGGCTCATGGGTTGTTTTAGGGTTTTGGTTATGTTGGGTTTGTGGGCTTTGTTTGAGTTTATGGTTAATTGTGGTGATGTGGACTAGTAGTTTCAGTGCGGCTTTTGTCCGCATTAGTTGTGTTTTAAGCATGTTAGTTTGTTGCCTTCTTGGGATTGGTATTTTAGATGTTTTGTTGATGTCTTTGATTGTATCGTTGAAGTTTATCTAATGAAGTTTCTATTTGATCCCAAAAAAAAACACACACACACACACACACTCTCCACAATTGAATGCTTGACATAAAATCAGTGATATGATCCTACTATGTATAAAACTCACGTGTACTCCAAGAAGGATATTCACAATCACTTTATCAAGATTCCTAATATTCTTGAATTATTCCAAGACTATCCCTACCCTTTAGACACATTGATCTGATTAAAAAAGTGATTGCCAATCAAAGATACTTTCCAATATAAAGCAAGATTACCCTTGCCACACAAGGAAATACCAACGTGATCTTCAATCAAAATACTTGAAAGACAAGTAGGAATTTTATATAAAAGAAAAAAGAATAAACAAAAGATATTGAAAATATATGCCTAAATGAGATGCACTTGTACAGGGATTCTTATTGACTTAAGATCAAAGAAAATCATGAAAATAAAATCATATTAAATGCCACAAACATTCTTATCATGTATGCATGAGAAATGCCATGTCTTACTCTTCAAATCAAATGTCTTGTATGTGTTAAGTCACAATTTTGGAATTTGGGGATTGCTGAGCTATTTTAATCCTGCAGTTTCTGGAAATCAGAGACATCAATTTTTCTTCAACCGTACAGCTAAATGACACATCCAAATCTTAAGTTCTAGGAAATACAAACACAATTTCATACTAACAGCCTTCTTTAACCTACTTGAAATTTCATTACATCCTTAACAACCAAAGCAAAATAGCAGCAACTTACTTCAAATTTCTTTGCATCTTCAACACTCAAAGCAAAACAGGAGCAACCTACTTGACGTTCCTTTGCATCCTTAACAACCAAAGCAAAACAAAAATTTGTTTGCATCCTCAATAGCCAAAGCAAAACGGTAGCAAGCAACCTACTTGAAATCTCTTTGCATCCTTAATAGCTAAAGCAAAATAAGAGCAACATCACCTACAAGATAAAGGTAAAAAACAACAAAATCACAACTAAAAAAGTATTATTGAAATAATCTTCTTCTTGCATTTTGAGAAGCAAAATCCTCAATTATGCTTTCAAATTCAAGCTTTTCTAGCATATCATTTTCAATGCATAAGATTGCTAGCCCATTTAGCCTTTCTTGTGACATGGTCGATCTCAATTAAGATTTCAATAATTTTAATTTTGAAAAGCGTCTTTCTACAAATGCAATAGTATTCTATAGACAATCAAAACATTTGGAAAACAGTCCATATCGTTTACAAACTCTACCATTTCAATAGTTGTATTTGCTTCTCTTGGTAAAAACAATTGCAACACCTGTAACTCTAAAAACACATCACTTACATCAACATAAGAAAATTCACAATTTCTAAAGTAGTTTCAAGATTCATATAACATTTTTTCAATTCATCATCATTCAATGAAGTTAACTTCTTTGAATTAAACAAGATCCAAAAATACCTTCATTTGTTTGCATTTGTTTAAACCTACTCTTTAGTGAAGAAAGAGCCATATCCACAACAAAAAAAAAAAAAAAAAAAAAAAAAATAACTAAAATTAAATGATTCGTCAACTAAAAATAGGGTAAATTTTACTTTACTACTCAGAAGTTTCCCGAAATTCAAACTTTAGTACACAAAGTTTTTTTTTGTCTCAGTCTCATGCCTAAACTTTGATTTTACTACCACTTTCATACCTCTGATAGTCTGACCGTCAAGTTTTCCATTAAACAATGACATGTCATTTATAGCTCCACGTGGACGAATAAACAATTAAAATTAATGAAGTTAAAATTTTAAAATCAAATGTATAAAAAATTAGAAAAAATAACACAAACAAAAAACTAAAAATAAAAACAAGAACATTCAAACCAAGCCCAGAAAATGGCAGAATCCATTTCTATGACTTTGACCTTCTTTAGAAGATTCATGCTTAATCCCCATATCATAAGCAATTATTCTAGCTTCAATCATAGCTGATGCAAACCCATTTTCTCTATAATTTTCATAAAAGAAATGAGCACCTTCAACTCTTTTATGGCAGCATCAATGCACATATCTTTAGATTGTAACTCTTGGCTAATTAAGTTAAATTTCAACAAAATATCATGCCAAATAACCATGCCTATTAAAAACTCAAAAATTTCAAGTTCATGTGCTGCTAAACTTTCAGCTCCACTTTTTGTTTTAGCATCTTCACTGATTTATGCTACTTTAAGTTCATGAAAACTGAATTTTCATATTTTAATTTGTTGGGAATTTGATTTTCTAGTATTTTTTTTATTGAATCCAAATTTAAGGGAGGAAGGGAGGGGGGAATGCAGTATAAACGGTTACCTTCTGAACGACCACCTTGTACAACCATATCATATATTTCAAACAGGCTTTTTGCTTGATTTCAAAGATGAGGAAAAACATATATCAATCAATCAATATGACCAAGTTTTTCCAAAATCAAGCAGCTGCACTCTTGGCTTAATTCAGATTTCCAAATCAGAATTCAAAATGCAAATAAAGTTTTTCCAAATCCAACAGTTGTTATATGTGTAAAAATGGGCAGATTCATTTATATTCTCCATTGTTAGGCATACTGTTTTAAATCTTGAATTGCATTAGTCCTATTCGCCCCCCTGTAGGGTTGATTCCTTGTGCGATAGATGGTAAGATGGTAGGATTATGAAGAGCAATAAAAAGATGGAGATTAAAGTTGGATTGAATTATGTCTAATTCTGTTAGGCATGTAATAAGATATTTCAACTAATCTAGCATCTTACTTGTGTAATACCAAACACATAATCTTTTCGACCGAAAATATATACACTACAATAAGATAAAAATCATTCTGATTGGCACAATTTCGCTTTCTATGTAACTTCACATTAGTTAGTTTGTAACAATATACACCACATCAATTAAATTTTTGTTGTAAATAAAATTTAAACCATCACAAACCCCAAACCATCAAGGGCTAAAGACATATTCAGGCAGTCGAGTATAACATGTCTCATCTCAGAGTTTATACTTCATATTAACTAGCTGTCTGAAAATCCCCAAAGTCATCATCTGGTATATCTTGAGTGATTTCATTTCCAGAAGAAATTGATTCTTTTGAATCATCTTCTGTTGATTCTGAGGCTTTGTGGTTAGAATCCCCCAGAAGATTGAGATTTGGGGGGCAGTTTGTAGGAGACTTCTGACCAGTAGACGGTGAAAGTGGTCCGGGGGGAGGTGGTGGTGGTTTGATACAAATCAAGGGCTCTTTTTGGTTGGCCTTTTTGTCTGGTGAGTTGTTCTCAGAAACCTTGGACTTGACAATTTCAGCGCTTTTCTGTTGACAGCAACAGGAGATTAAATTCAATCAGAGTACTCCAGTAATTAGCATGAGTCACAGGACACAGTTGACAAGAAAAGGAAGATACACTAACGTTCTTTAATTGTAGTACAAGAGTCTCCCCCTCTTTTAAGCTGTAATCAACCAAGGAAGTTTGCTGAAATTTTTGCTCCATCTCTTCTGCAGTTTTCTTTTTGTCCAGATATCTTCAAAACAATTTAGAAAGGTACATGAGCTTGAATGATGGAAATTCATCCTCTAATGCATATGCATTTAAAATCACCTAACAAACTTCTAAAATGTTGTGGAGAAAATGATGAACGGGCAAAATTGTAATCACTGTACATATGGGACGTACTTCATGTGATCATGCAAGGCTGCTTGGAAATCATACGCTTCTGTTCTTTCTCGAATCCTATGCCAATGAAAGCATGCCGAAGCCGACCATCTGCATAAATTTCAAAATAATGAGAAATAATACATGGACAAATAACTGGAAATAAAAATTAACTGAAATGGCAAAAATTGCATCAGAATCAGGCACAAAATTTTGGGAAAGTCGTGTTAGGATTTTGGCTCGTCAAATATGTCCTAGTTGGTTTAGGATTGTTTTAGGAAAATTAGAGGTATACCAATTCTTGTCCTAGAGGGATTAGGAAAGAATTTCAGTTTTCCTTATTCAATTCAGGTTTGGATTTCTAGAAGTCTATTAGGATTTGGATAAGTGTAATTTCCTAATCCACTTAGGAATAGGAATCCAATCAGCCTCGGGACATGTAAGCCAACTCTATATCTATAAATAGGGTGTGGCAATGCTTATTTTAAAGAGGGGAAAAACAGCCAGAGACAGCCAAGAGTTTTGAGATTAGTTCTAGGGTTGCAAAAGTTCTGTAATCTCTATTATTAATCAAAGGAGCGGTGATTTCTCTACCTAGATAAATCACAACTGGATGTAGGCAAAAGTTCTGCCGAACCAGTATAATTCTTGTGTGTTTCTAAGTGTTTTAATATTTGCTAGTTTAGTCTATTGCCATTGGTTACACAAAGAACAAGATCTAGAAGGCAAGTTATTTAACAAGTCGGAATACTAAAAGGTTATACAAGAGGTAAAATAAAACGAAGCAAAAGAAGTGGCATAATCCTTCTATGGAAAAGAGTCACTCTTCTGTCTATGTTTTCTGACATATCACCACATGGTGGTAGCACTACTCAAGCAATAAATATGTCTAACAGAAGTAAATACATTCCTGTATATGCTGCCCAACTGAGAAAATGTCTTCTTCTAATTTAAAAAGTTGAGCTGCAAAATGATGTGCCCTTCCAGTAAATGAATCTAGATTTGCATAGGCCTCTTTCGTTCTACATCACATATGTATCTAATCACCCACTATCCCAGCCTAGTATAGGCATCCCACTTCCTACCTTTGAGAAACGATTTACAGAAGTGGGGAAATTGTATATCACAGTGATATTAATACAGTGATCTGCAAATGTTTTCTACATTCTTGTAAAAATACTTCTTCCATCCTTATTTCAAGGTAGACTGTTCTTCATCTAAAATAGCCTGGTCTACTCTTGTCCAAACCACTATGGACAGATGGAAAGCTTGTGAGTATTAGCCCTCTCCCACTAATAGGAATATATTTGAAAGTTTTTAAGTCATGTAAGCATAGTTCCTCATGTTTAGAATGGATATACATATATTAATGCGCACAAGTTTTGGTCTACTCTGCTGTCGTAACAACCTCTCTGTGGTGTCTCTAGATCTACGACATTTCTTCTCAAAATATCATCAATAGGGAGGACCTAACTAAGACCAGGTGTGGGTGTCCGCGCCCCCAAAAAAAATGTTTTTAAGTTAAGGTACTTGATCTCTACTTCTAAGTGGGCTAATAATGGTATTGACTGATAATCTAAGCCTCCACACAGTTCCACTTAGCTACTAAGAACCCACCAAGCCCCCACATGCACTAAATCTCGGGTGTGTCAAAGGTGGACATGGGGAAAGATCTATCTTAGGAGTCAATAATGCCTCTGAATCGTTCCAACAATAGTCTAATAGGTTTCCCTAAACAAGAGATCTTAAACCAATGAAGCAAGTATAGCAGCTCACCAATGTTCTCCTCTACACGTAGCACAAAATATCTGCAGAACGAAAAACATTATTTAGACACTCTCTAGATACTAATCAAAATGCATAAATTGAAACTTAAATAAGATTCTGCAGTCCAATAAAGATGGGCTCCAGTTTAACTAGAAATAGGATAAACCTGCTGCTATCAATTACAGGTTCCACTGGATGAGGCTCTCCCTTTCTCAAAAAAGCCCGAGCATATAGTTCACCTGTAAGGATATATCATATTACAGTAGAAGAAACAAAATGCCTCATACTACAAAAGGAAGAAATACAACTTCATCTAATAATAACTAAAATATCCTCACTGGTGTTCTTATCTTCAAGTCTGATAATGCACTCTTCTCCTTTGCTGATTACTTTCAATATCCCTTCCCATACCCATTTGTTTACATCCCATTCATCAGCCCTGAAATAAACTTCAGACACTTCAAACTCAACTCCAACTCATGCAATGAAGAGTTCCAGCAGTTATCAATTCCAATAGAAGAGTACTCTTCTTCTTGTTTGTTCATTCTATGATTAAAAAGCATCCAATCTCAGGATTAATAAAACCCATCTCCATTTGTTTGTCTATTTTTGGACCTTTTGATTTGTTGCCAATCCAACTCCATCTCAGAAAACTTATCCACAAATAGCTTTTAAAAGCTCACACAATCTAGCCTAACTGTAAGCTTCATTTCGAGGTAACTGATCGATGTGCAGAACAGAAGCATCAAAGTTACAAATAAATCAGATTAATCACAAATAAACTGCTAAATGCATATCACGTTTTCTATTTTTATGAGTTGAGCATAACCTGTATGAAGCTGCACTTTTCCTCGGTGGTATCTGCACAAACAATATAATAGCTTAGCTTGATATCACAAATAACTTCAAGAACCCTACATAACAGTAACCATACGTTTCTCTCGTTGTCGATTTCTTATAATTACTTGCTCAATTGTAATTTAAAACCCATGACTTTGTATAACTTGATAGATCCCAACAAGCACCAATAAATTACCCATGTCATTCAACTATTACATGCCTCAACAATCATGAAGAAATCCAGTTGAATTATGCATTTTCCATTGCATTCCCAAGATACCCTTCAACAGAATCACTACAAAAATTCATGAAAACACAGGGATTCGGGCACATCAGGTATTGTATATCAAAATGAACTATACCAAGTAGACATAGCATTCAGGCACTTGAAAGAGAACAAGCTCCAGAGCTTCAGCTTCGTTCTCTTCTTGATCATTTGGCGCCGCCTCTTCCTTCTGCATTTTACAGTGAAAAGATAGAGAGACCCAGATTGGGATCAGAACGAGTGACCAAATGTGAATCTGAAACTTTTTTCTGATTGGAATTTGGTAAATTAATTTGGGTTTTATTAGACTTTCAAGATTTATATCTAGGAGGAGGTTTCTAGTCTCGCTCAGTTTCCTGTAAAGAGACGATTGCAGAGCTCTTTATCAGTGTCCTGGTCAGTAATTAGCATAACCAGCGGGAACCGTTGGATTAGATTACTTTTCTAATCTAAGGCTTTGTGACTGTTTGCTGATTTAAACAAAAATGGGATTGATGGACAGTTGTGATCGATGGAAAGGTCTATTATGTATGCGATCGGATGGAGTCAACGAATTTGATTTGGTTCAGAGAGGTTGCTTGCATTTGTGGGAAACACCGAAAGGGTCATTTCAATGCAAGGAATATGTTTTGGAATAGTAGTAATAGGTGGTAATTTTGACACCGACCTGATACATGACTCGAAATTTGCATATAAAATTAGAGTGTTAATCCGCAAGATTAAAATTTTGGGTTATTTTCGAGTCAACCCGCCACTAACCGATTAATAAACGGGTGAGTTTCGGATCAATCCGCCAACCTACTAAAATACCTATGTAACTTGTCAACTCGTTAAAATACTTACGTAACCCGCCAACTCATTTCTTTGTTTCTTCTTCCTTTTTATTAATTTTTTGAATTTCTCTTTCTCAATCTTCACACTTAGAGAGAGGCAAAATGTAATCACTATTTTCTATAAAAAAAAATTAAAAAAAATCCAATTACTTGATTAAATTATCAAAATTCATTTTTTTATTTGCTACCACTTAGCGGGTGATCCTGACACGACCTGAAATTCGCACGAGAAATTAGTGAATCAACCCATATATGACGCGTTTATTAAACGAGTCAGGTTTGGCCAATAAAACAGGTAATAATATTTTCACCTTTAAAATTTCTCGTGCGGATACAATATAGAGCAAAACAGATACAATAATTTCACCTTTAAATTTGTACCTTCAAAAAACAAAATGATGGTGAAAAGTGTAGGGGTTTACAGTTCAAGTGAAGATGATGGCATATGATATGGCCTGAGCTGATTGTCCACTTACAATCCGCCATGTGGATGGCCTCGATAGCAAAGATCTCGATATCTGGTCCCACATGACCTGACCATCCTCACAAAAACCTGACCAGACCAATTTGCCATACCATTTTCTATGACCAATCTTGGTCGGGTCGGACAAGCTCACCCAACCTAGGCACTTGGGGCAAAATCAGCATGAGCTTCTTCCCCGTGTGGTTCGACTAATCAAACTGTGAGTAATTAGGACATAGATAGTTACATGCCGCAACCCTAAACCAACCTGCTTGGACAAGTTTCACCAAATGGCTAGAGCATGCATTAAATAATCCTTTGGTTGTTCCCCTACAATTAGCACACTAGGGCATGTTTAAGCACCCCCCCTCTTCATGATGGTACCATGGCCAAATACCTTCTCCTTAGATTTAAGGAGACCTGCTCCCTGTGGGCCTTCTATAAATATCCCCACCTACATTCAGACAAGGTAATTCTTTCTCATTTTATTCTCTCAAACTATCTTTATTCCACTCTTACTTTGACATCAGAAAGGGTTTGGTTGGTACTACACTAGTGCCTCTTAGGTGACTAATTTTTCTGTGTGTAAAAAAAACCACTTTTATAGTGGAAAGAAGGCATGGTGCTTCATACTGACCATGTGGAAGCTCCGACTTTGGCCTGGTCAAAGTCGTAAATTGACTATTCAGAATAACTCAACATAAGAGATCATTGTCCCTATTTTCAAGGCCATAACATAGTTCTCCCTCCTCATTTTCACTTTTTTGGTAAATTTTTAAAGAATGTTAATTAAAAAAAGTCAATTACAAAACTATGGGCGCAGTGCATTTTGGTTTAGTTTGATTATCAAATCACGCGTAGCACTATTGAAATATCATGATTCCAATTGGTTCAATTTATATATAATCCTTGAAATATGATGAAATTCCCCTCATATATTATTATTTGGTGGTTCGGGTAAGGAGAATAACAACGTATGATATGAAGGAAGTTGAGGTTCCACCCTAAGGATGGAGGGAGTAGCCCAATTCTTTATACATCCAGGCTAAATTACTTAATTTTTCAATGTTGGACAAACACTTTCAACATGATTTTAGCATCATTTTTACTAATACATTCTAATTATTAAGTATGGTAAGTATTTATACTAAAACTCAGCCTACAAACAGGATCAGTTGTATGTGTTTGCTGCACTTATAAATTTTGTATTAGGTTTGGCATATGGATGTTGGTCAAGGATGTTACCATAACAAAAATCAGTTCTAAACTAATTATATAACTACGAATGCAAGCATGCTCAAGCTCTTGTATGCCAGTGTCACAACCCAACTTCACTAGCAAGATATTATTCGCTTTAGGCCCTGCCCGCACAAATTTGTTCTCGAGCTCAAGCCTATGCTATCTTACCCAAAAGGCCTCTAGCTAGGAAGTGCCCACACATATAAGGCACTTCACCTTTCCGTCCCCGAGCAATGTGAGATTACTCACTGATCTTACCCATTTTTGCCTTGCATCATTCATGGATCATAGGTCTTACAATCCACCCCCCTTGGGGCCCTCATGCACATTTAGTTTCTATCTCCTAGTTGCACAAAACCTTCCCCTTTTCCCTTCTGCTTCGTAAATAGGTGTTTTTACTTAGGCTTTTTGATTCTTCTCTTCGATAGGAAGTGCGGCAAGAGCATGAATCACCTATCCTAGGTGCGGCTGACCTAGTAAAGCATGGCTAAGGTGATGTGGCATCTCCCATGATGACTTGGATGCAATTTTGATGACTTGGTGTGCTGATGTGGCATCTTGAGTTGCATGTTAATTGTGCGGCACTTTGACTTCTCATTTTCTTTATCTAGGCATGTTCATAATTCTTATAGATTTCACCATTGCTTCGTTAACATTTCGTTTCGTAGGTCTCGAGTTTCACCATTGGTTTCCTAGTTTGATCGGGAAAACTCCATTTTTCTCAATTTTCACCAATTTGATTGACTTAACCTGCACATTCACAAACATGATTGAACAGCTCAGATAATAGAGAACTAGACGCAAAAACTAAGAAACGAGAGACTAAAAAGTCTTAAAATATGGACATATCAATTTTGCATTGTTTTTATATATTTACTATCTAACCCCTCTTTCGTTGTTTGGTTTTCGACAAACAATAGGACATTACAAATATATTTTTAAGGTGAGCCTGCACACCCTTAATAAAGCTACACAACTGTAATTGAATTAGTCATAACTAGGTATCAAACTCATCATAAATATATGGGCTTGTCCAATATAGATCCATACATTTTCTATTTCCTAGACATATACCCATCACTCTATAAATCTATGTGTAAAAGCCAATTTCAAATTTAAATGACCAGTAGGATATAAGATGTCGTAGTATTTCTATGTTTTTACATCGTTGCCACTAAACTTTATATTTTATTTATAATTTATTTCAAGCATTTCATTAACTGCCATAATTGTAATTAATATACTCCCTATTAATAGCATATCAATCACCCCATTTCTTTTAGTTGTCATTCCCTCTCACATCTCGCCCCCTAAAATTGCAAACAAACAAAAAAATCTGTAAATTACATATCCAATAATGTACCTATGAAAAATATAATATAAATATATACATATAAAATATAGGTATATTATTTACCCAAAAAAAAAGTCAGTTACTTTGTAATTGCGTATATTTTTCATAATTAAAAATAGGTACACAATAATTTATATAAAATATAGGTACATTATTTGGAGAGGAAAGATAGGTAAATTATTAGAGGAAAAAAATTGGTAAGTTATTTGGAGAGAGAAAATAGGTTCATTTAAAAAAATTACGTTTAATAAAACAAATAATAGGTACTTTATTCAGAGAAAAAAGGCTATATTATTTATAGAAAAAAATAGGTACATTATTTAGATAAATAATAGGTACTTTATTCGTAGTAGGTATATTATTCAAATGGTAGGTACATTGGATGACATATAATACCTAAATCCTAATTGTAAGTACATTAAAATTAATGTAGGTATATTGGAATAGATAATTATGTACACTTTTCATACTAGGTAAATTATATTTTTCATAAAACAAATAGGTACATTATTTTTTCAACATAATTAGTATGTACAGTTTTATTTATAAACAATTATAAAGTGGATTATTAGTCATGTATAATTCATAAAAAGAAAATAACATAAACATTTTATTAAACAAACCAATTACCCAAATTTGAATTTATTTATTTTTTTTTTTTTTTTTTTTTTTTTTTTCAAAATTAAAATTCCTACATCCATTACAACCATTTGGAGATCTTTCCAAATTCAACATCTGTCATTATATACAATCCAATTAAAAACTGTTTCCATATTGATTCCTACATTAATACACAAAATGCAATAATGGCTTAGTTGGGGGTATTTTTGGAATCTGAAAAGTACAATAAATCAGATTTTATGCTTAATTAGGTAACTTGCTGAGTTGGATCCTAGTCATGGGTTTTTACTTATACAAATTGGGTATTATTTATAGGAACAAAAAGTGAAGGGTTTTAGGTATGGCAAATTGAATTTGAAGGGTGTAAGCCAAATTTACTATAAATATATATCACCTTGCAATGCGCTCGAGATTTGGGATACACTAGCGGCTTCTCATCCTTTATGGCAATATTTTGGGTGTTTGGATGTAATATTTTTGAATGCCTGGAAAGGTTAGAGTTCTCTACTAGTTTATGAAACTGCAAAATCTGTTAAAAATAATGGACCTACAGAAAATGTACTGGGTCATAGCACTTAAAGGATAACTATCTTAATTAACTTGAAACCGAAATAACCTAACTCGTATGGATGCTTGAGATAAGCTCTAGCAGTCCAGATTAAAATTGATGAAGGGTCCAAAACTTACAATGAATCTTGACCTACGAAGCACTCCAGAAGTTGACCTTCTACTACTACTATAACAATAAATTGTATATGTTTTATAAATTGTACAAACATGTTGGACATTATATATATTAACAATAAATTGTATATGTTTTATAATATAAAAATCATAATAAATAAAAAATGTGTGTGAGGGGAAGGGGTGGCCCACCCTAGCATATAGCTGGAACAATCCCTGTGCATAGGTGACATGTCGTTCAAACATTGCCAAGTGGGAGGTCAACTTTCAGTCAAAAGATAGGAACAATTTATATGTGCCATATATGAATTTTCGTGAACCAATTAGAATGATGAATGATAGAAGAAGGAAAATATATGTATAAAAGGAAAAAAACAAAAAAGTTACCACAACAAAATATTTAAAGAGGAGGAAGGTTTGATGGTAGCTTAACTAGTGTGACGCACTATCGTTGTAATAGTTTTGGTGACGGCGAAAAATCTTCGAAGTGGTGGGCAAGGGTTCGTCAACCACAGGTCAGATTTCGTGAGATCTACTTAATTCATAGATTACGTTATTCGAGTTTGAATAATTAATTCTCTATTTTATTTTTAGTTTTGATTATCAATTTCAATTAATTAATATGGGTCGCCAAGTCACTGGTGTTGGTTATCATTTAGATATTTTCATTCTTCGTATCAAGAATGTTTGTACTTGGTTTGAAAAACTTCCTGATATTATTTATGAAGTTTTCTTGAGGATTGTAGTCTTGTTGAATTCTTTTGAGCAATACAATATCGTTTCATTTAAATAAAGAAAGTTAATTGAAATTTTGGAGTAATTTATTAAGTGATATGGTACATGATTTGGAAATTCATGTAATGTATAATGTGGTGATGATAAGTTGGTATAAACAATGGGAGATGGATTGAGATTCTCAATTTGAAAATTCAAATGTGACCCAAACCCGATAAACCATTGTTGAGGCTCAAAAAGTCACAAGAAGCCCAAATACATTTAAGGCCCAATATAACATATAATGTTGGTCAGTGGCGGAGCCACCTAAAGACCAGGGTGGGCCCAGGCCCTCTCTCATTTTTTTTTTATTTTCTCATTTTTTTACTTATATGTTTGCTCCTTGGAGTAAAGACTCTTTTTTTTTTTTTTTTTTTTTTTTTCTCTTCCTTCTTTTGATTAATTTAAGCTTTGTGAATTCCCCTTTCCCCTATTTTACATGTCTAAGTAGGGTATCTTAATATTGGGATTTATGAACATTTTTTGAATTTCTTCTTTCTATTGAAGTTTAAATTATTAAATTTTGAGTCTTTAATAGTGTAGATGATGAGATTAATATTCAACCATGTTAAAATATGAAATTCAGGATAATTATGATTGTAATAAATGGATAAATTATTAATCAGTATGAAATGATATTATTAACTTATTAACCCGTTTAGCGCTTGAGGACTCCTATTCGAATTATTTTTAAATTTTTTGTAAAAGGCCCCCTCTAATTTGAAATCCTGGCTCTGCCACTGATGTTGGTTATGCGTTAATCCAAACTGTATTTTGGGAATTAATTTATTAAATAAATATAGAAATAGTGTATATGCCATGCCAAACCAATAATACATTTTTCTTATGCCAATCACCTACCAAGCTCACATGAACCCAAGTCATGTGGTTTACAGTGCTTGCATGAAGGATTGTGGTGTGAAAGGTTACAGAGGTCCACAAGGCCTACGGAAGCTCTTGGATAATGGAAACTTTGGGCTAGCTACTTGGGAGCACTAAAGTTCAAGCTCATTACTTGGAGTTCTGCAATATGGGTGAGCAAATGAGATATTCTTCAAGCACTCTCTTTTACCCACTAGAAACAAGCCAATTCCGACACTTCCTTTTACCCATAAGAAATAGTCATTTTCTAATGCCTGGCTTTACCTGTTGGAAATAAGAATGTCACAATGCTCTCTTTTACCCATTGGAAATAGACTAGCTCCAACACTTCCTTTTACCTATTGGAAATTAAAGAGAGCCTTCACCTTCTATAAATTGGGAGGCATTGCCCAGGCAAAACCAACTCATCTTGGTTGCTGCAAGCCTCCCAGCAACCATGAGAACTCACTATTTTTTCAGCTACTGTAAGCATTCCAGCAGCCATACCAGCCATTCCTATCACAACCCTTTCTTCTATTTTCTCATGCTTGAAATCCTCCATTTTCCCTATAAAGCCTCACCAAACATAACTCTAAGCTTTTCCTTCCTCCTCATACCATTCCAAGCTATAAACAGCATAACCTTCAAGCTTCAACCTTTTCCTTCCATCCTCTCACCTCTAGAACTTATAAATCTCTCTAGACTCATAGTCACAAACACCATAGCCTTCAAAGCCTTAAGCTTTTCTTTCCTCAGCCATGCTATTTGGAACCCCATTCATTTGACTGCTATAAACATCCCAACAACCATCACAGCCAAACAATCAAACCACCATAGCCATAGCTTCAAATGATAACTTCTCAACACCCAAACTCAAGCATATCAAACACCAAGCCAAGCACAAGCATTCCCATTTGCTAAACTTGTGGGTCTTTAGCTCCCACACTCCAGGCTCTCCTGCCAAGCTCATATAATCTTAGATCAACATCAGCAAGTCATCTTCAACCATCCAGAGCATGACCAAGCAATCGTCAAGCTACATGAAATCTACTCAAGGCACCCATCCTTTATCTATCTATCTATCTCTCTCTCTCTCTCTCTCTCTCTCTCTCTCTCTCTCTCTCTCTCTCTCTCTCAAAAGGATCCATCCCAAATATGAACACTCATCCTCTCAAGCTAAGTTGAAACCATAGTCATTACTCTTTTAGTAAGAAAACGCAGACATCGCAAGCTCTTCGTCTAGTTGCCGAAAACACTCAAAATCTCAAGCCTTAATCTTTTCTTTATACTAATTTTCTCTTAGCTCCCACACCACAAGTCTCTCATGCCAAGCCTAGTAGTATTTTAATTCACCAAAGAAAACTCTTCTTTAAGCTGCCGGAAACATCAGCACAAAACACGTAGCCGCTGAAAGAAGAACAAAGTACTCCCATGGGACTTGCTTCTCTCTCGGGATGCTTTGGGCCTAGTTCTCTCTAACTCAGAAAAAGGGGTAACGAAGGCTTGATTCACCACTATAGTGGTCCAAGAATCAACAAGCCCGAATGAGCCTTTCGACGGAAAAAGACCCCAACAACCATTAGCTTAAAATCAAATTTGGATTAGAGTTGATTTGATCCGACTAAATATAAATATTATATACTTTTTATGTGGTTGATATGGATTGAGAATACACTTAAACTATTTATATTAATTGAGAATACAATTAAACTATTAAAAAGAAAGTCTAGTGAGGTTTTTGTTTTGTTTTGTTTTTTGTTTGTTTATGTAAGTCTTAAAATGAATATGAAAATAATCAGATTCCAATCGGATGCTTTATGGATACAAATTAATAAGTTCAATATGATAATCTATTTATAAATGGATTTAAACTTGAATTGAGATCAATTTGATTGGTTTATGGGCCTACGTATAATATGTTGTGTCTTTGGCATTATTGAACGCTAATGTGTATATTTATTTAATGAAAGGCCTAATGACATTTTAGCCCCTAAAGGTTTGGGATCATTCTTGAAATGGTTCATGAGGTATCAAATTTTTCAATTTACGCCCCAACATTTTAAAATTCGACCGATTTACGCATTCCGTCAATTTAATTGTCTGGTCTTCTATTAAATTGTTGACATGACATCATATGATATGATTTGTTTGTTTCCCTGTTTGACTGAACTGTTTTTTCCCTCCAATTTCATTTAGGCAACTATTTGAGCAAAATTCAACGGGGGGAATATTCAAACGTAGATTCTTTGACCCTTGAACTTCCTTCGCCTTCTTCTCCCTTGATCCCTGCGAAGAAAACAGAGTAAATAGACCACACCCAGGGGGTGTTGGACAAAGGCCCTCCGATGCCTCAGTTAGTTAATTGGATCTTGAGAAAGATACGATAAATAACAGAAAGGATGGAGTTTTCTCTTGAGGGGAGAGCCGGGTGGTCGTTGCCGTGTGAGGAAGAGAGAGAATGGCTAGAGAAAGAGGGAACTTCAGCAACAATTAGCTACGGTTTTTAGAATTACCTCATTTGTGTGATGTAGCCATGTATTTATAGTGCTCTTTGTCAGCTAGGGTTTGAAGAATAATCCTTATTTAATTAGGATTATTCTTACCCAAACATAGGAGATTGGAATTATCAAGGAGATTCGGTGGAAATCTCATCCTTGATTTAGGGAGTTATTCCCATCTAAAACCAATTATATTTTCCCTTAAATAGGGTAACTAATTGACCTAGGGAATTTCCCTTTTCCAGTGTCACTCGTTCATTGGTCGCTGAAATATATGCTTCCACAAATGCCCCAAGCTTTTGCCTGTCGCATATGTGGCACAGAGGAGGTGTAAAATACTCTTCAATCTTTCCAACTACATTTGGGCATCCAATTGTGAGCTGGGTTCCTAGTTGGAGTAGGCATTTGACTTCTACTTGGAATTGGGCTCCTAATTGGAATAGGCTTGTGACTTCTTGTTGGTCAAGGATACCCAATTATTATAAATGTAAGGCTTCTCTTTGCTCCTCTTCATATTGCAAGCTTGTTTTCCCCCTACTTTCTAGCTTGTGAGGGAGATCTTGGAGGATTGTATTGCTTGTCGAGGAGAGGAGTTGTCAGGCACACCAAGGTAGGTCATGCTTGGTTTTTGAATATATTTTTTTTCTTTTCTTGATTTTTCTTGGCTGCGAGGACAGGTTAGCTTGACTAGCTGATTGTCGCTATGATGTGGCGGTTGAAACGAGCTACAATGGTGGCAGTGGTTGCTTGCAGCGTTGGAGGTTGTTGCTGCAACCATTTTCTTTTCTACTGGTCGCTAGCGTTGTTGGTGGTTGTTGCCACAGCCTTTTTCTTCGCGGTTCAATGGCTGGGTCGCGTCTGAGAGGAACCGCAAGGCTGGTGTTGGAAATTTTGGTCGTGTGCCCCTAATTTTTAATTTTTTTGCACCAAGCTGCACCTTGACCTGCTAGAATGTGGCTAAGTTGTGGACTGCTAGCTGGTACGGCTTGGGCCACGCCTTGGGCTGTGCTAGCCAATTAGGCGTCATAGCCTTTTTTTTTCAACAGCAAGCCATATGTAATTTTTTTTTCTGCAATTTGAGTCATGAATTCCTCTTCCTTTTGCAGCTGCTCGACCATCATGTCATCCGATGAGGGAAGTCAATCCTCCTGTTCACAAGTGCCCATGTATATGTGAGGTGGCTCCAGGTGCATAAGAGGAGATTCGTCGCAACCATGCATCATATCACGACCGAGTCCCAGTTTTAGAAGTGGTGCACCATCTTCACTTTTGCCATACTGGATAATGTGCATATTAGGTTGGCTGAGCCTTGGACAGACAATGTGGGTCACACGAAAATTAATCATCCAGATGCCAGGATCATTACATTTAGCCCATTCTACTTCTCTTTGGGCTTTCGATTTCAGATGTCAAGGTTCTTCAAAAGGGTGTTCCATACCATGGAGTGCGCTCCTAGTTAGTGTAATCCAAATGTATACCAGACGGTTATCTACTTTGACAACCTAAATCGCTTGTTCAAGGTGGGCTTGAACTTGTAGGTGTTTTTTTACTTCTTTGCGAATGGCGTTGGCTATTGAGCGAATATCAAAGGAAAGCAAGTGATCTGCCCCCGACCAGAGATATTGAAAGGTGGAAGCTACACAACCCTGGCTCGGATGATCTGCCTGATGAACGAGAGGAGTCCTCGATCGAACTCTTTGGAAAATGAATATTGTTGCCAAGCTTTCCAAAGATGAAGCTGCGACCTCACGAGCAAGGGATGTGTCTCCATTAAGAAAAAAGCTAAGACTGCCTTTGAAGGAGTTTTCATCTGCTAGGATCAAGCACACTGTGGGCATTAATAGCAAGAAGGTGTATATTAGGTAGAATATTCAGGATATTCTGCTCAAGTCTTCTACTGAAAGGCTTAAAACCCGATATCTGCTCTGCAAGGACGTCTACTCTCGACCTGGTTTGTCTGCTGAGAAGTAGAGGGCAGTTGACTTTCCTCCCAAGATTTTGAGTCTTTTGCATCACTCAAAGGATGAGGATCAAACTGAAAGGGTTATTCTTCCATTTGGCAAATGCGCGCCATCTGCCAAATCATGAGTGATCAAGCATGTTGCAAATCTAACTTTGTCGACTCCCTTGGAAGCGAGGGTGGCTGTGGCTAAGAAGGTCAGGGAGTCACTTGCTCAAACTGTTAGAAATATGCCCTTAAAGGCAAGTAATTATGTAATAGTTAGAGTTAAGGATGTCTTTGATAAAAGACATATTATGTTGTCAATGGGCAAGAAAGGTTGTTTTATACATTAAATCATCTTATATTATCTTTCAATATGTAGAAAAACCATAGTCCAAAGAATACACAAGTGGATATGAGAGCTATGTAATGAGATTATATACATGGAGACTTCTCATTATCCCTAAATCCTGAATATGTTCCTAGTCATAGGAATATTGATTGGGCGTCAGTTTTCTACAAAGACCAGTACACACAGTATCGTCTCTATATGCAGGGAACAACAAGGTCTCAAGTCATTAAGTGTGTAGACACATCGATATGTGTGTAGGTGCTTGTAGAAGAACAAGTACACTGAACGCGATCCAACACATGTATAGCATGGAAGTCTTTACTCACATGTCAAGCTAGAACTCATAAATTGCAATGGTGCAAACTAATCCTTAGACCCGAGGCATCATAGATGTTTTGTGGCTATGTTGTTAATATTTGAGGGCACTATACAGTCATGTTGAATTAGGCATAGCTTAAAGGTGGTCATCAAGATTCTCAATAGAGTCATGGAAGCAAATGAAATGTACAATAAGGAATCTCTACTCTCAGTAAAGGAGAGAGGATACTCTAAGATATGATTGGTCAAATCTCTGCGCAGAGTAATGGATAAGACTTGAAAGAAGAAATCTTCAAATCTTACAAGGATAATCATATAAAAGAAATGATTCACATTAGGATATTGACAATCAGATTCCATGATCTAATAATGTGAATATGGAGTATAGACATAAGAGAAGGATTCAATTGCACGGTTATTCCAATTTGAATAGGTTCTTTCACAACGTCTCATTTAGCTCGGATAACTGTGGCTTGCTACTAGGCGACAACTATGGTTTATGGATGTCCTAAAAGGTTTCAATTAACCTTCATTAATAGGAAGAATTAAATTGTGGAATTTAATTCGTATATCATTTCTGACGAGTTGAGTCAACCCACTACCTTGCTAAAGGGAACCTACGGATCTGCACACCAAAAGAATGCGATTAGAGGTACAAATGAGGAGACACAAGTCAATGGTTGATAATCAAATGTCAAAGTCAATGGTCAAAAGTCAAAATGTTGACTGGAGCAATTGACCAAAGTCAAATAGTTCGACCGGGTCAATTAAGTAAGACTATAATTATAATTTAATAGTTAAACTATAATTAAAAGAGTAATTATGAAAGTAATATTGACATATAGAAATATTGGATTGGGCCTCTAAATATGATTTAAAAGGAAAGGGACAAATGGCATAAGATGACATGACCCATGGACCAAAATGAGCCTCAATACCCACCCAATAAGCTAAGTGTTAGAGATAACCTAACTAGGGTTTTTGGTTTCCTACTTTGGTTGATGAGTGATCATCTTTGTATCTCATCTTCCATAAACCAAAAATTGGTCCAATCAAGAAGTAGACTAGCATCCATACTTCTTGATTGCCTTCTCTTTATCTCTAGGAGAATTTGGTGTGGTGAGGTAGAGGACTCCAATCTTGGAGCCTTAAGGTGAATGAGTCAAAATCAAGAGAAACAAAAGGCCATTCTAACAAAGGTGTTCATTCTTAAGAAATCAAGAAAAGATCATCAGAGGTAAAGATCTATTTCATTTCCCCTTTTTCTATTTGTGTTCAAAGAGACTAGGTTAAGATACTTTGTTTAAAATGAAAAAGGTTTAGCTCAACTAGTATAAACAAAATGAATCCGCCATTTAGAATGTTTTTGTTGTATAGGTTGTGGCTAAAGTTCATTTCCTAAGCATTAGATGCATGTTTCCTTCACAAACAGGAGATCGAACTGCTGGTCCGATTGCTGACAAGCCTGGCTATGTTGTGGACGGATGCAAGTCTGATCTGCTCAAGACAAACTTCCTGTCAAGCTTAGAGGTGGGCATTGGAACCGCAAAACCGCAAAACCGAACCAAACCAAACCGAAAAAATTTGAAAAAAATCGTGTTGACCAAAAAAGTAAAAAACCGAGATAAATCCGAACCGGACCAATTTAGACCGGTTCTGGTTTCGGTTTTCCACCATAAGGAACTGGTCCAATACAATTAATTAATATATATTTTTAATATTTATATTTTATATTTTATATAGTTTAACATGTTGATGTTTTGTATTGGTTGTCTAAAATATTACCGTACGCACACACACAGAGGATCATCACAACTAAACATGACTTAGGTTTTCTTTCTTCCTTCTTCGATTTCATTTCCTCTCTCCCTTAGTTTGAGCCGCCTAACCTCTCTGTCGCTCTACGTGAAACCTCTATCTCAGCCATCCTCGTTCTCCTTCAGCCGTCACGCCGCCAAAGCTCTCTCTCAGCCGTTGAGCCGTCATCATGCAAGCAAGTCCGATTTTGGCTTTCTTTCTTTTCTTTCCTTTTTCTTTTCTTTTCCCCCTTCGATTCTCTGTCTGACCATCTCTATGTCCTCCAGCTGCAGTTCGTGTAGATCAGCAAGAAATTTTTGGCTCAGGTCGCATCTTCCAGCAACAGTTTCTAGCAGCTTCCAGCAACAGTTTCTAGCAGCTTCCAGCATCAATTTCCAGCAGCTTCCAGCATCAGTTCTCTCTCTCTCTCTCTCTCTCTCTCTCTCTCTCTCTCTGCAATGAGTATATTTGGAATTTGATGTTTGCAACTGAAATTTGATATTTTGCAACTGAATTTCATGTTCTGCTGAAATTCTGCAGATTTTTGACCGTCTATTGTTTGGTTACTACGGATTCCTTAATGCTTTTATTCACAGGTATCCAATATGTTGGAATAAGGCTGGTTTGCATGAAGTCATTCTTGGAACCTCCGCTGCGAAAAATGCACATTATCCGTCTACTGAGTCATCTTTATGCAAGTAGGGTGATAAGTATTCTCTAACTTTTATTTAGAAATGCATTTTATTACAATTTTGTCATACTGTTTTTATTGTTTGACAGAAAGCGGCTATTGCAGATTTTCTTGTCCCTAAGACATGAATGCCCTGCCAAAATCCCAGTCAATCAAATTTCGTATTGAGAAATCAAGGTAGTCAATATTATGGATACTGATTTTGTAGACAACTTTTGGTCAAATTCTATTTATCTAGCTAATAAGGTAACTTTGGGATATTGGTTTACAATGTGATTACTAGAGTTCATGACAGTAAATTAACTCGCAAAGTTGTGCAAGTGGTTTATATTTTGGAAGTATCTCTTTGTGCTTTGATTGACAAAAAGTACTTCAAACTATGTGTAGGGATTGTGGTTTATGTGTGAATGAAAGCTTTTTCATCACATTTTTTTAATACAGTCAGTGTCTTGTGTAGTATCAGATATCTATAGATTTAGCTTCTGTTTAGTATCTGTTGGTACAAAATTTATGGATTAGTTATGTAACTATTGGTTCTTAATTAACTAGTGGCAAGGTGTCAACTGGATATGACTTTTCATCTATTAGCTAATTTCACTTGGTTACCTTATGCAGAAAATGGCGCATGAATTCAATTTAACCTCAAAAATTCTAAAAAGAAGACCTCCCTTTAGTAATTGGCTTTAGAAACTCCCACATTTTGAGGCATCCTTTGCCATGATATAGTGAGGCCAATGGATACTTAGAGTGAATACTCTGGTATGTGCATATTATGATCTTCATTGTGAAATTAATATGGTAATCGAGGAATGCTTTGCACTAATTATTTAGAGCTTTTCAGTATATCTATGTGGTTCGAGAAGGATAGTTCAGTCAGTTTCAAGAATATAATATAAAGAGAAGGGTCTGTAATATAATAATATTTTGGGCAGGTCTATAAAAAAACTATATAATAAAATTTTCTCAGGCCTACACCGAAAATCGCAAGAACCGAACTAGAATCGGATAGGTGTGGGTTGGTTCGAATTTACCTATGAATTTTTAGCAAAACTAGTCCAAACCGAACTGGTCTTCATTTTCGGTTCAGGAGAAAACAGGTCCAAACCGAACCGTGCCCACCCCTAGTCAAGCTCGTTTGCTTGCGCCAAGATGGTTGATCACGTACATCAAGCTAGTGATCTTGGCATGTTTTTGAGCCTTTCTTCAAAGAAACAAAAGGAAGCGACTATAGCTTTGCTTCAAAAGGGGATAATTTTTGTTGTTGAGGCTTTCTAGAGCTTGCCTATCGTTGCCCCTTCTTTTGCTTAACTTGAGGAGTTGGAGAAGAAGAATGTTTATTTAACCGACATGCTCTTAGCCGAGCGAGCCTGCTATGACACGAAGGAGTCTGACTAGAAGAAAAGCATGTCCTTGCTGTAGAGTTCTCTTGCCATGAAAGATAAAGAACTCAACTCCTTTGCCACCACTCTTCATGAGCGAAATGATGCCTATCTTTTCCTTGAGCGCGAGTTTGCTAACGTGACCCACAGTTATGATAAGCTATTGGCCAAGTTTGACGTTTGCTGCGAAGCTGTCGAAGAATCCAAGTCTGAAGCTGTTGTTGACACATACAAGCTGGGCTACTTGGATTGCAAGGAAGGAGTTGCCCTATGTCATCCCGTGGATGATGAAGATACCAAGTTATTCTGTCCTAAAATGCCCCTGCAGTTGAAGAGCAGGTAGTTGATAAGGGTGCGACTGATGAGCTTGTAGGTGAGGGAGGCAACATCAAGGAGGGTGGAGCTGCTGAGTTGGTGGTCGTGGCTGACCTTGGTGAAATCACCGAGCAGGTGCTGTGGCTGAACATCCAGCCGCCGAGGGTGTAACTGATCAAGCTGAAGATGAAGAGGTTGTAGGCTAGCAGAATGCCCTTGCACTCTCGATAGAGTAGATGAAAACTTCATTTATCTTTTTCATGCTTTGTACCTTTGCTTTTCTTTGGCAATAATTGTTCTTAGTTGACCATTTTCTTTTTGTGGAACTTCTGGCCAGTTGGTCACTTTGTTATGGAAATTTTAGTTATTAAACCAAAATTTGTGTTAGGTCTTTTTAACAGCTTAAGTGACTTGCTGGCACCTTGGTTACGCATATGCTTGAGTGACCTGCATCCCCCTTAAGATACTTTTAGTTGGTAGCATGCTTGGCCTGCGTCTCCCTTAGGACGCTTCATTGTAGTTGTCATGCATCTCCCTTGGGAGGTTTTTTGACAGTGACCTATTTGGCATGTGTCCCCTTTAGGATGCTTTATCAAAGTTGTCGTGCGTCTCCCTTAGGATGCTTTTGGGATAGTGGCAAGCTTAGCCTACATCTCCCTTAGGATGCTTTATTGTAGTTGTCATGCGTCTCCCTTAGGACACTTGACCTGTTTGGCCTGCGTCTCCCTTAGGACGTTTCATTGTAGTTGTCCTGCATCTCCCTTAGGATTCTTTTGGATAGTGGCATGTTTGGCATGTATCTCCCTTAGGATGCTTCATTGTAGTTATTCTGCGTCTCCCTTATGATGCTTCATTGTAGTTTGTCTAGAACATTTCGTTGAATGAAAACTCGAACATGCATTGATGTTTGTTGTGATTACATCGCTTATTGAATGTAGATAAATGAATGAAGAGGAAAAACATCAAAATTAGCTTTGCCTTCAACTGTGTTAGAGACGGCTTAGTCACCTGCTAGGGATCGAGTAAGTAAGCGGAGGCTTTATGGGTAGTATCTTCAAAGGTGATGAGCATTCCATTGTCTCGAAATTTCCTTCCTCTCCAGGATGACAAGAGTATAGCTCATTTTGCCCCCCGATCGGTTAATCATATAAGGACCTTCCAAATTGGGTTTCATCTTCTTCGATCCTTGCCTTTGTGCTAAAATGAAAGCTTTTCTAAGAACAAGGTCCCCAGGTTGGAATTGCCTCACTTTGGCTCTCTTGTTGTAGTAGGATATCAACTACTGCTGACCAGCTGCTACTCGAACAATGGCCTTTTCTCGTTCTTCCTCAAGCAAGACAAGGTTGACCTTTATCTGCTCACAGTTCTGATCAATGCTGCCTACCTCAATACTTATGGATGAAACAATGATATGAGGGGAATGATTGCTTCAATTCCATAGGTAAGGGAAAATGGGGTTTCACTTTCGGTAGTGTGATAAGCCCATAGGACTCCAGGCAACTCATAGACCTATTTTCCTTCAGTGCCTACTAGTATTTTCTTTTGGCAGTTTAGTACGATCCTATTGGATGCTTCTGCTTGGCCATTTTCTTGCGGATATCTCGAAGTTAATAAGTGCTGCTTGATGCCATACTTTGCTAAGAATGCAGTGATCTGCTTGCCAATCAACTATGACCCATTGTTAGTGACCAATGACTGTGAGTTGCCAAACGAGCAGATGACGTTCTTCCAGATAAACTGCTCCATGTCGGCTTATTTAGTAGAGGACAGAGCTTCGTCCTCGATCCATTTAGTAAAGTAGTCAGTGACGATGATCATCGTGTCTTTCTTAGTAGGTCTCGATGGCATGAAACCCACCAAGTCAATAGCCCATTGTATGAATGGCCATGAGATGTTCTGCGAGTGGTACACTTCGACAGGTAGACTTAGGACTGGCTTGTAGGGTTTGGCATCGATCATAGCTTTTAACGTACTTCGTAGAGTTGTGGTGCATGGTAGGCCAGAAGTAGCCTATGTTTAGAGCCTTCTAGGCAAGTGACCTAGCCCCATCGTGATTTCCACATTCGCCATCGTGAATTTTGCAGAGCACTTTGAGAGTTTGCGTGTACTTGATGCAGGTGAGATGAGGATCGGAATATGATCTTCAAACATGTAGTATCTTGCAGCTCTCTTGATTTTTCTGGCCTTGGACTTCTCTCTTGACAAATTTTCGTTCATCAAGTAGTCGATGATGGGGTCTTGCCAGGTAGCATCTTCATCGATCTGCATCAGGTCCGGATGTTCTGCCTCTTCAATACTTGTCTCATCAAGATGCTCGACAGAAATAGAGCACCTCAACTCCTGTCCAGTGTTGATCCCACCCTTGCCAGTGCCTTTGAATATGTGTTCTCTGTTGGGGAACTTGTTGGATGGTGAAGGTAAAGAATGCCTTCAAAAGTTCTTGGACTTTGTCTAGGTACTCGATCATCCTTGGGTGCTTCGCCATGTATTCCCCTGAAGCTTGATTGGTGATCAGTTGGGAATCTAAATAGATGGCCAGTCTTTTGATCTATAGCTCCTTTACTGTGCGTAGGCTAGTGAGCAACGCCTCGTACTCTGCTCCGGGATGTTTGTAACGATGCTTGCTCCCGCTCTTTTATGATTTGACGCCCTGTCTATGCACAACTGCCACAAGTATTTCAGCAAGTCAGGATTGACGGAGGAGGTCTGGTCTGCTCTTGAACTTCCTTTATTTTTTATGACCAACTTCTCTTCTTTGGCAAATAGAGTGAACTCTGCAATGAAATCTGCTAAAGCCTAGGCTTTTGTAGCAGTCTTTAGCTAGTAGTATAGTCATGAAGATGATTCGATGAGCTTGGTAGTATATTGATCTCAAAGTAAATTTCGTCATGAAGATGATTCGATGAGCTTGGTAGTATAGTCTTAACTTTCTCGTGTAGGGAAGGTGAAATGAGGTAGGTCTTCAATTTCTAAAAAGCCACTTGGCACTCTTCATCCCACTTGTCTCTTTGTTTTTTGAAGAATGACATGCACTTGTCGATGGATCTTGAAAGGAATCGGTTGAGAGCGGCTACTCTACCTGTCAGACTTTGTATCTCTTTCATTGTGGCAAGCAACTTTATCTTGAGGCTACACTTGATTTGATTCGAATGCGCTTCGATGCCTCTTTAGGTGAGTAAGTATCCCAAAAATCGGCCAGATGAGACTCCAAATGTGCACTTGTTCGGATTTAACTTCATGCGGCGCTTTCGGAGTAGGCCAAAGGATTCAGTAAGGTTTTTGATGTGATTTGATCACTGTGGAGCTTTGACCAACATGTCATCTACTCCTTGAAAATCTTGTTCATGAGCCTCTGGTATGTTGCTTTGGCGTTCTTCAGCCTAAAAGGCATGAATTTTTAGTAGTATATGCCTTTTTGGATTATGAAAGAAGTCTTTGCCTTGTGGTTTCAGTGCATTATGATTTGATTGTAGCTAGAGTAGGCATCCATGAAGCTTAGCAGTTGGTTACCAGAAGTTGAATCTACGAGCTGATCAATTCTTGGCCATGGAAAGTTGTTCTTTGGGCATGCCTTGTTACAATCGGTGTAGTCTGCGCACATTCTCCACTTGCCTTAGTCTTTATTTACCACCAAAACAACGTTGGCTAGCCACTCATAGTATGAGACTTCTTTAATGAATCCGGCAGCTAAGAACTTGTCAATCTCGACTTCAATGATGTCAATTCGCTTGGGAGTGAAATTGCATCTCTACTACGCTACTGGTCCGCTAGCTGGGTTGACATGAAGTCGATGCCTGCCATGTCAGATGGTGGCCATGCAAACAAGTCGTTGTTGTTCTAGAGGAAGGTGGTCAACTCCACCTTCTCTTATGGGCTTAGGGGCGAGCCGATCTGTGATTTTCTCTCAGGCTTGTTAGGATCAAGGGATACTAGCTCGACGTCCTCCTCGAGCTTCCATCATTCTTCAGGAGAGACCTCCTGACTTATTCCCTTGTTTTGGTTCTAGTTCTTTTATTGTTATTAGGCCTCCTCCCCTGCTTATTCTGTCTAGCTCATTGGTATGAACTGTGCTTGCTTATTCTTTTTCAGGCCTTGAGCTGAGCATCTTCTCGTCATCGCCTAATAGTTACTGATTTGCCTAACACTGCCCCTAGGGATTTGGTAGCGAATTTTCTTATGTGTGGTGGGAGTGATGTCATTGATCTTGCCAATCCATGGTATACCCAGGATGTCATTGTAGGGGGAGACTTCATTAATGATCATGAAAGTTTGCGAGCTGATCATTGGAGGAGAGTAGACGTCGAGGTCTATCATTACCACAGTAACTGAGGTAGCACCATTGAAGCCAGTCAGTGACTTGGCTGACTAGTTGATCTTGGTTTTCATGCCCATATGCTGGACCACTGACAGCTGCAAGATATTGGCTGCGCTAACTTCATCCACATGAAGTCGGTTGATCACGGCCTACGCGATGTGGATGTTGATGACGAAGGCATCATTGTGAGGTAGATCAAGCCCGATCAAGTCTTTCTTTTGGAAGCAAATCACAGTTGTGTGCCTAATTTTCCTCTTCTTTTCCTTGGTGGTCAGCCCAGACTCCTCGGAGTCGGCCAGGATTGTGTTAATCCTTATGACCTTCTGAGGAGATTCCTTGGCTGCATTGTGATTCGCGATTCGCTAGATAGCCTTCTTTGCCACGAACTTCGTGGAATGGCCCTTTCTTACCAACTCCTCGAGGTGTTTTTTCCAAGCACGTAGTACTTGTTTGTATAATGACCATGCGTCCCATGGAAGGCGCAGTATTTGTTGGTATTCCTCTTATCGGGATCCTCTTCCAAGGCGTCTCTTTAGCCATGGCTTGTCTTTCACTTGAGCTAGAATCTAATGTATCGGGATAGTGAACTTTGTGTAGCTCTCATTTGCCAAGGCCCCCCTTGGGGTTGTGCTTTGCGCTTGCCGTTGTTCTTGCTACTAAACTTGTCATTTCTCTGACCTACCTACTTGGAGGGTTGATCGACTTGCTTGGCAGCCTTTTTCGCAGCAATTTAATCGTCATCCTAGAGTGCGTAGCATTTCGTTGTCTCGAAGACCTCTGCCAGTGTTTGACTGGGAGTGATAGTTAGCTCGCGATATAGGCCATGGTCGATTGGCAAACCTTTCTTAAGAGTTGAGGAGGTGATTCGGTCATCGCACCCCATGATATCAGCTTTCTCTACTTTGAACCTTTTAATGTAGTCTCAAAGGGACTCATCAGGCCTCTAACATAGGTTGAATAGGTGGTCAACTTGTTGCTTGATCATTCGGTAGGAAGTGTACTCCTTTGTGAAGACGAAAGCCAGTTCACTGAAGCAGTTGATTGACGCAGACGGTAAGGTATGGAACCAATCTTGAGCTGCTCCTCGCAAGGTCATCGCAAACACCTTGCACATCAGCGCATCCTTGGATTGGTAGAGAATCACGAGATCGGAATCCCCTTTGAATGGCGTGATCTCATTGGTGAAAGGAAAGGAGTTTACTTGGTCTACCTCCTTGCATAGGGCATCCTCCAAGTCTCCTCCAATATTCAAGTCTCGAAGTCGGTCATTCACGAGCTTCTCGACATCTTCCACTCGCAAGGCTTGCAGCTTACGTTGATGTCTCCCATGACGCAAGCATCGCTGATCGACCTTCTCATTAACTCTCGGGGTTGATCCAGGAGGATCTACCAACAAAAAATAAACATTATATAATATAATTATAATTAATTATATTATATTATTAAATATTTAAAACCATAAAAAACTAATGGTTTATAACAAATTGTTATAAACCATAAAAAGTTAACGGTTTCAAAATCAGTAAGATTTTAGGCCATTCATTCTTTATGGCTTAAAATAATTTACTATTTTAGTTTAGTTAATTTTAGCAACCGAACCTTGTATAAATACGTAAGTTATTCATTGAAATGAATCAAGCAATTCGGAAAGCAGAACTCATAACAGTTCCTTAGCTTCTTCCTTTTGTTTATTTAATTATCTTAAAATTCCTCTTGTTCCCTTATTCCTATAAACTAGGAATTCATAGTTCTATCGACTAGAAGTTTTGGATCAGGGGTTGATCTCCTTGGTTGTCCTACCTGCATGGAGTATTAGTCGATTGAGCTTGCTAGGGATCCTCTGTAGCTTGTCCCCTTGGACTAGCTCTTCCAAAGAGAGCCGGTAAGCATCTTTCTTCACGTATCTCACGAGGAGGATTGCGAGGCTGATCTCTTTGGGAGCCTAATCTCGCATGAATACTTCTTTATGGCCCCAACTTCTCGTGCACGTTGGTCCTTAGACCAAATCTCGATCGGAGACTCGATCTACTTTGAGCGTGGCTCACAGATGCTTGTGACATGCTGACGTGCTAAGCAGCACGCTATAGTCCTCCTTGCTTTCTTGCTCCTGCTCGTCCTACATAGGACACCTCAAATTGCCTACTGGTGTGTTTGTCCATCCTTCTCTCTTTGCTATGAGATCCAAGGCCAAGGTCTCGGACCAAGTCAATCTACCTGAGGAACTATCCAACCAAGTTATTTTGATCATCTACTCTTTGAGTTAGCTGGTCGACTCTAAGGCTAAGGTTTGCTTGGTTGCGTGGATTAGAAGGAGAGAATTGTGTAGAGCCCAATTGCACGCAGGCTAGGATTTCATTGGAGGTGTACACGGAAGTAAACGTCAAACATGACGGCAAAGGAGGGAATGGTCACACTTGCTCCATGATTGTGCCGTAATCAGCAGTAGCACTATGATTGTGTGCCTCGAATTCGACTATCAGGTCCTGCAGCTACAAAGAGGTTTTGGCCTCGGGGCCATGGGATGGAGTCACTTTGTGGGTTGGAATTGCACTCATGGCCACGGGGCTGTGATGAGGAGATATGGCTTCGGCTGCGGGGAGGAGCTATAACACAAGCTGGATCTTGTTCTTGGCCATAGGGCCATGAGGAGGAGGAGTTGTGATCTCGACATGGGAGTGCGGCAGATGGCTCATCGCCACATTGTCGTGACGGCTTGGTCCCGTCGCGGATTAGGTTTTCGCGGTGGACATACTCCTCGTGCGTATGCTTTCAGTCATGAGGTCATTTGGAAGGTTTTGGTTGAGTGATGAATAGGAGGAAACATATTCTTTTGATTCAAGAACACACATTGAGTATAACTCGTGCTCTCAATGAAAGCACTAAAAATTTTGAGCGAAATTCCGCATGGGGAATATTCGCATGTAGATTCTTTGACCCTCAAACTTCCTTCCTCTTCTTCTCCCTTGATCCCTGCGAAAAAGACTGGAGTAAATAGACCACACTCGGGGGGTGTTGGCCAATTGTCCTCTGATGCCTAAGTCAATTAATTGGATCTTGAGAAAGATACGACAAGTAACAAAAAGGATGAAGTTTTCTCTTGCGGGCAAAGCTGGATGGTCGTGGTCATGTGTGGAGGCACGTAGCTTTGTGAGAAAGAGATAGAATGGTGAGAGAGAGAGAGAGAGAGAGAGAGAGAGAGAGAGAGAGAGAGGGAGAGAGAGAAATTCAGCATCAATTAGCTAAGGTTTTTAGAATTACCTCATATGCGTGATGTAGCCATGTATTTATAGTGCTCCTTGTCAGCTAGGGTTTGAAGAATAATCCTTATTTAATTAGGAGTATTCTTACCCAAAAATAGGAGATTGGAATTAATCAAGGAGATTTTGTGGAAATCTCATCCTTGATTTAGGGAGATATTTCCATCTTAAATCAATTATAATTTTTCTAATTAAATAAGATTTAATTAGGGTAACTAATTGACTTAGGGAATTCCCCTTTTCCACTTGTCACCCATTCATTGGTCGCCAAAATATATGCTCCCACAGCAACTACCCTACATTTTCCTATCTAATTGCTCTCTCTTCCAGTATCTATGTTTTGGAGACTACTTCTCACAATTTTCTTTAGGCTTCCGCTCATTAGTACTGCAAGTAGCTGTGATTATCATATGTCAATCTAAGTTTGTTTTCTTCCTTCTTTGCGAAAAGAAAGTGAAGACGAACAAGAACATTACAAGAATCAGGAACTAGTCTTAGAGTCTAATATAAAGCTCGTTGACAATATTCTAACAAAGTCAGAGCCTAAGGAGCTGATGATTGAGAATCCTTTTTTGCTTAAGCTTAGGGAAGAGCTTGCAAAATTGTTTGAACAAGAAGAAGTAATGAAAGACACAAAAATTGATGAGGTTATCATTTTGGAAAATCCACTTGCAAAGTGAGGCTTCTCAAACTGTGAGTATGAAATAAGTCTTTATTAGAATCTAAAAAGGAGCTAGAAGACGAAGAACGGGCAAAGTTAAAGAAGCAAAGAACGAATTGAGTTTTGGGGAATGTTACCCTTTTGCTTGTGGGTAGTTGTGTGTTGTCTTTTCTCTTTCTTCGGCTCTTTTTTCACAAATGTTACAACTATAAACAGAAAGAAGAATTAGTGCTAGGTTAGACTAATTTCATGTAAAGAGATTTACAAGCAATGTTCCAAAGTATTTTGATGTTGGTTTACTTTGGAACATTAATATGATGCATTTAGTTCCAAATATGATGTTAACAGCATCAATGGACTTAGAGCAATGTCATTTTGGCTTTTATAAGTTGTGGTAATACTGTATCACCATATTGGATGATATCTTTCATGGAAAGTTCGTTTAAACTAATCATTTAAGTTACCACAAAAAGGGCAAATAGGTCAACATAGGTAACAGTCCATGTGTGACCATTGACCTATTTGACAAGTCCATGGATTTATGAGATAAAGAAAGTGATCTAAAGAGGTTAGATGTAAAGGGACCTTTCCCTATAACTCAAACTAAAATGTTCCTGATCATGGGATCGTTTGGGCATTGACAAACCGCAAAGACCGGTACACACTCTCTCTGCTCAATTAGGAGGATGATTAGTCTCGAGTTATTCGTGTGTGGACACTAAGATAAGTGCATAGGTTCTTGCTAGAGATTGAGTTCACTAAGTGTGATCAAACTAAGGAATATCTGCTGGAGTCTGAGCACAATTGAGAAAGAGTCTTCCAATTGAGGGACACTGTTTAGGGTACCTTACAAATTTTTTTTTCAAAGATCCAAACCATCTGTTTTTTAAGTCTACATTCACAGATCATCTTTGCAAAAAATTAGACAAATTGGAAACAATTTCGACATCCAATTGTATCCTACAAACTCAATGAACACAGAGCTTCAAGAAAGTACTAAAATTTCTATAACACAATTGAGTGGTTAAACGATATTGGATTCAAGAGATTTTTTGTAGAAATGATCTTTGAATGATTATATAAAACATAGACATTTGGATTAGTAAAATACAATGTGGAGTGGGGCCCTACAAGGGTTTCCCTCAAATAAGCTAATTTGAGAGATCCCTCCATGTAAGCTCTCTCTGTGTATATATATATATATATATATATATATATATACTTATTTATGAGAGGCTCCTCTCATTCTCACAAAACAAACTCATGTGCCGTATAAATAAAATTTGTGAGGATGGGCTTCTAGTGACCATCCAGTTAGACCTGGCATTCGTGTCGTGTTATCAGTGTTCGTGTCAACTCGTTTTTCTTAACGGGTTGACACGACACGACACGATAAGAAAACGGGTGGAAAATATCAAACACGAACACGACCCGCTACAATTCGCGAATCACACAACACGACCCGTTTCACCCGTTAAGAAAATAAACTTTTTAAATAAAAATTTAAAAAACCTATATTTTTTTAACAAATTTTAAATGCAAATAGTACATGCTCAAAAAATCAATATCATTCCAACAAAAGCTAAAATTCTTGAATTTAATTCAAACTTCAACATCCATGAACATGATCCATGATAACAAAAGGAAAAGTCTAAACAAATATGAAGTAACATCCATGAAGATCCGCATAAAAAAAAAATTCCATGAAGATGATTCAAACTTCAACATTTCACCAATTGCAATTTTCCTGGAAAAAAAAATGATAGACAACTATGAGAAAAGTATACAATTATTGAGAAATATTACATTGATAAAATACCAATTACTCATCAATACCTCTCATCAATCTTCAAGAGAAATACTATTGGAGCTTTGTCCGGATCTAGTATCTTGACAAGTAAGTTTGAAGATATCTTCAGTAAGGCTTTCTACAGTAGCATTCTCTTCCTCCATAGCTAAGCATTGAAAACCCAAAAGTTACAAAACATTCACATAATGAAAAAAACAGAAAATAAAACACTAGTTTTAAGTTATATAAAATTTACCTCCCTTGCCAAAAAGCCAATCTCGAGTACACAACAAAGCTTGAACAATTTCAAGCAATAATGAACTACAGTATTGATCAAGTACTCTACCACCAACACTAAAAGCGGATTCTGATGCAACCGTAGACATATGAATTGTTAATACATCACGAGCTAGATTTGAAAGTATCGGATAATGAAAATGCTCCATTTGCCACCAAGAAAGAACATCTATGTCTTGCTTTCTATCTAGTCTTTCCTCATCCAAATACTTGTGCAACTCATTTTTCCTACTTGTACTTGGACCATTTTTGTAACTATTATCAAAATCCTACATCATACAAAATGAAACATGCAAATATTAGAATTATGCATCATTGTAATATATAATATGCAACAATAAATATAAAAAAGAAAATAAGTTTGGGTTCCCTAAAAAATGGTGTCTCCATCTTCCGTATGACTAGCCCTCTCATTCATTCCATAATTCGAAGTAACAAGATGAGATAAATTTTCCGAGTACACATCAAAAAGAGATGTCAATGTGTCTCTAACATACTTGAACTCTTCAGAATCCTTACCATGAAGCTTGGTATAAGCCACTCCACAAAATGCAACTTATAACGAGGATCCAAAATAATTGCAATTGCAAGAATTAAACTGTACTCTGACCAATACTTCTCAAACTTCATGTTCATATTAGTTCCCATCTTTTTCATGAAACCATCATTATCTTCCATGGCTGCCTTAATTTGGTGTTGTATTATGAACACCTTAGGGAAGAATAAATTTGATGTGGGGTACTTTGTCCTAGAAAATAAGCATGTAACATCAAAAAAGTACCCCAAAAACTTGGTAATCTTCTCTAGTTTAATCCACTCTTGAGTAGAAGGACAACTACTAAAATTGGAATCAATCAATCTAAATTAATAAAAGCACGACGATAGAAAAGTGCACTCTCAAGCATGGTATAAGTTGAGTTCCATCTAGTAGGGACATCTTGTCTCAATCCTTTCTTACTACCCATTATCCCTACTTGTACAACACATTCATAGAACTTTTGTTTCCTCCCCTCAGAACCCTTTATATATTGAGGCACTCACGGATCTTTATCACTGACGAATCAATTTCCTTAAGTCCATCTTGGACTATCAAGTTTAAAATGTGAGCACAACAACGCACATGAAAAAACTTGCCACTCATCAACAGAAGACCTCTAAAGTTCAATTGATTCGTCAAAATCTCAACAACAGAAGTATTTGCAGAAGCATAATCCAAAGTAATAGAAAACAACTTCTTCACAATCCCCCACTCAGTTATTAATGCATTGATTTTTTCAGATAATGCAACACCAGAATATGGAGGAGGCATATGAAAAAAATTTATAATTCTTTTGTGCAATCTCCAATCTTGGTCAACAAAGTGAGCAGTAAGAGCAAGATACCCATCAGTACATACAGAGGTCCATAAATATGAAGTTAAACAAATTCTTCCATGAATTGAGCTTAACAAAGTATGAAGATTTTGTCTTTCACTTTTAAACATCCTCAACACACATGCCTTAACAGTATTTCTACATGGCAGCTTAATATCAGGAGAGACATATGCCAACAAAGCCCTAATTCCCTCATATTCAACAAAACTAAAAGGCAAATTATGCCCAAGTCACGAAATTTCACATAATCAAATTGCAGGGAACGCAATCCTGAAGATGACATAAGTAATTGTTTCACATCACCATGAGGCTTCTTAATGCAATTTTTAGAATGATTGTTGGTCCGTCGCAAATCTCGTGGCCTGGTGCTCCGGGTCGAGGGGATGTGCGTCAACACGTGACGTCCTCCTTTTGGATGTGGTGCGGTTGTGTGCGGGCGTGCCAGCACGGTCTACCGTGCGTTGAGATGGTGATGGGGTTTGGGTAGAAGATGTTCAAATGATGCGCCTGTTTGGAGTTAGACTTCTAGTCAAACGATTGTGGCCGAGAGAGGAACTTATCTCGGCCGTCAGGTTCACGGCCTGAGCTACAAGGCTGTTTAGTGGTGGTGTTGGTGGATTTTGGGCGGTGCTCCGGCGCGTTACTCGAAGAGCGACGGTCGTATGATATATGAGGTGAATGAGGCAGTAACAAGGATGATGCTCCGGCGCCTTGAGAAATCAAGGGTCGTATGATATATTGATGAATGGATTTTCCTTACAATCTGTCACTACTCCTAGGAAAGCATGTAAAGGTATTGAAAGTGCATTGCAGAAAATATAAGTTGCTCCGTGGGAGGCTTTTGGTTTGGTGTTTGAACCCCTTGAACGTGGTCTTAAGCTCAGTATTTATAGGAGGAGTCCTGGAGGGCCAATCGAGGCTGAAAAAAGATCTGCCTGATGGCTTAAAAATATCTGTATGGTGGAGTCTGAACGGGGCAAGTGGGTAGTCAAATCGGCATTTGGGACCGTGAAGCATGGTGGTCTGGGTTGAGAAGCATGGTGGTGTGACCCCCATAAATCTCGGCAAATCTCGGCCACCGCCCTGATCGTGGGCTCTGCCCCCTTGGCCGTGGGAACGCATTTAATGCTCTGGTCCAGTGGTTGGTGACCTGACCTCAAGCTGTGAGAATGCTTTGTGAGAATGTTTGCCCCTAACCACTCTGATTCCTGTTACCAAATCCTGACTTCAATCACTTCCTTTCTGCCCTCGTGCATTAAATGCTTCTTGCACCCAGTGGTTTTGTTGTGGTGGTCAGAGGCACTACTTCATTAAATGGGGCGTGGGACCCTGAGGCCACGTGGCGATTTGACCACAGTATCTTCGGCCGGGTCTTTCATGGACCTCGGCCTCGGCCCATAATGCTGTGGTTGTGAGTCCGAGAAGATCCTGTCTTCGCATTTTCTTCTGCTTTCGAAAAGGCTAAATGTCTGACGAAACGTGGCCGTTTCAGTCCATGAACAAGTGCCACGGCCGAGAAGAGGTCCCTTCTGATGACCGTGATTTATTAGGCACAAACATTGCCTCCACATCCTTGGATTCTTCGGTCGCGACTTGGGCAGAGGCCGAATGGATTCCAAGGGATGGACTCTTCGTCTTCCCTTCGAAGTGATCGACAGTTGGCGTCTTAAATGCGAAGGTCAATCGACGCATTGAATGCGCAAGCACGCCTCGCAGACCATCATCGCGCAAACTGCCGTTTGTTTCGCCACGTTTGTCTCGTGGTTTCCGAGCTTTCAGACCGCTCCGTTTCTCGAGAGAGCCATGCCCTTTCGTTTCATACTCGTGTCAATATAAAAACCTGGCCCTCTTCATTCTTTTTACTCCTCCTCCTTCATTCCAACCTGCTCCAGTGGTCTCCCCCTTGTAGCTTCTTTAGAACCAAGGCTGAGCCATATCCACGGACCCCTACGTCATGGCCTGATCCAAATGGTTTTCTCCCTCCTACTGTCCAACAACTATCCTTCATTCTGGAACGTCGACGTGGGCCAAAGTTGTGGTGTGGCCGAGATTCCTTTCCGGCCCTGGTAGAGAATGATCTCCCTTCGTATGAGGCCGTGGAGAGATCGCAATGTGATCGACGATTCCAACTCGGCCATGTCCGCTTGGCCTAGCATCTTGGTTGTATCTATGACCGGGGGTGACGGCCCTGGTTTCGCCCAGCCATAGTTGTGTTCAGAATGACGGCCCTGGCCATGGCTAGAGCGACGGCCTTGATCGCGAACTGGTCTCACCCGTGGCCAGAGTGACGCCCGCACCCATAGTTGGAATGACGGCCCTGGCCGTGTTCGGAATGACGACCTTGAGTGTGACCTAGTCTCACCCATGTCCATAGTGGCGTCCGCACTCATGGCTGGATAGACGGCCCTGATTTTAGCCGGCTGCACGTATGTCCTGAGTGGCGGCCCTGGCCGTGTCCGGAATGACGGCCTTGATTGTGACCCGGTCTTACCTGTGTCTATAGTGACGGCTCTGCCTACGGTCGCGGCTAGTGAAACCGTAGGCGGTGTAGGGACCGCCTAGGGAAGAGTCATCCGCTTGTTCGAGCAAAGGGGGTCAAGAAGCGGCCGTTCATAGATCTAGGATGTATTTCACTTTTTGCATATGTATGCTTATATGTTCCCTTTGGCCACGACCGACCTTTCTTTTTGTAACCGTGCCCCCGCTCTTTTTAAATGAAGTACAACCCTTTTTCTTCTGATCGAATGTGTGGTTTTTTCTTTTATTTATTTTTTGATCTCATAACCCATTCTCGGCCGTCTCCCATAATGAGGGGGCATATTTCTTCAAATATTGGCTATTTATTGGTAAGTTGTGCAATTCCCCATCCCCATCTCTTAACTAAAATGCGCTTCGGCCAAGGATTCGATCGATAATAAACGGCCCTTCCCAATTGGGTGAGAATTTGCCGAACCAAGGGTCCTTAGTTCCGATAGGAAGTACGGCATGCCACACCAAGTCGCCCTCGGCGAAAGTCCTTTGCTTCAGTTTCTTGTTGTAGGACCTCGTTGCGACCTGCTTTTGTGCATGCATTAGGTTATAGGCGTCAAGCCTGGATTGCTCCAAATCTTCTGACTCCTGAGCCATGGCCTGCGCATAGTCCTTCTCCTCTTGCCCATGTTGTTCGGTCACACGGAGCGACTGAACCTTTAGCTCCATCGGAACGATGGCGTCATGACCGTAGGTTAAGGCATAGGGGGATGTGCCAGTAGCTAATCGTTTCGAGACTCGGTAAGCCCAGAGGGCCTCAGGGAGTAGGTCGTGCCACGCCCTAGGTTTTTCCCCAATCATCTTCTCAAGGATACCCTTGATTACCTTGTTGCTCGCCTCGGCCTGTCCGTTAGCTTGTGGGTAGTAGGGCGTCAAGTGGACCAATTTGATCCCCATCCTTTCGGCGTATTCTCGAGTCTCGGCTGATGCGAATACCGGGCCGTTATCGGCCGTGATGGTTTTGGGTATACCGAATTTGTGGACGATGTGATTTTCGAAGAATCTGACCACCTGCGCGCTAGAAATGGACTGATAGGACTCCGCCTCGACCCATTTAGTGAAATAATCAGTTGCTACTAAAACCCAGGCGTGCTGGTTGGACGCGGCCGGGTGGATTTTGCCGATGATATCCACGGCCCATCCCCTGAACGGCCAAGGTTTAGTAACTGGGTGGAGGGCGTCGGCCGGTACCCTTTGTATGGGGCCGTAGATTTGACACTTGATGCACTCCTTCGCATATTCTATGCAGTTCTTTAAAATGGTTGGCCAATAATAGCCGTTCCTCCGGACCAACCATCTCATCTTAACGCCGGACTGGTGAGCGCCGCAAATCCCCTTGTGGGATTCGGCCATGATAACCTTGATATCTTCGGCGCCGGGGCATAGGAGTAATAAACCGTCCGATCCTTTTCGGGACAGCTCGTTCTGATAAATTAAATAACATCGAGCTCGGAAGCGAGTAGTCCTTTCGTGGTTGTCGGAGGGCTCGCGCAGATACTTCACGATGGGGTAGCGCAAGTCGGTTTCGGCCGCTTCGACCTCGCTGGTAACCTCGGCCGATGATACCTGCGCTGTCATTCCCCGCTCGGCCAAAGCCGGCAGGTTGCGCTTCTCGATTCTTATTACTCGGTCACGGTCGCCGTTTGGAATGTTCATACTTGACGCTACCTGGGCCATCTCATTGGCCTCATGGTTTTTGGCGCGTGGCACGTAAACGAAGGAGATCCTAGAAAATTCGTCGACCGTATTGAGGGCCGTTACATTGTACAAGGTTAAATTTTCGCTCGTGCACTGATATTCCCCGGTCAATTGGTTAATTACTAGTTGAGAATCACCGTAGACCAGGACACGGGTCGCCTTCATTCCTTTAAGAATTTCAAGACCGATGATGAGTGCCTCGTACTCTGCCTGATTATTTGTGCATTTGAAATCAAGTTGGAACGCAAATTGCCACCTTTGTCCTTGGGGGGATTCGCCTGACCTGATCTCGGTACTGGAGCCATCGAAGTACATGGTCCAGTAATTTTTCTCCATGTGGGTCATGCCGATCTCAACCTCCAACTCCCCCTCTTGCCCCTGAACCGGGTGGTGGGCCAAGAAATCGGCCAATGCCTGGCCTTTGACCGATTTCTGGGCTACATATTGGAAGGTGAATTCGGACAATGCCATCGTCCATTTCCCGATCCGGCCGCGTATGATCGGCCGAGTAAGCATGTATTTGATGAGGTCGGTCCTGGAGATGATCTAAACGACCGAAGGAAGCATATAATGGCGCAACTTGGTAGCCGCGAAATAAAGCGCTAAGCATAACTTCTCGATTGGTGAGTAGTTGAGCTCGGCCATGTTGAGGGTGCGGCTCAGATAATGCACTGCTTGCTCTCGCTCAGATTCGTTGTTCTGGGCCAGCAGACAACCGATGGAGCCCTTTGGGCCAGCTGTACTTCGGTCGAGAATCGCCTCGGCTGCTGTTGGAAAGGCTTAAACCCCTCCCTAATTTTTAATTCGTGCTCGATCAAACCTCTTGGTAATCCAGGCATCTCATGATAATCCCAAGCAAAACAGTCTTTATATTCGTGGGGCAGGCTGATAATTTCAGCTGCTAACTCAGGATTCAAAAGCTGGCTTACAAAAAGAGGCCGTGGTTCGGCCTCGGTCCCGACATTTATTTCTAATAACGGGTCCTGGACCTCGGGGTAATCATCCTCCATCTCGGCGGGCGCCGTCTCCAAATCGTCAATGGTTAGAGTGTCCGCCTCATCCGATTCGTGGAGGAATTCGATAAGGTTGATCGGTGAGTTTGGCTGTAAGGATTCCCCCGTCCAATGTTCCTGCAGGTCGGTTACGGCCGCCGCTCCCTCTCCCTTAGAGGTTTTGTCTGTCATTTAAAGGGTGGTGAGGTCGATCAACACTTCGCGCGCCGAATCCTGTCGAACATTCTCGACGCCTAACTCCAACACTTTCTGGGCCGTTGTCCTGAGGCCACGTGGCGATTTGACCACAGTATCTTCGGCTGGGTCTTTCATGGACCTCGGCCTCAGCCCATAATGCCGTGGTTGTGAGGCCGAGAATCCTGCCTTCGCATTTTCTTCTGCTTTCGAAAAGGCTAAATGTCTGACGAAACGTGGTTGTTTCAGTCCATGAACAGGTGCCACGGCCGAGAAGAGGCCCCTTCTGACGACCATGATTTATTAGGCACAAACAATGATTTAACAAATTTCCTGGCCCATACCTACTATCACACACATATACAACCCCACAATGTTTACATTTAGCACACTTTGTGTTATCTTCATCAACGGGTAGTAAGTCAAATGATTTCCAAGCAGGAGATCTTAGTCTACGCTTACCCACATTGGCTCTAACCTTTTTCTTTGTAGGGCTTAACTCTTTCTCTTCTGTATTTTCAGTACTTGCTGCATCAATACCCATTGAAACGTCAACTGACTCCTCATCATTAATATCGATAGCATTGGTAGGGCTATTTTCTGTAACATCCATCCCCTTCAAAAATAAAAACAAAGAGATATAAATATTATTAGACACAACAATAGAACCAACACAACTAATATGAGAGAACCAACAACAGGTAGCATGCGGCACCAAATATGTCTACTAAAGAGAAGAAAACATGCAACAGATGCTAAAAGCCTTAAACAACACAGTTACGAAATAGGGACAAATAAACTATTTGAGTTTTTCAGGACAGCAAACAATAGAGTATTTACATACTAGAATTTACAGCCCAAAAATTATTTGCAATATAAAAAATCATTGTGGCAGAATATAACAACAAGGTCCACAAGATAACAATTGCTTTGAAGTATGTTTAAAAATCATTGCTTGCAACAACCTCATAAAGTAAATGTCTGCTCTACAATTCTAAAATGAAAAATATAAATAAAATTATATTAAAAAAAATCTGGCTTATTATATTTAGTCTTGAAAACAACAAAAACAATGACCTCCTTCCAATTCCCATTTGCCTAATCTTTTTAAAAAATACTCATTTACTACACATTATATACTTAAAATCTATGCTTTGAAGTTGAATAAGCATTTTATAACTTGCATTATTAGGGCAAGCATGAGCTAATTGGAGCGCTACTGACTCCTATACAAAAATCACAGCATATCTTCCGAGCTCTGATGTTGAAGATTTGGTTTGTATTTTAAAACAAGCCGAAAGAAAAATGGGCCTAATTGTTTATACTTCCCTAGAGTCTACAATCACACCTATAAGAAAGAATTAAGACGCTAAACCTTCCAGGTGCCTTGTTTGTGTGATACCAAAGGCTTGGCAGTCGTGAATTCATATAAAGAAACAAGCAGCAAAGAGCCCAAAATCTCCAACCAAAAAAATTAAGAAAAATTCATACCTTGAGAGAGGATTTGGTGGCGGGGGAAGATCTTCAAAGACAGAGAGAGGAGAGATCGCAAGAAGAAGGAGAAGATGAGGACCTGAGAGGTAGAGAAAGAAAGCTGCAGAGAAGGAGGAGACGCTCTTACTTAGCCAGCCGACGCAAAATGAGAAGATGATGCTTGGGTTAGAAGGTTTTTTTTTTTAGAATTGAAAATTACAAAATTACCCCTGCTTAACGGGTTGGTTTGTGTATTCGCGAATGGGCACCGAAACGACTTGTTAGCTTAATAGGTGGCTAATGGGTCAACACGATAGCAACACGACACGATAACTCAAACCCGAATACTGAATTTTTCGTTTGAATTCGTATCGTGTTAACGAGTCGTGTGCGATATTGCCAGGTCTACATCCAGTGACCTATAGTGACCAAAATCGAAACCTTTTTTTTGACCAATTTGCTGGCCACTAATAAATAATGTGTGTGTTTGTTAGTTAAGTTCAAGGATCTCCACAAGGCACGTGTGCACAGTGCAATTCAAGGTATATAACATATTCATGTGCATTTCTTTGCACTTGTACTGATCCCATCTCACCATGATTTTTATGGATTCATACACAAAACTTTCTGGATCCATCCAAGCTTCTCAAACTTTATCTATGACTCTTCTTGGGTCAATACAAAATGTTCTTTAGATCATTCCAAATTGGTCAAATTTCTCATTATGACTTTTTCAAGATAGATGTTTCTCAGCAACCTCAAGTTAAATGGACCTTCAGACCAAATGAAAAATAAAAAAATAAATGGACCTTATAACGGATCCTAAGCCTTTGCATTTAGTCCCTCTACATTTTCCAGCATTTCATAAAATGTTGAGCGTTAAAATGATCCCATGGTTGTAGATAGGCCATGTCATCTATTATAATTTTTGTGTTTTTTTAAACAAAATTGAGGGAACCGTCTTTTCATTACGTCTTTGGATCTCTATCTTCTATTAGCTCCTATCTCATCGCTATTCAACCAAAACCCGTCGTTTGCTTTGCAACTTATCAATATTCCTCCCATTCATAACTTCTAATTATCATGAAAATACTCAATTAATTGCAACGCCCATCTTTTACAATGCCTGATTGATTGTTATTTGGAATTCAACCAAATTCATGAAAAGTAGCGGCACTCTATATTTGGATGAAATGATAAACTACACAATTGAAATTTATAGAAATGAGTATGGCAAGAAATTCGTTAATCCTTGAAAGCCTGGACGTGTAGTGTAGTAGCTTCGCGGCCACTTGAATTCCAAAATTTGTTTTAGATTGTTGGCTACCATCTCTGTGGCTTTAGACGAAGGAGCCTCCACTATCGTCAAGCAAGAAACCTAGGCGCTTAGTTTCGAATACCACAATTCTGAATGCATTTTATGGATTTCTATAAGAAATTTATGTCATTTTCTGTAAAGTTTTAATTTGGCATGTTTGGTGTTATGGCCTTGGCGTTGAGATAATGATTTGGTTGTGGTGGAACAAGAGAAACATAAATGAGGAAGTGTTGTTCTTGTGGCGGGGTTGTTTGAGCCTGGTCGAAGTCTGATCATGCGTCCTGGAAAACCAATGGGCCAAAATGCAAATTGGCGGCTCAATTTGCCCAAAGGCCAAATCTAAACAAGAAGGTCGGACTTAGCGGTCATCATGCACCCTATGTCGTTTAATCTTCAATAAAGTCCATAGCTTAAGATGCACGATGTTCCACCATAATTCAGACCAAGAACTTAGAAGTCGAAACCCAACTTCCAACAATGGGTTGAAAATATCTGACTTCCAAAGTCGGAACATTTGGAACTTCTGAAGTGGATCAAGGTCCAGTCTTCTGACCAGCTAAGATCAAGGTCTAAAATTCAACCAAGGTCAAGTCTTCTGACCAACTAAGATCAAAGTCTCTGATCAGTCATGTCCTCTAATCAACCAAGTCAAGTTCTCTGATCCGCCAAGTTCAAGGTATTCGATCAGCCAAGGTCAAGTCCTTTGATAAGCCAAGGTCAAGTCCTCTGATCAGCTAAGGTCAAGGTCTCCGATCAGCCAAGATCAAGTCCTTTGATCAACCAAGGTCAAGTCCTCTGATCAACCAAGGTCAAGTCTTCTAATCAGCCATGGTCAAGGTCTCCAATTAGCCAAGGTCAAGTCTTTTGATCAGCCAAGGTCAAGTCCTCTGATCAACCAAGGTCAAGTGTTTTGATCAGCCAAGGTCAACTCATCTGATCAGCCAAGCTCAAGTCCTCTTAGCAGCCAAGATCAAGTCCTCTGATTAGCCAAGGTCAAGTCCTCTGATCAGCAAAGGTCAAGTCTTCAGAATAGCCAAGGTCATGTCCTCGGATCTGCCAAGACCTTGTCCTTTGATTAGCCAAGATCAAGGCCTTCGATCAGCCAGATCAAACCAAACTCCAAGTCTAGGTCGAGCAACTCTAAGTTGATGTCGAGCAACACCATGTCGGGGTGGAACCTAACTTCAAGGTGCGAACCCAACTCCAAGTCCAGTCAAGCAATTCCAAGTCACCAACATCAGTGGTTGTTCTAACCATGATTAGAATTCCAGAAGTTACAATGTCTCATCAGATGTCAAGCTAAAGTCTCGGAGGTCCAAGCCCAAGCCACATATTAGAACCCAAGATATTCAAAGGATCGCATGCACGTGATGGAGGCTTCATAAGGAAGGAAATCAAAGAGATTGAAGACAATCCGAAGTATTCCAAAAGAAGAGCGAATCAAGCAATCAGAAGGTCTCATCATTTTGATCCCACAGATTTGAAGGCTTCACAAAGAAAGATTTTGAATGAAGTTGACCTTTGGCCATTTAATGGCCAACCTATGGGCTGACGCACATCATCAGACACACAAACCTATTTTTTGTCTCGCACTTTTCCTTTCCTAGACTTAGGATTTTACTTTTCATGCACTTAATGTAGCAAGTTCTTCCTTTTCTTAGTGTAAGTTTACTTTGTTTCAATTTACATTATCTTATCTTTAAATTTCAAGTTTATTTCCATTGCTTTACCTTCATTGTTATTGAAGTTTTATTAAGTTTAATTTAGTTTATCGTTCTTATTTGTTATTCGTTTATCTCTTTGATCTATTTTATCGGACTTTAATTCTTGTCTTTAAGTTTAATCGCATCTTTAATTTAATTGCATCATTTTCATTTAGAACCCATAAGAATCACCAAAATACCCATACGACGCTTAACCATCCTCGAGCCGGAGGATGTGAAAGAACCTAGGCCAATAGGAGGTTCCTTGCTTGGTCGATCAATCACTTGATCAGAAGTCAGAAGCGCAATATATCCATCCAACGTTTTCCATCCAAGCCATTCAGTGGCTTGGTGGTGGCTCGCCTACGCAATCCACAAGAAGAAGGACCAAAAGTTCCTTCCGTCGGCCACCTCGGCCAACAAGATGGAAACATAATTTGGCACGCCCGGTGGGATTCACTATATGAGTGAACAAAAGGAATGGCAACATTTCTATTAGTCGATGAACTACAATGGCTATGATTCTTATGGCTCAAATTGCCAATCCATCAGCCAACATGGTAACGACAACCACTATGGCCAATACAATTTTACCCATCAAGGTGGGTCTAACAACCAGTATGACTCAAGTAGTCAAGTTGGTGGCCAATATGGTGGGTACAACTATATTCGCGGATATGATCTTATGAACCAAAATGGTTTGAATGATCAAAATGGATTTGGTGGCCAAACTAATCAAGTGGCATGGGGGCAGTACCTTTACCTAGATGGTCAAAATAATTCAACCAATATTTATGATCAGCCTAGTTATGGCTCCCACCAAACAAATCATCCTAATGGCCATAATGGCCAAAATGTTCTTAACATAAGTGAGAGGCCATATGTTGACTGCACGGACGAAGAACATCAAAGTTGATAAAGGAAACATCTAAAGTCAATGATGTATTTATGGAGATGGCGGATAGGTTTTATGTTTCCAACGAACTTTTGCTCCAACATTTGCGTGAAATCTCCTCACGACTTGCGATCGAAGAGCAAGTTCTTAGCCAGCAAGCTGAGGGGCAAACTCTTAATCCCAACCTTGATTCTCAGTCACAAGAGGAAAATTCTCATGTGGTTGCAATTCGCCCACCTATTCCACCTACTCCTCTAAAGGAAGGTGAGGTTGATATGGAATATGAGAGCGAGAAAGAGATAGGTGAGACGACCTTAGAATCAAATGTTCAAGTTGACATTCCTATTGAGAACCTGACATTGGTTGAGGAAAAATTGTCAACCTAATGGGATGAGTCCCAAAAGGTGGTCACCGATGAAAATTGCAATATGGTCCAATGCAAGGCAACCATCGTAGGATGTAATGGCCTACAATCTAGTGAAAAAGAAGGTCAAAGCATGACCTAAGATGCAATAATGATAGACATGATTGTAGGAGAAAAGCTCGACATTGTGAGACCACAATTGCAAGGTGTCAAGTTTATTGAGTCCCAGCCAAAGACCAAGATTGGCAGACCAAGTGGACTTGGGGGGCATGAAGGGTCGGCCAAAGTGATGGCCAGAAGTCATCCGAGTTGTACTAGTCATCCTAGTACTTCAACCCATCGCCAACGAAATGGCAAGATTTGATTCGAGAATAAGAAAGCTTTGAGTAAAACATGGTTGGCCACCACCATGGTCTCCATGAAAATTTTGTTCTATGCTGCCACCTACTAGGTAGGCCGTTAAGATTCTATTAAAGGTCATGATTCATTCTTGAACAAATTGGCTACTTAGTTTTATAAAAAATTTAATAAAAAAAATCAATGAAGTTGGCTTCCTCATATGACATATTATACTTAGTCTGTAGGCGAAGGTTGACATTGCTCATGGAAAGCTCAGGATTGAGTTCCATCAGTGGAAGATGAATGATGCCTTATTTTGGTCGTGCAAGTTGAAGTTTGTGATTTGTGGGTGAAAGATGACTTGGGGGCATATCCACCACCCAAGTAATCCGTCAGAGGGATTCACATGACTTTGATCATAATCAAATGTTTGGTTCACTCCCCATGAACAATCAGCAACAAAAGGTTCCAAACATTCAACAAGGCCAAAATGGCCTCAGTCGAGCCACGACCGTTGATCTCGACCATGTGTTGGTCGAAGAAGTTACGGAAGTTGCTAGAGGATCTGTCTTAAGGCCGAATAAAGCCACTTCATTGGAGGTCCAACAACTCATTTGGGCGATGGAAACTTCAAACCAACTCAACCATCAACGAATGCAAGAGACGGCTCAAAATATTGCTCATGCTGTGGCCCAGACCATGGCCTCTCAAAATGCTCAAATGAATGAAAGGTTGGATCGATTGCTAGGCCAACAAAATGGCCAAAATGGAAATCGAGTGGCGCCAAACGGAGTGCTAGCGACAGAGCCTTAAGCGGAGGCCTAACCAAATATTTTTGGGATTAATTCACCCCAACCTAATCCACCAGCTGGGAGCAACCCAGCCCCAGCAGTTAACGTTCCGCCAATTGTTAACAACCCATATACGGAGCCTAACCAATTCCAAGAATTCCTGCCATATAATCAATTTTACCCCCAAGCTCACTAGGAGGGAGGAGTCGATTTCGTTTGGCGGCATATCAACTAAGTCGTCGGGCTCGTTGGTTGGAATAATCTCAGTGGAAATGCAAATTTGTTCCTTTGATTAAAACTCAAAAGAGAAGGGCTCAGAGACAATATGCTGCCACAAGCAATGCAGATGTTGAATAGGCGGACAAGAAGCAAGCCTAACTTAACCGATTAGTCGAGCTTCGAGGAAAACTCCGACCAGATGAGTTGTAGTTAGCCAAAACCGATGTCGTGGCTTTATTGGAGGCAACAGTGGCGGAAGAAATAAATATGCACTAACAGGACCCGACCCAAATTTCACTTTGGAATATGAGTCGAACCCTATGCGTGTCCGTCACTTGGCGGATGCCGGGCACAAATGATCGAATTGCCCTTCTAACTAAAAATCAAATTTTCTTCAAGGTTGACTTCTATCAAAAATTCTGCAGAGTCTCCCCTATAAATAGTCTATTTCCAAATATTTCCACCTGTACAAAACGCAATATACATATATCCACAATCACTCAGCAAGCTCAATATATAATTCAAGCAACCAACATTTAAACTTTATGCCCTCAGGCCTCTCGAGAACAAATAAAATGTTCTGCCAATAGAAACGGATCCAAAGCAACGACACGAATACATTTATAGATTTCAAAATAACTTAACTGAACAACCTTTCAATCACTTGGTCTCGCAGCTGCAACTAGTAACTCTAGGTTGCCTATGTACCCTTAACAAGGGATCATGCCACACGTAATTCTTTCCCTTAATGTAATTGAATATCTTATTCATTCATCATATTGCCATGTGTTTTGTAAATCAAACTGAATTCTCATGTGCGTGATGTACTCAATCATATTCACAATTGTAAAACAATACTTTGCAACTTCCCAATACTCGTAACAGTCATATTCTGATAATAAATAAGCCATACACTGAACTCCCTCTATTTTAGTTGAAGAACATCTCAAAACCGAAATTCTCTCCACCTAAGTGTACCCCCATTCCTGATCCGTCAATTCCATTAATACCGTCAATTCCATCCTCCAAGGCCTCGGAGACACCAAATCTACTCGAGCCGTAATCCTCGCAAGCCTCGGAGATACCAAGTTTATCCGAGCCACAATCCTCGCAGGCCTCGGAGATACCAAGTCTATATGAGCCCCATTCCTTGCACCACACGGTTTAGGACTCGTTTACATGGTCATTTTCACACTTCTCAAAGGATATAACTGCCTCGGAAGACTCAAGGTCAATCGAGGGGTCGAATCGCCTAAACTTGGTTAACCGGGCCTGCGGGGCCTACGACCTCTGAAAACAAATTCGGGAGTCCCTATTGGTTCAACGCAATCTTCTAAACCTACCCTGCAAGTTGGGTCCAAATCGAACGGTCGAATTGATCACGATAGCATGATCGGACGACTACTATGTGATTCTGGGGGTATCTGGGACTCCAATTCATGATCCTTCGAATTCTATGTGATTCTGAAAATACAAGGTACAATATACGAGAATTTGGGTTCGATTCAACGGTCCGAGCATATCAAACCTGGAAATCACACAATAGGCGAAACCCGTTCGAGACTCAAACGGTGTCCAATTTGAAATCCGAGCACACCTATGCACTCGTGACAACTAAGGGATTACACTGGGACACCATGCCCCTCTGCTACAGTACCCACGCGCCGCCACGAGCTGACTGCGCGTGGATGTCCTGAGCGATACCGGTGGCCGAGAAACTTCAAAATTGAAGTCCACCCTTCCGACTGTAGCTACTACTTGATGAGTGGAGCAATTTATTCAACTACGACAACGTCCACTTTCGACGGCAAGTGGCTAGAATTTCAATTCGAAAACCGACAAAAACCTAGGTTTCAAAATCAAATTCCAAAATACAATTATTGTTCAATTCCTACACAACATGCAGCTAGAGCGTGGAAAAAGAGGAAGAAAACTCACCTCATTCGCTGGAATTGGGTGACAGTCGGAGCAACACAACGGCAGGAAGAAGCCGACTTGAACCGGTCAAAACCGCAGGCAAATCTCAAGCTTTCCGGCAGGGAAAAGGGGTGGGTGGTGATCATGGCGTCGAGATGAAACGAACGGAACTTGTGTCGACCCTTGCTGTGGGCGGAGCTGAGAGAATCGAAGAGAGAGGGAATCGGAGTTGGGGAGAGAGAGAGAGAGAGCTGAGCGTGCATGCGGAGAGAGGAGAAGATTTCTGATTTTTCTAAAACTAACTTTGAGTTATTTACGATTATGCCACTGAGACATTTTGATCGCCATCTCCTCATTACAACTCCGATTCGAGCCTACTACGTGTCTACAAACTCATCTCTACGTGCCCTACGCAATGGTCCAATTAGAATTTCCAAATTTCTTTCCGATCAAAAAGTCAACTTTTAACCCTATTAAAATATTCTGAGGTAATTTCATCTTTTACTTGTTTAATTTAATAACTAAAAATTAATTTAGGTTCGGGTTGTTACATGCATTGACAATGGGTGAATGGTCGAGTTGAGAAATCTAGGAAGGTTCAGTTGATCGGAACCTTTGAAGCAAACAATTCCAAGGCCAAATCACGTGGGCCAATGAAGGAGTTGGATGATGGACCACCAAGAGTTGAGAAATCTAGGAAGGTTCAATTGATGGCCAAAGCCCCGACTCTCAAGAGTCAAGTCGTGACTAAGGTGGTATCACCGCCCAAGGTCAATAAGGAAAAAGAGAATGAACATGAAATGGTTAAGGACATTATGGGAAAACCCTATACGAGAGAAGACAAGCCGAAGGTGGAAGAAGACCAAGTTATGGTCGATGTTCAGACACTCAAGGAGGAAGAAAAGGCCGAATCTACAGATGAAGTATAGGCCAAAAAGGCTTCAGAAAATCCTAAAGGCACCTTTACTGGCGATGAAGAGTTTTATGGGGACGATGAAGAGCATGGTGATGATGAGTACCTCAAAGATTTTCCATAAGACACTATGGAGCAAATTGCTAATGAACGTAGGGTGGGTAATACCAAGGCGAAGTTTGGGGACTTTGACGAGGTCGATGCCATGGTAGTCATAGTTCGTCTATTTTTGAAAGCTTAACCAAGTCGACAAAACTCCATAGACGAGAATGTCTTCGACAAAGTCGAGTCCATGATTCAAAAGGACAAACCAAAGGAAATTGAGGTGACTTGAGAAGTTCCGAAAGTGGAAGTGGCTTAACCTCAAATCGTGATGCTAAGGTCAGAGGAGAAAACACCAGAGAATGTGTGCTATGAAATGCCCACCAAGAGGATGGCGTACCATATTAAACCTCTATACGTAAATGTCACATCCCGGGATCGGCTCCACCGTTGCACAAAATTATCCGCTTTGAGCCCCCTCTCTGCCCTCACGATTTTGTTTATCGGAACTCATGAGCAACTTCCTAATGGGTCACTCATCTTGGGATTGCTCTAGCCCCAACTCACTTAACTTCGGAGTTCCCATGACTCTGAAGCCAATGAGCTTTCAAAAGGTCTCGTGCTAGATGGAGGTGGACATGTACATATAAGGCACATCACCCCATCTCCGTTGGTCAATGTGGGATGTTACAGTAAATGCTTATTTTGATGGGTTTTCGGCGAGAAGAGTTCTAGTTGATACAAGAGTCATAGAGAACATCCTCCTAGCCTCAATAATGAAGAAATTGAAGAAAATTTCAGATGATCTAATCCCGACCGAGACAACAGTCAATGGCTTCGTGGGAGATACCACTCCAAGTCATCCTACTCCAAGTCAGAGTAAGCGAAAAGGTCAAGATGACATCCTTCTTCTGGGTGGAAACAAAGTGTCCATATAGTGCTTTATTGGGTTGAGATTGGATCCACGAAGGTTGGGAGTGTGGAATTGGTTCAAACCGACTTATGGCCTTTCATAGCTTCAACAAAAGCAGTGGAGGACAATTTTACGAGGATGATGTTTGACCTTTTCATTTCACTAGGTCATATGGACAAAGAGTGTCTTGAGAAGACTATATGGTTATTGGGCTATAAAAGTGTTAGAGCATGGTTCAACCACCAACATGGTGGAATTTTTGCATCAAGACCCTGAATCGTGCCAATGAGATGAAAGAGTTGGAGTTCCATTTACTAGATCTATGATCATTTGATCCCACATGAAGAGCAGTCATGTATTATTACTAGCAAAGTCTTAGGAAAATAAGCTTAGAGATTCAGTGACTGAGATGGTCTAGTTCATGACTCGTCGAAGAAAAACCAATGTTTTGAAAAATATTACCCAATGGCTTGGGAGATGGAAGGGAAGTGACTGATCACTTTTATTGACTAAAAAGTTAAAAGATTAAGAGAATTTCGATTCCCTTACCCTACAGCCAAACTTTAGGTTAAAAGAATTGAGGGGGCAATGTTTGAGCCTGGTCGAAGTTCGACCAAGCATCTTGGAAAACCAATAGGCCAAAATGCAAATTAGCGGCTCAAGGTGCTTAATGGCCAAATTGAAACAAGAAGGCCGGACTTAGGGGTCATCATGCACCCTATGTCGTTTAATCTTCAATAAAGTCTATAGCTTAAGATGGACAAGTTCCACCATAATTCAGACCAAGAACTTAGAAGTCGAAACCTAACTTCCAACAATGGGTTGAAAAAATTTGACTGCCAAAGTCGGAACATCTGGAACTTCTGAAGTGGATCAAGGTCAAGTCTTTTGACTAGCTAAGATCATGGTCTAAAATTCAACCAAGGTTAAGTCTTCTAACCAGCTAAGATCAAAGGCTCTAATCAGTCATGGTCAAGTCCTCTAATCAACCAAGTCAAGTTCTTTGATCAGCCAAGTTCAAGGTCTTCAATAAGCCAAGATCAAGGTCTCTGATCAACCAAGGTCAAGTCCTTTGATCAGCCAAGGTTAAGTCCTCTGATAAGCCAAGGTCAAGGTCTCCGATCAGCCAAGATCAAGTCCTTTGATCAGCCAAGGTCAAGTCCTGTGATTAGCCAAGGTCAAGTCTTCTGATCAGCAATGGTCAAGTCTTCTGATTAGCAATGGTCAAGGTCTCCAATCAGCCAAGATCAAGTCTTCTAATCAGCCAAGGTCAAGTCCTCTGATCAACTAAGGTCAAGTCCTCTAATCAACCAAGGTCAAGTCTTCTGATCAAACAAGGTGAAGTCATTTGATTAGCCAAGCTCAAGTCCTCTGATCAGCCAAGATCAAGTCCTCTAATTTTCCAAGGTCAAGTCCTCTGATCAGCCAAGGTCAAGTCCTCTGATCAGCCAAGATCTTGTCCTTCGATCAGCCAAGATTAAGGTCTTTGATTAGCCAAGATCAAGTCCTTCAATCAGTTGGATCAAACACAACTCCAAGTCTAGGTCGAGCAACTCTAAGTCGATGTCGAGTAACACCAAGTCAGGGTGGCACCTAACTTCAAGTCGAGGTGCAAACCCAACTCCAAGTCTGTTCAAGCAATTCCAAGTCACCAACATCAATGGTTGTTTTAACCAAGATCAGAATTCCATAAGTTACAATGTCTCATCAGATGTCACGCTAAAGTCTCGGAGGTCCAAGCCCAAGCCATATATTAGAACCCAAGATTTTCAGAGGATCACATGCACATGATGGAGGCTTCATAAGGAAGGAAATTAAGGAGATTGACGACAATCCGGAGTATTCCAAAAGAAGAGAGAATCAAGCAATTAGAAGGTCTCATCATTTTTATCCCACAGATTTGAAGGCTTCACAAAGAAAGATTTTGAATGAAGTTGACCTTTGGCCATTTAATGGCCAACCCATGGGTTGACGCACATAATTAGACACACAAACCTATTTTTCATCTCGCACTTTTCCTTTCCTAGACTTAGGATTTTACTTTTCATGTACTTAGTGTAGCAAGTTCTTCCTTTTCTCAGTGTAAGTTTACTTTCTTGTAATTTACATTATTTGGTGTTTTAAATTCAAGTTTATTTCCATTGCTTTACTTTCATTGGTATTGAAATTTTATTAAGTTTAATTTAGTTTATCATTCTTATTTCGTTCTTCATTTAATTTACGTTCATTTATTACTTTGATCTATTTTATCGAACTTTAATTCTTGTCTTTAAGTTTAATCGCATCTTTAATTTAATTGCATCATTTTCATTTAGAACACATAAGAATCACCAAAATACCCATACGACGCTTAACCATCCTTGAGCTGGAGGAAGTGAAAGAACCTGGGCCAATAGGAGGTTCCTTGCTTGGTTAATCAATCACTTGATCAGAAGTCAAAAGCACAATATATCCATCCAACCTTTTCCATCCAAGCCATTCAGTGGCTTGGTGGTGGCACGCCTATGCAATCCAAGAGAAGAAGGACCAAAAGTTCCTTCCGTTGGCCACCTCGGCCGAAAAGAGGGAAACAGGGGTTGATGTTTCTATGGAGAGAAATTGATGGAAAGTGGAAAAGAAAGGCCAGAAACATTATAGAGAGAGAGGCAGAGGATTTTCTTAACGGCAGATTAGAAAAAGAAAAAAGAAAATTCAATGTTAGTTTACGTGTCATGTTGTTTATTCGTTAGATTATTGCAATGGTTCAGATTTTGTGAAATGCAAAGGCTCGAACTTACAATGTAGCCCATTAATAACCCCACTAATTTTATGATTAGGTTTTTTTGTTTTACTATAAATACCAGGTAAACCCTAGCAAAAGCATAGCATCTCTTGGTTTCTTCTTTACCTTGCTTGCTATTTAAGGAAAGACAAATTTGGCCTTGGAGGTTGGAGTTCTTTTGATGGCCAGAGAAATTTTGGTAAATTTGAGATATATATTGTATTTTATGATTGCAGTTCTCCCTCCTCTTTTGTTTCTTTGTAAATCATGTATATTTGAGAACAAACTTAATTGCAAGAAGCTTATCCTGATCATCCAAGTCCAGAGCTTTCAACCAAAATCATATTCTCTGATATACTCCCATGGCTACTAGTAAAGGACTTGATTCGGTGCGGGTGCGTATGCAAGTCTTGGTCCTCCCTCATCTTTAGCCCTTCCTTTGTTGCCACCTTCATGAACTTTCACAACAACGATAGCAACAAGAGCACCACTAAATTGAGTGTTGAAATCCCTGCTTGATCAAATATCACTATGCCAAAAAGGGCTTTAGCAATAGATAAAATCTGTTGCCTATTACACATAAATAGCGTGGTATTACACAAAAAAGCGTTGTTTGTCACTTACTACATCGGATATTTGGTAAACTCCGATTCGTAAATAATTTCCAGGTGCCAAAAAAAGGTTGACTTCTAGCGACTAAACCCGAAACAGTATTAGTAGTTTCAAAAGGGATAAGGCATCAGTAGTTTCAACTTCAGTTATTTCTGGAAAACTGAAGTTGTTATAAACAATAGGCATCACTTATGTAAGGAAACGGTAGGTATTTTGCTTGTTTCAGATCACACTTTACTTAGTTACTGTGTTAATATTTAAGAAAGTCCTCATTTCCAACTCATGTTGTGTTGCCATTGCTCATTAAAAAAAAAATTATATAAACAATAATTTAAATATATCCATAATTGTCTATATATATATATAAGCAAAATACTTGAATGATCCATATTTCTCACATCCAAATCACAATTTTACCAGCCCTACATCACAAATTATCCATACTTGTCTATGCATAAGCAAAATACTAGCTAGAAAGACATGTAAAATGAAGGAATGTTTAGCTCAATCAAAAAGCCATTCTAGGACATGAGTTGCCAACTCTTCTCGCACCTCAACCAATTCCATTTGGGTGTACGTGTCCTTCCTTCTAGCTCTATACTGGAAAAAATAAAAAAATACATAGACTGTAAGCACAAAATATGAACATAGGCTTAAAAAGTGCAAGGTACTAAATTTGCATAAGATATGTTGTCACTTCAAATGAACCAATATGCAAATTTACGAAATCATATTGGTGAACAAGAAAATCTAATTTGTCAATCAATCTAATTAGATAACAAGAAGTCAGTAATTGGATCCCACTTCATGTTTAAACTACCCATCTCAACGTTTTCCTATGAATTGTCTGTACAAAAATAAAACATCAATTAGGCTTTAACAAATGCCATGCCAATATCTCAAATTCTATTATCTATGTTTCCTACATTGCAGAACCAAAATTTCATATTGGTGTAAGTGTTAGAATATGAAATACAGTTGCGATCAATTACTGCAGCCACGACGACGGATACTATTGTATGTGCTAGAACCTGAATTTTTGATCTTAAAGAGTTAGAACAAAAAGGAGAAATGGTGCAAGAACAAAATGGTTAACATATCAAGAAACAAATATTAGAGCACAATAGAAAAAGAAATTAATCAATTATAGGGGAGTCAAGAGCAAAGATAGCAAAAATCGTGTTCAAGTATCTTTTAACAGAAGGTATGGGACAATAAAATTACAGTGGACTATGGCCCTGTTTGGTACAGCCGACTGTTATGGACTGGACTAAATCCTGGGACTTTCTTGGATTGTCTTGGCTTGGTCTAAGCTGGATTAAGTATTGACCTACGTTTGGTGATGCGTTGAACTAAGAAGCTGGATAACAAAACTAGTACTATCCTATGTTTGGTTTATGCTTGGACTGGGACAAAAAAAAATTCAAAATTTTCTTTGAAGTGATAATATTTTAATTATCAACTATTTTTACTATAATTCCAAGACCAAAAATTGGTATTAAATTTTCCAAAACTTGCCTATATTTTAAGAACATTTCCAAAATGTGAAAGTTCAACTTCCCTAATGTAAATTGCCAAATAGTCACTAAGTAATTGCAAACACAACATGCAATTGCAATCACAGTTTGCAAAAACTAAATGTATGTTTGCGAACATAACATGCAATTGCAATCACAGTTTGCAAAAACCAAATGTCTGTGTGCAAACACAACATGCGATTAGCAACATGACCTCTACCCTTTTATTCTTCTTTTCTTTGTTCATACATGGTGGTGAGACAAGCTCCAAACCATCCCAACATCATATAAAGCAAAACTCATACAATATTTATAGATGCAAAAGTTAGATATTTTATATATATGCGTCGTCCACATGGCTTGAAATTACAAATTTACGTTCACGTATTACTTTCCACAAGCACACAGACTAACAATAATAATAATCAACCAAAACCCACTAAATAACATATATAAATAAACATCCACAATTCCAAACTGAGACTAATAAAGCAGCAAAAACAAAAGCTATAGTAGATTGAAATATAACAATCATAATCATTATTCAAATTGCAAAGTGCTTAATCCTCAAGCAAATTAATACATGCTTAACTTTGAATGGAGATGTCTCAAATACAAATTGAAATAGAATTCACAAATTGGCTAGCTATTCATAAACCACAAATTGAAACATAACCCACAAATTGCCTAGTTATTCCTAGTTGCCCTCCACTCATTATATAGTTGCAAGGCCAAGTCATCCTTCCATGCAGTCCATTGATTGGATGGTTCGATAGTCCCAATCGTACCACCTTCTACTGTATTTTCTGCCTCATTAATTTCATTCACTTCATGCTCCATTGGATCCATGGACATCTCCCTCCTAATGAGATTATGTAAAAGACAAGCTGTAATTATCCGACATTGCGTCTTTATAGGGTAAAAAGACGGACTCCTTAGTATGCCCCACCTAGCTTTCAACAACCCAAAACATCGTTCTATTACATTTCTTGCTTTTGAATGCTTCATATTAAAATATTCTTGATGATTTGCAACTGTATATCCATCTCTCCATTCGGATATATGATATCTCGTTCCTCTATATGGTGCAAGAAATCCCTCACCATTTGTGTAACCACCATCTACCAAGTAATAATAACCTAATAACCAAAAATTAACAATTCATATTAGTATTGATATATAAATTTAATTCAAAATTTCACATAAAGTAAATACTTACTAATGGCCTTACCGGTGGGAACTTTTAACCCCATTTGGCCTAGTTATGGCATCACGAAGGACTCGAGAGTCAGATGCAGATCCCTCCCAACCCGGCAATACAAATATAAACTGCATGTTGCGTGAGCAAATAGCCAACACATTTGTTGCAATTTCACCCTTCCTAGTTCGATATCTTGGTTTATCAGTTTCAGGCACCCGAACTTTAATGTAAGTTCCATCTAGAGCTCCCAAGCAATTCTAGTAAAAGAAATGTTACCTTTAATTAAGTTCTAAATATTTCAAAAGAAGACAAAGAAACTTGGTAGAATTTCTCCAAATTTCCAATACAATAAACATACCTTAAAACATTTCCATCTATACTCTGTGCAACTCTCACCCACAGGTTTTGGCACTCTCAATAGGCTACCTTGCAATCTTAAAATTCCTTGCAACACAGAGTTGAAGTACCTACTAATGGTCTCACCCGATCAAATAAATCTACTTCTAATAGTATGATTCTTAACATGATGTGCAAGTACATGTAAGAATATACACACTTGTTCCTCCAAAGTCACCAAACCATCATTTTTAACCCTTCCATTAGCGTGAAACAACTCACATAATATACCAAACATCCTTAAATCCATTCTTAATTCGCTCACACACACTACATCATTCTCCAATATACTATTTAGACAACGCAACCGCGTCTTACGTCTAACAAAGGAACGATTATTAAGGTCACATCTTTCTATAAGCCATTGATTTCTCATCATTTTGAACATCATAAGCACAAGAATTGTGCAACCACACATTATCTCTAAATGCCACATTTCCATCAGTAATATCAACAAAAGCTTTCTTCGATCCATATCTAACAAATCATAGAAACCAACAAAGTATATGTTTGGATAATATATATACAACTCAACAAAGTTTTTGCATTGCTTATAGTACATGTTTCTTTTTTTTTCTTTTTTTCAACTAAAACAATTACACTGTCCACTTGAAAAGTGCCAATCACCATGAAAAAGAAAAACCAGCATCTAACAAACAGTTATGCCTAGCCACACATAGAGAAATTATAGAACATCCATGAGCAATTGAAAACTATTTGGAAATGAGAATAGCAAGCAAATTGGGCACATCAACTCTACTGATTCCCATTAGAAATTTCTTTATGAAACCCAAGTCTCCCTATTTTAACAGTTTATATAAGATAATTTAGCTGTGTTTCTTTCATTTGATCCAAGACTTTTCTACAAAAGGCCGATGTCAGAATTAGTTATTTGATTTCATAAGACTCTACCAGAATTTGACTCTACAACAACCAATTTCTAACCCATGTGGCTTTAAGCCAATAAATAAGACAAAGGAGGCCCTTCTAAAGATATTCAACTTTTGTGAATTGCTTAACTTTGAGCAAATTGATGGTGCATGGAAGAAATTTGATTCCCTATTTTTTTTCTTCTCACTTGCTAATATCTAGTCATTCTGTTGCAAACGACAATGACTTTCATTAAATTTGTTCAAAGCTCCAATTCCACCCATCAATTTATTCACTTCTTATTCCAAACAAAACCTCATAATCAAAACAATTCAAAAATACCCAATTATAATCCAATGAAAATTAACCATAGAAAAGTATCCAATTATAATCCATGAAATAAAAACCACAAATTGCCTAGAAATTTTCCAAAATGTGAGAGCTCAACTTCCCTAACGCAAATTGCCAAACCGTCACTAAGTAATTGCAAACACAACATGCAATTGCAGTCATAGTTTGCAAAAACCAAATGTCTGTTTGCAAACACAACATGCAATTAGCCACATGACCTCTACCCTTTTGTTCTTCTCATTCCAAACAAAAACCCCATAATCAAAACAATTCAAAATTGAAAACCCTAGATAAATATCCAATTATAATCCAATGAAAATTAACCAATACAAATGTTAATTCTCATCAAATTAAGCTAACTACAAACAACCACATAATCAAAACTTAAAAATCAAACTAAGAAATAGTAAATTGAACCCATCAAATATCACCAAGGAGAGAGACAAACAGAGAAGAAGAGTGGAAAGAGAAGAAGAGAGTTGAAAAACTAACCTTGAGTGAGTGAGAGTAGAGCACAACAGAAGATGAAAACAAAGCAATGTGGAAGAAGAGAGCCAGAGCAACGTCAAAGAGAAGAGGAGAGCACAGCAATGTTGGATAATGGCAGACTCAATAGCGTCTTCGTTATTTAGCGGCACCTCTTCAAAGTTTTCTATTTTGTGCCAACGAATGAAGTGTTTTTGGTAGGCCAGGATTATATAGTCTCATTTAACTTAAAGATGGGCTGCACCAAACATGGGCTTGGGGTGTTATTTATGTTAGTCCAATCCAAGCCAATCCAAGGAGGTGTACCAAACAGGGCCTATAAGTTTTCTAGTACCGGTTCTCCATTTATGTCAGTGCCTTTGTCATTTTCAATAAAATCAACTCATAACAATCAAGTAGGATTATAGTTTATGTAAAATTTCAACATGCAATGTCAAATATTGGGTCATAACAATCAAGCAAAAATTAAAAACTAGAAACAAATTGCTGGAATCATAATGGGCCAAAATTTGAACATAACTGGAAAACTTGACTTAAAATCCTAAAATGAAAGCCTATTGTAAATAACATACCGTACGATGGGATCCTTGCACATGTTGGAATTCCTCGTAAAGGTTATAGCTTCCTTCACTGGAGGGAATGATATTACCACATAACTTTGTGACCTAAAGCTGCTTACAAACCAACCTCAAATTCATATTGCAAACTTTGCTTCCAAAACCCATTAAGGAGGACTGAAACCAACACCACCATCAAAAGCATTACAAATTAATACTCTGTGACCTAAAGCAGTATATCCTAGTAAAAAAATTTAATAGCAATATATCCAAATAATGAACAAATAATTTAACCATTTTCTCAATTCTTCAAGTTTGCCATATTGTTGTTATGCATCAACATTTATAACAGACAATTTTTTTGCTGCAACTAAAGCCTCTTCTTTGTTTAGAACAATTATTGTACAATAATGAAGGAATAACATGTTGAAGTTCCAAAAGAAGTTAAAACAAAATAAAAGATACCATCTTGCTTGTTATAAAGCCCCTCAAGCACATGATCCCCACGACAATCTAAGGTCATGACAACCTGCATGTTATTCAGTTAAAAATGTCATTCAAAGGAAAACAAGAAGAAACAATGTGAAGAGTAACACCTGTAGAAAAAACTTTAAGAATTGAGTGAAACAACACAAAAAAAATGAAATAAAACATATTTGGAAAGAATTTTTGTAGCTTTAGTTTCATTTCCTAACGAAGAATGCAAATGACACAGAACCAATAGTTTTGATACCAGTATACATGGGAAATGAACAAAATAATCATAAAATTTCTGAATCCAGTTTGGTGACCAAATGGTTGAGAAACTCCTAAGAGGCTAGCTAAAGTGAAGGGAGAGGGAGAGAAACATCAAAGTCGTTATAAATATATGGAACTATTACGTGAAAGAAAATAGTGAACCAATGAGCTAATTATAACCAAATTTCAGTACTTACTGAGCCTTCAGCGATATCTATGCCAACATAATATCCAATTTTGGCCTTGTCCCATTTGATGAGATCACCCCCCTAGCCAAAAAGAAAAAAAAATATTAAAAAGAGAATATTAGTGGGAGGAGGGGGAAAAAGGAAGATGGAATGGACTACCAATACCTTGCCACATGCATGATCAAGTACAACATCTCCTCTGCTAGCATAGAGTTGAATTAAGACACTCTTAATCTGCTCAATATGAGAAGGAACTATAAGCAATTGGAAAAATATGGAGTGTGATTATACCATTATGGAGTATCTACGAGATTAAAGTACATACCCAATTGTTAAGCTTTTTTAAATGGATGATTGGATTAGCTTCTCGTTCTTCCAGCGTCTGATTCGTCCTTGCACTATAATGATCTTCCACTTTACGTGAAATTTTTTTTGTGCTTTCATCCTCCAAGAATTGTGAATCACCTAAGGCCACATTGTAAGAAACTCTGATTAATTAAAAGGAACAACCTAACACCGTTGTTGCATTCAATATCACTGCAAGTTTTGTACGGAAGAGCAAAAGAGATTTCAATATTGAAATTTTCATTATGTAGTGATTGAAAAGAGTAAAAAGTAGCAAAATCAAAATTGAGTTATATTCACCTTCTCTCAATTTCCACTGTTATAAACCAAATACGTTAGTTGGGGAACTAAGAATCCCAGGTTCGAATTAAACAGCCGCATTAATCAGGAACACGACAAATATTGAATGAATTACCAATCGAAAACACAAAATAGAAAAAGAGTTCAAACTTTGATGTTTCTCTCCCTCTCCCTTCACTTTATCTCTCTCAAATAAACTGTATCCATATATGATATGAATAACACTGTAATATTTCAGAATACATAACAAAATCATTATTAATATAACCTTTTTCAAATTGAAGAAAATCTCTAATCCGCAGCTATTTGCTTACAAAGTCAACACTTTGGTTAATCTAGTTGATTCGAAAGAATTCCTCAACACCATCTCTCCGGTCACTGTTAACATCATAATCCCTGCATTTTGATGAATAAACTTCACATAAGTAGAAATAATGATGATATATAATATAAAGGAAAAGGGAATATGACATTTCTTGAGCTTCTTTGGAAACAGAAAGGAAAGGCAAAATGTATATTAAAATGTTTCATGATCATAATTGAATGCAGCCTAGAATATGGCAAGAACAGAAGGGACCTGAAGTGTGGCCAAATGCGTTTGTTGGAGGCACCCAAATCCACCATCCAACATCAATTCATTCTCCTCACTAGCCTGATCAGAGACCTTCTTTTCTTCCACCTCAACCGCAGCTAATTAAAATGAATTCAATGTCGAACAAGAAAACAGAAAAATGTAATACGGCGAAAACCCAAAAAATAAAAAGTAAAACTTTACCAAAGTCAGGCTGCTCAACATGGCATACCGCTATAGTATTGACAGTAGAAAGTCCAAGATCATTTTGGCAGTGAGTCAAAATGATAACATTCTCAATTCCAGGGGTATTAGATTTTATGCCAGAATTCAACTCACTATATTCACTTGGCATGTTATAACCCACAGTGTCAGGAATGTTCAGAGTTGTTGCTCCAGCCTTTATAACTTCACCCAAATTTTGATACAAAAATTCCCTATCGGATCTAGAAGGGTTTGGGCCAAGAAACAAAAGACATTTATTATTAAAACACAAGAAATTGAAATGCATTAAATAGAAATCGATAATTGAAAGGACTGAAAGAAGTTTACGATTCATGATATGGACAAATAGGCTCAAATAGCAAGTCACAATAAAAAAATATTCAATCAAATTAATAGTAAGATACCCATACGATGATGATAAAGACCTCATTAAACTGAAGCATAGATCTATCAAGATTAATGATTTTTATTTAATTGCTTATGATTGAGTGCATGCATGCTTTGAATTGTTAATCACTATTTTAAACTATCTAATTGTCTTAATGCCTAATCACCATTAGGATCTTTAGAAAAGTAATTAGATGCAATTTTGGTCGGAAGGTTCCCTGAAATTAACGCTAGCTTCTTGTGAGTAATAATTGTAATTTCACTTAAGATGAACACCACGTCATAAGGGTTGCATGGTTTTTCAAAGGGTTTTCACAAAACTTAATGAGTCTTTCATGTTCAGATTTGATCCGAACGTCCAGACGGGTTGCATGTTGGATATACGTTCTATGTCGGAGGTTCCAAGTAGAATATAAATTAGGAAAACCTAACCTTCAAAGTGGCATGTGCAAATCATAAGTAATTGGTAGAAATTCATAGGATTGCTAGGTGATGGTGAATCCCTAGTGCTTTTATAAATTGGTATTTAAAAACTCTTTTCTTCAATCGTATTTGTTTTGTTTAATATTTGTTTTTGGTATCAACCAATTTCCTGTTCATCTTTCTCTATTTTTAATTTTAGGTAGTTAATTGGAAATTATTTTTACATAAATTGCTAAATAGTCCTTGAGGAGAACGACCTTGCATGAGCATCTATACTACAATAGCCTTGTATTCTTGCAAGTATTTTATGTGATTTTAACGCTATTTGCACAGGTACTAAAAATTCTATCAAGTAATTGGCGCCGTTGCCGGGGACTATTTTAGATAATTTTTGTTTAAACTTTTTCTGATTTATTTATTTATTTTTTTAAATTTCGTCAAAAAAAGTTTTTTTGAACAAGTTTAGTTTCTGTTTCAGATTCTGCTGACTACATTGTTCATACCAGATTAGGAACTGCACAGATTGCACAGTTTGATCCAGAACCAGAGTGCACCCTACACAGACAGCGAAGAGAAGTTAATTGGGCCTGGGACTGTTCACTACAAGGCACTTTTCTTCAAAATTTGTTTGCATATGAGGGTAACATGGCGTTAGAAATACCTGCAGCAGGCAGACCACTCAGAGAGTCGTTGGCATCCCGTGCCACTGATGTCCCCAATTGCATTGTGTATCCTGAGCAAGAAGAGGGTGATTCGTTCGAGATCAAGCACCATACGCTTGAAATTCTACCCATTTTTCGGGGGCTGCCTAATGAAGATGTGAACATACATATTGCAAAATTTATTGTAGGTTACAAAAATATTTTGATTCGGGGTTTTTCTACTGAAGCTCTTAAGTTACGTCTTTTCCCTTTCACTTTGAAGGACAAGGCAGAAACTTGGTTATTCACTCTACCGGCTAATAGCATTACTACTTGGCAACAATTACATACAAAATTGTTGAACAAATATTATCTAGCTACCAAGACATTGAATTACAAGAGGGAGATTTTGACATTCACACAGAAGCCTAATGAAGAGTTTCATGAAGCATGGGAGAGATATACAGAGATGTACATAAAGTGTCCACATGTTAATATTGATTTAGATACACAGATGAATATTTTCTTTGATGGGCTTAATCCTACATCTAAGAGCCATGCGAATGCATCAGCTGGAGGATCATTGTCAAATAAATCTACAAGAGAGGCATTTCAATGTTTGATATGATGGCTACAGAATCTCAACAATGGGCAGCAGAACATTCACAGAAAAGGGGCATTTTTGAGTTCACAGCAGGTTCTCCCAACATGTCTACACAAATGGAAAACATGGAGAAGAAAATTGATGCAAAATTTGATATTCTTCTACAACATATAGCAAGTTCTACACAGCAGCCACTTGCAATAACAGTTTGCACTATCTGCAGCATGGCTACACACGACATAATGGGCTGTCCGCATAAATAATCATACCCAGATGTTTGTGCCTAATAAGTCGACCCTGGCGCCTATAGTTTCGTCGAGCATTTCGCCTTCCTGAAACAAAAGGAAAACTGTAAAGGCAGAATCCTCTCGGCCTCGCGACCGCAGTGTTGAAGGCCGAAGCCGAAGGCCGTAAAAGACACGGCCGAAGAAGCTGTGGTTAAAATGCCACGTGGCCTCAGGGTCCCACGCCCCATTTAATGAAGTAATGCCTCTGACTTCGTAGCAAACCCACTAGTCGCAAGAAGCATTTAATGCACAAGGGAAGTGACTGAAGTCAGGATTTGGTGATGGAAATCAGGGTGGTTAGGCGTAGACATTCTCACAAGTAATCTTACGACTTAAGGTCAGATCACCAACCACCAGACCAGGGCATTAAATGCGTTCCCAAGGCCAAGGGGGCAGAACCCACAATTAGGGCAGTGACCGAGATTTACCGAGATTTATGGGGGTCACACCACCATGCTTCTCAACCCCAAGCCACCATACTTCACGATCCTAAATGCCGATTTGACTAGCCACTTGCCCCAGTCAGGCTCCACCACGCAGGTCTTGTCAGCCTCGATTGTCCCTCCAGGACTCCTCCTATAAATACTAAGCTCAGGACTATATTCAAAGGGTTTAAACACCAAACCAAAAGCCTCCCACGGAGCAAATTATATTTTCCTGTAATGCACTTTCAACACCTTTATTTGCTTTCCTAAGAGTAGTGGTAGATTGTAAGGAAAATCCATTCATCAATATATCATACGACCCTTGATTTTCAAGGCACCGGAGCACCATCTCTGTTATCGTTTCACTCACCCCATATATCATACGATCGTTGCTCTCTGAACAACGCGCCGGAGCACCGCCTAAAACCCGCCACCAACGCCACCACTAAACGGCCTTGTAGCTTAGGCCGTGAACCTGACGGCCGAGATCAGTTCCTCTCTTGGCCACAATCGTTTGATTTGGAGTCGAACGCAAAGCAGGCACAACATTTAAACCATCTTCTATCCGAACCTCATCATCATCTCGACGCACGGTAGACCGTGCTGGCATGCCCGCGCACAATGGCACCGCATCCAAAAGAAGGATGTCACGTGTTGACACACATCCCCTCAGCCCGGAGCACCAGGCCGTGAGATTCGCGACAGCCAACACCAGAGCTTGTTGAACAATATGTTAATATTATGAACAGCTATTAAAGGCCTAGGAACGATGCATATGCCAATCATTACAATCTAGGATGGAGGGATCACCCTAATTTCAATTGGGGTGACAATTAGAATAATGCAAAACCATTCTAGCATGCACAAAAACCTTTTGTCCCATCCAAACCATCTTTGGATGAACAACTTGCTAAACTGGCAGTAACAACTCAATCATTCATCAAGGGCAACAATCAAAGCTTTCAAAATGTGGAAGCATCAATTAAAACTTTGGAACAACAATTTGGACAACTAGTTGCACAAATTTCAAACAGAGAAAAGGGCAAATTTCCTAGTCAAACAATGCCTAATCCAAAAGGATGTGAAGATTGCAACGTTGTTCGGATTTTACGATGTGGAAAAAGCTATGACAAGGAGCAGCAAACAGTGAAGGATAATGCAAAATATTTGCAGCAGCAGAACCTGCCAAAACATTAAAAAAAAACATAATCTGTCAGATCCTGAAATTGTCCCAAAACAAGTTTTACAGCGTGTTTATGACCCTCCATTACCTTATCCTGAACGTTTGAAGCCAAAAGTGAGGGATCAACAACTCAAGGACTTTATGCAGACATTATCTAAGGTTCAAATCAACATTCCATTACTGGATGCGATCAAGAAAATTCCATCATATGCCAAGTTTTTGAAAGAAGTTTCCAGTAGAAAAAAGAAGCTTGCATATTTGGACAAAGTTGTTTTGACAAAACAATGCAGCGCAGTTTTGCTACACAAACTGCCACCTAAGAAAAAAGATCCAGGGAGTTTTAATATTTCTTGCAGCATTGAAAATTCTAATTTTAAAAGTGTTTTAATTGATTTGGGAGCAAGTGTTAATTTGATGCCTTTTTCTGTTTTCCAGCGATTGGGACAAGGAGATTTAAAGCCTACATCAATTACACTTCAACTAGTTGGCCGTTCAATCACTTATCCAAGAGGTGTTATTGAAGATTTAATTATTAAGGTTGATAATCTTTATCTACCGACAGATTTTGTGGTTTTAGACATGGATGAAGACTTTTACACACCTATTATTTTGGAGAGGCCATTTATGGCAACAGTTAGGACTTTAATTGATGTGGAAGCTGGAACATGGACTTTACGGGTTCAGGACCAATCTGTGGTGTTTAATTTGTTTGAGGCAGCGAACTGTCCTGCTGAGCAGCAAGAATGTATGCGCATTAACGTGGTAGACAGTATGGTTCAAGACAATTTTTATGCCAGTTCGACTACAGATCAATTAAACCATTTGCTGAGAAAAAGCGAAAATTGCAGTTAAATGAGCTTGAGGAAATTCGTCAAGGTGCTTATGACAATTCTCACATCTACAAGGACAGAACTAAGGCATTTCATGACAGTCAAATTTTACAGAAGGAATTTCAGCCAGGACAGAAGGTTCTATTATTCAATTCAAGGCTCAAGTTGTTTCCAGGGAAATTAAAATCGTGCTGGACTGGACCGTACCTGGTGACTCAAGTTTTTCCTCATGGGGCAGTTCAAATCACTAATGAAGCTAAAGGCAACACATTCACAGTGAATGGTCACAGGCTGAAACCCTACGTGGAGACACCCTTCAACATTGCAAACGAGTCTTTGACTCTAAAGAAACCAGTGATTTGACCACCAGACTTCTGAAATGTCTAGCTACAGACTTAAAATAAAGCGCTTATTGGGAGGCAACCCAATTTTTCTAAACTCTTAAATTCTTTTATAAACATTAAACATTAAAAAAATCAAAAAAAAAAAAAAAAAAAAATTGTTGTTTTCTTTAACTAGATGTTGGTATTTTCTTTCTACTCCTAACACATAATTGATTCAATGCAGGACACAACAATCATTAGCAAGCATAAAAAGCAGAAAATCCTATGCTGGAATCATGCACCCCACCAACAATTCTATATGGAATCATGCACCCAGTAGCAGTCCTATACTGGAATCATGCACCCAGCAACAAGTCTACATTAACATCACCACATCTACACTACACTGGGAATTAAAGCAATTAACATGAGATCACTCACAGATGCAAGTTTGGGGGTAGTTGTGTAGATCTAGTGCAGACACATAATTTTGAACAGTTAAAACACAGAGCCCTACACCACAACATTGAGTACAGCTTTCACTACCGGATCCACAACCACAAAATTTGTAGGAATTCGAAATTATACTCACATGAAGCACGGATCCACCTTTCACCCTCCCATGTGATTCCACGTCCTTTGAGCTGGTGTGTTGGTTGTCCTCTCCTGGATCTGCATCTTTCCTACACAATGCACATCTATTGCCTCACTGGCAGCACTAGCTTTTCAATTGCATCACCAGACGTGCTAGATTCAACATCAGATCCAGATGCATGACATCTTGGTAAGCCTCCATCAAAATACTCGGAACCCAGACTCTGTCATGGCCAAATACTCAGAACATCCACCATACACGAGCTGCACTATAGATCCCTTTTCCATCATACACCACTAGATCATTTTTGTTCTCAATGCCAAGAGCAGAAACAGCAACAGCCAAGGCTCCCTTTTTGTAGTGCGATCTGATATTCCATCTACATCAAAGAAAAGTGCACCAAGAATGTCAGCAACCTGATATTCTTGAATTGAATTCCTTTGCTCGTCAGGCATGTACCAAGAGGCATCCAGCACCTTCATATTAGATTGTGTTGTAAACTCTACTCTTACCCCAGCTACTAAACGTGCCAAGAATTGAATTTTCCGTCACTAGCTCCAACGCATCAACCTATAATCTCGATTTCACTGCGAAAATTGGGGGTAAGGCATCTACACACATATGGGGTTCTTTGACCCAACTCAAATGCACCAACCCAAATTCCCCTTTTTCCGAGCATTCGGCCTTGAACCCATTTGCGCCAAGCAACCGACAAGCTCTGCTCTTTCTTTGGCCTTGAGCTCTAACCCATTGTTTGAAAAACAAAAATTGACATTTTCTGATGAAATAGGGTTTTTGGGTCTAACAAAGGAGGGCTCTGGGCACGGGGCTAGTGGAAGGGAATCTACAATATGTTCAAGAGTAGCTAGCTTTTAATTTTTTTAACGACAGATGTAGCAGCTACACCTGGTTATATTGTAGTTGTCGCTCGTATTTAACACAATTGTGGAGTTGGAGGAGTTGGTCAATGCATATTTGCAAGATCCCAGGTCCCTGGTCCTGCCTTCGAATCCCCAAGGTGTCTAATTTCCGGGTATCTAGCTGCCCAATCCCCACAAGGAAACTAAGTTAAAATAAAATAATACTAGGATATAAAATCCAAATTGGATTAGGAGAATCTGCCCACAATCTGGTCAGCCACGTTTTGGTCTCAAATCACTTCCAAATCTGGCCCAAGATAGCTTGGTTTAAAGATAAAAATATTCTGAACACTTCTCCAGAAGGTCACAAACCCATCCGAGGTCATCTTGGGCTCCAAAAATGCAATAAAAGCCCAAAACGTCACTATTCCAGCACAGCGCACTGCTCCTTTATTTTATTTCCAGAAAATAAAAGTTCGGTAGAAAAATCTGAAATTTTGATACGATCAAGCTAAGTGACTCACGTTCGTCCTCCAATTGGAATTACTCCAAAATTCTTCCATTTGATTATGTTTTGCTACAGAGGAAGTCGAAAGTCCTATATTAGAAATATAATTCAAAGTATCAAAATTCTTCCAAAATATTAACCAAAATGTACTAAGAATGGGGTTAAATATATAATATAAAATATACCCATCAATTAACAAAGAAAAAAATGAAAAAGATCGGAGATTAAAGCACAATGAAGACCTAACCATTAAGCGGCGTTATAGAGGCTGATTAGGAATCTTCTGAGCGTCCATAGGTGTAGAAAATCAAACTTGAAAACTTCGAAATTAACCCAATATAATTACAATACCAGCTAGAGTGTGATGAGGAGATGGATATCCATACCTCACTCATGAAAATAGTGGCTAGAGTTGCCGGAAATAGCGACAGAAACTCAAAAACCTCACCTCGGCTCAGGGAGGGGCAAGGGTGGCTGAGAGAGAAAGAGGCAGTGATGGAGGAGAGAGAAGAAAGAGAGAGTTTGAGAGGGACAGAAAAAAAAATGAGAGGGAGAGGGGAGTGAAAAAATTGAGAGGGAGATGGAAGTTAGGGCTAGAGTTTGAAAGGGACTAAAAAATTGAAAGGGAGATGAAGGCTAGGGTGAGAGTTTGAGAAGGAGAGCATGAACATTTTTGGACCAGCATTGACTACACTTTAAAAAAAATGTCCCTCATTAAAAAAAAGAAAAAGAAAAAAAAAGAAAGGCAAATCACTTTAGGCATTTGTGATTATAAGAGATGATGCTAAAGGGGAATCAAAGGCATCGTCATAAAAACCAAAAATTCGTACTGATGTCTTTATGCCTGTTTAGTATCGTTATTTGCAAAATTGATGCCTAATATACTAATAGCATTAATTTTCCGTTTATCGATGTCTATGTAGTGTTGCTGAAAGTGAAATTTGGCATAGTGTACGTTGTTGTGCATATATGGTTGGCAGCCTAACCGAAGTATCTTACTCGAGGTATCCTACCCGTTTCAATGTAGCCTAGCCAATATGGCCTAACCGAAATATCCTACCTGTTTCAATATAGCTTAGCCAATATGGCCTAACCTTACCCATTTCAATATAGCCTAAGCCAATATGGCCTAGTCAAAATGTCATACCCAAGCAATATCTGCTAGTCAACTCCTACTGCCTCAGCCATGTGCAGACCACCCTCGGGGATATGGTTATTTTGGTTGCTTTTTAATTCGAAAGGATTTTAGGGAATTGGATGGCACCATGACGTAGATCGCATTGATATGAGTTTGTAGACAGGTAGTGGGCTCAAATTGGAATTGAAAGGAAGAAGTTAAGATCAACAGAAGCCCAGTGGCATAATCGTAAATATTTTGAAGTTGGATTTTAAAATATCAAATTCCTCTTTCTCTCTCTTAAATCTATCTCTCTCTCCTCTGAACAGCCATCGCGACACCAGCAACTTCCAACAGAGATTCCTGCCAACGCCGGCCTTCTCCAGCCTCAAAACCGGTCCTTTTCTCTTCGTCCCTCTCTCCTCTATACATCTATACCAATTTCCAGCTGTGATTCTAAGTGATAAAACCAGAAATTCAAACCAAAGTGAAGCTCAAATTGGCTGTTTCAAAAACCATGGTTGTCGATGACTTTTCCAGCCAACTTCGGCCACCCCTAGCCTTGTTATCGCACCCAAAACACTCCCCTACCTTCCCTCTATAATTTCCCTCAAAGACCTAACCCAATTTCATGTAGAAATCATTGAATCCAAAGCCAAAACTTTCTAGGTTTTTCGAAGAGAAAACAATTCGTTCAAGGGCATTAACGACTATGGAGGACCAAATATATTTCTAGCCTAGTACAACACCTAACTTCGGAAGAAACCCAACTTGGGTATGCAAGAGTTGATCATATGCGCTTGCACACATGCCACGCCAAGCAAATGAGCAACACGCCAAGCAAATGAGCAACACGCCACGCTACAAGCTTAAGTGGGCCTAAGCCACTCAAATGCCTAAGGGTTGCTGAGTGGGTTGTGGTATGGATGGTTATGAGCATTCACAAGGCTCATTGATGGGCTAAGAAGTGGAAGTTTTGGGCTGCTTGGGAGCCCCAAAACTTAAGCCTATTTCTTGATCCCAAATATGTGGGTAAGCATGAAAGAGAGAAAAGGGTAGCCCATTACCCTAGAAAATTGGCCCATCCCCTTAGTTGCGAACTAGCCCATTACCTTAAAGAATGGCCCAAATGACCCATAAAATATATAAAAGTCTCCATCACATGGCTGGAGAACAAATCCCAACACAAGCCATCCAAAAACCAAAGGATACTTTAGCAAAACACCCTTTAGACCAGCGTCATTACCCACTCATTTCTCCTACCAGCTCTTGCCATGAAATAAAGGAGGAAAGAATGAGAGATGGTAGCCAAAGATAGGAAATTGCCACAGGAACAGTTGCGGGAAGACTCTAGAGCTCTCAAAAATCTTGTCTCTGTGCATTTGGATTGAGCAAGATTTCATAAAAAGAGGTTGAATCGAAGGAAGAGAAGAGAAATGGAGGAGAAGACTTGGCTGAAATTGAGAGAACCTATTAGGGTTTCTTGAGAAGAATGAGCTTCCAGCACCTATAAAAGGAGGCACCTTCTACCTAACAAAACACCCTGACACCAAATTCAATTCCTTATTTAAAGTATTTAATTCAATTAAATTTGAATTTACAAATTTACCCTTGGTGTAGGGGTATTCTGGTCATTTTCTTATCTGGAGAGAGTCTGGGGCAGTGAATGGTGTTGTTGGGTAATTCGCACTGAGATGAGTCCGTAGACACGTAGTGGGCTCGATTCGGAGTTGTAACGAAGGAGTTACGATCAAAACAAGTTTAGTGGCATAACCGTGATTTTGTCGAAGTTGATTTTTAATAAATCTGTAAACTCCATCTCCCTCTCACTCTCTCTCTCCCCATCGCGAACAGTCCCCATACAGCTGATCGATTTTCTCCTCACCACCGCCACGTCCGGCCTCCATTTTCGTCGGCACCGATCCCAAAAGAACCAGCTCGTCATCCTCTACAAGTCCCAACCCTTTGCTGCTTCGATCTACCGCCGGTGTCGCAAGAAAACGTCAAGAAACAGCCGGATTTTTCGCAAATTTTCGGCCGCTCGTTCTCACACTTTTGGCAACCAAATTCTTCGAACTTGGTATGCATTTCTATCCTTTCAACATGCTCTAGCTGCTGATTGTGGTATTTAGGATCAATTTCTGAGTTTTGAAACGTTTCCAAGCAATGGAAGTTTTGGCTGGTTTCGGCCTCTGATTCCGGCCACTTCCGTCCACATTTTGGGGTAGGTTCAAGAACAAAACTTGCTCCACTACATGTAGTTTACCTAACTTGGAAGTCTTGGCCATCGGTTTGGAGTTTTTCTAGCCGCCAGAAATTTCTTTGGGCACCCATACGCTGCCGGTGCGTGGGGTGGCGCGTGGGAACAATGCCGGTCTGCCATTTTGTTCTAAAATGATCCTTGTGTTGTTCCAAGTATAACGGTATTCTCGGATTTCAATTTGGTAATCGTTTGATCGTCGATCGGATATCGCATATAGGGCGTTATCCGGGTTCGATATGTTCGAACTGTTGGATCGATTCCATTCCAATATATGTTACTCTAGACCTTCCTAGGACCGTGAATCGGAGCCTCGGATGTTCCGATTCAATAACTTAAAGTTTGCGTTTTGCAAAAAACCGTTTGATCGTGAGCGATCTAACCGTCCGTTTTAGACCAAACTTACAGGACGTGTATCCTAAACCTTGTGGAACCCTTAGGAACTTTCATTTTGTCTCTTTCCTCGTACACTCTTTAGAAACCCAGGAAACTAGGATTTTAATTTAAAGTTCTCTTTCAAAACGCTTGGTGTTAATCTCATATTCGTATTCTGAAATAGGTACTCCGACCATGCATACACAGCAGGTGGGACCCTCTCAGGGTCAAGCAGTGTGGGACTACTTGTGAGTGGACTTTGTTTTCAAATCTTAAGCATGGTTTTATTGATGGAAAATATTGCATACTGTTTTAAATGGTATATTGGATTTATTATATATTTTATTGTCGAATTTGATGTTCTTATAAAGCTTTGGCATTATATTTTGGGTTTTGACATATTTGAGTATCTTGAGTATGTATGTATGGATTTTGAGAATTTCTATCTGTATTGTCTATGTGTGGGGTACTTGGGTTGTTGAGTTGAGATTGTGGAAAGGTTTGAGTATAAAATGTCAATTTCAAGTGCTATAAGCACTACCCTATGTACCTCCCCGGATTTGGAACTTGGATACGGAAACTTGAGATACTTGGATTTGTCGGACCTGGGCATCCTTGACGGGATGTTGCTATAGATCCTTGATTGGGTAGTCTGCGAGCGTAGGACTGGTTTTCAGGCGTACAAGCTTTGAGAGTCTCAGTTGTACGTGCTGGCTGAGAGTTAGTCCCCCAGTTGGACGGCTCGTTCCCTAGCCACATGGTGAATTGAGGAATTGCTCTGCCATGCAGACTAGTCAAACAATCCCCCGGTTGGATTGTTTCCCCGGTACAACTAGGTGTTGGTTATATTTTATGATATATATATGTCTTAGTATATTATATATTATTATGTATGTATATATATAACTACTCATTTGTTCTTGTTTCTCGGTGAGGATACTTCCTCGCCGGTCATGCCAATGGGTGCGCTTTCGAGAGTTTAGTCGTGGGATTTGTAAGATTTTGGATGGTGGGTTTGTAAAGTTTTCTTCATGGATTCGGACTTGGAATCCGGTATGGTTTTGTTTCGATATATGTATATATGCTTGATTAAGATGGTTTTGGGATGCATTTGGATTTCTTGCTTGATTTACTAAACGGTGGGGTTATATTATGTTGGTTTACACTGAACTGAACTTTATTTTTGTCCAGTCACAATTTTCTGTTTTGCGCCCCCCAGCCAGTAGTTGACCGAGCTCCGTAGCTGAGCCGGATCGTGTGCTTCCGAATCTTGAGCCTTCGTAGGAACTCTTTCATCATTTCATTCCTGTTGAACTTTGTTCTTGTTGTAACTGAAATTCGTAGACATGCTCTGTTATCGCCCGTATAGGGTTTGATTTGTGAGGCCGGAGGCCTTTGTTGTAAACTGTTTGTTTGCTTTAAAGCATGCTGCTGGTTGGGATTGTTAAACTGTGAATTTTGAGCAGGTTGAAGTTGGGAAATGTTTAATTTACAGGGGAGACTCTGCCAAAATTTTGGTAGAAAGTCTCAACTCTTAGTAAGTGGGCCCGGCGTTGGGGTGATGTCGGTATTAAGGCGGGATCCGTCCCAGTTTTTGAGGAAATTCAAGGCGGGTCCTGTCAGCTTGGTATCAGAGCATTAGGTTCAATTTCCTGTGGACTCCGAACCTTGTGCTTCTTTAGTAGTGTTAAGCGTCTGGTGTTCCGTTTTGGAAGGATGTCTCTTTGGTGTGGTTGACCTCATAAGTTCCAAGCACGTTTCGCGAGTTTGTTTCCTCTGACACGTGGTGATTTTTAGCTTTCGATTGGTAAGGTTGTTGGATTGACTTCGAGAGTTGACTAACTCTTTTAACGAGTAGCGATCTAGGTTGTAACAAGATTCTGTTTCTTATTCGGATGAGACCATAAGGTAACTCTTGTGATCTCAAAACGGCTTTAACGAGTGCCTATTGGTTTTGCTTGTGTGAGCTGAAGCTAATCCTGTAGGAAATTTGCAATAAGCGTTTAGAGAAGGTTTGGCTGAGTAGTAGTAAGTTGGAGCAGGAAGCTTTAGTATCTCTTTGCCTACGGGCGATGTCTTGTTTGCGAACATGGTTTTCAGAGGTTGTTATGTCCAAGTGGGTGATGCCATGTTGGAAGCCGATTTGATTCCCTTGGACTTGGTTAACCTTGACATCATCTTGGGAATGGATTGGTTGGAAAAGCATCGTGCATTAGTGGGTTGTTTTCATAAAGAAGTCGTACTTAGAAGTCTGGGACAACCTGAAGTAGTATTCCGTGGAGAGTGTAGAGTTCTCCAATCTTGTCTCATCTCCTCCATAAGGGCAAAAAGGTTACTCAAAAAGGGTTGTGTAGGTTACTTAGCCCACATCATTGATACTCAAGGGGTCACTCTGAATTTGGAAGATGTTCCTGTTGTTTGTGAATTTCCAGATGTCTTCCCAAATGATCTTCATGGTTTGCCTCCTTAGAGAGAAACTGAGTTCACTATTGAACTCCTTCCAAGCACGAATCTGATTCATCAAGCTCCTTATATAATGGCACCAGTAGAGTTGCGTGAGTTGAAGACTCAATTGCAGGAATTGGTTGATCTTGGGTTTATCCGACCTAGTGTTTCCCCTTAGGGTGCACCAGTGTTGTTTGTAAAGAAGAAGGATGGAACCATGAGGCTTTGTATCGACTACAGGCAATTGAACAAAGTGACAGTGCATAATCGATATCCTTTGCCTCGAATTGATGACTTGTTCGATCAGTTAAAGGGTGCCAAGTATTTCTCCAAGATTGATATGAGATCGGGATATCATCAACTCAGAGTACGAGAGGAGGATATTCCGAAGACAGCATTCAGGACTCGTTACGACCATTACGAGTTCTTGGTGATGCCTTTCGGATTGACAAATGCTCCAGCAGCGTTTATGGATCTCATGAACAGAGTGTTCCGACCTCACTTGGATCGCTTTGTGATTGTGTTCATAGACAACATCCTTGTATATTCCCGAACTTTGGAGGGTCATAAGAAGCACTTGAGGTTGGTGTTGAGGACTTTGAGAAGGGAGCAGCTTTATGCCAAGTTCACTAAGTGTCAATTTTGGTTGGATAGAGTGGACTTCCTTGGACATGTGATATCAGCGGAAGGAATCTATGTGGACCCTCATAAAGTAGAAGCTGTTGTGAATTGGGTGCAACCCACAAGTGTAACAAAAGTACGGAGTTCCCTAGGGTTAGAGGGCTACTATCGTCGATTTGTAGAAGGGTTCTCCTTGATAGCAGCACCTCTTACTCGGTTGACGAGGAAGAATGTTAAGTTTGAGTGGACGGAGGAGTGTAAATAGAGTTTTCAGGAGCTGAAGAAGTGGTTAACCACCGCACCTATTTTGGCTCTTCCGGATAACTCGTGGAACTTTGTGATCTACAGTGACGCGTCTTTACAAGGCTTGGGATGTGTTCTGATGCAGCAAGATCAGGTGATTGCTTATGCCTCGAGGCAACTCAAGAAGCATGAGCAGAATTATCCTGGCCAAGATTTGGAACTTGTCGCAGTGGTGTTCGCTCTCAAGATTTGGCGACATTACTTGTATGGTGAGACATGTCTGATGTTCACGGATCACAAGAGCCTCAAGTACTTTTTCACTCAGAAGGAGTTAATTATGAGACAGCGACGTTGGCTGGAATTGATTAAGGACTATGACTGTACAATTGAGTATCATCCCGGTCGAGCTAATGTAGTAGCAGATGCACTGAGTAGGAACGTCAGTGGAAACTTAGCTCATCTCATAATGGCCTTCCTTCCGTTATTGGTGGAACTGCAGAAGGATGGTGTGGATTTGGAAATGACTCAACAGGGAAGAATACTTGCTAGTTTGCATGTGAGGCCTATTCTGGTTGAGCGGGTGATTGCAGCCCAATTGGACGATCCTAATCTTTGTGTGATAAGGTTGGAAGTAGAGAATGGCACACGGACGAATTATGCAATAAGAGAGGACGGAGCATTGGTGACTGGAACTCGTCTCTGTGTACCTAAGAATGATGACCTGAAAAGAGAAATCATGAAAGAAGCTCACTGTTCCACTTACTCTATGCATCCGGGTAGTACTAAGATGTATCGGACTCTACGTGATTACTACTTGTGGCCGCATATGAAAGGTGATATTGCTAAGTATGTGAGCAGATGTCTGATTTTTCAACAAGTGAAAGCGGAATGCCAAAAACCATCTGGACTTATGCAACCACTTCCGATTCCTGAATGGAAATGGGAGCATATCACAATGGACTTCGTTTTCAAACTTCCACGTACTTTCAAAGGGCATGATGGAATTTGGGTGATAGTTGACCGACTCACCAAATCCGCCCATTTTCTACCTATAAAAGAAACCTATTCCTTGTCAATGCTGGTGAAACTCTTTGTGGATGAGATAGTGAGATTGCACGGAGCTCCTGTGTCCATTGTATCGGACAGGGATGCAAGGTTCACGTCCCATTTCTGGAAGTGTTTACATGAGGCTATGAGTACTAAGTTACAATTTAGTACAGCTTTTCATCCTCAGACTGATGGACAGTCGGAAAGAACCATTCAGACCTTGGAAGACATGTTGAGGTCTTGTGTATTACAATTGAAAGATAATTGGGATACTTGCCTTGGTAGAGTTTGCTTATAACAACAGTTATCATTCGAGCATTGAGATGGCTCCGAATGAGGCTTTGTATGGGAGGCAGTGTAGAACTCCTATTTGTTGGAATGAGGTGGGTGACAAGAAAGTGGAAAAGGTAGACAGTATCCGAGCAACAACCGAGAAGGTGAAGATGATTAGAGAGAAGTTGAAAATCGCACAAGACCGACAGAAGAGTTATGCGGATAAAAGGTCCAAGGATCTTGAGTTTGCAGTTGGGGATTGGGTGTTCTTGAAGTTATCTCCTTGGAAAGGTCTGATGAGGTTCGGTAAACGTGGGAAATTTAGCCCTCGTTATATTGGACCTTATGAGATCACAGAGCGTATTGGACCAGTTGCTTATAGACTTGCCTTACCTACAGAACTATCTCGGATCCATGACGTGTTTCATGTATCCATGCTACGGAAGTACATGCCTGATCCTTCTCATGTTTTAGAACATCAACCCGTGGAGTTGAGAGAAGATTTGACATATGAGGGGCAACCTGTGCAGATCTTGGATAGGAAAGAACAGAGGTTGCGCTCCAAATCCGTTCATGTAGTAAAAGTGTTGTGGAGAAGTCAAACTATTGAAGAAGCTACTTGGGAGCCCGAGGCGCAGATGCGGGCCAAATACCCTTATCTCTTCAATTGACAGGTATGTAAATTTCGAGGACGAAATTTTTATAAAGGGGGTAGGTTGTAACACCCCCGACTCCAAATTAAATTCCTTATTTAAAGTATTTAATTCAATTACATTTGAATTTACAAATTTACCCTTGGGGTAGGGGTATTCTGGTCATTTTCTTATCCGGAGAGAGTTTGGGGCAGTGAATGGTGTTTTGGGTAGTTCGTACTGAGATGAGTCCGTAGACACGTAGTGGGCTCGATTCGAAGTTGTAACGAAGGAGTTACGATCAAAACAAGTTCAGTGGCATAACCGTAATTTTCTCGAAGTTGATTTTTAATAAATCTGGAAACTCCCTCTCACTCTCACTCTCTCTCTCTCCCCATCGCGAATAGTCCCCTTCCCTCTCACTCTCTCTCTCTCCCCATCGCGAATAGTCCCCTTCCCTCTCAAAACAGCTGATCGATTTTCTCCTCACCACTGCCGCGTCCGGCTGCCATTTTCGTCAGCCCCAGTCCCAAAAGAACTAGCTCGTCATCCTCTACAAGTCCCAGCCCTTTGCTGCTCCGATCTGCCGTTGGTATCACCAGAAAACGTCGAGAAACAGCCAAATTTTTCGTAAACTTTCCGCCGATCGTTCTCACATTTCCGGCAACCAAATTCTTCGAACTTGGTATGCATTTCTATCCTTTCAACATGCTCTAGCTACTGATTGTGGTATTTAAGATCAATTTTTGAGTTTTGAAACGTTTCCAAGCGATGGAAGTTTTGGCTGGTTTTGGCCTCCGATTCCGACCACTTCCGTCCACATTTTGAGGTAGGTTCAAGAACAAAAGTTGCTCCACTACATGTGATTTACCTAACCTTGAAGTCTTGGCCGACGGTTTGGAGTTTTTCCAGCCTTAAGAAATTTCTTTGGGCACCCATACGCTGCCGGTCTGCCATTTTGTTCTAAAATGATCCTTGTGTTGTTCCGAGTGTAACGGTATTCTCGGATTTCAATTTGGTAATCGTTTGATCGTCGATCGGATATCGCATATTGTGCGTTACCGGGTTCGATATGTTCCAACCGTTGGATCGATTCCATTCCAATATATGTTACTCTAGACCTTCCTAGGATCGTGAATCGGAGCCCCGGATGTTCCGATTCAATAACTTAAAGTTTGCATTTTGCGATAACCGTTCGATCGTGAGCGATCTAACCGTCCGTTTCAGACCAAACTTACAGGACGTGTATCTTAAACCTTGTGGAACCCTTAGGAACTTTCATTTTGTCTCGTTCCTTGTACACTCTTTAGAAACCCGGGAAACTAGGATTTTAATTTAAAGTTCTCTTTCAAAACGCTTGATGTTAATCTCGTATTCGTATTCCAAAATAGGTACTCCGACCACGAATACGCAGCAGGCGGGACCCTCTCAGGGTCAAGCAGTGTGGGACTACTTGTGAGTGGACTTTGTTTTCAAATCTTAAGCATGGTTTTATTGATGGAAAATATTGCATACTGTTTTAAATGGTATATTGGATTTATTATATATTTTATTGTCGAATTTGATGTTCTTATAAAGCTTTGGCATTATATTTTGGGTTTTGACATATATTTGAGTATCTTGAGTATGTATGTATGGATTTTGACAATTTCTATCTATATTGTCTATGTGTGGGGTACTTGGGTTGTTGAGTTGAGATTGTGGAAAGGTTTGAGTATAGAATGTCAATTTGGATTGCTATAAGCACTACCCTATGTACCTCCCCGGATTTGGAACTTGGATATGGAAACTTGAGATACTTGGATTTGTCGGACCCGGGGCATCCTTAATGGGATGTTGCTATAGACCCTTGATTGGGTAGTCTGCGCATGTAGGACTGGTTTTCAGGCGTGCAAGCTTTGAGAGTCTCAGTTGTACGTGCTGGCTGAGAGTTAGTCCCCCAGTTGGACGGCTCGTTCCCTAGCCACATGGTGAATTGAGGAATTGCTTTGCCATGTAGACTAGTCAAACAATCCCCCGGTTGGATTGTTTCCCCGGTACAACTAGGTGTTGGTTATATTTTATGATATATATATATATATATCTTAGTATATTATATATTATTATGTATGTATATATATAACTACTCATTCGTTATTGTTTCTCGGTGAGGATATTTCCTCGCCGGTCGTGCCAATGGGTGCGCTTTCGAGAGTTTAGTCGTGGGATTTGTAAGATTTTGGATGGTGGGTTTGTAAAGTTTTCTTCATGGATTTCGGACTTGGTATCCGGTATGGTTTTGTTTCGATATATGTATATATGCTTGATTACGATGGTTTTGGGATGCATTTGGATTTCTTGCTTGATTTTCTAAACGGTGGGGTTATATTATGTTGGTTTACACTGAACTGAACTTTATTTTTGTCCAGTCACAATTTTCTGTTTTGTGCCCCCCAACTAGTAGTTGACCAAGCTCCGTATCTGAGCCGGACCGTGTGCTTCCGAATCTTGAGCCTTCGTAGGAACTCTTTCATCATTTCATTCCTGTTGAACTTTGTTCTCGTTGTAACTGAAATTCTTAGACATGCTCCATTATCGCCCGCGTAGGGTTTGATTTGTGAGGCCGAAGGCCTTTGTTGTAAACTGTTTATTTGCTTTAAAGCATGCTGCTGGTTGGGATTGTTAAACTGTGAATTTTGAGTAGGTTGAAGTTTGGGAAATGTTCAATTTACAGGGGAGATTCTGCCAAAATTTTGGTAGAAAGTCTCGACTCTTAGTAAGTGGGCTCGGCATCAGGGTGATGTCGGTATTAAGGCGGGATCCATCCCGGTTTTCGAGGAAATTTGAGGCGAGTCCTGTCAGGAACTTTCATATTGGAAATCAGAGGTCGTGGGCCGCGCGGCCTCGGTTGACCAAATTTGGAAAGTTTGACCACTCGGTTGACTGATGTCTTCCGAGGCTATTCCACCATTCGAAACATGTAGTTGGACCTTAGGAAGTTCTCATTCGTCGTACACGCTTGAATCCTGGGAAACTATGAAATTATTTTAAAGTTATCATTCGAAGCGCCTTATTTTTACATCGTCCTCATGTTTATAAATAGGTACTCCGGCTACTTGTACTCAGCAGGTGGGACCTTCTCAAGATCAAGCATCGTGGGACTACTTTGTGAATGGATTTTGTTTTTGATTTATAATCATTATTTTCAAGAATGAAAAAATATGCAACAATATTTTGTCAAAATATCGCTATAATATCGAAAATATTGATGTAATGAACAAAAAACACACAAAGCAAACACACAAAAGGGATTCAAACCCCCGTCATTTCATTCCTCCAACGCTTTAACCACCATGTTGTTTATATTTTTGTGATAATACGCAAAGGAGAACTCTATGTGGTACTAAGTCACTCATGTATCTTACCATGCAATGTATAAAATGTAAAATATTGTAGTAAATCATTATATATAAATAATTATGGTGTGTTTAATCTTCTTTTATTAATTACTACATATTTTCTATACTTCAGTGTTTGCCAGCTCATTATATAATCAACTTAAATTAGTTAAACCCATCATGCAATGCATTTCCTTCTAATTTTTTGTGATAAACTAATAAATAATTGACTAAATAAACATCCTCTAAAGTTTCAATAAAAAATTTCAAATTTTTCTTACAATTTCCGTGATTTTTATTCAATTTTTATCGATATCAATAATATCCCGATATTTTTATCAAAATTTTTCATATTTTTGGATTATCAATATTTCCAATATACAAAGTGGTACAGTTCGATTTTGAGCCTAACTTGACTTTTTTCCGATCTTTTTCGATACGGTTCGGCTCGATTCATTGGTTGAAAACTTGAAATGCCCTGAAGCTTCAAAATTGCCGGGAAGCCAAACGGATCCCTAAAACCCTAGCCTCCCTCCAGAGTCAAAGCTCTCTCTATTCTCCCGTCTCTCTCTCTCTCTCTCTCTCTCTCTCTCTCTCTCTCTCTCAGCTTTCCAATTTTCGTGAGAACCACACGGCTCTTGCCCTTTTATGCTTAAACCCTAGTCCCCATTTCCATGCTCAAGCACATCCGTAGATGGAAGGCTACACATATATTACAAAAATCTCGAATTCTCGCTCCCCTCTCTTCCCTCATCTTCACTCAACCCTCAGTGTCTGCAGCAAAGCTCGATGACGAGTCCACCGTCTTCCCAAACCCTAGAAACGCCGTCTCCGAAGTCATTGCCGGCTTGAGAATGTTTGGTTTGGGAAATTGTGTTGGTGATCATCGTTTCAAAACCATTATCCCGACTTTGAATCAGCCTCAGGTGGATTTGATTATTGAAAGCTTGAGCACTGAGAACCCGGAGTCGGCTTTTGGTTTCTTCAACCTTTTGAGGAATGAGTATGCGTTTCGGCATTCCAGGGTTTCAGAGTTTATTGTTGCTCATGTATTAGCGGGGAGAAGGCTGTTTAAAGAATTGCGTTTGTTTGTGAAGCAAATGGTGGATGAGGAAGGTATGGTTTTTTAAGTACTTTCTTTTTATTATAGATTGTGGGCCTGATTTCTGAGATTAGGCAAGGCTCATAGGTACATTGGGGCTGGCTGACTAATGGATGGAGCCTAATCGTTTCGTCACTTTTGTTCTTTATCTTTGATCAATTTTTTATTATAGATTTCTTGTGATTTGTGATAGGGCCCGGTTCGGCACATTCACTTTGTGAGCTGCTCTTACATAGATTCAGGGACTGGGACTCGAGTGGTGTGGTGTGGGATATGTTGGCGTTTGCTTATTCAAGATCTGAGATGATTCATGATGCTCTGTCTGTTCTTGCTAGGATGAAAGATCTGAATTTGAACGTTTCAACACCAACCTATAACTGCCTGTTGCATAACTTAAGACATACAGATATCATGTGGAGTGTTTATGATGAAATTAAAGATAGTGGAACTCATCAGAGTGACCACACTTTTGCCATACTTATAGATGGACTATGTGAGCAATCCAGCCTACAAGATGCAGTTTCGTTCCTCATGGGTGTGGAAAGGGGGGATAGTGGGCCTTCAGTTGTTTCATTCAATACCATCATGTCTAGGTTTTGTAAATTGGGTTTTGTGGATATTGCAAAGTCGTTTTTTTGTATGATGTTCAAGTGTGGACTACTTCCAGATTCATACAGTTATAATATTCTTATTCATGGGCTGTGTATAGCTGGTTCATTGGAAGAAGCATTGGAGTTCACTAAAGACATGGAGAGGCATGGGGTACAGCCTGACAGAGTCACCTACAACATTCTTTGTAAGGGGTTTCATCTACTTGGTCTGATGAGTGGAGCTCGCGAGGTCATTCAGAAGATGTTGATTAAAGGGTTGAATCCGGATCATGTGACATATACAATTTTGATATGTGGGCACTGCCATGCTGGCAATATTGAAGAAGCCCTTAAGTTGCGGAAAGAGATGCTTTCAAGGGGTTTTCAGTTGAGTGTCATTTTATACAGTGTACTTCTCAGCAGTTTGTGTAAAAGTGGACGAGTAGAAGAAGCGTTGCGATTGCTGTATGAGATGGAAGCTGTTGGCTTGGAACCAGATCTTATTACATACTCTATCCTCATTCATGGCCTATGCAAGCAAGGAGATGTTCAGAGGGCAAGTGAACTATATAGAGAAATGTACATGAAGAGAATCATTCCCAATTATTTTGCACACCGTTCTATTCTGTTAGGTCTGCGTGAGAAAGGGGATATATCCGAAGCAAGGAAGTATTTTGACAATCTACTAACAAGGGATGTGACAGAGGATATTGTGCTGTATAATATTATGATGGATGGATATGTAAAATTAGGTAACATTGTAGAATCCACACGATTATATAAACAAATAATTGAAAAGGGAATAAATCCTAGTATTGTCACTTTCAATACTCTTATTTATGGTTTCTGCAAAACTGGGAAACTGGTTGAGGCTCATAAGATGTTGGATACCATCAAGCTGCATGGCTTGCTCCCAAGTCCATTTACTTATACTACTCTTATGAATGCCAACATTGAACGAGGAAACATCCATGGCATGCTTAAGTTGCTTCAGGAGATGGAAGCAAATGCTGTACAGCCAACTCATGTATCTTACACGGTAGTAATTAAAGCACTTTTCAAACTGGGGAAGCTGCAGGAGGCTGTTCACTTAGTTGAGGATATGTATGCTAAGGGCCTAACCCCAGACCAGATCACGTATAATACTCTGATCAAATGTTTCTGCAGAGCTCGAGACTTCTTGAAAGCTTTTCAGTTGCATAATGAGATGTTGGTTCATAATCTTGAGCCTACTCCTGTTACATATAATGTTCTCATCGATGGTCTTTGTGTATATGGCGACCTAATGGATGCTGACAGGCTACTGGTTTCTCTTTGTGACTGCAATATCAATTTGACAAAAGTTGCTTATACCACATTGATCAAAGCACATTGTGCAAAGGGTGATGTACATAGGGCAGTGGGGCTCTTCCATCAAATGGTGAAGAAAGGATTTGAAATCTCCATTCGGGATTATAGTGCTGTTATTAATAGATTGTGCAAAAGGTGTCTAATAACTGATGCAAAATATTTTTTCTGTATGATGCTGTCCAATGGGATTTGTCCTGATCAAGAACTGTGTGAGGTGATGCTGAATACTTTTCGTCGTGTTGGTGATCTCAATTCAGTAGCTGAGCTTATAGCTGAGATGTTCAAACTTGGCTTTCTTCGTGAGTAATCCATGGGGAAGTGAATATCTTTTGGCATCTGACCATGGGGAAAACTTGTTCACCGGCTCAGTTGAAAAATTCAGTTCATGAGGTATAACATTATATTCATATATCTCCATTCTCTCATAAAAAATAAATATTTCCAGAGATGACCAAGTCAAAACAGCACTTAGGATTCCTTTCCTAGTTCTTTCATAATAACATAATACTGTTTTTCAGAGGACATTTTATGCTTTTCCAGACTTCTTTTTCTTCTTCTTAAATTAAGTTTCATCCCATTTCCAGACCTCTGATGTCTTATGGAGAACTATCTTAAAGTTATATTTCTCCTTTCAACCGGATGACAAGAATGAATTCTCATAGCCGGCCCAGATCCAGGGTTTTGTGAAGAATTACTTGCAGTCTGTTTCCTTCCTCATCTATACATGGCGAGAAAAATCAAGGACTGTTGAGGCAAGGACTTCATTTTCTGCTCTGTCAAACCCTTTCCCTCTATATGGCCAGTTTTGAAGGGATTCGTAGAATTGGATATCTGCATGTGAGTCATCTTTTCCTTAATGGTTGAACTGTTACTTCTTTATTAGTTGAAGGTGCATGTCAAGTGTATATTGTAGGTGATAATAAAAAAGTATTGTTATATTCGTCCAAAAAATAAAAAGTATTGTTATCAAAATATGACTCTCTGAGTAGAAACTTTTATCAAAATCAGAAAGTATTGCAAACTAATCCTTGCAGTTATAAGTTTAAGAGAATCTGTTGTTCTTACGTGTATTTTAGATTCTGCATGGTCTGTTTGCCCAATGTGCTTGTATTTTCTTGTTATATATTTTGTTAGCCTTTTTTTAAACTAATTTTGCTTTTGTTTTTGTGCAGATGCGGAATCCAAAGGAAATTGAAAAGGATGAGTACCATGAATTTTACAAGAAAACTTTCAGTGGGTTCTTGGATCCAGTTGCATACACTCACTTCACCACTGAGGTACTGGAATGGTCTCTCTCTCTCTCTCTCTCTCCTCTCTCTCTCTCTCTTGTTGGCAGTTGTTTTAGTAATTTGGTTGAGGTAGAAAATGTAGCAGATTTGGAGTTTAACTTTAAAATCTGCAGTGTGAGGTGGAGTTCAGCAGTGTTCTTTACATTCCTGGAATGGGTCTCTTAACAATGACAATGTAGTGAATGCAAGAACAAAGAATATACATTTGTATGTGAAACGGATATTTATCTCAGATGATTTTAATGGTGTAACTGCTAAGTTTTGATATATTGGAAACCATGTGAATTTGAGCTTCCATTTAGTTCATTGTTTTGGTTTCATGTCAGTGGTGATCTTCTTTGTTGCATATACTGTTGCACATTAAGTTTCCTTTGTGATTTACTTTATGCGGAAAATAACTTGTATAACAAAGCTGGTGTTGACTGTTTATTCTGTATTTAAATTGGAAAATGAAGTATCCCTTAATATTCTTTTAGTTATTACATGTTCTAATCAAAACAAGAGTTTTTTATTCATCATCAATGGAGTTGTTTAGATGTTATAGTCATTTCCGTCAGCTACAATTGTGATGTACCATCTGGAATATTGAAAATACATTTTGGGGTTGATGCTTATTTGCTTGGAAATATGGTTTGTGGCTGTAATACATTGAATTATTCCTTTGCAGCTTCCTTGATACCTGAGCTTTGTTAAGGGTGTGGTGGGTTCGAATGATCTTCCTCTTAATGTTTCTCAAGAGGTTATTCAAGAAAGTCGAAGGGTTCTCCACTATCTTTATGCATTTTGTGAAGGGAATCCGATTACTCTTTGGACATCTCTGTAGCAGTTAATATTTTGTTCTTTGTTCTTGTTATGTGCTTAGATATTTGTATCAGGTCGTATTGTATTATTTCTTAGTGTCATTTATCTGCTATTTTCAGGTAAGGATTATGAGAGAGAGACTCATACGGAAAACATTTGACATGATTCAAGACGTCTCTGAGAGTGAAATAAGAGGGTGGTAGCAGCAATTAAGCTTGTGTTTTCTTCTTCGATTCCACTTGAAAGGCTGAAAATTGTTATTACCTTGGAAAATGGTATTACTTGATCCCTGGATTACAAGAAATTATTGGAGAACTTTGGCAGGTTTCTGAAGTTGGGATGCATCGAGGACTCTGGAAATTACAAGAGCATAACACCCTTGTTGCAGTTCTACTGTTCAAAAAGTGAGGAATAACTGATAAGCTTAGATGATTATGTGAAGAACATGCCTGAGAACCAGAAGGCAATCTACTACTTGGCAGCAGAGTCTATGCGAAAAGTGCTCCATTGGGAAAGTTGGTTCAGAAAGATGTTGAGGTATCTTGTTACGATCCCTTGCTACTGGGCCCTAGGATCTCTTTCTATGGGCCTATTGATAGTAGCCCATAAACACGTGTAAAGCTCTCCGTAGATGTTCCTTCTCACTCTGATTGTATTATATAGTCGCATGCTGTTGGCCATTTTGGATATGAACGGAGAATTGTCTCTTTTAGTTCTCTCTTTGTTTATTTCTCTTTCTGGCTTTTGGTACCTATCATATCTGTCCTGCCGACTTTGGTGGAAGTCCAGTAGAGGAACAATGTGGGTATAAAAAATTTGGTTTGCAAGCTAGTCGTAGAAATAGACAAGACGATGATGTTTTTGCTCTTCAATTTTTCGGAGGGAGGGAAACTTAAACATCATTAACAAATTACTGTTTTTCCTGAGACCAAAAAGACAACTGTTTTTCCTTTATGATGAGTTTTCCCAATGTCTAAAATATCGATAGTTTCGAAAATATTGGTAATTAAAAAAAAACGGAAATTTTTATAGAAATATTAGGAAATTATCGATATCGATAAAAATTAAATAAAAATCACGAAAATTGTAAGAAAAACTTGAAAATTTTTCTTGAAACTTGAGAGGATTTTATTTAGTCAATTATCTATTACTTTACCATAAAAAAATTGGAAGGAAATGCATTGCATGCAGGGGCGGCCCTGAGGGTGTGCAAATGGTGCCACTGCACAGGACCTTGAATATATATATATTTTTTTACGTGTATATTATATATATATATATATATTATAGGTATCATATATATACTTGAGTCTGCAGAACAATAACACAAGCGAGTATTTGGTTGAGTTGGAATTCAGTGCATTGATTTTAGTAGGGAAGTTGGATTTGAGTCAGTACTGTGTCATTCAGTAGTCATATTTACATTTATTCTCTTTTTGTTAACAATAGAAGAAAAAAAACAAAAACGTGTCAAAAAAAAAGAAAAGAGGAAACACTCCAAAGAAGAGGAAAACAATATATACAAGCTTTCTCCAATCAACCGAAAAAAATTTGTGGTGTATGTTTTCATCCACTCAAAACAAAACAAAAAAAGTTCATGTCTTTTTCTTCCTCTTCCTTTTTCTCAAATTGAAACATTCAAATTTTTGTGAATTTGATTTATGATTGTCATTGCATGCTAATCAATGATGAATTTTAGTTATTAAAAAAATTATCTTATGGTATCAAGTCATGGCAAATATTTTTAATCATAAATATTTTCATATTAGATGAGAGGGCTGTTGACGTGAGCTATCCTAATTAATTAAGGAGATTTATTTCCTTGATTAATTAGAGGATTTACTTTCTTATTTTATGTAGTTGACGTATCCCTGTATAATTAGGATATATTCTCATAATTGATTACTGTATCTATTTTTCTTGTAAAGCACTAATATAAACTCATATATATACCTCTATATGGAGAAGAATACAATTAACCTAAAGTATTCAAACCATATTCATATTTTAGCATGGTATTAGAGCAATCGATCCTGGGTTGTCTCTAAACCCTCAAATCTTACCCTCAAATTCAAACCCAAACCCAAAATCAAATTCCTCAAATCCAAATATTATACACTCATATCAAATCCTCTTATCAAAACCATACCTTTTATCTTATCTTCAAATCCTTCCGCTGTAATGGGCGGTCCCTCGCTCTCACACACATACGGCTCTTCCACCTCCACTCCTCAAATTGTTGCTATTCACAGTGACAACTCCCCATTCCCTACTAGCGTCACCCTGACTCAAACCAACTATGCCTTATGGTCTCAAGTCATGGAGATGCGCATTGCTGCTCGAGAAAAATTGGGGTACCTAACTAGCAACACTCCACAGCCCCATCAGTTCTCGTCCACCTACAACAAATGGTGTCCAGAGAATGTTTTAATCGATTACATGTCTCCTGAATTGATGAGTCGTTTCATTTGATTAATTACCGCCAAAGAAATCTGAGTTGTTGTCAACAAGACCTACTATGATGGCAGGGATGAAACCTATCTTTTTTATCCCAACAAACAAGCATTCACTATTAAACAAAATGATGCACCTGTTCATAAGTACTACAACCAGCTGCAGAGCATCTTTCAAGAAATTGACCATCGGAGTCCCATTCGCATGCAGTGCGATGCCGACGTCACTAAGTGTGAGACAGAACTGGATCATCATATGTTCACCTTTTTCTTGCCTGTCTTGACCCTGAGTTTGATCAAGTCCGGGGGGAAATTTTAGGAAAATATCCTAAATTAGACCTTGATCAAACCTTTGTGTATGTTCGTTGCAAAGCTCAATAGCGAATGATCGTGATAGCTCAGGAAACCTCTATCATGGTCGCTCAAGGTCAAACGGGGCTCCAAACTTTTACTGGTGGATCTTCTCACAATAAGGCCTCAAGATCTCATTCGAAGAATAAGTGCACTCACTGTGAAGGAGACAAACATACCCATACTGGTTGTTACGAACTGATTGGGTACCCTGATTGGTGGTACCATTCCAAAGGTCCCCGCACGCATAGGAGCAAATCACTCCACACATCTTCTGAATCAGACCCAATAAGTCCTACTATTTCGGCTACGCTGACTCCAGCAGTAGCCTCTAAAGCCACAACAGGTACCAAAGTTCTTGTCCAAGAAACACACATTGTCCCCTTAATCGGTGGTGTCTAATACTAATGGTAACCCCTCCCCCGTGATTGGGGAGGGTTCACTCTCTTTTTCTAACCCTCTCAACTTGGACTTTGTGTTGATTGTTCCGTCCTTGCACCATAATCAAAATTACTATGGCTTTGAGTTGTACTGTAACTTTTTGGCTCACTCATTGTGTTTTTCAAGACATTCTCAGCAGCAAGATGATTGGTTGTGGTAATAGGGCAAACTCTACTACCTGAACTTGGTACCTGACAGTGAAGCCAAAGTGAGTAAAGCTTTCAAGATTGGGGGCGCTAGTGTTGAGAAACAAACTGACGAAGTATGGTTATGGCATAGACGTTTTGGACATGCTTCGTTTGGATATTTATAGAAGTTATTTCCATCATTATTTACCAGTTTAGATGTTTCAAGTTTTAAGTGTGACATTTATGAAGTAGCCAAGAGCCATTGTGTTCCTTTTCCCTTAAGTACCAATAAAAGTTCAGTTACATTTTCTCTTGTGCATTCTGATGTTTGGGGCATTGCTAAAATTGTTATTCCAACGGGAGCTCGATGGTTTGTCATGTTTATAGATGAATGCATACCAATGACTTGGATTTCCCTTCTCAAAACTAAAGCGGAAGTCAATTCAAAGTTCAACGGTTCCATCAAATGGTGGAGACTCGGTTTCATGCAAGAATACAGGTTCTCTATTCTAATGATGGCAGAGAATTTCTCAACCATGATCTTTACAAGTTCTCACAAGATCATGACTTCACACATCAACGCTCAATGCTCGTACACTCCCCAACAAAACAGAGTGGCTAAAAGAAAGAACATATATTTATTAGAAGGAGTTCGTGTCTCTCTCTTTGATGTCAATATGCCTTGGTCCTTTTGTTGAGAAGCCGTCCTAATACAGCTTACCTTATCTATTAGATCCCCTCTAGTATCTTGAATTTCCCAACGCCACTTCAAGCACTTCACTACTATATCCAAATACCTCCTATCCAAAATCTGGAACTGCGGAATTTTAGTTGTGTTGTATTTGTACACTTACATGGTCACCAAAGAACTAAATTGGATCCTTGAGCGAACAAATGCATTTTCATTGGCTATGCTCCTCATAAGAAAGGATACCGTTGTTATCATCCTCCTAGTCAGAAGATATATACCTCCATGGATGCCGTGTTCAAGGAACACGACATATATTTTCCAGTAGCACATGAGGAGAATCAAGTATCAATCACTCCAAAGATTCTCGATTTTTTCCCTCATGACGGCTCTATGCCTCAAAGCGACCTGTCGCATATCTCTGTTCACCTATTTTTGGTTTAATCCTATGATGGTAGGGTAAAATTCCCTATTGGCTTCAAAACCATTGGTGGTCAACAAGTCAACTTTATTTTGTATATGAGTGTGCCACTGTTAGTACTAAAAACCCTAGTGGACTTCTTAAAAATAGATAACTTGCGCCCCAAGTTATTGATTTCTAAACAAGTGATTGTGAATTTGGGTGAGGAATATCTCACAAGTAAGTTCTTTTCTTGCCTTAGACTAGTGAGGACTTCACAATTTTTCACAGTACAAACTTGGTGGTTCTATTAGAATAAATGAAAAGAAAGTAAACTGTTTTAGGCAGAACTATCTTTTACAAAGCTCAGAAAGAGGAAGACCAACTCTAAAAAAAACAAGAGGGCGTTGGACTTCAATTTGTGCCTGGATAGCTGCTTTTGATCCGGACTGGACTGGGTATATATGTGCTGGATTGGACCATCAACACCTTCAACTGTCAAGTTTTAGCTATAAATCAATACCAACATTCGAGTTTGGCAGAGCTTTAATTTATTTCAAGCCTTGGAAGGCTTTTGAACGGGCAGAATTGGAACCTCTTCAGTCTAAAAGGGGGCAGAAGTGGCTAGATTTGATGATTACTGAGCTGGAACTCCATTATAGTACCTGTTCTGCTTGATCAGGGCTTTCCATGAATTTGTTGAGGTTTTCATATTTGTAAAAACCCGGACTTTGCTTGATTTGGCTTATGTTGAACCAAATTTATAACAAGGGAAATCTCGCTTTATAGAACTATTTCTCTGAACTGAACTGAAATAAGAGATTTTGATTTATAGCTGACTTGTTTCTTGTGGCTCAATAAGCTTTGGTTGCTTCAATGTTCGAAGGCTTTTGAGATCAAGTGATCATTTTGAGTTTGTCAATTGTGACCTTGAGAGTTTTTGTTTTTGATTGATTTTTTGGCTATCTATATCTGTTTACCATCTCTCTCTTATTTTATAGGAAATGCTGGAATAGGGTTTCTAATCTTTAAATAATGGGCGGAAAATATTTTCGAAAGATCTTTCTTTTTAAATGCCCACAAAAAGGGAAAGTTATCTATTCTGGCAGAGAAGAACCATCAACGATCAATTCTCATGGTCGTCTTTTTCCTTGCTTTTCCCAAAAAAGAAAATCAACTCCTTTTGCTCTCTGTTTGTTCCTTGTGAAGAAGGAAAGACACAATCTGCCACGATGCTCAGTTTTCTTTTTCTGTTTGAACAACCCCCTTGAGGGAGCTTTCTCAACCAGTTTCAGCATTCCTACTGTTATTCCTTCTTGTATGACGTCTCTGAAAACAACACAACTATTCGTGGAGTGGTTCCAAGAGTTATGCCATCTGCAATATTGTTTGCCCTTGAGCTCCTCTGGTTTGGACAGTCTGTGAGGTGTCTCTATTATTTTTTGCAGTACATCTCATCAAACAGAGCATCAACCTTGGTTAAATCGCAGGAATAAACTTGGTTCTATGCTGGTTTGTTTGGAACAAACCCTCCTGTAAATAACGGTGGTTTCTGGTCCTTTGGTGGCTTTGTCAGAGCCTTGCAATTGATGGGATGTTTTAATTTCACCATTTCCGCCAATGCAACTTCCCTTTCCTTCGAGCTTTCTTTGCCTTTTTCTGACTTCACTTCAACCAGATGCACTGAAGAAGATGGGGGTTTTGTAATATGTGCCTTTGGAGGAGTTCTTTTTCTGTTGTTCTTCCCTAAGAAGCTCCTAGTATTTAGATGCTTTGTCTGCCAGTTCTGCCAAGTCTCTAAACAGCTTCCCATCAAATCTCTTCCTCAGAGAGATTTAAGGGCCGTTTGAGCCATTTGAATGAAGTATCACTCTCCCATAGGTATCTGACACTTCATCTTCAGCTTCCTGAACCTGGTTATGAAGTCCTGTGAGGGGTCATCCTCGCTCCGTTTGAGGGCTACAAGATCACTGATGGTGACCTCTGGCTAAATTCTAAAGTAGTAGTCATGGAAGACATTGTCCATATGTTCCGAAGTTTGAACATAATTGGGTGGTAAGCTAGTATACCAAGTGAAGGCTTGTCCAGATAGAGAATTTCCAGAAAGCCTTAGTTTTAGCAGCATGTTATTTTCTATGGCTATGCACTGGACAGAGAATCTGCCTATATGCTCAACTGATGAAGCATGGCTGTCCTCTCCGTTGAACAAGGTGAAGTTTGGTACCTTAAAGCCTGAGGATAGAGGTATTTGATCAATATAAGCTGGATATGGCTTTCTATAGGTGGGCCTTTCTCCTCTTTTGGCCTCAGGTTCCGTCATCTCTCGTATCAACCTCTGTAGTGCTCCCGTCTCATTTAAGGCATTGACAGGATGTGGATTCCGCCCTTGTTTTGGCTGGTTGTGTTCAAAATCTGAATGGTCTGGGCAGAACTTCCTCCCTATGTTTCTCCTCTTCTTCAAAATCTGAATGATTCCTCTACTTTGCCCCCAGTCTGTTCCTGTCATTATTGCAAAAGGGTTGATTCTCCCTCTATCTCTCCTGCCTCTTGCTAGTGGAGGGAATGGATTGTGGTCCATCCTTCTAGATCTGTAAGGTAACACAGCTGGTTGCTCAGGCAGAAGCGCTAAGGGTTGATCGCATGGGACCACTGCCGTGGAATAGGTGGAGGTTTTGGCTGGTTCTGTCGGGCTTGAACTGGTGTAGGGCTTTCTGGATGAAATGGAGTTTCGTGTTCTTGGACAGGAAGGGCTCATCCCCTCTGTCCAACTTGGATTTCTCGATGTCCTGACATTCCAGCTATCTGTGCGATGAGAGGATTCTCTTGGTATGACCATGGCAATCCAGGTAGAGGTCCAAAAGGGAGGTCTAGCTGCTGGACCACAACATATGGGTTTGGAATTCTAGCCACAACAACCTCACAGTCCTTCTGAACTGCCTGTTGACTTGCCACTGCATCATGGATGTCATGTTATTTAGAGTATCCTGTCTCCTTTGTGTTGTGGCCTTTTGTCGGAGCACAGCCTCCTGTATTTGGTTTCACCTTCGGCAACTAGACCTGGAACGTCTACTGTTGGTACTACCATGGGCTGAGTGCCTAGCATCACTTGCTTGATCTCTTTCCATGGCACAGCGTGGATTCTGGCTAGAACTTTCAATATTCATATACTAGAAGATTTTTCTAGGAGTAAGTGTACTCAGAAGTCCCACTAGGCGTGCCAAATTGTTCACCTATTTTTGGTTTAACCTTGTAAAGTTTCCCATTGGCTTGAAAACCATTAGTGGTCAACAAGTCAACTTCCTTTTGTGTATGAGCGTGCCACTTCTAGCAAAAAAAACCCTAGCAGACTTCTTAAAAATAGATAACTTGTGCCCCCAAGTTATTGATTTCTAAACAAGCAACTGCGAATTTATGAATATCTTACAAGTAAGTTCTTTTCTTCCCTCAGACTGCTGAAGACTTCACAATTTTTCACAGTACAAAATTGGTGGTTCTGGCCAAAATAAATAAAAAGAAAGTAAACTGTTTTAGGCATAACTGTCTTTACAAAGCTCAGAAAGAGGAAGACCAACTCTAAAAAAGACAAGAGGGCGTCAGACTTTAATTTATGCTTGGATAGCTACTTTTGATCCCGACTGGACTGGGAATGTATGTGCTGGATTGGACCATCAACACCTTCAATTGTCAAGTTTAAGCTGTAAATCGATACCAACATTCGATTTTGGCAGAGCTTTAATTTATTTCAAGCCCTGGAAGGCTTTTTGAACTGGCAGAATTGGAATCTCTTCAGTCTAAAAGGGGCAGAAGTGGCTAGATTTTATGATTACTGAGCTGGAATTGCATTATAGTACATGTTCTGCTTGATCAGGGGTTTCCATAAATTTGTTGAGGTTTTCATATTTGTAAAAACCCTGACTCTGCTTGATTTGGCTTATGCTGAACCAAATTTGTAACGAGGGAAATCTCATTTTGTAGAACTATTTCTCTGAGCTGAACTTAAATAAGAGATTTTGATTTATAGCTGACTTGTTTCTTGTGGCTCAATGAGCTTTGGTTGCTTCAATGTTTGAAGGCTTTTGAGATCAAGTGATCATTTTGAGTTTGTCAATTGTGACCTTGAGAGTTTTTGTTTTTGATTGATTTTTTGGCTATCTCTATCTGTTCACCCTCTCTCTTATTTTATATGAAATGCTGGAATGGGGTTTCTAATCTTTAAATGATGGGCGGCAAATATTTTCAAAAGATTTTTCTTTTTAAATGCTCACAAAAAAGAGAAGTTATCTATTCTGGCATAGAAGAACCATCAACGATCAATTCTCACGGTGGTCTTTTTCCTTGCTTTTCCCAAAAAGAAAATAAACTCATTTTGCTCTCTGTTTGTTCTTTGTGAAGAAGGAAAGACACAATCTACCATGATGATTAGTTTGCTTTTTCTGTTTAAACAACCTCTTTGCTTCCTAATTATCTTTTGTATATATTAAAAAGGGATTTTGATCTTTTTGTTGCAAAGATTTGGAGAAGTCTTCCTTTCATTCCTGCATTCATTAATTCTCTATCAACTCCTTTGTGATAGTTGAAATTCTCTATCAACTCCTTTCATACCTGTCTTCAACATCTAGCGTCTTTGCACATATAGCATTGAAAAAGAAGCACTATCAAGTTATTGCATATCTTGCAGGCTTCTCCAAAATAGAACGAATTGCCACAGAGAGCAATTGTTGCATCAACGTATGACAATCATGAAATTTAAGGCCAAGAAGTCTTGAATCTTTTAATAATACAAGATTTTTTATATATGAACAATAACCTTTAGGGACCTTCATACCATAGAAAAAGTTACAAACCGCTCTCTTCTCTGCTCTTGACAAATTCCAAGGCCTTGTAGGCAAGCGAGTACGACTTTCTCCATACTCAGGTTGCATATCAGTTTTGACCCCCATGTTCAATAAATCTAATTGAGCAGCAATCCCATCTTTATTTTTTCCAGGGATCTCCAGCAATGTACCAATGATACTATCGCCAACATTCTTCTCAATGTGCATAACATCTAGGACATGCCTCATAGGAAGGTATTTTCAATACTCGAGATCAAAGAATTTTGATTTCTTCTTCCAACAAACTCTGTCACCATCATTCTTACCAACACTTCCCCCATTTGTCGAGCCCCATATGTAATTAATATCTTCAACCATATGCAGCACTTCTTCTCCGGTGGAGGCGTGCCATATTCAGGTTTCCCATTAAAAGCTGCACGTTGCCTCCGATATGGATGATTGATTGGTAACCATTTTCTATGCCCTATGTAACAAATATTTTGGCCATTTTTCAACCTCTGACAAGGTATATCATCGCCGCATATTGGACAAGCTTTATATCATTTAATGACACAACCAGATAAGTTCCCGTAGGCAAGAAAATCATTAATTGTCCACAGTAATACACATATGAGTGTAAAGTATTCTCCTATGTGTGAATCATACACTCCTCTACTCCCCTATCACAGAGATTTTAAATCATCAATCAAAGGCTCTAATTAGACGTTTATATCATTTTCAGGCTGTTTAGGACTGGAAATCAATAAGGTGAACTCATGACCTTTCATTTCATGCATAGCCATGGTGGGAGATCATATGTAACTAAGATAACTGTATCTACTACTTAGAGAACTATGGGGATTGAATCCATCAGATGAGAGAGCTAATCTCAAGTTTCTCGGCTCATTACCAAACTCGGGCCATTTATCATCAATGAGTTTCCAAGACGGGAATCTGCTAGATGAGACATCTGACCGTTAATTGATTTTCTAGCAGCATGCCAAGTCAAAATCTGAGCTGTCTTATGTGATTGAAACATCCTTTTAAACCTTGGAATTGGAGGAAAAAACCACACCACCTTCGCTACCACGCCCTCTTTCAAGATTGAATCTTTGCCTGCCACAAGTAGGACAATGAGTTGAATCTTCATAATCATTCCTATACAAGATGCAGTTATTGGGACATGCGTGGATTTTCTCATAACTCACCCCTAAAGCAGACAAAGTCTTTTTTGCGTCATACATAGAGGAAGGTAGTGTATTTCCTTATGGAAGCAAATCTCCTTGATGTATCAATAAATCTGTAAAACAACCATCACTCATCACATGTTTTGCTTTCAAATTATATAACTTCACCAAAGCCGACAACTTCGTGTACTTACTGCAACCAGGATACAAGGGTTGAACTCCATCCCCAATCACATTAGCAAACTCATAAGGATCAAATCCAACATAGCCTAACTCACTATCATCCATCCCTAATTCTTCATAAACAAAACTAAACCTACTTTGCTCATCTTCTTCCACATTTCTACTAGCATTAGTAGTCCATTCCCAAGGTTCTCCATGCCATGTCTAAATCTTATAGCTTTGGTCGATTCCATTAAAGTATAAGTGGTCTCTTATAATTCGAACCCCAAACAATCGAATATTCCCACATTTAACACATGGACAACAAATATGAGTTGTATTTCCAAGATTTTCTACAGCAAAATTCAAAAATCCTTCAACCCCTAACTCATATGCCTTCGATTTTTTATCCGCATGCATCCATGACTTATCCATCTCACACACTATAAAATCATATATATAATAAAGTGAAAAGACCAGCAATGAAACACTACTATACTCACATAGCAAAGAATATATTAAAAAAACAAAACAAGAATCAAACAATGGTTTTTACAAAATAATTGTCGTGTAATAGAGATCAGACAACGTCATATCTAGAGAAACAAGGTTCTGGGTTCTGGTAGCCTAAAGACGACGGTTAATAGAGAAACAGTCGTCTTTAGCTTACCAAATGCAAACTACAATTCAGATGATGGGAGTAAATGAACACGCAACGTATAATTAAAATTTAGACGACAGTTTGGTCCACCAACCGTCATCGTGGTTTAGGAAAAACCGAAGTCGAAATCTCCCATCCCCATTACTTTTCCAACAACCCTTAACAAAATGAAAACACCAAAACATAAAAGAACCCATAGATCACAAAACATAAATTAAGAAACCAAAGCTACCAAATCTAATGAAAACATTTATGAATTTTAGAAGTTGAGAGAATATTGAGAAAGAGAGCTGAGAGAATATCCTTACATGGATATTGAGAGCGAGTTGAGAGAATATAAAAAATGCTTGAGAGAGGGCTCAGAGAGAGAGCGAAAACTTTAAGACCTAATGATTTGAGGGAGAACGAAAATTTTAAGACAAATTTATGTTGAAGAGAGAGAACGAAATATTTTGGGGTTAAAGGGAAAATCTGAAAATTTTAGATCGCAGTCAAAAAATTCAGAGGACCTCGATTTTAAAAGACGACGGTAAATACATCTCTGTCGACATTTAATATACACCTTACGTTGCCCTTCAAAAAACCGATGTCTTGAAAATTAAATTGTAATAACCCGATCCTAAATGAATAAAATAATCACATAAAAGACAATTTAACCTCGGAAATATTTTAATGGTTTAAAAGTAGACTTTTTGTTAGGGAAGGAATTTGGGAATTTCAGTTGTACCATACATACAACACGTCGAAATGAGTTCGTAGACAGGTAGTGGGATCAAATCAGAGTTATATAGAAGAAGTTACGATCAAAAGAAGTCCAGTAGCACAACCATAATTCTTGCGAAGTCAAATTTTTTAAAAGCTGGCAGCTCTCTCTCTCCTACCTCATGACACTCTCTCTCCTCAAACCAGAAATCCAGTTTTTTTCTTTCGCGCAGCCGCCACTTCCCATCCAATTTCCTACACCATCCAACATCGATTGCTGGCACTTCCTTCACAAAAGTTGCTCTCTTCCTCCTACTCTACAAAACTCATTTGATATCTACCCTTGAATGCCTAAGAATTATCCAGATTTTGGATGTGAAAGTTGACAAAAAATCTGCCAGATTTTTGTCAAAACTTTCCGGAGTTTGATTGTGCGATTTCGGCTACCAAATCTTACGATCTAGGTATGCTTTCTCATCCTTTCAATGAATTCTAGCTGCTGGTTATGGTATTTCGGAGAAATTTATGCATTTAATTTGTCAAATAAGCGATGGAAGTTTGGCCGGTTTTCGGCCTCTGATTCCAGCCACTTCCGTTGACTTTTTGAGGTAGGTCCAAGCGCAAAAATTGCTCTACTCAATGTCTTGATCATGTAGATAAAGGTCTTGATAGGCGGTTTGGAGATTTTCCTATCGCCGGAATCACTTTGGACACCCACGTGCTGCCGGCCCTACGAATTTGGTTGTTGTTTGAGCGTCGATAGGATATCGCGTATTAGGCGTCATCCGGGTTCAATATGTTTGGACAGTTGGATCGATTCCAATTTAAAATATGTTGATCTAGGCATTCCTAGGAGCATGTAGGAATTCGCGGATCGTGAATCGGAGTCCTGGATGCTCTGATTCAATAACTCAAAGTTTAGGATAAACGATAACCGTCCGATCGTGCGATCGTGAGCGATCCGACCGTTCGATTCAGACCAAACTTGCAAGACATGTTTATTAAACCTTATTGAACCCATAAGAACTTTTGGATTGGAAATCGGAGCTCGTGGGCCTCGCAGGCCCAGTTGACCAGATTTGGGAAGTTTGACCACTCGGTTGACCGAGAGTCTTCCAAAGTAGTTTTATCCATCAAGAAGAGCAACAACGATCCTATTAATGAGGCCTGACTGTTATGTGAATTATTTTGATTATGGTCGAGTTTTGAGACTATATTACAGTGTTTTATTGTATTCCTGGGTGTTATTTTTGATATTTGGAGTTTATGCCTTATTAGAAGTAATGGAATCTCTAGGGGTTTTTATATCTTTATTTATTTATTAATTTATTATTATTATTATTATTAAAGTATCTGACTGAGTGTTATTGGATGATTTAATGATTATGAGTTACTTTGTAATCGGATTTTGACGTGAATAATAAATTACTTAAATGTCTAAGTACATGTCCATATTTAATATTTATACATATATATTTATTCAGCGATTTGAAAGTGATAAAATATGGACACTAGTTCTCAACAGTGAGGGTATAAATTCAAAGGTAGTTGAGAACTGATTTTTGGGAATGTTGAGAAAAGATTTGAAATATGGACTTGTGGAGTTTGGTAAATTTTATGATAATTTTTGATATATGGTTTTCAATCCCACCCTAGGGTACCTCTGAATTGCCTTGAAACAGTTTTGTCATTTATAATAATGACCCACGAGTTTCGGGGACGCCTAAATCGTGTGGTGCGAGGATTGCGGCTCAGGTTGACGTTGCGTCTCTGAGGTCTACGAGGATTGCGGCTTAAATTGACGTTGCGTCTCTGAGGTCTACGAGGATTGCGGCTCGGGTTGACTTTGTGTTTCCAAGGCCTACGAGGATTGTGACTTGAGTTGATTTTGTGTCTCCGAGGCCTGCGAGGAATGCGGCTCCGGTTGACTTTGTATTTCCTAGGCTTGCAAGGATGTGTCACATTATGTGACGCAAGGAATTGATGGTATATTATTGGAATTGACGGAAAATTTTCGTAATTGATGGAATATGAATGGGGGTATGCCTAGGTGTAGAGTATTTAAGTTTTTAGATGTTTTAAACTAAAATTGAGGATTTTGTCTTGGTAATTATGGGCGAAGGTTTTAACATATGTTTTCCTGCTTAAGAGATAAGGATTAAGGATTTTGTATAATTTACGATCATTTTCTTAAGTGAAGTTTTATTTTACCATGTTGTTACTTGATTTTATATACCCTTTCTTTTCCTCTTTGTGTTTCTTTCCAGTTAAACACTTATTCTCCTTTCACTATTTTCTTTTCCTTATCAATTTCTTTTCACATTTGATTTGCAAGATAGGAGGTAAACATAAAAGATGAATATGTAACTTATAAATAAAACAAAGAGAAATAACTACGTGTGGCTTGATCCCTTATTAAGGGTACGTAGGCAACCCTTCCCTCTGAAAAAAGGATTAGAATCATAGCCTTAAACTATGTGTGAAGAAGATTGGAGATTGCATGTAATAAATTATCTGCAATGTCCAACCCTTCCCTCTGAAAAAGGTTTAGAATCATAGCCTTAAACTACCTCATGTGGGTTGGAGATTTGGTCCGAAAGAGCAAAGATGAGTTACTTTTGAGGTGCTTAGGGAAAAAAGAGTACATGACGGTCATGGGAGAAGTCTATGAAGGAATTTATCGAGCCCATCAAGGTGGAAGAAATACGTGCTGGCTAATTAGAAGGTATGGCTACTTCTAGCCAACCATGATGAAAGACTACATTGAATATTCTAAAGGATGTGAGGCTTGCCAAAGACATGGACTAATCTAGCAAGCTCCCTCAGTTCCCATGAATCCAATAGTTAACCCATGGCCATTCAGAGGATGGGCAATGGATCTCATTGGAAAAATCTATCCAGCCAGTAGCAAATAACACTACTTCATCATTATGGCTACAGACTATTTCACCAAGTAGGTAGAGGCCAAGCCTGTCAAATCTACTACATCTCAAGAGATCATCACTTTCATTGAAGAACTGATTATACACAATCCACTCCTCATCATTTTCACCACAATCAATCACAACTGACGGGGAATCTTCTTTCATATATGGAGAAATGCTATATTTAGCAGAGGCATTCAAATTCAAACTACTTCAATCCACTCCTTATTATGCTCAAGCTAATGGACAAGCAGAATCAAGCAACAAGTTGATCATCAACATTATCAGAAAAATGTTTGAGAAAAATCCAAAGCAATGGCATAAGAAGTTGGCAGAAACTCTTTGGGCATACAGAACTTCAAAGAGAGATGCAACTGGCATGATCCCATATGCTATAACTTATGGCCATGATGCAATTCTGCCCATGGAAACAGGAGTCTAATCTCTCAGAATTGCTCAGCAACACAATCTGGTTGGAGAGGACTACTCTCAAGCAATGCTGCTAGAATTGGAAGGCTTGGACGCAAGTAGAATTGACACCCTTAACAAACTCTTAGCAGGAAAACAGGCAGTAGCAAGGGCCTATAACAAAAGAGTTAAAAAAAACAAGAGTTTTGAAGAAGGAGAAATAGTTTGAAAAGCAGTTCTACCCCTTGGAACAAATGTGGCTGGTTATGGAAAATGGTCACCCATGTGGGAATGACCTTTTATAATCCAAGAAGTTCTTGGATTTGGGGCATACAGGTTGCAGGATTGAGAAGGAAGCATTCATGCAATCAATGGCAAATGGTTGAAGAAATTCTATGCAACTAAGTGGGATTCATAGGCAGTGCAAACAGACCCCCTGGAATTGAAACGAAAAAGGATGGAATGGTTGAATAAATTCTTGATCAGAGTTGTGCATCGGTTGTATTTTAGTTTGTTTTATTTCTGTTTACTTTTATTCACTTAGAAGAATTTGAAAACACAAAGTACCACAAAAATAAATAGGATTTTTCATTCAATATAGTCAATTTTCACGACTAAGTTGCAAGCTGGTCTTTTTGGTGGAAAGTTCTTTCTGAAGTAGCACTCCCCAAGCTTGTTCTACACCGCCCTCCATTCTGCCAGCTGTTTTTGTAGTTCTTCAATTTGTTTCTCCAATTTGTTAGTTGTGGCCTTGGCTTCTTTGTAACCTGTAGCCATTGTCTAGGTCCAGCTGAGTTGACTGCCATATTTTTACCCTTTTCACTGCCTCATCCATAGCCTTGGATTTAGACTTGCTAGGAGTAGAACTGAGCTTCTCAAGTTTCTCCAGCTGAGCATCTAAATCCATAGCTTCAAACTCTGCCAATTCTGGAACAACAAAGGAGGCCGTGGTAGATGAACCTGGAAGAGAATGGATAGGCATCTGCAGAGGAACAATACAAGTCAGTTTCACGCATAATCAAAATAAAAGAAAGGGCTAAGGCACAGAAACACTTACGGCTACAATTGGAGGCTTGAGAGCACTAGTCATCACAACCATAGTCCTAGCAGTTCTGATCTCTTATACCTAAAAATAGAAATATCAATTAGACGAAGACAGGGCAGAACTGCAGAGAGCATACAGAGTTAAAAACAGAACAGGAAGTTACCTCAAGACCAGGAACATTAAGTTCTGCCCGCACCACGGACTCTGGAAACACAGCAAGTTGTCCTACCTATTCCTCAGGCTCTTCAAATGCTGCAGAATGTTCTACCTGCTCCACTTCAGGCTATGGAATAGCAGTGGAGTGCTCGGCCTCCATGTCATCAAATAGGGCTAGTTCAAAGCTCGTCAGTTCGGCACTCTGAGTCTCCTGTTGTTTCTTCACTAAGGCAATGCTCTCTGCAATCACCTCAGCAGGGATATCCTCCTACAAATAGGACAAAAGTCAGAACAAAACCAAGACAGAACTGTTTAAATAGTTAAAGAGAAGGACTCTACTCTTCGTCCACTTCTTTGGTTTTCTCTTGAGGTCCTTCCATGACCTTTTTCTCTTTCTCATCAGCTTCAAAGGCCTCTGTCAATTCTTCATCAGTATCAGATGTTGTTGTAGGAGCTACTGCAGGTTTTGCGGCCACATACACCACCACTGTCCTCTTCCTAAGTCTCTTCAACCTAATAGAAGGAGGAGGAGGACTTTCAACTACAAAGAACAAAAGATCAATGGTTACAACATAAACTGAACTGAATCAGGAAAGTTCAAACTCTCAAAATCTACCTGAAGTCTCAGGCTAGACAATATTGTCCTGAGCTGGAGCAGTTTCTTTTCTTTTGTTCCCTCTGCCAAAAGGAGTTGCTTCTACTGCTGGCGATTCTGCCAGAACCTCATGATCATCCTCCTCATCTCCAAATGGAAGTTCCAAATCTCCAGCAGCTATGACAGAAGTGACTGCATAGGAAACGAACAGTTAGAAGACAATCCAGCAGAAGAAATTAGAAGGGCAGAACTCTGAAGCTTACCAATCACTTCTCCAGTCTAAACTAGTTGCCCTCCAATATTCTTGACCACAGATGGATCTGGCACAGACAAAACAGAATGTTAGACTTCTTCATTTGGACAGAATAAAATAGATACAGGTAGAATAAAGGGAAAACAAACAGAAGTGAAGACCTACCTTCAATTACTTGCGCATTTTTATCCTTGATGGTCTTCACCATAAATTCCTTGGCCTCTTCTATTGCACGAATGGTCCAAGAGTCCCAACCACTAAAGAGCGTCTTGGCAGCCGTACTTGAGGCATGCAGGCCCTTCATCTTGGCTCACCACCAAGCATCAAACTTGGCAGAACTGCAGGAATTGAGCTCCCAAGACGAATATAGAGTGTCCACACTATTGGTTATCTTGATTACTGAACACCTGCAGTCCTTGTGCACTTCCAACTCATCCGACTCTCTCTAGAAGTTAGGGTGGTACACTTCTGCCCCCAAGTGATAGTTGGGAGGCTTTCCACCTCCAAAGGGCAGATCCCTAGGCAGAGTTATGCTCGGAACTTCTTCCTGAAATCTGTTTTGGCAGCTTCTTCTTCTGGTTCCTTCTCAAACAGCCTGTATCTAGGCTAGAACCAAGGGTAAGTCCTCCTAATCACCACCTGCCACTGAGCAGACCCCTTGGTGCAGTGCCTGAAGAACATCAAATGTTCTTCAATTGATCGCTTAGGCATCATGTAATCTTCAGGCAGAACTGTAAGTCCAAGCCTTACATCCGTGTGATTATGCAATGCTTCTGCCAAGTGTTTGTATTTGAGCAAAACTGCTGAAGAGCAATTAGGGAAGACAAATTTATTCAGCCAATACAGAAGGAACAACATGTGTTGCTGATCCCTATCCTTCTCAGCACTAAACTTCCTCAAATAATTGGAGAAGGAGCAGTTCTGGTTGATTGTGGCTAGATAGATAGTGAATGGCTTGGCTAGTTTTTCTTGGTTTTTCCTCCTATGATAGTCACCAACTACATCCACAGGTCTTCCATGGGGTCTGAACCCAAAAATTTGCTCCATATCCAGTAGAGTTGGAGTCATAGGGCCTACATGAAAATCGAACGTGTTGCTGGTAGAATTCCAGAAGCAAAGGGCAGCAGCCAGAAGATTCTCATCTCTGTTGATGGACTGCTTGGACAGAAGTATTACGTCATAAAGTTCAGCCCTCTTCCAATGAGCTCCATACCTTGGAAGAAGCCTATCAATCTAGTCCGCCTACTTCACTGCCCTATTTCTCACTTCATTGGGGGGAAATGAGTGGCTTAAATTCTTGCTGACCCAGTTGTGAGAGGCTAGGGCAAAAGAGCTCTAAAAGCATAGAGGAGCTTCAACATCTTCTTTAATCAATTCTGCCTTTTTAGCCGAGACAGAACCGAACCAATAAGGCCCCAGAACAAGAGTGTTCTCGAACAAATGTAACATGTTCTCATCCATAACGTTTTGGGCAAAAGGATGAAGATTGCTTCGAACTTCAATCGCATGCTTATCAACGCATATGCCAATAATGAAGGCAGGAGGAACAGAAGAAGAGGAAGAAGCAGCGCGAGTTTTTGGTGAGGCCATTTTTAGTTTTAGAATTGAAATAGAAGGAATCGAATCTGAAGGAATCGAATCATAAGAAATCAAGGTTGGGTCACAGAAAAAGGCAAAAGATTCTGTGGATTCTGAAAGAAATCAGAGTCTGAAGGAGTTAGGTTTTCGGGTGAACAAGAGCTGAGGGTTTGAATTTCTTTAAAGACTCGGAATCGTGGGAAGAAGAAGGCAAGACGTCATCTAATGATGGCTAGCTAGTAGCAAGGTAATAGCTTCCCTGTTGCTCACAAAGTCTAGTTCAGTAGACAAGACATGGCAGACGTGTGTTAATTAAAGCGGAAGAGAGTGGTGCGCAACATTAATAGCCAATTAATTTAAATCTGAACCGTTAAAAATTGGAACCGTTTTCCAAAACAGTTCATATTCAAGGGGGCATTGTTTGGGCCAAAATTCTGCACGCCCAGCCCAGCGCTGGAGGCCGAAAACGACAAAGCAATCTCATGATCCAAGCAATTTGGACTTTTCGTTTAATTGGAATTGAGAGCCCAAAATCAAGAAAACCCAGCCCAGGATCTGTCAGCTCACGAGAATAAAACTTGGGCTTTGGAAACAAAGAAAGAAATCAGCCCAAATCCAAGTCAGATTTTTTAGGCTACCAAATAGACCCAAGATTGGAAGAAGGCCCAGTGCATGTGATTTGCTCAGCCCACAATCCCAAAACTCAAACTGGGCTTGGTGTGATTGAGTGAAGATAGAGAATAGCCCAAAATTGAAGAAACCCAAATTAGTTTTATGAAAACTGCCAATTTTCGACCCAAATGTGAAAAAAGGTCAAATTTCCACTTTGGGCAATCCAAAATTGACGCACTCAGCCTTGGATCAAAACGAGGCCCAACCTGGAAATTTCCTAAAATCTCACCATTGATCTCAATCCCATAATACAAAGTCAGCAGACTTTTAAAAATTTATTCACAAAGAAACCCATGTGACTACCTGACTTTGAAAAGTCAACAATTTCAACTAATCATAAGAGAATTGATAGGGGATTAATGAAAGAAGGTCTTAACAGGAAGATGTCTCCAGTCTTTTTAGTCAAGAAAGAAGATCAAAATCCATTTCTATATAATTCTGCATCAGGACAGGCATCCTTTCCAATGGATAAACAGACTATATTTTCTACAGAGATAAGTAGGGAGCAGGGAGTTGTTCATCTGGAACATCAAACTAAAACATCACGGCAGATTGAACTCTTACAAAGAGCAGTTAAAAGTAAAAAAGGGGATTAGGTTTTCTTTTAAAAAAAAACAAAGAAGTAATTATCATAAGAACTGACTATTGATAGTTCTTTGACAGAATAGATAAAATTCCCCTTTGCTTTGACATTTAAAATAAAAGATCTTGTTTTAGAAAATCTACCTCCCATTATTAAAAGATTAGAAAACTCACTCCAACATTTTCTATAAATATGAGAGGAGGTGAACAGATCAAAGACAGCTAAAAAACACCAATCAGAAACAAAAAAACTCAAAGTAATCACCTGATCTCAAAAGCTTTTGAAACATTGAAGCAACCAAAGCTCATTGAGCCACAAGAAACAAGTCAGCTATAAACTCAGAACCTCTAAACTTCAGTTAAATTTAGAGAAATAGTCATACAAAGCGAGATTTCTCTCGTTACAAATTTGGTTTAGCATAAGCCAGATCAAGCAAAGTCTTGGTTTTTACAAATACGAAAATCGCAACAAATTTCTGGAGAGCCCTGATCAAGCAGAACAGATACTACAGTGCAGTTTTAGCTCAGTAATCATTAAATCCAGCCACTTCTGCCCTTCCAGACTAAAGAGGTTCCAATTCTGCCCGTTGAAAAAGCCTTCCAAGACTTGAAATGGATTAAAGCTTTGCCAAACTCGAACGTTGGTATCAATTTACAACTGAAACTTGACAGTTGATGGTGTTGATAGTCCAATCCAGCACAGATATACCTAGTCTAGCCCGGATCAAAAGCATCTATGCAGGTAGAAATTGAAGTCCAACGCTCTTTTTTGCTTTTTTTAGACTTGGTCTTTCCATTTTAAGCTTTGTAAAGGCAGTTATGCTTGAAAATAGTTCACTTTCTTACCATTCATTCTAGCCAGAACTACTAGTCTTGTACTATGAAAAATTGTGAAGTCCTCACCCAAATTCACAATCGCTGGTTTAAAAATCAGTAACTTGGGGCGCAAATTATCCATTTTTAAAGAAGTCTGCTAGGGTTTTTATTGCAAGCAGTGGCACGCTCATACACTAAAGAAAGTTAACTTGTTGACCAAAAATGGTTTTCAAGACAATGGGGAACTTTACCCTACCATCAAAACAGATGAACACTTGTAATTTGAAAACTAAAATTACATTTTTCAGGGGGAGATATTGTCTCAATGAGTGCATAGAATTTGTTGGTTTATTTTTCGGCTTTTTTTAAATATATTATGAATATTAGTAATTAAATACAATAAAAAAATATTTTTACAATTACATTTTTTAAAGCTTTAGGGGATAGACAATCTTTCAATAAGTGCAGGGTAGTTGTCAGTTTATTTTTTGGAATTTGTTTGAATTTATTATGAATATTAGGAATTAAATAAAATATAAGTCATATAAAATGAAATGACAAATGTACATAATCGACGTTGCATCCATTTATGACGACGTTGAACAACACATGACGCCGTCCTATATCATATTAAACGTCGTTATTCAACAACCGACGTGGTTCATAGGTTACAACTTCAGCTTGTTTTGAATAACCGACGTGATTAGCATTTACAACGTCGTCTCTGTCGTAGTTGCCGCCATTGTTTAATTATACAACGTCGCATTTGGTCAGCTAAACGTTGTTGCATGTCCTTAAGACGTCGTGACTGTTGTACTAACGGACGTAGTATATATATACAAAAAATTTCGTAGATTTCAGTTTTATATATAAAGCGTCATGTGTCTTTCTCTTACGTGGCGTTTTTAAGAACTGCCGACAATGTTTTATTTCCCACTACAATAAGATGGCGATTGTTTATACATTTGAGACGTGTAAATAAGAATGGGACGTCGATTTTGGAAATTAAATTTAGTTTTTATGATTTATTGTCGTTTTATTTCATGTAAAGACATAATTATCCTGAACAAAAAAATTCAAAAAAAATTTAATTTTTTTGATGAATGTTCAATTAATTACCAAAATATATTTATGTACACTGTTAATAAATTAAAACAAACCTAAACATTGTTAAAATAAATTACATAACATCACTTCTTATTCTATAATTGCTTGTTAACAAATTCTGCCCATTCCAACCTGACTTCGTCAATATGTTCTCAACATACTGAACTGGTTCCTTTTTCTTGTCAAACTGCAGAATAACAACAAAAACCGACGTGTTATGAAGATAAAAATGATGGTTTTTAAGAAAAAGTCGTGGTAGTAAAATAAAGAAATCTTAAATTTTGACTTTTACCTTCTTCTCAAATGCTAGGCCTAGATCATGAATTATATCTCTCATGAAACGCATCACGTTATACCACACTCTACATTGTTGGTTGTCGAGGAGTGCCATGTAGATTTTTCCATATGACTGATTTACGTGATGATTGTTTGCCTACGTGAGAGTTATACATTTTGATTGAACTGCTTCAAGAAACAAAAGTGTTAGTGACAAAACTAAAATCTAAATACAAAATATTAACCATCGTGGTAAATCAGTGAAGACGATGGTTTTTTAAAAAGTGACGTAGTATTTTATTTCAAATGTCGGTAAATGAAACCGTCGTTGTGTAGAATTCAAACGTCGATAACCACGAAAAACGTCGTATAGCCAAAGTTGTTTGTAAATGAAAGTTGAACTGAAAAATTAAAACGTACTTAAATGATAAACACAAACGACGTAGTATTTCAATTAAGATGATGGTTTTACCAAAAATACTAGCATAGTAAATGATTTCAAATGTCGGTATGAAATTAATGTCGTTGGTTTTCATTATAACATTGGTATTATAAAAACCATCGTATAATTCAAATGCACAAATGAAAAATATGAGATCATAGTAAATAAACTTACGTATTCACTATATTTCTCATGTCCTCGTCAACAGAGCGGTTTAGCAATGAATCTATGTAATAGACAGTCTCTTTAGCTGGTCTCACAACTTTTTACACCCAATGACCCCTACACATAATGATCCATATAGGTTAAATACTACAAAGAAAAATATTACAAGGAAAATAGGTTAAATAGTTCAGGGGACTAACCCTGGATTATAAGGCACCAAGTAAAATTGATCCCCATCTGCTGTTTCATGCGGTCTGAGAGATGTTTGAACAATAAGATAACGTTCTAGATTGAGTGCTGACTTGTCCAGGGTCGACAAGGACAACAAGGTTTCATTTTAAATAGTCAAATAGGTACCTAAATATATGAAATTGAATTAAATGAGATTTTAATTTAAGAAAGGGAAAATGTAAAAATAAAAATAAAAAAAGGATTTCTAGAATTACCTCATGGTATACTACAATAATTGTGGATCCGATCTCAATCATAGAAGCAAATTGTAAAATATGTTCACACAAGAGGAAGGTATCATGGTCAGTGCCAAACACTTCCTCTGGAATGTGAACTCTCACGGTCTCGTTAGTAGCTTCAACTTGGTTTGGATAATTGGCATAGGGCTACCAGAGGAGGTGGCATGCTAGCTATGAGAAATCTTTGTTACAATAAATAATAAAGAAATATAAGTTCGTTTGTACAAGTAAAATAAATGACTCCTAACAAACCAACAAAATCCACGTGGTAATATATAAAGGACGGTTTCTAAAACCTATTACAAAGTAAAAGTTATAGACAACGATACAGACATAACCGTCGTTGTGTAAATATTCTAACGTCACTATAAAATAGAAAGTTGTCTAATTAAACTGTCTAATGTCATGCACAATAGAAAGGTCGTTTAATGAAATAGACAATGGTCTATAAACGAAAAATGATGTAGTAAAAATACTTAGACACGGTTAAAAAGCAACGTCTATTGAAAATTTAACAATAAGAAAAAATCAAATGTAAGAAATTTTACAGTTCATCTTGGCATTTTTCAGCAGCATCAGCATCATTCGTTGGATTTTATTCCTCCAAAACAAGGGCTCTCACAGTAGAGCAGCTGCTTTATCACCATTGGATTTTTTGGGCTTTGCTCTTGAGGCATAAGGAATTGGAGTAATGGAGTAATTGGAGCTTTTATCGAGCAAGTTGGGCTCAAAGTGGGAAGTAGTTGACTGAATTGTTTCAACAAAATTCCCTCTCTGCTCTGACTGCCTCCAAAACCGTTTCCTTTGCCCTAGCATCTATCCTTTTGGTTTCTTCTCTCACTGCCTTCATAACACTTTCCTTCATTTCTCAGCAAATTTTACTCTCTGTTGTCTCAGGAAATTGAAGAATGAGTTGGGGAAACCCCAGCTCCACACCTTTGACTATCCCATAGGCTCAGGGGTTCCCAACCAAGGTCAAAAATCGTTGCTCCAAAGACAGTTCAAAGTGCCCTCGGAGACATTTTTTTTAAACATCCTAAAAGAGAGAGAGAGGAGAGAGCGGAAAAGACGAGATGGCACGGAGGGAGGGCGAGAGAGAGGAGAGATGAAGAGGAGAGAGGTAAACCGATAGTAAAACAGATAAAAATAAAAATCTAAAACAAAAAAATAACTGACGTGGTAAAGCAGTGAAAACAACTGTTTTATTTTTAAAAACTAACGCAGTAAAAAAATTTAAACACGTCAGTAAAAAAAATCGTTTTGTGTAGATTCTAACGTCGGGGCATGGAAAAAAAACCGTCATAATTTGTCATCCAGAAAAAACATAAATCTAACAAAATAATCAACGTGGTTTTGACAAATGTATAAAAACACCATTGCAGCAGAGGAGAGGAGAGGAGAGGAGAGGATGGCGACGAGAGGGAGAGGCGAGAGAGAGACGCGGAGAGAGAGAGACAATAGAGACAGAGAGACCTACAGAGATGGACAGAGACAGAGGGAGTATGTGTTGGGTGTTGATGCACGTTTGCTAGTGCTAAGGATTAAAACTCGCTTGTCTCCAAATATGGGTGGTTTTTATCGTGTCATTTCAAGAACTTTAGGATCGCGTGAGCTAACATATCTTAAGCTTTATAGCGAGACTCGCCATTACGTCTTCAGGGTGGGATTGGGATAGATAATCACTTAGGCCTTTTAGTTGATGGAAATTCGCGATTTACCTTTTACATACCGCGTACAAATTGGACATAGGAATGACCAAGAATTGGTTTATCGATTTCTCAAGTCAAACACAATGCTTTTTTGTTGAAGACCAATGCAAGTGGGTGGTCGGGTATGTAGCAATGCATAATAGATAATATAATGATGCTTAGTAGTGAATGATAGCTAGGAGATTATTGAATTGGCAATGTGAGCCATTATAGGGGATACCAAGTTGACACATTTTGGTGACCTAGTGGGTGACTTTGGGAGTGAAAATATTAGGATGGGGTGGAAGAGATAGGGATTTGATATTGCCATTGTTGAATGTTATGAATTAGTTACGACACTCGAAGTTACTTAGTCTGTATAACATAATTTTGCAATAAATTTCAAGTTTTTGACATTATTATGAGACATGTTAAGTATGCAGGGCGTCTGGGCATAAAATATCCAAAAAATAAAAATAAATGGGGTTTGTAATGGTTTTTTTGTTTTTAAAGGTTGGTATAAAATACGCCACGGTTTAGTGTAACAATTGCTTGTTCGCAAAAAACCAAAAACATGGTACGTCGTAAAAACATAACCAGGTGGATTTTTATCAGATGACGTGGAAAAATGACATGCAAAAGACGGTTTAAAAGAAACAAAAACTCATCATTTTTGAAAAAAGGAAACACATTGTCGGTTAGTTAAAAATATAAATTAACCATGCAGCGAATAGATATTAACAACACAACGACGTGGAAAAGGACACTACAAAACGACGTTTTTTGTGGTTTTTTTTTTTTTTTTGTCTAAAGACACACCAAAAAAACCGTCATTTGAAAAAGGAAAAAATGTCGATTAGTTATGAAATTAAATTAATGACAACGAATCAGTATTACAAAACAAAGACGGTCATGAGAATATTGCAACATCGTAGATTAAAAATAAAACGCGTGCATTAGGGCTCCAACAAAAGGAAAAAACCACTACTTTACTGATAAATAATTGACGTTGTCTAAAGATCGCAACTAAAGCGCCAAACCTCAGTTATATTAACTGTCGTGATAGCTGTTTTTGAACGATCGGTTTAGACGGCAAACAAATTGACGTATCAAAAGAAATACAATCAATGAGGGTCTAACAGTGTCTTTAAAAGGAACACCGGTCCAGTCCCTAACATAACGACGTGTGTACCATGTAGTGACAATAAACAAGGGCATACAAATGGTCATTCTATGGGAACGTAGTGTAGGAGATAACCCTGCCAGTTATTTACATGTTAATCGACATGCGCAAACTTTGATCGACACGGGTTTGTTTTTTATTTTCCCGGTGGTTCTGCTGTCAAAATGCATTTTTAACGACTCGGGTGGGTACGAGAACAAGCTGGGTTGTGGTTTTGGAATTATTACATCAGTTGTGTATAAACATTGATGCCATGTAAAGTATTCAAAACGTCAGTGGGTTTTAAAAAAAGCATTGCTAACCGTGTCCAAAGGGTCTTTTTTTTAGAAGTTAAACTTCGCGTACCTTTCTCGTAAAGCATATGAGTCAGTGTGAAAAAAATTGAACAAGCGGTGGGTTCTGTTTATTGGGCGGGTGGTGAGTGGGGACAGATGTTATAAAGCATTCGGGCATCAGTTCTCACGTGCTGTGGGATAACACATTTACGTCAGTTACGATATGTTCTTGAATATAATATCCTTACGGAAGTCTGGTCTTTCTCTAAGCGTTTTTTTTTTTTTTTTTTTTTTTTTTTTTTTTTTTTTTTTTTTTTTTTTTTTTTTTTTTTTTTTTTTTTTTTTTTTTTTTTTTTTTTTTTTTTTTTTTTTTTTTTTTTTTTTTTTTTTTTTTTTTTTTTTTTTTTTTTTTTTTTTTTTTTTTTTTTTTTTTTTTTTTTTTTTTTTTTTTTTTTTTTTTTTTTTTTTTTTTTTTTTTTTTTTTTTTTTTTTTTTTTTTTTTTTTTTTTTTTTTTTTTTTTTTTTTTTTTTTTTTTTTTTTTTTTTTTTTTTTTTTTTTTTTTTTTTTTTTTTTTTTTTTTTTTTTTTTTTTTTTTTTTTTTTTTTTTTTTTTTTTTTTTTTTTTTTTTTTTTTTTTTTTTTTTTTTTTTTTTTTTTTTTTTTTGCGCCGACGAATTATTCTTCGTCCCGCAAACTTTCATCGCGCAAATGGTAAAACGTAGTAGTGTTTTGATTCAATTTGGGGTTTTTGTTTGATTTGAGTTTGTTTTTATTTTGGGTTTAATCGGGCCCAGTCAACCAACCCGCTTTGATCCCATGTTAGGATTTCAGAGGGATAGACCCTTGGCCCACCACTAGCAACATCGATATTGTCCCTAACTTAACCACCTGTTTAGCAGGTGTGAGGTTTTATACAAAAGGCCTCGATGTTATTAGGAGTGAAACCATTTATTATATGGGACTTTCTATTTTGTTAAGTTTCCGATGTGGGACTCGTGTATTCTTCAACAACCCATAGAGATCTGGCATTGCTTCATCACATTGCTTCATGGAGGAGTTTATATAAAGCAACCCATGCATTCATTTGAGTACCCAAAATGGATTAAGCGATTGAGCCTCAAAAAGAAATCAAGTTCAAAGAGATTATCAAGTTCCATTGTAAATCACAGTATCTTAGACAATCAATTATTATTATTATTATTATTATTTTTATACAAGTCATATTAGGGGAAGGAGAATGGAACCTAAGACCTCAAGTGCACTAGTAAATACTCTTAACTACTTGAGCTATAAGCCCTTTGCATCTTAAACAGTCAATTATGGATATAGCTAAAACTGGAAAGTGATTATATCACATGTATATAAATTAATACATGTGAAAAGGGTAGCAACAAATAATGGAGATTCATTTTCCCTACCTTTTTTTCCCCCGCAATGTAAATTCAATTTAAAACTTGAATGATCTATGACGTTTATTTATTTATTTCCCACACATGTCCAATCTTGATATATAATGGTTGTTGCCATGAAAACTGCTGGTACTTCAGAAAATGCTCAAAGCCCTGTTGGGTCACCTGCATCTGTTGATACTCATTTAGCTCCTATCATGGCATCTTTTTGTATACACTAATTAAGTGCAAAGAGTATACGATCCTCTGCTAACAATATGTGGTCATGTAGAAATCACAGAATTGTGTTGTGAGATGAGAACGAATACACCCAATTACACTCAAGTAAGTTTATGATTGATGTCTTACCACATTTTAATACCAAGCAATGTGGTAAGATATAAGTCGAGAGAGGTCAACTCTTGCACTGCCTTCCCCTTCCCGATGAAAAAAGAAACACTAAAATTCTGACTGAATGCAGGACAGGAAAAAGATGTGTCTGATGATGATGTTCCCCATGACACACATCATTTACTTATTAGTCAAACAGCATCTAGTCTTGGTTTACTTTTAGTTTATCCCCATTTGATCGTCAAGCGAACCAAGATTTGGTTTAAGTACTTTAGTTTAAACACATCACTTTCCCACATATCGACAGTCAACAGATCCATCCGGTTCCTTTTGTGAACCTTAAATTTCTCTTCTCTATAAGCCAATGACAAGCCTAGCTCTCGCTAGCTAGCAACAGGCCAAGCAGACACCATTGTGGTGGCTCAAGAAATCTCAACCACCGCCAGAGATGCCATTGCATTAATCCCCGGGTAAACTTGAAGGTTCTTTTTGCTCTACTCATTCTGCTACATTTTGTTTCTACTGCAGAAATTGGCTATACTGAAGATTGCTTAATTTGGTTTCTATAAGGATTTTAGTTTTGTTTATATAACAGAAAATATTTGTGTTAATCTGTTGTTCTTATTTACTTTAATGTTTTTCCCTTTCAAATTTGGGAACATAAGAGGTACTTAGGAGATGAGAATAAAAAAATTCAAAGGAGTTCGAAGATCCAACGAGTTGAAGACGTATATGATAACTATGGAGAAGAAGAAGTGCCGAAGAGAGAAAGTAAAGCTCTGTATATTCTCTGAAATTGTGTTTTTACATTATGATTAAATGAACCACAGACCCAAGCTTATATAGCTGTGTAACCATAAGCTAACCTGCTTAACAGACTAACTAATCATACTACTAAGCACGTGAAGGGCTAACAAACTTGCCACCTCACCAAGGACACGTGTCACTTGTAACATCAGCTAACATTCCCCCTCAATCTCAGCTGGGTTGTTACCTTGCCTGAGATTGGAACGATGTCGAATGAACACTGGACTATGAAGGCCCTTGGTAAGAATATCTGCAACCTGACCATCTGTGGGAATATATTGCACAACCAGATCTCGACATTGAACTCGTTCTCTAACAAAGTGATAATCGATCTCCAAATGTTTAATACGCGAGTGAAAAACTGGATTGACACTAAGAGCCAATGCTGACATATTATCACTATGAATAATAGGTGCCTCTGGCAGTGTCATATGCAAATCACACATTATCTGTCTAATCCAAGCAATGTCTGCTGCACAATTGGCTAGAGCACGGTATTCGGCTTCAGTGGAACTACGAGAGACTGCAGCTTGTTTCTTTGATGACCATGAGATTGGATTATCACCAAGAAATACAACATAACCTGTGGTTAGAACGTCTAGTGTTAGGATCACCTGCCCAATCAGAGTCACAATAGCCAGATAAAAGCATAGAGCCAGGAGAGAATGTGATCCCATACTGAAGAGTACCTTGCAGATATCGCAAGATACGTTTGACCAAAGCAAAATGTGTATCAGTGGGAGCATTCATGAATTGACACACTGTGTTTACTGCAAAAGCAATATCTGGTAGTGTAAAGGTCAAATATTGTAATGCTCCAACAAGACTTCGATACAATGTTGGATCAGAAAGAAGAGTACCTTCATCTTTCAACACAGACTGATGAGGTTTAATTGGAGTCAAACATGGTTTACAAGTGTCCATGCCTGCCTTCTTAAACAAATCTCGAGCATACTTAGCTTGATTGACAAAAATATCACCATTGTCCTGATAATGAACCTCCAATCCCAGAAAATAGGTAAGACGACCTATGTCTTTCATATCAAATACCTCCCCCAAAGAATCAATAACAGATTGTACCACTTGTGTATCTGATCCAGTGATGATTATATCATCAACATACAATAATAGAATAACCACAGAGGTAGAATTTTGTCTGACAAACAGACTAGGATCTGAGTGAGATGATTGAAACCCCAAAGAAGGCAGATAACCTGTAAACTTGGCATTCCATGCACGCGGTGCCTGTTTTAAACCATATAGGGATTTTTGTAATTTGCACACATAATTAGGATATGTAGAGTCAGTAAAACCTTGAGGTTGCCTCATATAAACCTCTTCTTGTAATTCCCCATGAAGGAAAGCATTTTTTACATCCAATTGCCGTAAATCCCATTTAAACATAGCAGCTAAACTGAGTACTAATCTGACTGTGGTGTGTCTCACTACAGGACTAAATGTTTCGTCATAATCCAAACCATGCTCTTGACTGAATCCTTGAGCGACCAGCCTAGCTTTGTATCGAGAAATTGTTCCATCTGAATTTCTTTTTATTTTATATATCCACCTACATCCTACAATATTCTTGTCAGGAGGAGAAGGAACAAGATTCCATGTACCTTGTAATTGAAGAGCTTGGATTTCCTCTGCCATAGCCTGTTGCCATTCTGGTTTAGCTGCTGCTGCCTTAAAATAAGTTGGAGCCTCAGGTTCTATGACAGAAGTAAGCATAGTTGCAAAGCATGAGAATTCTGGAAATTGTCTTTTCTGAACAACCCCAGACTTGAGTCTGGTTTGCATAGGATGACAATTAGTAGAATGAGGCATTGCATAGGCATCTGATGACTCATGAATATTTGAGTTAGGTGGAATAGGTAACACTACCTCCAATTGATTGGTTGAAGTAACAGGTAATATAGAACCTGATGAGAACTCCAAGGACTCAATATTATTGGACATTGGAAGTTCAGAATGAGGTTCCATAGAAGACTGAGCAGAAGAGGTAGATTGTTGGGAAGATGTATGAGGCAAAGTAACTGAGATATTGACTGGCCTTGGATTAGATGAAGCAATTGTAGTAGAAATTGGAGGCGACTTTAACACCTTAAAGGGAAAGAGACTCTCATCATGAATCACATGTCTAGAAATGTGAAGTTTCTGACTGAGCATATTATAGCAATAAACTCCTTTATGGCTCAATGAATATCCTAGAAACACACATTGGGATGATCGAGATTCCAGTTTATGAGTATTATACTGTTTGAGCAAAGGATATACAGCTGAACCAAACACCTTCATGGCACTTAAAACCGGATGATGACTGAAGAACTTATAATATGGAAAAGTCATGTTCAATCCTTTGCAAGGCATTCTATTGATAAGAAAAACTGCATGAGCTGCTGCATAATACCAGAGATTAGTAGGCAATTCAACTGTCTGTAGGAGAGTAATAGCTGTCTCTATCACATGTCTATTCTTTCGCTCAGCAACTCCATTTTGCTGAGGAGTGTAAGGGCATGATAGGTGATGACTAATACCTTTAGATGACAAGAACTCCCGAAAAGCTTTACTAGTATACTCACCCCCTCCATCTGATTGAAAATTTTTGATATGAGCTTGATATTGATTAACAACATAGGCATGAAACTTGACAAATGTTGGCAAAACATCAGATTTATTAATAAGTGGGAAAATCCACATGTATCTTGTACAGTCATCAATGATGGTAAGATAATATCGAAAACCTCCCACTGCTATACATGCTGAAGGTCCCCAAACATCACTGTGAAGCTTATGAAAAGGTACTACAGTGGTAGATTGAGAATGAGAAAATGGTAATCTATGCATTTTGCCTTGAATACAAGCAACACAAACTTCAGAACTAGTATCTGCATGACAAGGAATTTGAGAGGTCTTAAGTATATGATGCAGCACTTCATTGGAGACATGTCCCAACCGAAGATGCCATAGCTTTGACGTCACTTGTTGTCCTAGAAAAGCTGTTGGGGAAGGCTGAGACGCTGTGGCAGATTTATTAGATTGAACTAGGGAAGTAGAAGAGGCATTGTTCTCAAACTGAGGAATGGGATAGAGGCCTTGTCTACTCTGCCCTTGGTACAGGATCTGATTGGTGTGCTTGTCCTGCACATAGATGTAGTGTTCATCAAAGATAACCCTGCAGTGATTGTCCCGACATAACTGATAAACAGATAAGAGATTGGCAGCAAGATGAGGAACATGGAACACATTATTTAAATGTAAAGAACCAGGGAGATCTGTCAACATAGAAGTACCAATATTAGAAATAACCAAACCTTCTCCACTGCCTACTGTCACTTTATTCTCAGAAGAGTATGGAGTAGCAGTCATAAGGTTGGAGACATGTGGAGTCATATGATGTGAAGCGCCACTATCTGCTATCCACAGATCATCAGGAGCATACACAGAAGGCACGTGTGCTGTCATAGCCTGTAGAGAAGGAGGTGGAGTGGCTCCCTGATAAGCAAAATTCGCTCTGTGATAGCAATTTAAAGCAATATGTCCACGTTTCCCACAGATTTGACATTCCACAATAGGAGGAGGAGCAGAATTTTCAGGAATTCGATAAAAGCAATTTGTAGCTGTGTGACCTCTCTTATTACAGATCTGACATTCAGGAATTGCCTGTGTTTTTGGACCAGAAGAAAACTTGGGAACAAAAGACCTTGGTTGAGAATTGAAACGGCCACCATTATTGCCGTGAAAGCCTCGACCTCTATTATTGTAGTGTGAATTAGTAGGCTGACTTGCTTGAGAATAATGCATTGTTGGTTGAGAATGAGGCACAGAGGAGGACTGAAACATGGCATTAAACCCCATAGTTGGTGAGGTATTTGACTGAGAAGGACCAGTTATGGTTCCCACTGTAGCAGATGAATTGGCTGAAGAACTATGCACATTATTAGCAGTAGATGAAGATCCCAATTCAAAGGAGGTTACACCCATCATACCATGCATAGAGTGAGACATTGCTACAATTCTGGCCTCAATATTACGTTCTGCAGACAACAGATGAGCTCTGAATTCCTTGAGATTGATTGGTGTTTCCCTTGCTACTAACACCGTTTTAATCATGTCAAATTCAGGAGGTAAACCATTAAGTGCAGCAATGATAATGTCATCATCAGTTAAGTGAACTCCTGCTGCAGACAATTGATCCCTAATGTGTTTCAACTTAAGCAAGAACTTTTCAATAGAATCACTACCCTTATGTAGAGTATGCAATTCAGTCTTGAGTTGATTAACTCGTGCTCTAGAAACTGAGGCATATCTGTCAATTAAATTCAACCAAGCATCCCTTGCCGTTTTACAACCTATGACATATTCCATAGCATCATCGGATAATGTGGCAATAAGAAGACTTAAAAGTGCCTTATCAACTTGAATCCAAGACCTATAATCTTCAGTAATCTCTGTTGTGACTCCCTCTAACTCAGAGATTGTAAATTTCGGTGGACACACAGTAGTGCCATCAAAATGCCCATACAAATCATATCCCTGTAGCACAGATTGCAATTGATACTGCCACTTGACAAAATTATCTTCTGACAGCTTAATGGTTAAGACTCCTAATAAACCCTCAATTCTAGGCATTGTAAAAGTCATGATTGACAATCAACTGATGATATGAAATATAAGCAAGAAAACCTATGTGCTTCAAGAAAACAGGGCTTCGTGCCTCAGTACTGTACTTTGTGTCTCAATAAAAGCTTCGTGCTTCAACAATGGCGTTGTGCCTCAGGAAAAAGAAAATATCAGAAATTAAACAGCTTCGTGCTTCAATATAGGCTTCGTGCCGTAATAGGAGCTTTATGCCTCAATTCACTGAATCATTTGACCTAAATTCAATGTCGATGCAGAGAACAAGTTTAGAATTCATACCAGAGCTGAATTTATTGAACGAAGAAGAAGCTCAAACACAAGCAAAGAATCGCAAGATTGTGCAGCACGAAATTTCCATGAAACTCGCCATGAAAGGTACAGAATCAAGCTTTTCAAGCGGAGCGGAAGCCGGAGATCAAGAGCCGAAGCTCTGATACCATGATAACTATGGAGAAGAAGAAGTGCTGAAGAGAGAAAAGTAAAGCTCTGTATATTCTCTGAAATTGTGTTTTTACATTATGATTAAATGAACCACAGACCCAAGCTTATATAGTTGTGCAACCATAAGCTAACCTGCTTAACAGACTAACTAATCATACTACTAAGCACGTGAAGGGCTAACAAACTTGCCACCTCACCAAGGACACGTGTCACTTGTAACATCAGCTAACAGTATAGATGGCCCTCCAATCTGATGAATTTACCTTTGAAATGCAAGCAAAACATATTGGAAATTTATGAATCTATTGACATTTTCAACTCGCAGTACTAGAATTCTAAGTTAGTTCTAGATTCTTATAAATGCATCCGGATGTGGTACACTAATGAAGAAATTCTCGAACATCTGAATGAATGACGACATTCTTGAATACAGGAATTTTGCTGGTGAAGCAGACTCTACGCCTATGTAGTACTAATTTTAGTTTCATTGTCACTAGGGAAAAGACTTCACATATGGAGGATCAGAGAGCTGAGAATGAACCAGAATGGGCTGACGCGGTACCATTTTTCTACCAGCCTGACAAGAGGTGTATCTACAGAGTTCCCAATAAACTCCGCAAAGTGAATGAAGCAGCGTACGCTCCTCAATTATTTAAATAGGCCCTTTCCACCATAAAAGAATATATTTTGATCAATTGAGCTAATGACTTTTTATTTCTTATTTTATTTTGAGAAAAAGTGTATGCAAAAAGCAAATTACAAAAGGTCTTCAACTAAAACATGTAGGATATTTGGAGGATATCCCCAAACCATACGGACTCTTCAGACAAAAGGTCTTCACATATGAAGCTTAAATTAGATTATGATTTGAGAGATTTAATAGTTCCAATGATTGAGAAAACCAGGACAAAAAGTCCAAGTATAGTTGAACTGGCCGTCCAAAGATCCTTGAAGTAAACTTGCTTCAGGAGATTGCCACATGACGGTTCCAAAAAACTGATCCCATAGTGCTTATTAAGCTGGTCACAGAGACCACCATAGCAGGATACATCATCCATAATTTGCTCACAAAGTTGACTAATCAGGTTCGTCACTGTATCATTGCAGCCTAGCTTGTTAACAAGAACTCCACTGTCAATCAGCAAATTCACGTCTTCCACAGTGTCCACAAGCTTATCCATCAACAAAAAGTATTCGCAAATATAAGCAGACTCTGGATACAGAAACTGCTCCAACGCCATGACGTTTCGGATAATGCATTCTGTCTCATCCTTGACACAAAATTGTGTAAGCTTCAAGTCCATACTTGTAAAACATGCTGAGTTGAAATTACAATGGTGGGATTCATGTCCTTTAATGACAAACCCTTCTTCTTTAAGTAGCCTAAAGTTCACTCCTGCTGCCTTCAGCTTTCTTGCGTCGTATATATTTTTTTATAGGAGTCAAACGACTATCTACCCAAGTAATTTCTTCTGCGGCCGGGGCACAGAAAATTTCTTACCAAATCAGTGAAATTTCTTATAATTAGTGTTAGTGTTTTTGTGAATCTGTATGTGTATTGGTAGAGAACAAAAAACAAGGAGAGAAGAAAAGCTTAAATCCAAAACTCCTCTGCTATACGTGTAGCAGAGAGAACATTCTCATTTCTCTTCTGTAAGAAATCTGTTCAGTACAAACACACACACTTGGTGTGAGGATATATCCGTTAGGCACAATGACAGCTGGATGCATTACATCACAATGCAATCTCAGCCATCCACAAACTAACCAATCAAACTATGACACTTGGATTACCAATAAAACAAACAATAAGAAAACTAAACGTATCTAATTTATGAAATCAGCTTGAGCACTTATAATTCAACACTCCCCTTTAAGTCTTGAGTTGATTTCACTCCAAGCATGCCTCTGAGATAATTGAACCGATCTTTGGCCAATGGTTTGGTGAAAATGTTAGCTAGTTGTTCGTTGGTAGGACAGTATTCCAGATCAATGACTCCTTCTTGCAAAGCATCCTTGATAAAATGGTATCTTCTATCAATGTGCTTAGTCTTCTGGTGGAACACAGGGTTTTTAGTGATTGCAATTGCTGAGATATTGTCACAATGCAATGAAGTAGCTTCAGTTTGTAGCTCTCCAAAGTCCTCTAGCACAAAACGCAACCAAATAGCCTGTGTAGTTGCTTTAGCTGCACTGATGTACTCAGCTTCTGCAGTGGACAATGCTACACAGTTCTGTTTGACTGAAGCCCAAGAAAACACTCCACTCCCAAAGGTAAAAGCATACCCCGATGTGCTTTTTCTATCACCAACTGATCCTCCCCAATCACTGTCACAATAGCCGATCAGAACTGATTTCCTGCCTTTCACATACTCTAAGCCGTAGTCTAGAGTTCCCTTGACATATCTCAAAACACGTTTAGCTATTCCATAATGCCTGTTTGTAGGACAGTGCATGAATCTGGCTAGCAGACTTGAAGCATACATGATGTCGGGTCTTGTAGCAGTTAAGTACAGCAAACTACCAACAATGCTTCTGTAGTGTTCTTCATTTGCAGCTCCACTCCCATCATCCTTAGCTAGTTTCTCAGTGGCAACAAGAGGTGTGGTTACAGATTTGCATTCAGTCAAGCCAAATTTGTTCAACAAGGTGCTAGCATACTTCTTTTGATGTAGAAATATACTAGACTTGGTTTGAATCACCCCCATGCCAAGAAAGTGATGCAAGAGACCTAAATCTGTCATCTCATATTTAGTCATCATATCTTCCTTAAACTCATCTAGTAACTCCTTATTGCTCCCTGTGTAGACAATGTCATCTACATAAATAGAGACAATTAGGATATCCTTATCTCCCCTTTCTTTGGTGTATAAAGTTGCTTCACTTAGGCTTTTCTTAAAACCACATTGAGTGAAATAGCTGTCTATCTCTCCATACCAAGCCCTTGGTGCTTGCTTCAGACCATAGAGAGCTTTATGTAGACGATAAACTTTGTCCTCTTTGTCTTTAATTACAAAACCTTCAGGTTGATTGATATAGACTTCCTCTTGTAGCACACCATTAAGGAAGGCAGATTTCACATCAAGCTGGTACAGTTTCCAATCCTTTTGAGCAACAAGAGCAATAAGTGTTCTAATGGTGTCCAATCTGGCTACAGGTGCATAAGTTTCATTATAATCCAGTCCAGGCTTCTGAGCATACCCTTTGACAACCAATCGTGCTTTATTCTTTTGCACAGAGCCATCCAAATTCAATTTTGTCTTGTAAACCCACTTAACTCCAATCACTGGTTTTTCAGTTGGTCTATCCACCAATTCCCATGTTCCATTCTTTTCAATCATCTGCAATTCATCTTGCATAGCTTTAAGCCAAGATTCATCTTGAGCATCATCATATTTTTCTGGTTCCATGATGCACAAGTTACACTGAGCAAGAACATCTTCTAGCTTTCTCCATTTTAAAGGAGTGTGATCATAAGCTTGAGTTCTCCTTTCTTCACTGCTTATATCACTTGGAGTTGATGATGTTCTCCCCTGCATATTCAGAGTTTGAGGTGTAACAGTAGAGTTGCCATTTGAACTGTCAGAATGAAAATCAAAATCTACTTGATTTTCAATTGTGTATGGTGTCATAACTGAATCATTGTTATCTGTCCAATGCCAAGCACCTTCTTCATCAAATGTCACATCCCTTGACAATATAAGCTTGTTAGAAACTGGATCAAAAACTCTATAGCCTTTTTCACAAGTGGCATATCCCACAAACACTCCCTTTGTACTCTTAGGATCCAGCTTGTGCCTCAATTCAGCTGGTACATGAACATAACACAGAGAACCGAAAACTTTCATATGTGCAATTCCAGGCTTCCTTCCACTATATGATTCAAATGGGGTAATGTTATGGAGAGCTTTGGTAGGACATCTGTTCAGCAAATAAACAGCTGTATGCACTGCTTCTGCCCATGGGAAATAAGGCATTCCCTTATCATGTAACATTGATTTTGCCATCTCAATGACAGTCCTATTCTTTCTCTCTACCACTCCATTTTGCTGAGGAGTATAGGCCATTGTAAGTTGCCTTTGAATGCCGTGAGCTTCACAAAACTCCACAAATTCAGTAGATAGAAACTCTCCACCTCTGTCACTTCTTATGCATTTCACTTGGTGTCCAGTTTGTAATTCAGTCATAGACTTGAACTTCTTGAAACAACTGAAAGCTTCTGATTTGTTTCTTAAGAAGTATACCCAAATCATTCTTGTGAAATCATCTATAATCAGCATGAAATATCTGTTCCTTGCAACCGATTCATTTCTCATAGGACCACAAAGGTCTACATGTACTAACTCGAGTGCTTTGCTTGCTCTTTGAGCTTGTTCTTTTGGAAAAACATTCCTGTGTTGTTTTCCAAATTGACACCCTTCACACACACCACTTTGTTCTTCCAATGTTGGTAAACCATGTACCATTTCTTTATCCCTTAAATGTTTCAAACCTCCAAAATGCAGATGACCAAGTCTCTTATGCCAAATCCATGTGGATTGAGTGAAACTAGTCTTCATCAGTAACTGTTTTTCAGCTAGAAAGGATACAGGATAACATCTATTACTCTTCATTTGTACCTTGATGATGAGATAATCCATGGATGGACTATCAAATACCCTGCACATCCCTTCTCCAAACACCAGACAATATCCTTGCTCATCCATTTGCCCAACACTTAGCAGATTTTCTTTCAATCCTGGCAGATACATTACGTCTCTGATGTATTTTCTGCCCTTTGCTGTATCAATCCTCAATGAACCAATTCCAGCTACACTCACAAGTGTACCAGTTGGCATTTGTACTTTTCCAGCCACATTTGTTCTCACATCAACAAGCAACTCTAAGTTTCCTGTCATATGGTTGCTACAGCCACTATCAACATACCATTCTCCATTGGTTTTGATCTCAGTGGTTGTGCAATTTGCATAAAACAAGTTCCCTGTCACCTCCATTTGATTTACACAATTAGCCTTCTGCACATTCTTGTTCACAGTACAATCTCTAGCAAGATGTCCAAATCTGTCACAATTATAGCATTTTGGTTTTCCCTTGTACCTGCACTCACCAAAATGATGCTTTGAACACACCTTGCATTGAGGCTTTGTAGTTTCCTGGTTTGAGAACTATGTTGAGGTGTTGTTCTGTGCAGAATAATTATTCTGTTGTGACTTGTCTTTTGACTCCCATGACTTCCCTTTAGAATTCTAGTTTCTCTGTGACTTAGATGAACCAGACTGAGAAGCATTTTTATTCTGTCCTTTGGAATTCACAATGAATGAGGCAAATGCCTTCTCAACTGTATCAACACTATGCATTTCAAGCCTTTGCTCTTGACTCTTCAAAATGGCAATCACTTCCTGCAACTCCACAGTTTCTATGTCTTTGTGTTTTCAATCACAAGGCATATAGGATCATACTTCTTACTAAGACTAATTAAAACCTTCTGAACCTGCCTCTCATTTGACAGAACTTCACCAAATGTTTTCATTTGGTTAATCAATTCATTCAGTCTAGTAAGATAGTCAGATAAGGATTCATTATCACGCATCCTAGTATACTCAAATTCACGTATGAGGTTTTGAAGTTTTACCGATCTGACATGCTCTCCACCATGATATTCAGCATATAGCAATTCCCAAGCCATCTTCGCAGAATCTGCATGTGCAATCCGTGGAAAAATCTGATCAGAAACGGCATTTTGGATGATACCCAATGCTTTCGCATCCTTCATGAGAATCGCAGCTGTTTTCTCATCAACTTCTTCTTCTGAGATGTCCTCAGATACCTTCTTCTTCTTTGAATCCGGGATTGAAAAACCCTTCTCTACCAAACTCCATAAACCATACGATTTGAATATGGTAACCATCTTAATCCTCCAAAACTCATAGTTCTCACCAGAGAAAATTGGGATTCTAGCCTCTGAGCTTCCAGATCCAGCCATTTTCGAATTTCAGATGTACCTGGAAACAAGTTGTTTTCAGATCGACAATAGATCGAGCTCAATCAGCTTCGTGAGCTATGAATGAGCTTCATCTTGATCGATTTTCTTCACAGAACGAACGCCCAGCTTCAGATAATCGAACCTGGCTCTGAGGCCATGTTAGTGTTTTTGTGAATCTGTATGTGTATTGGTAGAGAACAAAAAACAAGGAGAGAAGAAAAGCTTAAATCCAAAACTCCTCTGCTATACGTGTAGCAGAGAGAACATTCTCATTTCTCTTCTGTAAGAAATCTGTTCAGTACAAACACACACACTTGGTGTGAGGATATATCCGTTAGGCACAATGACAGCTGGATGCATTACATCACAAAGCAATCTCAGCCATCCACAAACTATGACACTTGGATTACCAATAAAACAAACAATAAGAAAACTAAACGTATCTAATTTATGAAATCAGCTTGAGCACTTATAATTCAACAATTAGTCCCTTCCTGACTGATTTTTCCTTAGTACTGTAATAGTTGAAGAACTCACAGGTAAGCTTGAGAAAGGGATGAACAGATTCGGTGGCTTCAATAATTTCTACAGGATAATCATGGGGTTGAGTTCGACGACAGCAAGGCAAGCAGTAACATATCTGATCAAGATCAATACATCTGTGTCGTCTATTGGCCTGTTCTTGTGCTTGCACTTCGTTCCAGGGTTGGAAACAAGAGACGGGCCTGGAAAAGTCATACAGGTTTTGAAGAATAAAATAAGGAAGCTGATTTTCGAACAGTATGAGGTCCTAGCTTTCCTCAGCCACGGTGATCTTAATATGTGATAATCATTTTCAGGGTTTTCGGAATTCATCAAGAAGAGCTCAATGATGAAGCCAGCATCAACTAGAATTACGTCCAGAAAGTCGGTATTGTCACCCTGACTAATTGTCCCTGCATAACAACTAAGAATCTTTCCTTGACAATCCTTGATGAAACATTTTTGTTCATCCCTTGTCTTCGGAGAACGTGCCAAAAAATTCTCACAATATTTTTTTTTATGGTTCTCCATGTCCTTGAGTTCTGGTTTGCCATGCTGGAAAGGGCCTATCGAAATTAATTGAGGAGTGTATGCTGCTTCATTTACTTTGCGGAGTTTGTTGGGAACCCTGTAGATACATCTCTTGTCAGGCTCGTAGAATACTTGTACCGTGTCAGCCCATTCTTCTGTCTCAGATATCTGATCCTCCATATGTGAAGTCGTCTCTTTTCCTGATGACAAAGAAACTGCAATTAGTACTATAGGAAGGGATAGTCTGCCGCTTCACCAGAAAATTCCTGTATTCAAGAATGCGGCCAATATATGTGAAACTTATGTGCAGACATGGGCTTAACCAAGTTGGCTAGAACAAATGTGCTTCCCACTCTGCACCCGAGTTTGAATTCCCATTCTTTTGGTAGTTTAGAACAAATTAAAGTAGAAAAATTTTGTAAATAAAAAAAAAGGTGTGATGTGAAACCAAACCATAACAGTACCAACCATGCATTAATTAGAACATAAAATTAACTTACGATTCAGTACTGCAAGTTTAAACGCCAATAGAAAAATTCCAAATGTTCGAAAAAATATGAGATTTAATTGCTGTATTCATAGAAAAATCAAAATTTAATTCATTCTATTAAAACACAATTTAATGCATAAAATAATCAAATAAAATATAAGCAAAGGTTTAGAAAAACCAGAATATGATTGAGTCTAAAATTTGGCTCTGTCTCCTTAAGATAAATTGCCCCTCACAGGTGCTTCAAGGTTTCATTGACAAACATCTCCCAGGATACAATGACCTCCTTCTTGTGGTAATAGCACTCTAAACCACAAGAACAACAAACACAAACTTATGTTTGAACTCTCTCAATATGACACTATTTATATATACTCATCACAAACACTCTAGTCTGCAATGAATAAAATCTCTGGAAGACTAGTTTATCCAGGAATAGATTGATGACTCTTTGAGTTAGATGAAGGTTTATTCTTCAGATAGATGTGTTAAGTGACGGTTTAGAAAATTTGTGTCCATTGAAGAGTCAAAAGTTGTATCGTTTCACTTTAAACATACACAACCTACTATATTCAAGAACAGTCAACCCATCAGACACCATTTCCATTCAAATAAAATATTTCATTCGTAAAAAAATTAAAATTTTCCAACACCTAATTCATTGATTTCAAATTGTTTGCTTGCATTTCAAAGATTAAATCATCAGATTTGGATGGCCATCTATATTTGTCTTCAACTAGTTAGTACAGAGTTGGGTACTCCCTAATGCTAGTTGATTTTGGAATGGAACTTCAACTTCCTTTATAGTATCACAACCAGTTTTGCCCAGCTGTGAAGTCTAACAGACACACGTGCTTTATGTCACACAATATGTGTCTATGTACTAGACTTGAAATTTCGTCTGTGTGTGAAGAAATGTCCCACATTGGAAAACTAACAAACCTTGAAAATGCTTATAAGAAATTGGGCTACTCTTCTACTACCAATTGATTTTGGGAAGGAACCTCAACTTCTTTCAGTTAGCTCCATCAATTTTTTCCCTTCTCATCTACGTACCTCTTTGGTTTTCAAATTTGATTGGGAATTATAGTAAGTAAAGGAAGGAACGGCATAAGTTAAACATTTATTTGGTTATATAAAGAAAACTAAAATCCTTAGCAAGCCAATTCTGTAGTAGAAACGAAATGTAGCAGGAGTGGAGTACAAAGAACCTGGCGGTGGTTAACGTTCTTGAGTCGATGAAAATGGTGTCTGTTTGGCCCGTCGCTAGCTAGTGAGCTGCTAGCCTTGTCATTGCCTTATTGCAAACAGAAAATTAAGGTTAATAAGGGACTGGCTCCGTTGACCAGGCCCAAGTGGGAAAACCTATGGTTAAACAAAGCTTTGGATCCGTTGACCATCAGACGTGGGACTAAAAAACTTGGTTCCCTTAAAGATCAAGTGGGGGGAAAACTAATAACTGAATTATGTGTTTCATCATGGAAGCCTAGTGGACATCATCAGACACATGCTCAATGGCAAGGTAAATTTATTTACAGACGTTAGTTGCTTGTTTTTTGTTTTTTGTTTTTTTCGTAGTTTTTATCAAATTTGTCGAGTGATTAATGCTGCTGAAGAAAATAAAAATTCTTGAGTCCTTATTAGATTTGTAGCACCAATGCAAATAAAAGATTGCTTTCATGTTCGCCAAACGGTCAATGTTGTGACTCATCGTTTGGCTAAGTTGGGTTTATTTTCAGATCATGATATGTTTTATTCATTTATTTTAGGAGCCTCTATATGTAAACTCATGTTCTTCTCGTTGATCGATACTCGTTTTAATCTTTCAATAAAACGATGTCGTCTTTCACAAAAGGGAAAAGGGAAAAATCAATTAAGAGTATTTACTCCTGCACCTCACAGTTTAGACTGTTAAGCGCATTGACAAATTTCCTTAAAAAATAATAGCCAGAATGAAATAAATTTACTTAATTTCTTTTTTACAGATGAAGCGCATGAGCATCCCATAGAGATCAGTCATTGCTTCATCACATTGCTTCATGGAGGAGTTTATATAAGCAACCCATACATTCATTTGAGTACCCAAAATGGATTAAGCGACTGAGCCTCAAAAAGAAATCATCAAGTTCAAAGAGATTATTATCAAGTTCCGGTGCCATTGTAAATCACAATATCTTAGACGTACAGTCAATTAATATTATTATTTTTTGATAAAAATGATATTAGGAGAGGGGAATCAAACCTAAAACCTCAGGTGCATGAGTAAATACTCTTCACCACTTGAGCTACAAATCCCTTGCATCTTAGACAGTTAACTATGGATATAGCTATAAGACTGGAAAGTGATTATATCACATGTATTTATGAAAAGGGTAGCAACAAATAATGGAGATTCATTCCCTACTTTTTCCCACCACAGTGTAAATTCAATTTAAAACTCGAATGCTTTTTCTATGACTCTTTTTTTATTTTTTTATTTCTCACGCGTCCAATCTTGATATAAAATGGTTGTTGCCATGAAAACTGCTGGTACTACAGAAAATGCTCAAAGCCCTGTTGGGTCACCTGCATCTGTTGATACTCATTTAGCTCCTATCATGGCATCTTTTTGTAACTATACTAATTAAGTGCAAAGAGTATACAATCTTCCTCTGAAAGTATGCGGTCATGTAGAAATCACGGAATCGTGTTGTAAGATGAGAACGAATACGCCCAATTACCCTAAATAAGCTTATGAATAATAATGGAGACCACATTTTTGTACCACATTTTAATACCAAATAATGTGGCAAGACATAAGTTGAGAGAGGTCAACTCTTGCGCTCCCTTCCTCTTCCCAAAGAAAAAGAAACACTAAAATTCTGACTGAATGCAGGACAGGAAAAATGTTGCAGAAGGAGTGGAGTATAGAGAACCTAGCGGTGGTTACGTTCTTGAGTCGACGAAAATGGTGTCTGTTTGGCCTGTCGCTAGCTAGTGAGCTAGCCTTGTCATTGCCTTATTGCAAACAGAAAATTAAGGTTAATTAAAAGGGACTGGCTCCGTTGACCAGGCCCAAGTGGGAAAACCTATGGTTAAACAAAGCTTTGGATCCGTTGACCATCAAGGCGTGGCTTGGTTCCCTTCAAGATCATGGGATAAACTAAACTTAAACCAAGACTAATTGGAGTTGAATAATAACTAAATTATGTGTTTCATCATAAAAGCCTAGTGGACATCATCAGACACATGCTCAATGGCAAGTATACTTAGGAAAACAATATCATAATTATTATGACAACAATTAATTTCTTACCTTATTTAATTTTAGGGGCATGATGGGAATAACAGAGTAATTGAACAATGAAAAAAATAATATGTAAATATAAAATAAAAAAATAAAAAAAAGGAATGTAATCATACGGGCACAAAAGTCAAAGGACTTGTATCAATAACAACAAATACAAGAATTGCATCTGACTTCTATTCTCGATTTTGAACTTATACCGAATTTTCTAAAAAAATAAATGCACATGCTATATAGCTAGGCATGCACACATCTTTGCTGTCCTGCCTTTCAGTCAGAATTTTAGTGTTTTTTATTTTCCCTTTGGGAGGGAGAAGGAGTGCAAGAGTTAAACTCTCTCCCTATATCCATCATTTAGTATTGAAATCAGGTACAAAAATGTGGTCTTCGCCACTACTCAAAAACAATTAATTCAGTGTGGGTGTATGCGTTCTCATATCTCACAACGATTCTGTGATTTTTGTTTTGCTGTTGCAATATTTTTGGTTTTGATGTTATTGTTACTAGTATAGAAAAGAGAAGCTTTGAAAGAAAAAAGGGAGAGAAATAAGAGGGAAGGTATTCTACTGTTCTGTTCTTGTGTATTTGATTTGTTACTGACTTTTTCTTTTATTCGCACCTGTGGTTTTGTCTGTATTAAAATCATGGGTCGCATGAACTATACTAGCTAGTTAGACAACAATCACAAGATCGTTGCTTTGATACCATGCTAAAATAAGGGAAACAATTGTGGGAATTTTCTGTGTATTATTCTCCCTTGAAGGCCAAGTAACCTTGGAGTTTAAGTAAAATTATAACTCCTAATTCTATTTACACTAGGAAATCAGAAAAGAAAATGAAACAAATTTACAACTAATCAATACGGAAATGTCAACTCAATTCAAAAATTTCATTATTTTACAATTATTATTTTGAATAGAAATCATTTAACAATAATGACAACACTAATGGGTGAGATGGAGTCATGTATTTTCAGTCTCTGAAACAAAACTTCCAATTTATATGACATTTTGCTTATCTTCTTAGATTTTCCCTTACCATTGTTCCACTAGTGAGTCAGGAACAAAATTCTGGCCGCATAACACCCGACGCATGAATTTTGTAATCAATTTGTAAGATTTCTTCTTTAAAAAAAGTTTAATGCAGAATATTCTATGACATGAAATCTTAAAGATATTAAGAGCGTGATGTATAGTGTTCAGTTAGCGTTTAAAAAAATTGTAGACATGCATTTTCTTTGTGTATTCATGCAAAATTAGTTAAGGATTTTTTTTTGTTTGGCAAACTTCAATATAATCATCGGTTTGTGGCCTAAATTAATCTCGTTAAAACAATGGACTTATAGGTATTTTATAAAAATTCTTTATCTAGCTAAACTTATTTGAAAGTCTCTTGATGCACGGGGAAGTGCATATTAAAAATCAAATCTAGAATATTCCGTCACGTGAAATGACATGAAAATTAATAAGTTGTTTCAATTATCTTTTTATTAGTTTCATAACAGCTATATGTGTCTTTGTAAATTCAAATGAAACATGTGAACGATTTGTCTGTAGCTAAACAAACAAAACATGTGAACGATTTGTCTGTAGCTAAACAAACTTAACATGTGAATGACTTGTCTGTAGCTAAACAAACTTATTTAATCCCATCATCGGCTTTATCGCCCAAATTTATATATAAGTGCCTCCCCAAATTTCTTTCCTAGTACAAAACATAAATATTGCTCATGTATATAGGTTCTTCCTTTTGTAATGGTTATCCTTTCAGGTTTTAGTGGAAGGAGATGGAGAAAGAAAGGGAAAATAAAAATTGAGACACAAGTAAATTAGTAAAAGAAAATTCCATTGTAGAAATGAGTGGCATGGGAGAATTTGATGCAAGAGAAATTGCTGTTGTAATAAGGGGCTTTAACATCCTCTTAATGGGCATGCAAGGTACATTTATTTGCTTGTTACTTGCTTCTTCTTTTTTCTCAGTTATTGTTAATTTGCTCTTGATTCTTTATTAGATTTAGCTTAAATGCCAAATAAAGATCATGTTTGTGAGACCTCGGAAATTTTATGGTGCTTAAAAACTATTTGTAGAATTTTGGAGAAAATATTTTGGATGTGATTAAAGGAAAGTGCATGTGTTTATCTAGCTGAATTTTTGATCTCTTCTTTCCCCGTGTAGTTGATGGTTTTCAGCTGGAAATGTGAGAACGAGTCTCTTTCCAGAAACCCACTCTCTCCCTTCTCCTTCAAACTTCTTTCTACCATAATTTTCATTCTACAACTCCAATTCTTGCGCCGTTTTCGCCTTTAGGATCGTATGATCGAGCTCTACAAGATAAGGTAAACCATTCTTGGATTTGGTTAAGTTTCGAAAATTTCCTCTTTCTGAGTTAGTGACTGATTAAGCTTTAATCTCTTGTTTCCAAGTGTGGTTTGGGAGAATGGTGGTCACTAGGCAGCTCATTGAAGGTTGAGGATTACTTTGGAGCTGGAATTCTAGTACAGTGTACATTGATTTAAGTGAGATTGTGTAAGTGATTTCGGATATGATATTTGATGACATGCGAAGTACACTAGGTGAAGAATCCAGTTAATTGCAAGATGAAATAACTGTTAAGTGCGTTGACAAATTTCCTTAAAAAATAATTGCCAAGATGAAATAAATTTACTTAATTTCTTTTTTACAGATGAAGCGCAAGCGCAAGATCAGCCATTGCTTCATCACATTACTTCAAGGAGGAGTTTATATAAAGCAACCCATGCATTCATTTGAGTACCCAAAATGTATTAAGCGACTGAGCCTAAAAAAGAAATCAAGTTCAAAGTGATTATCAAGTTCCATTGTAAATCACAATATCTTAGACAGTCAATTATTATTATTATTTTTTGATACAAAGTCATATTAGGGAGGGAGAATCGAACCTAAGACCTCAAGTGCAGAAGTAAATACTCTTAACCAATTGAGCTACAAGCCCTTTGCATCTTAGACAGTCAATTATGGATAGCTAAGACTGGAAATATAAATACTTGTGAAAAGGGTAGCAAAAAATAATGGATATTCATTTTCCCTACCTTTTTTCCACCGCAATGTAAATTCAATTTAAAACTTGAATGCTCTATGCCTTTTATATTATTATTTCCCACTCATGTCCAATATTAATATATAGTGGTTGTTGCCATGAAAACTGCTGGTACTACAGAAAATGCTCAAAGCCTTGTTGGGTCACCTCACCTGCATCTGTTGAAACTCATTTAGCTCCTATCATGGCATCTTTTTGTAACTATACACTAATTAAGTGCAAAGAGTATACGATCCTCTACTAACAATATGTGGTCATGTAGAAATCACAGAATTGTGTTGTGAGATGAGAACGAATACACCCAATTACACTCAAGTAAGTTTATGACTTACGTCTTACTACATTTTAATACCAAACAGTGTGGTAAGATATAAGTCGAGAGAGGTCAACTCTTGCACTCCGTTCCCCTTCCCGAAGTAAAACGAAGCACTAAAATTCTGACTGAATGCAGGACAGGAAAAATATGTGTCTGATGATGATGTTCCCCATGACACACATCATGTACTTATTAGTCAAATAGCATCTGGTCTTGGTTTACGTTTAGCTTATCCCCGTTTGATCATCAAGCGAACCAGGATTTGGTTTAAGTACTTTAGTTTAAACGCATCACTTTTCCACATCTCGACTGTCAATGGATCCAAGTTTTGGATCTGGTTCCTTTTGTGAACCCTAATTTTTTGTTTTCAATATTGGGCCAATGACAAGCCTAGCTCTCGCTAGCTAGAAACAGGCCAAGAAGACACCACATGTGGTAGCTCAAGAAACCTCAACCACCGCCAGAGATGCCATTGCATTTCCCCGAGTAAACTTGCAGGTTCTTTTTGCTCCACTCATTCTGCTACATTTAGTTTCTACTGCAGAATTGGCTATACTGAAGATTGCTTAATTTGCTTTCTATAAGGATTTCAGTTTATATAACCGAAAATATATTCTAAGAGGTACTTAGGAGATGAGAATAAAAAAATTCAATGGAGCTCGAAGATCCAACGAGTTGAAGACGTATAGATGGCCCTCCAATCTGATGAATTTACCTTTGAAATGCAAACACAACACATTGAAAATTTATGAACTAGCTAGGAACTTGTCTATTGACATTTTAAACTCGCAGTACTAGAATTCTAAGTTAGTTTTAGATTCTAATTAATGCATCCGGATGTGGTACTAATGACAAAATTCTAGAACATTTGAATGAATGATGACATTCTTGAATACTGGAATTTTGCTGGTGAAGCAGACTGTCACTTCCTATGTAGTAATAATTTTAGTTTCATTGTCACTAGGAAAAAGACGATTGACTTCATATATGGAGGATCAGAGAGCAGAGAATGAACCAGAATGGGCCGACGCGGTACCATTTTTCTACCGGCCTGACAAGAGGTGTATCTACAGGGTTCCCAATAAACTCCGTAAAGTAAATGAAGCAGCATACACTCCTCAATTAATTTCAATAGGCCATGAAATTCCCTAGAATGGCCAACTGATCTGTTTCTTAATACTCAAACACCACGACAGGATTGAAATACTGTAACAATCCTGTAAGCAAAAATTCCAGAATACGCAGCAGAATAAATTCAAATAAAAATGCAAACAATTGCACAAGGGACACACGATATGTTGACGCAGTAAAAAACCTCAAGATGAGGAAAACAACTGCGGGCACTATGCCGGAGAACAAATCACTATGAGAAAGAATACAAAAAGATCTTACAAGTCTCAACTCACAAGACTAACGCTCACAAGGCAGACTTGCCTACTCGCCTTTGCTACTCAACCCAACCAGCGATCTTGTCTTCCTTCGTCAACAAGAGATGGCACAACTCTAGCCTCGGCTGCTCACACCTCAAGGCACGATTGTTGATCACCAACATGCATAATGCTCATGAACTCACACATATATGAAAAGATGATTATTTAATCACTCATGGAGGCTAACAAGGAACAGCCACATGAGTTTTCAATATGAACTTTCAAAAACCTCTCTGCAAATATTTTGTCGTTCTTCTTCTTTTTCAATGTTGCAGACACACCAACAAAAAGGCTAAGTTCCTTACTTTTATTACACGCTTAAAACTAGGTCAGAGACCAAAAAAGGCTTTTAGCAAAAATGGGCTTTTTAACAAATAAATTATTTCTTTAAAACAAATAAAGCCACTTAATTAAAAACCCAGCCGTAAAGACAAAAGAGCCCTTTTTCTAAAGAATATAAAACCATCGTTAAAAACTCATTGATGTCTGGCACTGTATTATATAAGACTGAAATCATATATCAGTCATGTACATCTTACAGCCACTTTTGATGATCAAGCAAATATGAAAATATGAATGCATGGATGCAAAACATACCTTGGCATTGTCTCTGAGCCACACTGATCCAGGATAGCAGAATGTCACTTGAAAATTGTAGGTTACACTTAAAGACCTACTATATGTTTTTGTAACAGGAAATTGCCAATATACCAAAAATTGGTCCTAACAAATAGGCCCTTTCCACCATGGCAAACCAGAACTCAAGGACATGGAGAACCATAAAAGAATATATTGTGAGAATTTTTTCACAGGTACTTTAAAGAGTAAGGAGGAACTAAGAAGTTTCATCAGAGATCGTCAAGGCAAGATTCTTAGTTGTTATGCAGGGACAATTAATCAGGGTGACAATTTCGACTTCTCGGAGGTAATTCTAGTTGATGCCCTCTTCATCATTCAGCTCTTTATGATGGATTCTGAAAACCCTGAAAATGATTATCACATTTTAAGATCACGGTGGCTGAGGAAAGCTGTAGAGCAGGACCTCATACTGTTAGAAAATCAGCTTCCTTATTTTCTTCTTCAAGACCTGTACAACCTTGCTATGCCGGTCTCTTGTTTCTATCCCCGCAACGAAGTGCAAGCAAAAGAACAGGGCAATAGACAACAGAGATGTTTTGATCTTGATAAAATATGTTACTGCTTGCCTTGCTGTCGTAGAAGCCACCCCCACGATCATTCTGTGTTAACTGTTGAAGCCGCCAAATCTGTTCATCCCTTTCTCAAGCTTACCTGTGATTTCTTCAACAGTTACAGTGAAGGAAAATCTGTCAGGAATGGAGTAACTATTGTTTATACCAAAATGAACCGCCAATGAACATCGGACACGTGGACCAAACCAGAGCTATGGGAGCCTTCGGCACCTATCTTCGGTATCATTCCTACCGGTCGCACCATTAGGGCAACCTCACCCACAGGGACACGTGGCAGTCCCACAATTGATGTCCACAGTCCCACATCGAAACTCTAAACAAATTGCACACCTCCCAAGGCCTATAAAAGAGGACCCAGCTTGGAGGTAATCAATCAGAACTCACGGCATACTGCCTATTGATCTGTAGTTCAAACTTACTAAATCCGTACTTATTTAAGCATCGGAGAGCCTTCGGCCGGTACCACACCGGTGCCCTAGGTCTTACCGTGCGTTTGCTATCTTACAGATTGAACGCCCTACCGAGGCCATAGCATACCGAAGGAAAAATAATCACTAAGTTGTGCGGGAAAGTGCCGAACCATTTTTCTGCGTCAACAGTTTGGCGCCGTCTGTGGGAATCAATAACAATCAACCTACAATTCATAAAAAAACATATGGGAACCACTTCGGGACCACAGTTCCTATCGGAGGATGGATTACCGTACGGTATGCCAAGTGGAGCAAGCCCCGCGCTGCACCCTAGCACCCCTTTCGGTAATCCTCCAGCGCTTCAGACCACGGTCAAAGTGGAGCTTCTGGCTCAAATGACTTCCCTATGGAGGGAAATGGCTAAGCTCCAAGAACATAACAATCTCCTCTCGTCCAAAGTAGACGAAACCCAGCGGTTGCTTAACCAGCAGGAAACATAGAGCATTCAGGCTACTGAGTCTTCCTAGAGTCTGCAGACCCCTGGTCGGCAGAAGAAGGGAAAGAAGGGGGCAAAGGCAACGCCTGCGCCTTCCAAACAGTTGGTGGTCCCAGCTCCACAGGACCAACCTCACGTGCCGAAGAAAGTGTACACCGATTGTCGTCATCGGATCAACGACAAGAAGGATGCCGAACGGCATAGGTCCCCAATCAGGGTTAATGCCCTCCTGCGGGACTCACGGATGAAGGTCCTAGGAGATAAATCGCCCCTTAGGAGGGTCTAGGGTTTGTATTCGGGGTTGGAATCTGATGACGAGTACGTCCCCACCAAGGGCACCGAATCAACTACCGTTCGGAAAATCTCCCGGAGTATTCGAAGGCAAGACCACCAAGTCCGAGGAGAACTTCCGAAGACTTCAGTTCCGAGGAGGTCCCAAGCCGAGACCCCGCTATCCGTCTGCTCTTCCAGAGAATCCAGAAGATGGAAGATGACCGAACCCGGTCCCAGGTACCTGATTGGGGAAAACTTCGGTCAGGACCATTTACCGAGCGCATCAAGAAGTCCAGACAGGATAGGGAGGTGCAGCCGTTGCGCATACCATTTTATACCGACGTGGAGGACCCTTTGACGCACCTTCACTCCTTCCAATTGGCAGTTGGATGCAAGGGCCTCAGCGACGAGGGGCAATGCCTACTGTTCCCATCATCCCTTACCGAAGCCGCTTTGAACTGGTTCTACCATCTTGAGCCAGGGATGGTAGACTCCTTTGACGAACTGAAGCAGATTTTCCTCAATCACTTCATGATCCAGACGAACCTCTATGGGAGTATGTTGCGCGCTTCAGTCATGAATACTCGAGGTGTCCAGAAACGGACGATAAGGCAGCCTACGTCGCCTTCAAGAGTGGCCTTCGGTCCTCTCATTTCCGATATCTCGTGCACAGTAGTAACTGGCGCACATATAACGAGTTGATGAAGCAGGCGGCAGTCCATGCGAAGGCCGAATATTTCAACTCCAAACCCGGGGCTTCGGCTCGGAAGGAGGAGTCAGCAACCAAGAGTTATCCGGGGTGAACTGACGATTCTTCGGCAGGGCACAAACGGAAGGACGACCATGATAGTCATCAGGGAAACTCGAAGAAAGTGCGCGGGAAATACAGTCGTAACGACCACCGTGGGCCGCTACCGAATCACGATCGTGCCCAGGAAGTTTTCACCATGCTGAACACTACATACGAGGCCGTTCTGATGAACGAGCATGACCAAATCCTGAAGCCAACTAACCGAAAGCCCAATCGGCAGGACAATCGGGACACTGGCAAATTCTGCCGATACCACCAGCAGAACAGCCACAACACCGAAGACTGCGTTAGTCTGAGGAAGATCGTTGAGCGCTTGATTCGGGAAGGAAAGCTGGATCAGTACATCGCCAGGCCACCACAGGCACCGGCACAGAACGCGAATCGGCAGATCAACATGATCAGCACGATCAGCGGAGGCCCCACTCTGGCGGGACCCTCTAACCGTTCAATGAAACAATATGTGCGTGCCGCTCACTACCCCAGGTCTTCGGCATAGAAGACGATCGGTGCCGCAAGGTCCCGAAAGTGGGGTGGGAGCCCATCACATTCTGTGAAGAAGAAGAGGAAGGGATCGTCTACCCCCATGATGACCCGATGATCATTCGGGCCGAGATCGCCGACTACGATGTAGGTCGGGTGCTGATTGACACCGGGAGTTCGATGAACGTAATTTTTGCTGATGCGTTCAAAGGACTGGGAATTGCCGACAGCATGGTCAATCGGCAAATAACGCCCCTCCTTAGTTTTTCTGGGGATCTGGTCCAGCCAGTCGGCAGTATCAGTCTACCCATCACCTTCGGCGTCGCCCCCAGGAAAACAATGACCTACGACCAATTCCTCATTGTCGACTGCCCAACGGCATACAACGTCATCATAGGGCGAACGACACTCATCAGGGTCAAAGCCCACTTATCCCCTCACATGTTGCTGATGAAGTTCCCTGCACGCAACGGTACAGGCGTCATCAAGGGTGACCAGCTCAGCGCACGGACGTGCTACACGACTGCCCTTAAGTCGGTAGCTTGCAAGCCGCCAATGGAAGCCATGATCGTGCAGGGACTACCGAACGGTAGCGCGAACATAGATGACCCCAGGGAGGAAACGCCAACGCCGGTGGCGCAGTCGGCTGAAGAGCTCGAAACTATGGTCCTAAACTAGGATTTTCCCGATTGGTGGGTAAAAATCGGCACCAACCTAGATCCCGACCTCCGAAGACAGTTCATCGACTTCTTACGTCAACAGGCGGAGGTCTTCGCCTGGTCTTACGAGGATATGCCCGGCATATCACCTGATGTCATCAGCCACATGCTCAGCATCTCCACCGCCCATAAATCGGTCAGGCAGAAGCGCCGTTCATATGATGCCGAACGGTACGAGGCTATGCGTACCGAGGTTGACAAGCTCAAAGCCATCGGCTTTATCAAGAAAGCTACGTACCCTGTCTGGCTTGCCAACTCAGTCATGGTTCGGAAGACCAAAGGAGGATGGCGGATGTGTCAGGACTATACCGACCTGAATAAGGCATGTCCGAAGGACAGCTTCCCCTTACCGAGAATCGACCAGCTTGTTGACACCACCGCTGGACACGAGCTGCTCAGCTTCATGGACGCCTATTCAGGGTACAACTAGATCTTCATGGACCCTGCCGATAGAGAGCATACGGCATTCTTCACCGACCGCAATCTGTACTGTTACAACGTCATGCCCTTCAGCCTGAAGAACGCGAGGCAACTTATCAACGGCTCGTCAACCGGATTTTTGCTAAGCACATAGGCGGCATTATGGAAGTATATGTCGACGACATGTTGGTGAAAAGCCGAACGGCAGGGGGGGCATTTGGAAAACCTAGCCCTTATGTTCGGTAGACTGAAGGACTACCGAATGAGGGTGAACCCAACGAAGTGCGCCTTCGGTGTATCTTCCGGTAAATTTCTCGGATTCATGATCAGCCAAAGGGGAATCGAGGCTAATCCCAAGAAAATCAAGGCCATAATCAACATGGAAACGCCGAAGACACAGAAGGACATTCAAAGCCTTACCGGACATGTCGCTGCCCTGACACGCTTCATCTCCAAGGCTACCGACAGGTGCGTGCCGTTCTTCAAAGCCTTGAAAGAGGGCAAACATCATATCGCATGGACTCCCGAATGCGACCAGGCATTTCAAGACTTGAAGAACTACATGAGCAAGGCACCGCTATTATCAAAACCGCTCCCAGGAGAAGTCCTCCTCCTCTACCTTTTGGTATCCAAAACTGTCGTCAGCTCAGTATTGATACGGAAGCCAGTGAAGGCAGAGCTACCGATTTTCTATGTCAGCAAGGCTCTTCAGAGCGCAGAACTTCGGTACCCACCCTTAGAGCAGCTAGCACTAGCCCTGGTCGTCTCGGCACAAAGGCTTCGCCCATGCTTCCAGGCGCACGAGATCACTGTTCTGACAAACCAGCCCCTTCGGTAGGTACTCCAAAAGCCAGAAACGTCGGGCCGATTAGGCAAATGGGCAATCGAGTTAGGAGAATTTGACATACAATTCAGGCCAAGGCCTGCAGAAAAAGGTCAGGCTGTTGCCGACTTCATCTCCGAGCTCACACCTCCTGCACTATTGGAAACATCCTGTCCGAATTCTATTCTTACTGCACCGGAGAAAATGGATGCCGAGCGCTTTGACACTTCCGTCCCTCTCTGGATTCTGCACGTGGATGGCTCGGCAAACCAGCAAGGCTGTGGTGCCGGCTTAGTGTTAACCACTCTGGACGGTGGCAAAGGCAAATATGCCCTCCGATTCAACTTCAGGACCTCTAACAACGAGGCAGGGTATGAGGCTCTCCTGGCTGGCCTTCGGCTAGCCAAGAGTATTGATACGGAAGCCAGAGAAGGCAGAGCTACCGATTTTCTATGTCAGCAAGGCTCTTCAGAGCGCAGAACTTCGGTACCCACCCTTAGAGCAGCTAGCACTAGCCCTGGTCGTCTCGGCGCAAAGGCTTCGCCCATGCTTCCAGGCGCACGAGATCACTGTTCTGACAAACCAGCCCCTTCGGCAGGTACTCCAAAAGCCAAAAACGTCGGGCCGATTGGGCAAATGGGCAATCGAGTTAGGAGAATTTGACATACAATTCAGGCCAAGGCCTGCAGAAAAAGGTCAGGCTGTTGCCGACTTCATCTCCGAGCTCACACCTCCTGCACTATTGGAAACATCCTGTCCGAATTCTATTCTTACTGCACCGGAGAAAATGGATGCCGAGCGCTTTGACACTTCTGTCCCTCTCTGGATTCTGCACGTGGATGGCTCGGCAAACCAGCAAGGCTGTGGTGCCGGCTTAGTGTTAACCACTGTGGACGGTGGCAAAGTCAAATATGCCCTCCGATTCAACTTCAGGACCTCTAACAACGAGGCAGGGTATGAGGCTCTCCTGGCTGGCCTTCGGCTAGCCAAGAGCATGAGCGCGAGACAGATCAGCATTCACAGTGACTCCCAGCTCATTGTGAATCAAATAACGGCAGACTTCGCAGCCAAGGATGCCTCTATGTCGGCTTACCTATCGGCAGCTCACCAAATCCTGCAAAAATTTCAGGCCTACGAGATTCGGCAGATCCCCAGGTCTGAAAACAGCCACGCCGATGCACTCTCACGTTTAGCTTCGGCAATAAATGACAAAATCGGAAGAAAGGTACCGGTAGAGATATTATCCCAGCCAAGCACGACAATTGCTGAGGTGTGTACCGTACGGTACGAAGACACATGGATGTCTCCAATCTATGCTTTCCTGACAAACGGAATCCTTTCGACCGATAAGTCCCAAGCTCGAAAGCTCCGGTACCGATCAACAAGATACACAGTCATCGACGATGTTCTGTACAAGCGAGACAACACCACGCCGTATCTAAAGTGCCTAACCAGAGAGCAGGGGGACTACATCCTTCGGGAGGTCCACAACGGAGTCTGTGGTGACCATTCAGGATCCCGATCGCTCGCACACGAAGTCTTTCGACAGGGATATTTCTGGCCGACTCTGGAAAAAGATGCGAACATGTTGGTCAAAAAGTGCGACAAATGCCAACGGTTCGGTAGCGTCCCTCACATTCCTGCCGAGCCACTCTCACCGATTGTGAGCCCGTGGCCATTCGCCCAATGGGGATTAGACCTAATTGGTCCGATGCCAGAAGGCAAGGGTAAGGTCAAATACGCTGTGGTTGCCGTACACTACTTCACCAAATGGGTAGAAGCCAAAGCCTCAGCAACAATAACGGCAACCAGAATTGAAGATTCGACATCCCCTACGCCATCATCACGGATAACGGCAAGCAGTTTGATTCGGAAGTCTTCAGGGAGTTCTGCATTCGCCTCAAGATCAACCTGTTGTTTGCTTCGCCAGCTCACCCCCAATCGAACGGCCAGGTCGAAGCAATGAATAAAATTGTCAAGAAGCTATTGAAACAACAGCTTGACAAAGCCAAAGGAGCCTGGCCGGAGAAGCTTCCAGAGGCGTTATGGGCCATCCGGACATCCTACCGAACGGCAACCGGGGAAACACCCTTCTCCATGGCTTTTGGCTCGGAAGCGGTAGTCCCAGTGGAAATCGGAGAGCCTTCCTACCGAACGGAAGCTTTCAGACCAAAGGCGAATAAGGAGGCGCTCGCCTTGAGCCTCGACCTGCTTGAAGAACGCCAAGCACAAGCCAACCTTCGAAACGAAGCTTACAAGCAGCGCGTCTCTCGATACTATGACTCCAGGGTCAGACCCCGCTCTTTCCAAATCGGAGACTGGGTCATGCGAAAAGTCTCTCTGGCAACTAAGAATCCTACGGAATGAACCATCGGACCTTCCTGGGAAGGACCCTACGAAATCATCGGTATCTAGCGATCGGGGACTTACCGACTCAGAGACTCTAACGGAAAGGCCCTCGGTCATCCTTGGAACGTAGAGCATTTGAAATATTATTTTAAATAGTCACCTAGCCTACGGCAGGGTTAAAATAGATTCCAGAGAGCCTTCGGCCTGTTTGTATTCGCAGCCTTCGGCAGGTTTTTAATTATAAAACGCACTCTAGATGTATCTTTGCCTTCGGCAACTATCAATGAAAGGGCCTTCGACTCATATATTCAAAACCTTTGGTGTGTCCATTAAGTTCTTTTCATTTAAAAGATACGGTAGAGACCATCGGTCGCATTAAACTACGTTTTTTGTTATTGCTATTAGCCTACCGACTGAAGGACAACTTAGTTGGGCGATTAATGGATCATCTTAATTGCCTACCGATCCAAAGTTTACTTAATTTTGAGCTTCTACTTGCCTTCGGCATTTAAAGCCGTTACTTAGCCTTCGGCAAGATTGGCAAAAGACACAAACATACCGAGAGTAAAACTACTTGGACCCTCAAGTTTGAAAATAAAAACAGCTTCAATTAAAAGATGCCCACGGCATCAAGGTTACATCAAAAGATGCCCACGGCATCAAGGTTACATTAAGGGATGCCCAAGGCATCAAGGTTACATTAAAGGATGCCCTCGGCATCAAGGTCACATAAGATAAAAGTTGAAAATGAGAAGAAGCTGTTGGAGAAGATTGACACCCTGCCGTTCAAAATAGGACTATACCTTTGAGTATCATTGCAGAGCATACAAAACTTTTAGATCAGATCCACCATCTCCGAGCCCACCTCCTTGTCGATCAAGGTGGAGAAATCAGAAGAATTACGGTACTTTCGAATAGCCTCCTAGACAGCAGCCTCGATCTCCGAAGCCCTGGCCCGCTCCGACTCCGCCAAAGCCACCTTCGCCTCCAGAGCCTTCTTTGCCGATAGCTGCACCGACTCCAGGGCTGCCGACAGATCAGCGAACTTAGCCTCATAAACCTTAACCTGCCGTTCGGCAGCCTACAAATCCTTCGCCAAGTTCGCATGATCCTGGATAGCCTTGCCAGCCTCGACAACCCTGGCCCTACTGTCCTCGTAGGCCTTCTTCGCTTTCTCGGCGGCATTGATGGCCTGCTTAACGCACAGCCACATGTCCATCGAAGCCTGGGAAACAATGGAAATGTCAGATGAAATATATAAAATAAAAAAAAAGAAATCGGTAAGTTAACCCGGGTATACTTGAAACTTACCGAAGCTTGGAGGCAGAAAGCGCGACCAGCCTCCTCCCGAAGGAGCTTCTTCGGCAGGTCTTCGATCTCGGACAGCTCCATTTGCGAACCAAGGATCATGTGGTGCGCAAACTGGACCGTCTTCGACGGACAGGCCAACGTGACGGGGTCAGCAAGCTCATCGTCGTTGTCAACAACAAAGACGGCCCAGGGAAGCTCAGTCTGCCGCCCACGCTTTGGGACAGGTTCGGCATCCAGGTCGACGGTGAACGGCCGCTTGCCGGCTGCTCGGGAGGAGGTCCCTTCGGTAGGAACACTTCGGCGGAGACGGTCAGCCAGGGTTTGGTCCTCGAGGTCGGCTTCTATCGAGGACGCCGGTACCGCGTCCTGCTGCTGGCTCTTCTTTTTCTTCCCCTGGAAGCCCATCATGAGACGCCGCTTGGGGGACTCATTCATCCTCTTCGCCTCGGCAGCTCTCCTCTCTTCCGTGACTGCACAGACAGGGATCAGTAAGGCTTTACTACCGCCAAAAACAACTTATAAATGGCCAAGTGCACTTACTCTAGGCAGGATCGACTAGCTGAGCTTGGATAAGTTTGGCGGTGAAAAGAAACTGCGGGTACACCCTCTTCTCTGTAGGGATCTTGCTCCTCACCCTCTCCACTTGCTGAATCTCCGCTTGCGTAGGGATCGGATGCTTTAGTTTACCTACAAGAGGAATAACAAGGAAATGATCAGTCATAGTAAAAAAAAGGCCCCGAAGAAGGTACCGAACGACATGTTATCCTACCGGCTATTTGGAATGTTGTGGGAATTGGAAATCGGACAGGTTGTCCCGAAGACGACTCCCAGTCACTCGAAAGAAGCACCCGCCGATTCCTCCATGACTTCTGAGAAGTCGGCACCCAGTTCACAAAGTGACCACGCTCAGTAGCCTTGAGATAGTTCGCCTGTACCTATCCACTGTGATCGGTACGCTTGGACTTTGTGATACTATACAGGTACGAGAACTGCTCGTAGGATGGCCACCCTTCACTGCCCATGCCGAAGGCCGTTATCACTCCCATGAGGGCCACCCAGAAGTTCGGGTTAAATTGTCCCGGAGCATAGCCGATCTGGGCCACAATCCTCTGTATCGCCGGCTGCAATGGCAACCGAACGCCTTGAACAAGGACGTCGGTAAAGAAGACCACCTCGTCGTCCTTCGGCTTGCTGAGGGATTTTGTAGGGCCCGAGATCCTCATTCGTACTGACTCCGAGATGCGATATTCCGCTCGATACTTGGCAATCTCCCGCTCGGTAATCTTGTTCGGCCCAAGATAGTCGACACCGAACATATTTTCCTTCGCCACCCCCATAGGTACCCTAGGGTTGCTTGGGTATACTACCGATACCCTCGCCCGAGAGGATGGTTCGGCGGCTGACTCTCCACGGCCGGAAGTGGAGGTCTCTGACCGGCAACCAGCGCTTGTCCCCGCAGGCATACCTAGACCCACATGGCGACCGTCGCTATAGACGATGGACAACGGCACCGGAGCGGTCATTAGCCCCTTACCAATGCCGTGAAAAGAAACGGAGCTGGGACCTTCATCGAGTATCTCAACATCGGTGTCGCTTCCGCCCTCGGCAGCGGGGCTTACCGCCTCGTTGTCCGAATTAAAAAGACCGTCTGATGACTCCCCATCGAACGCATTGGGCTCACGCTCGGAAAAGGACTCGCTATCGGACATCTACAAAAAACAAGGAAGAAGGAAACTAAGGTTCATGCCAAAGACTATCCTACTGATTCCTATATCACTACCTATGGCGACTAGACTACCGAACGGAACCCTATGGTCAGTCTAGTTCAAGCCAAGGTAACAAAAAGTAAAAGAGAGAGTATATTGAGAGTACCGAACGGTACCTTAATCCGAGCTCTGGAATACCACGAACTGTTCTACCGATCACCTTGAGGGAAATCGCCTTTCCTGCCATTTGCAACGCCGGAAATCGCCTGAATTACCGTTAATACGCGTCGAAAATCACTTTTGATAACGAAAGATTTCGCTGGAAATCGCCTCAACAGAGCTCTCGTGTCTCTCACAAATGCAAAGTGAGTTTCCTCCCGGAGTCACCCCTATTTATAGGGCGAGGGTTCGCAACGGTACACCTCGAGAAACCAAACGGCGCATTAATGCGCCGCGCCTCATGATTACTCTCGCCACGTGTCACTCATCCTATGGTGGACTGACAGCACGCGAGGCGCGGAAGACAAAGCGCTCAGTTGTCCCCTCACCCATCCACTCGACGCGACCTTCTGACTTCCCCAACGTCAATCTCTGAATGAGCAAGAACGAAAGAGCCAAAGTTGAGCCCTTCCACTAAACTGGCTTACCGAACGGTAGGACGGCATTTCCTTCCGAAGACAACTTCAAATCCCCTTCCGAGAACTGTCGCAAGAGGACTTGGGGGACTTCTGTTTATACCAAAATGAACAGCCAATGAACATCGGACACGTGGACCAAACCAGAGCTATGGGAGCCTTCGGCACCTATCTTCGGTATCATTCCTACCGGTCGCACCATTAGGGCAACCTCACCCACAGGGACATGTGGCAGTCCCACAATTGATGTCCACAGTCCCACATCGAAAATTTAAACAAATTGCACACCTCCCAAGGCCTATAAAAGAGGACAACTATCCCAGCTTGGAGGTAATCAATCAGAACTCACGGCATACTGCCTATTGATCTGTAGTTCAAACTTACTAAATCCGTACTTATTTAAGCATCGGAGAGCCTTCGGCCGGTACCACACCGGTGCCCTAGGTCTTACCGTGCGTTTGCTATCTTACAGATTGAACGCCCTACCGAGGCCATAGCATACCGAAGGAAAAATAATCACTAAGTTGCGCGGGAAAGTGCCGAACCATTTTTCTGCGTCAACAACTATAAAACATTTCACTGATTTGGTAAGACATTTTCTGTGCCCTATAGAAGAAATGACTTAGGTAGATACTCCTATAAAAAATATATATGACGCGAGGAAGTTGAAGGCCGCAGGGGTGAACTTTAGGCTACTTAAAGAAGTAGGGTTTGTCATTAAAGGAGATGAATCCCACGATTGTAATTTCAACTTAGCATGTTTTACAAGTATGGACTTGAAGCTTACACTATTCTGTGTCAAGGATGAGACAGAATGCATCGTCCGAAATGTCATGGCGTTGGAGCAGTTTCTGTATCCAGACTCTGCTTATATTTGCGAATATTTTTTGTTCATGGATAAACTTGTGGACACTGTGGAAGATGTGAATTTTCTGATTGAGAGTGGAATTCTTGTTAACAAGATAGGCTGCAACGAAACCGTGGCAAACCTGATCAATAAACTCTGTGTGCAGATTATGGATGATGTATCCTGCTATGGTGGTGTCTATGGGCAGCTTAATAAGCACTATGGGATCAGTTTTTGGAACCGTCATCTGGCAATCCTGAAAGGAGTTTACTTCAAGGATCTTTGGACAGGCAGCTCAACTATACTTGGACTTTTTGTCCTGGTTTTCTCAATCATTGGAACCCTGAAGTCACTTGAACATAATCTAATTTAAGCTTCATTTGTAGTTCTTAGTAGAGATTCATCCAGCATATGTAGTTTAATCAGAATAGTGTCATAAGTTATTTGGATTAGATTTTAATTTTTGTAACTCATGTGTGTGTTCTCTATATTATCACGTGCGACCAGTGAAAGATTTTTCCGATTTCTGGAACTGCTACATATGCAATCTATTATGTATTTTCACACAAAACTAGTGAAAATTTTGTCTCAAGGTTTCTGTATATGTATATCAACTTTTGGATCTTGCACAAGAGCCCAAAAATCTAAGTGTTGCAGATAAAATCTGACCAAAAACATTACTACATATGTCGATAGCTTTCTTGTTCCACTTTGGAGAGGAAGAAGGGCAGCGCAGGTCATGGTTTGCATTGCAGGTCCCATCCGTATCTGTCACTTTGATGAAAAGCCCCTCTTGCTTCACTTTTGGCAGGCAACCTTGATATTCATTCAGAACTAAGCACAATCAACATTGAAACAACAAACGCTTTATAATTTTAATAGAAAAGTTTATATAGATTCAAATTTTCATTGAGAAGTTGGGTTTAAACCTCGGATTTGGCGACTTTGATACAAGTCCTTCAACCCTTGCGCCACATAGGATTACATTCATTTTTTAATATATTATGATTAATTATTTTATTTTTATTTTTTAAAATCATTTTTTGTTCCAATGTTGCCCATTATACCTTGAATCGAGTAATAGTAATTTATGTGGTAATAATTAGCCATTTATGACTTTGTCATTGATCAATAGAGAAGGAAAATATTGCAAACATATCCCAGAGAGCATTTAAATAAAAACCTCTTTCCTCATTGTATCAGTTTCCTACCCCAAGAGCTGTTCTCCCACTTCTTCACATCAGCAGCCTCTATGAAAAACTGCCACTAGTGAAAGGACGAAAGACAATTTGAAAAAATAAGCCTACAATATACTTCCATAGCAAGCAGAGAATTATGGCAGAATATTCCTCAAATGGTACTAATACTGGTGATACTTGTTGGTAACTTTTCTTGGGGAATATTTTGACTTCAATTTTGATGTTAGATACCAAAAGTCTCTTGAAATTCATTTGTCCCTATGGTAGAGGTATATTACGTACTCTTATATTAACCTATGGTGTAGGTATATTGTTCTATTGCCTATTGCATAGGTATATATGTGTTTTTCATATTTTAGACAATGAATAATAGTATTTTATGTACCTTTCTTTTAAATTTTTTTTATAGGTAACATACAATTTTTATTTGTCTATTTTTGTATCTAACTTATAGGTAATCTTCCGTTTGGAAGTGTGGATTGGGGGCAGTTTTCAGAAATGTGCATGGAGATCTTATGGGTGCAATTTCAGTCCCTATCACTGGATGTTTCTCTGTCAAGGTTACTGAACTCTTAGCAATTCAGGAAGGCCTTCAGTTTGCATGGGAGGCCGGCTATGATTCATTAGTAGTTGAGACGGATGCGAAGAATGCCATTAACGACATCGTCTCTGGCATTGGGGCTTTTGGGGTTGCAGGAGGGATTATCAACGACATCCACATGTTATCTAGAAACTTTGATTCACTTTCTTTTGTATTTGCTCCCAAATTGTGTAATATTGTGGCTGATAGACTTGCTAAGTTTGCTTTAGGTAGTGTGTCCATAGACGTTTGGCTTGAAGAGGGTCCTCCATGGATCAATGTGTTTCTTCAAGCTGACACTAATAATCTAGAGTTGTCATGATCTTTTGTTTGTAGCCATTATGGAGTGTGTGACACTCTTTTTCCTTCGTCCTAGGTTTTGTCCTAATGGGTTTTCCTGGGCAAGGTTTTAATGAGGCCACGTTTGTTCGCTCAAGTCTGTAACCTTTCACAATTTTAATGAACATTTACTTTTACTTAAAAAAAAAAAAAAAAAAAAAAAAAAAAATAAGTAGGTCTTCTAATTTATGTTCCTAACTATAGGTAGTCATTTAATTTATGTTCCTGACTTATATGTAACACGATTTATCACTAAGTTTTTTCCATTGCTAATAATAATACTATTTATCTGTATGTTAGGTACATAATTTCATGTGGGTGCTTGCGTGAATAATTGGTATAATATGCGGTTTTTATTTTTCATTGATTAAATTGTATTTTATCCATATATAGGTAAATATTATCAAGGAAAGAATTCAGAATTTAAATTCTAAAATTCAATTACAAGAAAATAATGCATTAAATTTAGATTTTCAATGTGTTTTCCTTATTTACCTCAAGGGTAATATCGACATAGCAAAAAAAGTAATAAATGTCAAATGACCTATATCTAGAACCAAAAACATGTGGACTAAATACAATGACAGCTAATTGTTTTGAACCTAGATAAGAAGCCCTAAATTGTATCAAGGTTGGACAGAAACGAGTAGTTAGTGATTACTAATGAAATTACAACTGGTTAATTAGCATTGAGCATTTATATTTTACTTTATATAAGTTGATATCAAGAAAAGATATTAACTTCCCTGCAATCCTTTATTTTATCGTACATGAGGAGCTGATAGGATTTGCGAGGCTTACCAAAGTTCTAGCACGTGCTAGGCTTTGAGTTGATAAAAGAAAGACTTAATTACATAAATGCCCCTTGAAACTACAATCAAATCTCACATTGCCCCCTCAAACTTAAAGTGGCCCACTTACCCCGCTTGACCGAGGTTTGGTAATCTACTTTGCCTCCTGCCGTCAATTTCGTCCAAAAGTCTATTAACTTTGATGACGTAGCAAGGGTGTTTTTGTAATTTCGTACACATGAATCATTATCCACCAATTAAATGGGTGACGTGGCAAATGGAGCCCACCTCCACATAATTAAATATTATAGTAATTTAAAATAATTAAAATTAAAATACAAACAAAAAACTATTAAATAATTCTTTAAAACATTTATAAAATTAAAAAAAATTTAAAACAAAAAGAAAAAAAATCCCACTCTCTCATTCCCTTCTTCTCTCTCCTTATCTCTATCTGCCTCTAAACGCGCCCCATCCTCCCACCATCTTCTCAAAAACAAAAACCCCAAACAGCTGCCAACTAGTCCCTTCTACAACATATGCCCAGCCACCACCTCCTACAACAAATTCGATCCAAACCCCCACCCAATCACACAACATACACCACACACACAGAACTCGAAAATTTTCTCCATAAATTTCAGCAGCCCCACCCCATCCCTGACCACCTCCTTATGACAGGACCGGCCCCGAATTTCTCAAAACTCGGGACGAATCCTGTGGAAATGCCCGACATCACACCGATGTCGAGCCCACTCACTAAAACCATAACCTCCTTTTTCAAGGAAGGAATCAAGACACGAGACTTTCTGCCGAAAATTTGGCAGAATCTCCCCTGTAAATTGAACATTTCCCAAAATTTCAACCTGCATAAAATACATTTAATATCCCAACAGGCAGCATGCACAATATAGTTTCATGCAATTCGTATAAACGGCCTCTGGCCTTCACATAAATGGAAAGAGAATCTCCAACATGGGATGTCTAACATCCTAACACCAACACAATTAGTTTAAGGCATCAGCCCGGAGCGTACAACAATCCAAAATAGCTTTCATAACCAACTGGACCACAATCACCACACAGGTAAAATTTAGTCCGCGGCTGCACCTAGGCACTACCCTAGGCTGTCTACGTACCCTTACTGAGGGATCAAGCCACACGTAGTTCTTTTCCCAAATCCCGATTCAAACCACATACGATACCTTTATTCATCTCCCTGTTAATCACATAATCTCCCCATACGCCACATGCGACCTATCATCTCATATTACATACTCCCCATACGCCGGAACTACCAACGCCACGTATGGGGTCTGTCAACACGCCGGAAAATCCTACGACACGTGTGACCTCATCATCATATCACAATATCTCCCCATACGCCGGATCTACGAACGCCACGTATGGGGCTTGTACACACGCCGGAAAATCCTATGACACGTGGGACCTCACAATCATATCACATAATCTTCCTATACGCCGGAACTACGAACGCCACGTAGGGGGTCTGTCATCAAGCCGGAAAATCCTACGCCACGTGTGACCTCTCATCTCATATCACAAGATAGTGCTTACAGTGGAATCAAACATCTTTATATCTTTAACATACCTAATATATAATTTCCCACAACAATTAATAATTCTGCGTTCTCCTAGTTTAAAACAATAGCTAATACCATAATCCACATAACTCAACAATGCTCAAGACCTGTCACTGGGGTCATTATAATCCTCCTAGGAAGGTAAAACTACCTCGGAAGGCTCACGGTCAACCAAGGGTCAAACTACCTAAACTTGATCAAACGGACCCACGGGGCCCACGACCTCCAAATTCCGATCCGAAAATTCCTATAAGTTCTACAAGGCTTAGGACACACGTCCTGCACATTTGGTCTAGATCGGACGGTCGGATCGCTCACGATCGGGCGGTTAGTAAAACCCTAGACTTAGGGTTGGTATTTCCGGAGTATCCGGGACTCCGTTTTACGATCCGTCGAATCCTACACAATCCTAAAAATGTCCAGATTAACATATTCTAAATTTAAGACTATCCAACGGTTCAAACCTATCTAACCCAGATAACGCACAATATGCGATATCCGTTCGAGACTCAAACGGTATCCAATTTGAAGTCCGAGCACACCTACGCGCTAGTGAGGACCAGGACATCACCTCGGGACACAATGCCCTTTTTCTATAGTGCCCACACGGCGCCACAATCGCCGACAGCGTGTGGGTGTACAAAGCGATAACCCATCACCGGGAAAACTCAAAATCACGGCTCAAGACTCCTACCCCAAGTGTAATACCCTATTTGGAACCACTTTTGTTCTTGGACATACCCCAAAAACTGACCAGAAGTGGCCGGAATCACTATCCCAAAATCGGCCGAACCTTAACTCGAAAATCTGACAATCTAAACTCAAAATTAATGAAATCCTACCCAACCATCAGCTAGAGCTCGAGGAATAGATGGATTTCCATACCTGGATTGCCAAAAATGGAGGCCGGAGGAGAGAGATCGAAGTCGGCGAAGTTTCGAGCGAAACCTGGCATTTCTCTTCGCTTTTCGGGCGAAATCACGGCGGTTAGAGGTGGGGCCTGGCTGGGGTTGGAAGAGGACGGCGGCCCAGTCATTTTGGTACCGGCCCCGTCAACTTTGGTGGTCGGACGAGTGCATGACAAGCCAAAACGTGGCCAGTTGTTACAGCCGTCGCGAGAGAGGAGAGAGAGAGGCTGCGCAGAGGAGAGAGAGAGAAAGAAAAATCAGATTTATCAAACCCTTTTTGCAATATTTACGATTTTGCCACTGAGGGTATTTTGATCATATCTCTCTCGTTACAACTCCGATTCAAGCCCACCACGTGTCTATGAACTCATCTCACCGTGCTCTACACAACGGTACAGTTAAAATCCCCAAATTTCTTCTCAGTCAAATAGTCAACTTTAAATCTAATAAAATATTCTACAGGCAAAATGGTCTTTTATCATGTTTAATTAATAATTAAACATTTATTTAGGACTGGGTCGTTACACCTTAACCCAACTCCAACCACCTCTTCCCTCGGCAACGGCCCACCATCAACCTCTAGCACCCAACCCAAATCACACACCCCCCCCTCCAACCACCATTGAAGCCATACAAACCCTACCCGCAGATTCACCCCTCTTCGCCCCACTCTCTCCTTCTCTCCTCTCCTTTATCTCCATCTCTTTTTGTTTTTTTTTAATAACCAAAAACAATAATCCATATGCAGCAAACCAATGAAAACCTTTACAAATGGAGTGCACTATGCACACTAAAAGGGTGCAAGCATAAGCTCCAAGCCATCCGCAATACTATTACTGTATCTCCTGCAAATCAATAGATCTAGATAGACAATTTTGAAATTCAACATTCCATTGCATGCTCAAAATAGTATAAAATCCAACCTCATAGCCATCTAATGAGATCCCATAAGAACCTATCGAGTTATCAACTAACCATAACATCTAACCCTCATGTGTCAAACATCATAAATGAGGTCTGAAACCCATTTCCATTTCCTCCTCCTCTCTCCTTCCTCTTGATAGGACCCGCCCCGGAATTCCCCTGAATCTGGGACGAATCCCGTCTTTTTGTCGACATCATCCAGATGCCGGGCCCACTTACTAAAAACCGAGACGTTCTACCAAATTTTTTTTTCAATCTCTGATACAAAACTTCCAATTTATATGTCAATTTGCGTATCTTCTTAGCTTTCCCCTAACCGTTGTTCCACTGAAGAGTTGGGAACAAAATTTTGGCCTCCTAACACTCGACGCATTAGATGTATTGGTTGAGTTAATTCTGGTTCTGTTAGTGAATCTTGGGGGGGCTAAGTTTTGAGGGATATTTGGCTTTGGTTTACTAACATACAGGTGTTTGGTTCTTCGGGGTGATGATAGGTGGTTTGCCTATCTACAGTCATGGAGTTTCTCTTTGCTGGTGGCAGCTTGGAGTTTCTCTTTGGTTGTGGCGGCTAGGTTTCTTGTGTTTTAATTTTTTTTAAAATGTATTTTATGTTTAATGTGGGTGTAATGCCTCTTTGTGGGCTATATGCCTTTATGTGGGCTAAATTCCTTTATGTTGGTTTTTGCCGGTTTTAGTTTTTTTTTGCTCGGGAACATGATCTACATGCTATACTGTGATGGTTTTAGCTAGATATGTATCTCTTTGTTTCCTGTTGGTTTTCTAGCTAGTGTTTTTGCCCGGCTTTGTTTGTACTGTTCTCTGCCCTTTTTGGGGATTGCAATACATTGGAACTTCTACAAACAAAACAAAAAACCCGACGCATGAATTTTTTAAATTATCAATACGTTAGATTTCTTCTTTAAAAAATAGTTTAATGCAGAATATTGTATGACATGAAATCTTATAGATATTAAGAACATGACGTATAGTGTTCAATTAGTGTTTTTTTATAAAAAAAAATTTAAGCATGCATTTTCTTTGTGTATTCACCAAAATTAGTTAAGGATTTGTTTTCAGTTTGACAAACTTCACTGAAGTTTGTCGCCAAACTTCATTGAAGTTTGTCGCCAAACTAATCTCTTTAAAACAATGGACTTGAAGGTATTTTACAAAATTTCTTTATCTATCTAATGTTATTTCAAAGCCTCTTGATGCATGGGGAAGTGCACGTTAAAAATCAAATTTAGAATATTCGATCACGTGAAATGACATGAAAATTGATAAGTTGCTTCAGTTACCTTTTCAGTTTCGTAACAGATGTATGTGTGGTCTTTGTAAATTCAGATGAAACATGTGAATGACTTTTCTGTAGCTAAACAAACTTATTTAATCCCATCATCGACTTTATCGCCCAAATTTATATATAAGTGCCTCCCCAAATTTCTTTCCTAGTACAAAACATAAATATTGCTCATGTATATAGGTTCTTCCTTTTGTAATGGTTATCATTTTAGAACTCGAGAGCCCGTTTTTAGGTTTTAGTGGAAGGAGATGGAGAAAAAAAGGGAAAATAAAAATTGAGATACAAGTAAAATTAGTAAAAGAATTTTCCATTGCAGAAATGAGTGGTGTTTACACCATAATCAACAGAGCATATCCAACCTCAAAACAACTAGCACCAAGGCAGACACGCCTTCTCCCTTGCCGAATTAAAACACTCTTCCAAGGTGCCAAGCACCTGCCGAAACTCCCGACTGCCGAAGCTCACAAACTGCTAAACCTAATCTCCATGACACGTGTCACCACCGCAACGACTTGCACAAAGTCCCACATCGGAAATTTACACCAACCTCCCACTTTCACTTCCCTATAAAAAGGGCACAATACCCTAGTAAAAAGGGTAACTACTTTTCTACCTTTTACTGTTACTCTGCAAAGGTTACCCTTCTTAGCTGACTTAAGCATCGGAGAGCCTTCAGCCGGTACCACACCGGTGTCCGAAGCTTAACGACTGCTTTCCCTATTTTTTGTCTTCTGCAAGCTAGCCTTTATTGAAGGCCCATACCCTTTTTCTGCTAAGGTAAACCTCATTTTCTCTAAGTTGACCCTCTTCGAAAAAGAGTATCAACAGTTTGGCGCCGTCTGTGGGAATCTGTACTTGAAACCCATTTTTCTCTACCAGCCCAGCTGGCTCCTTCTCCTATCCAGCCTCGTCGCCTCTTCTTCACTCCACACTCGGCTATGCCTACTGGGGATAACCACGGGACTCAGCACCATACCCCCCATGGGGGTACCTCCCAGAGGAGACCTTCAGCAGATGCCAATCTCTAGGCAGAGCTAGAGAGCCTCCGTGCCAGTGTCACCAAAATGTCCGAGAAATATGACCATCTTCATGCTAAGAACGTCGAGCTCGAGCATGACTACCGCACATTGAGGCGTAACTGAGAGATAAATCAAGCCCAGGGCTCCCAATGCAGCCTTACCCGGGAACCTGAGCATACCCAGCCAAACCAGCCGGAGCACTCTCACCACAGTGTCCCAATCCAGCAAGGGTAAAGGCCCCCTCCATTCAGAGACGACCAAGTCGCGGCTCCTCCGCATCTCCCCGCCGAGGAACCGGCCCCATGAACCAACAAAAGTCTACAGGGATTGCAGGGACCGTATCCTGGACCGTCAAACGGAACCCCCTCTTATCTCCATTAATGTCCAGGACCCAAAGGTGACACACCTAGGCCCCCCGCCAAAGCCTACCCAACTACCCCTTGGAGAAGGTATAGGGGACTCGGAGAATTGGGGGCAGGATTACTTAGAAGACTACGAGTCTTATGACACCGAGGCGTCCGAAGAATTCTACCCAGCCCATGGCCACCCACACACCAGACCTCCAGCACCCGAGACTCTCCCTCATACCGACTCGGCAATGAGGCTTCTCTTCGAGAAAGTCCGGCGCCTGGAGAGCGAGCAACAGCGCAACCACCAAACCCTCTGGGCAAAGCCACGACCTAGGCCCTTTACCGAATGCATTCTTAATTATCACCAGGAGAAGGACATCCAGCCACTTCGCATCGCCTTCTAAACTGGCACGGAGGATCCTCTCACCCACATACATTCTTTCCAGTCTGCCCTGGGGTGCAAGGGCCTCACTAACGAAGGCATGTGCCTCATCTTCCCTTCCACTTTCAGTGGCGCGGCCCTGAATTGGTTTTACAGGCTGAACCCCGCACCATCAACACATTTGACAGTCTGAAGCAGTCCTTCCTGGACCATTTCATGATCCAAACTGATCGCCTCTACTCCGCGGACGACCTATACATGCTTAGACAGGGTGAGGACAAGCCCATTCAGGAATATGCAGCCAGGTTCAGCCACGAATACTCCCGCTGCCCAGATACTGATGATCGTGCCGCCTTCGGTGCTTTCAAGGGTGGCCTCCGAGAGTCCAACTTCCGGTACCTGGTCCACAGCAACCCTTGGAACACATATGCCGAGCTAATGAAGCAGGCAGCAGTTCACGCCAAGGCCGAGTACTTCAACTCCAAGTGTAGCCCAGCCACCCCAGCATGTAATCCTTTTGCTGATCCTCCACCTGCTTCAGTACCCATCCCAGCTCCACCTCAACATTCTGCCCCTACACCAAGCACCCAGGGTGCCCAGCACCCCAAGAGGAAGGATAGCTACCAGCATACCTTCAGCAATAACAAGCGGGGCAAACATGGCAACCACTACCAGTCTAGTGGAAGCAACCCCTCCAGGACAAATGATCGGGCCCCACTCCCATTCTCACCCAAACCCAGGTTTGAGGTCTTCACCACCCTCAACACTACCTATGAGAATGTCCTGGTGCACCAGGCACCTATCATACCCCAACCTCCACCCCGGAAACCAGGCAGTAAGCCTATGCCTAACACAGGTGTTTTCTGTCGCTTCCATCAGTTTGGTGGCCACGATACCGAGTCTTGTGTTGCCTTGCGCAACATCATTGAGGGACTTATTCGTGAGGGGAAGCTGGATAAATACGTGCACAACCTCCCACCCCCACCTAACCCTTACCAACGGCAGATCAACATGATCTCAACCATCAGTGGTGGCCCTACCATGGCTGGAACCTTCAACAACTCCATCAAACATTATGTTCGCTCCACCTATGCGCATAACGTCTTCAGCACTGAGCAGGGACGCCTGCTGAAGACACAAAAAACAGGATGGGCCCCCATTACCTTCTGCGAGGAGGAGGAGCGTGGTGTTATCCTCTCTCATGATGACCCAATCATTATCCACGCCGACATCTCTAATTTCGACGTTGGGCGCATCTTGGTAGACACTGGCAGCTCGGTCAGTGTGATGTTTACTGATGCCTTCAACGAGCTCCAGGTCCCATCTCATTTGCTCGACCGAAGCGTCACACCCCTGGTGAGCTTTTCGAGCGATGTGGTCCAGCCTATTGGGAGCATTCATCTCCCTATCTCTATTGGAACAGCACCCCAGCGGACGACAGTCACCACTCCCTTCCTCATTATTGATTACCTCACAGCCTATAACGTTATCTTTGGGCGCCCTGCCATGGCCCAAATGAAGATTTTCATCTCTACACATATGCTACTGCTGAAATTCCCGACGCTTCATGGCATGGGCACAGTGCGCGACGACCAACTTGGCGCCCGAAGCTGCTATGCTTTGGCAGTAAAGTCTACCAATCGCCAATATAGGGGTGAGGCCCTAGAGGTAACCCGGGCTCAACCCCACCTCGAGCTGGCACTAAGCGCCCAGAAGACCCTAGGGAGGAATCTACCACCCAACAGGCCAAACCTGTGGAGGACCTCGAACTGGTCACTCTCCATGAGGACATCCCGGATTGACAAGTCAGGATCGGCATCTCCCTCTCACAAGAGCTTCGCTCTGATCTTGTTGCCTTCCTCCGCCTCAACTCTAAGGTCTTTGCTTGGTCTTACAACGACATGCCTGACATATCACCTGACGTCATCTCCCATAAGCTAAGCCTTAATCCTGCCATTCGACCCGTTCGGCAGAAGCGTCGCGCTTATGACCCAGAGCGGTATGAGGCCATGAGGGCGGAGGTGGATAAGCTGAGCACCATTGGATTCATCAAGGAAGTGGATTATCCTACCTGGCTAGCCAATGTGGTAATGGTGCGTAAACCAAGGAAGGGCTGGCGCATGTGCTTAGACTACACAAATCTCAACCGGGCCTGCCCAAAGGATAGTTCCCCCTACCCCGCATTGACCAGCTAGTATATATAATATCCCAACTTGAACTTTCAAAAATTAAACAATTTAAACTCAGCGCACAGTGGAATTCAAACCCCTCCCAACTCTGAATTTTTGGAGCCACTTAACCACCATGCCAATCATCATTTTATGATAATAAGCTATGGAATATATATTTATAATATATGCGAGCTGTTTCTCAAAATAGAAATTAACATAATTACTTATTGTTTTATATTGTTGATCAGTTACTTAATTACTTAATATAATTTATTTCTTTTCTATTTAATCCATTTAAGTTATTGATTATTTTATTATTCATTATAAGTGTCTGTGCAAATAATCTCGCAGGAGAATATTCGCTTCTAGATCCTTCAACCTTTGATCTTCCTTCTCTCTCTTCCTCGCTGGTCAGCCCAGTTTCCTCGGAGTCGGCTAGGATTGTGTTAATCATTATGACCTTTTGGGGTGACTCCTTGGCAGTGTCACGATCTTTAATCCGCTGGATGGCCTCCTTCGCAAGGAATTCCGTGCAGCGACCTTCTCTCACGAGTTCTTCAAGGTGTGCTTTCCAAGCGAAGCTTTTGTTTGTAGTGTGTCCATGCGTCCCATGGAAGGCACAGTATTTGCTGGTATCCCTTTTGTCCGGATCTCCTTTCAAGGGTGGCGGTCTTCTTACCCAAGGTTTGTTTTTCACTTGGGCTAGGATTTGATGTATAGGGATGGTGAACTTGGTGTAGTTCTCTTCTGCCTTAGCGTCCCCTTGTGGGCGTGACCTGCACTTGTCCTTATTCTTGTTGCTAAATCCATCGCTACTTTGGCCTGCCCGTTTAGTCGACTGATCTTCCTGCTTTGTAGACTTTTTTGCGGCGATTCGATCGTCATCCCAGAGCGCGTAACGTTCCGCAGTGGTGTAGACCTCTGCCAGAGTCTGGCTGGGAGTGATAGTCAGCTCGCGGTACAAGTCGTGTTCAGTTGGATGACCTTTCTTGAAGGCAGATGACGCAATCTAGTCGTCACATCCTACAATGTTGGCCTTTTCTGCTTTGAATCTCTTGATGTAATCTCGAAGGGATTCGTCGGACTTTTTGCACAGGTTATACAGGTGGTCAGGGTTCTTCTTGATCATCCGGTAAGAGGTGTACTCTTTGGTAAAGACGTAAGCCAACTACTTGAAGCTGCTGATCGATCCAGATGGTAGGATGTGGAACCAGTCTTGAGTTGCTCCTCGCAAGGTCATTGTAAACACCTTGCACATCAGTGCGTCGTCGGCCTTGTGGAGGATCATGACACTTTTGAAGTGTTTTAGGTGGCTCTCGGGATCGGAATCCCCTTTGAAGTGTATAAATAAAGATGTTGAGATTCACTTCGGGGGAGCAGCCTGCTCAATTTCAAGGGTGAAAGGAGTATAGATCGCCTGGTCCATCTCCTTACGTAGCGCATCCTCGAGGTTCCCACCAGTCTTCAAGTCTCGAAGTCGATCATTCACAAGCTTCTCAACGTCTTCCGCACACATTGCTAGTCGATCACGTTGGCGACCTTCGCCATTCGAGCAACGCTGATTGACCTCTTCGTTGGTCTGCGAGGGTCGACCCCCTCGTCTACGCTGCCTAGGAGGCGTGTTGGTGGACTACGCTTGTGATGGATTTTCTGTAGCTTGGCGACGAGAATTGGTTCTCCGAGAGCGGGTAGTGGAGTGTCTTTCTTCACGGTCCTCATTGTGAGGGTTACCAGGTTGACCTCCCTAGGGGCCTAACCTTTCGTGAATATTTCTCTGTGAGCGGGCAGCGAACCGCCTCTCTTCACGATCCTCATTGCGGCGATTGTCAGTTTGACCTCCATGGGAGCCTAGCCTTTCATGAACATTTCCTTGAGGGCCCAGGCGAGCGCGGACATCAAGTCATGGGCCGAGCCTTTCTCGCACGTTGCTTTGTGTGTGGCTTGCTAGTGCTTGTGACATGCTGGGAAGCTGATCACGTTGTTGTCCATCTCCTTGTCTGTTTACTCTTGCTCGACCAACTTGGTACCCATCGAGCTGCCGATCGGGGCGTTCATCCATCCTTCTCTCTTCACCCGGCTGTCCAAGGCCAAGGTTTTGAACCAAGTTTATTTGGTTGAGGAGCTGCCTCACCAGATTGGTTCGGTCATCCATCCTCTGAGCTAACTAGTCAACTCTCAGATTAAGATCAGCTTGACTTCGTGGATCGAGAGGAGAGAAGTGTGTGGAGCCCAATTGCACTCGGGCTAGGGTTTCATTGGAGGTATATGCAGGAGCGTGCATCGAGCGTGGAGGCAATGGAGGGAATGCTTGAAGTTTCTCCAAGACCGGGCCTCAGTCAGTGGTGGTAACGAGCCCACCTTGATGGGAGGTTCCACCATGCTCGGTGGCAGTGCCACGGAGGTTGCTAGATCCGGCTGCGAGTCTGGTAGGTGGCACGGTGGTGAGAGGTGGTGGTGCCACCATGTCGATCGCGGGATCATGGGTGGAGTGGCTTTGGGCCGTCGCAGATTTAGCCATCACGGCGGTTTTGCTCCTCGCGCGCTTGCTTCCAACCATGGTTGTTCGGAAGGCTTCGGTGGATTGGAAAATAGGAGGAACGAATTCCTTGAGCACGCATTGAGTATAACTCGTGCTCTCAATAAAAGCACCAAATGTTTGTGCAAATAATCTCGCGGGAGAATATTCGCTTCTAGATCCTTCAACCTTCGATCTTCCTTCTCTCTCTTCCTCGATTCCTGTAAAAAATATTGGAGTAAATAGACCACACCCGGGGGGTGTTGGCCAAAGGCCCTCTGATGCCTAAGTTAGTTCGAGTGTTTGTAGGAAAACAATAGCTAAGCAAAGGGTACAGAGTTTATGTATGGTGTGAACCGAGCAGACGGAGCCGTGTGTGGTGGCCGGAGCCGTGTGGAGAAAATATGGAGAGTGGAGAGGGAAAGAGAGCTTCGAGTATTTTTCTCGGGTATTAGGAGTAGGTTTAGATGTACCTTGAATGATGAATGAAGTATCTATTTATAGGAGCCTCGGGGCTAGGGTTTCGTAGAGAATATGCTGAGTTTATTCTCTACCCAAATTCGTAGGGATCGAGTTGGACTTAGATAATATCTGATTTAATGATATTATCTTCTCTTTATTGAAGATAATATCTGAATTAAACGATATTATCTCTTTTTATGAAGATAATATCTGAATTAATGATATTATCTTCTCTTTATTATGATAATATCTTAATTAATGGTATTATCTCATTAAATAAAGATAATATCCCATTAATTAAGATATTTATCCCAATTAATTAATTGGCCAGATAAATTGGTTCAATTAATTAATTTAAGAGATAATCTTCTTTTCCACGTGGCGTGCCCTGATTGGAGACGGAAATATTTGCTCCCACAATAAGTACTTACATTACTAAATTCCCCTTCAAATTGTTGCTTAATTACTTAAATCTCTATAATATTTATTTTCTTTGTTTACTAATTAATTCTTTCTTTGATAAATTTATTTATGTTCTTAGTTAATTTTCAATCTTCACTATTATTTTTTAAGTACGGTAAAGTGCCTAATTTTCATGAAAAGTCAAGTTGGTTTAATTATTTTTCAATTTTTGATAAATAATAAATATAAGAACGTGTACCATGTCCAATGAATAATGTGAAATAAGGTTACACATGTATCTTATCATGCAATTTATAAAGTGTAAAATATTGTACTAAAAAATGATAAATAAATTACTATGGGGTGTTTAATTCTCTTCATTAATTACTCCATATTTTCTAAGTCACAGAGTTTGTCAGCTCGCAATATAATCAACTGAAATCACTCAAACCCACTATGCAATGCATTTCCTTCTAATTTTTTGTGTCAAATAATAGATGATTGACTCAATAAACTTCTTCTAAAGTTTCATTAAAAATTTCCATGTATTTATCACAATTTCCGTGGTTTTTATCCAATTTTTATCGATATCGATATTTCCGTGTTTTTGAACCACCGATATTTCCAAAACTATCGATATTTAAGACCTTGGTGTTGACCACTTGAGCCAGCTTAGCATAGGTGTCGCTCGAATAGGATTGAAAGCCAGCTTACCATAACTTTCATTCTACAACTCCAATTCTTGCACCGTTTTCGCCTTTAGGATTGTAGGAACGAGCTCTACACGATAAGGTTAACCATTCTTGGATTTTGTTAAGTTTCGAAAATTTCCTCTTTCTGAGTTAGTGACTGATTACGTTTTAATCTCTTGTTTCCATACTTGCTGCTGGAATTCTAGTACAGTGTATGTTTACACCATAATCAACCGAGCATATCCAGCATCAAAGCAACTAGCACCAAGAGCATCAACGCCATGACACGTGTCACCACCACAGCGATTGTGCAAAGTCCCACATCGGAAATCTACACAAACCTCCCACTTTCACCTCTCTATAAATAGGGAATAGTATCCATGTGAAAAGGGGACTTCCTCTCTCCACTTAGAAGAGGATCCGGGTCTCAGAGCTAGACCCTAGGGCCGGGGACTCTCTTCTAGATCCCTAACCTGGGCATCTCACTTGTCATCTTTATATTCGGGTCCAACCCCATGTACAAATGTAATCATACACTATTATAATGAGAACATACTTCTCCGTGGACGTAGCCCATTCATTAAGGGTGAACCACGTATATCTTGTCTTCTTTACATTTATCGCTTGCCCAAGTCTTTACACACATGCTTAAGGTCCTCACCTTCATTCATCATCCATCACACCTCATCACTAAGTTGAACTCAATCTTGGCCCAACCATTTTGAGCATCAACAGTTTGGCGCCGTCTGTGGGAATCGATACAAAAGGCTTATGTCGTTCTCCCCTTCCTCAGTGCCCTTCGGCACCCATACAATCTTCATCATATAGCTTGAGCGATGCCTTCGGCACCCAGCCATCATTTGGCATGAGCTATGCCTTCGGCACCTAGCCATCAATCGGCGCAAGCGATGCCTTCGGCACCCAGCCATCATTTGGCATGAGCTATGCCTTCGGCACCTAGCCATCAATCGGCGCAAGCGATGCCTTCGGCACCCAACCATCATTTGGCATGAGCTATGCCTTCGGCACCTAGCCATCAATCGGCGCAAGCGATGCCTTCAGCACCCCGCCATTATTCGGCACCCAGCCATCAACCGGCATGAAACATGCCTTCAACACCCACCTGCCTAGCCACAATGCCTTGCAACATGCGGGCTTTGTGTTGCCTCCGGCACCATCGTGCCCGGGCACATTGCCTTGCGACATGCAAGCTTTGTGTTGCCTTCGGCACCTTCATGTTCAGCCACATTGCCTTGCGACACGCAAGCTTTGTGTTGCCTTCGGCACCCCGGTGCCTAGCCACAATGCCTTGCAACATGCGAGCTTTGTGTTGCCTCCGGCACCATCATGCTCGGCCACATTGCCTTGCTACATGCAAGCTTTGTGTTGCCTTCGGCACCTTCATGTTCAGCCACATTGCCTTGCGACACGCAAGCTTTGTGTCGCCTCTTGCACCATCGTGCCTAGCCACATCGCTCTGCGACATGCAAGTCTGGTGTTGCCTTTGGCACCCTTGTGCCTAGCCACATATTGTGTCACCTTCGACAGCTTCGGCAAACCTCTCTGATATGAGCAATTCCCACGCACATCCTCACCACAAGATAAGATTTCTCTTCTTACATATAAATACTGCATACGAGCATGTAATATTTAAGTAATTCATTGCACAATCCTATTCAACAACATGGTTCATGAATATTGCATATGAATCAAGGCGGTCCGGGCCACTTTGAAGATGCTCCAATTTGGCAAGTGCCAAATATTCCAAGTCACCGACAACATCACTTTGCAGGGTTAAGGAGGCCAACCACCATTTCAATCCAATGAGAAGCCCACATGACAACTAGCTGAAAGTCTGGAGCAATTTAGATGGCCGAGCCATACGGCACCCAGCCACTAAACTTATCAAAACACCCAAGGACACTTGGAAAATTTCTCAGGGCACTCAAGGACACCGAATGGCAGCCACACCCCACCTCCGGAAGCTTCAGATCAGCAACTCTAGGAGCAGCTCCAGAAGCTCCCAAGTCTTCTAACTCATGGTTGGTTTTTGTTCAAAACACCGAATGGCACACCCATTTGCTCAAGACACCCAAATCGCAAGCCTAGCTTCAATTTTCTTTCCAGCCCCTGCTCAAAATCAAAGCACCCAAGGAACACATCTGTTCAAGTTTAGCACATTGGCAAGGCCCAGGAAAGCAATTTAAGGGGGACTTGCAAAAAGTCTTACCGAAATAAAGGAGCCCACCTGCTACAGCAGCTCCACGCTTGCCGACGGTGCCCTCATGACCCAACTTCAATGGCCCGGCCCCAGCAAAGTTATCAATGGCCCGGCTACCAACACCCTTGCCGAAAGCCTAAGTATTCGCAAGGTACTTAGGGTACCAACAACAACAACAACAACAACAAAAGTGGCTATACTTTGCATGGCTTACATGGCTTTGCATGGCTTGCGTGGCTATACTTTGCATGGCTTGCAACACTCACCAAATTCTACTCCTTGCCCAAACTACGCTGACCCAGCTCCAAGCCCTGACACATCTAGGCCTTGACAAAAATTGTTTGGACTGGCTCCAAAGTTCGACAAAAGCCCAAGCCCCAGAAACTTGCCACAACTCAAGCCTTTGACCAAATTGTGGCAGGCCTGGCTCCCTGGCTTAACAAAAGCCCAAGCTCTAGTTACTAGTGGTGCCGAGACTAGTTCACAGTCTGTGCGCACAACTCCCGCATAAATCAACCAACAGCTGCTACAACAGCCTAGCCTGACACTATTACTTGGAAGCCCAAGTCTCTCTGGCTGCCTTCAAGGCCCAATGCCCAGCCCCAATGCTCCAGCTACCAAAGCCCAGCTTCAGTTCAAACACTTCCAAGCCCACACCAAGTGGCTAAATTGTGAAGTCCAAGTCCAATCCAGAAGCCCAGCACCCAAGCCTCTAATACAACACTCTGCCAAATAAAATATATATATATATATGGCTTCACAAAGTACAAATTCCTAGCAAGGCACCCCCAGGTCACGACACCAAGACCTGGCTCCCAAGCAAGGCCTCACGGTCCCTTCATAATGACGTAGCTCTAAGGGCCTAGCCTCAAAAGCTTGCCGAATGGCCCAGCTCACGGTCCCAAGTCAAGACCACCAAACCTCACGGAGCCCGGCTCCAAATCCTAGCTAATTCCTAGCCGAAACGGGACCAGCTCTAACGTTCGCCAAATCCTTCAAGACACCTACTGAAGGTCCAGCTCTAGACTCTCTCTCCTGTCGAACGTCAAGGAGCCCAGCTCCTAGCGACCCGCACCCAGCGGCCCGGCCTCAAGGGTACCGACCCGTGCTACAGCTCCAAATGACCCAGCTACTCAGATACGTGGCCAATACTCGGACTCCCTGCCGAAACAAGTTCAGCTCCAGGCAGCCCTCCTGCTGAAGCTTCGAAAGCAGGGAGTTAGCACAACAAAACTTTTCATCTCACCCTTGCCGAACGGCAAGGGTGGAGCAGAGGAAATCGAAGACCCACAAAACATACTTACCGAAAACTCAGCTCCCACCAGGTGCCTAGCCAAAACCGCGAGAACACGCCTCCAACGATCGTTGCCCAGCTTCTGAACCCACACTCACAGCCTCGCGATCCTTGCAGCACCTCCAAAGTTTGAGGTTACTCAGCTCCAAATTCCTTGGTCCACTCAAAAAACCTGGTCCCCACCAAAGACCCAAACTGCTCCAGCACCCTTGCCGAACGGCAAGGCCCGTGCGGCACTAAAACTGTACTCCCTCAAAAATCTCGAGCAGCCCACCTCTCAACTGCTGTTTCCTCCCAAAGACCCAGCTCCACTCACGAAACCCAACGTGTTCAGCTCCGTTTCCAACTCCAAGATCAAGAGGATACCTGCTGAAACCGTGCGGACCCGAAGCTGTGCTACCAAAATAGCTCCACTCTTGCTGATGCCTTGGTGACAGTCACGGTCCCAGCACCAGCTCCCAGCTTTGCCAAAGCTGTGACCAAGACACCCGCAAAAAGCTCACTTCAGCGCCTGCCGAAGACCCAGCTCCAAGGGCCCGGCCACCACCGCACAGCTCTTGCCGACTCTGCCCCAGCAACACGACACTATTAGCTCAACCACCTCAAGCTGCCAAAACACCAAGAAAAAAAAAAAAAAAAAACCAAAAAACATACAACAAAAATTCCAAAAATCTGATCAAAGGCACCTGGCCTCCTAAGCCCAAGTACCCACTTGCGGAATGGCCCAGCCTCACAATGGCCTGGCTCCACGAAACTTCATAATGATGTAGCTTTAAAGGCCTAGCCTCTCTACTTGCCGAACGGCAGGCTCCATGAAAGACTCTTTGAAGGACACGCACAATGTACCTCCCAACAATAACGAACGGTATCAGCTCAAGACTTGGAATGAACTGAAAACAGAGTCGTCAATATGCTCAAGCCACCCTTGCCGAACGGCAAGGGTTATGCAGCAACAAAGGGGACTCACACTACGAACTAAGGGCCAAAACCCAACTGCCCTCCCCTTCGACAATAGCCCAGCGTTGCCGAAACAAGCTCACAGCCCGTGCTCAAAATCACAGCCCAGCAACTCTCTTGCACTGACTGGATCAAAATCACGACAACACTTGCTTGCTCAAAACCAACCTAGCTCCCGTAATATAGAAAACAAAGAGGTCCAGACCTTGCCTAAGCCTACAGGCCGACACCTTTTGGCCCAGCTCCAGCACTTGCCGCAATCAAAAGCCCGGCTGCAAGGCCTAGCTCTAGGTGAAAGCTCGGGTACCCAGTCAACCATGCTGCCATCACAAGACCCATGTTATAGCCCCGACGAACGCAGGTTCTGACCTTGCCAAACTAGCTCCAATCACATCTCCTTCCGAAGTCATAAGCACCCCGGCTCTTGCTCAAGAACCCAACTCTTCTTCTAGAGCCCGCTGAAAATCAATACACCTAGACCACCCTTGCCGAAACCACAGCAGCAAATTTCAGAAAATCTGGCTCCCAGACCCGACGCCAAGCTCCCCTGCAAGAACCTAGCTCCCTTGCCGAACGGCAAGGGCCATGTTTCCCGAAATCAAGAATCCAAAACTGATCGGAGGCTCACCAAAATCACCCCGAATGTCTCTTACCGTTCGGCACCACCCCCGCGTCGAACTACGGGCTCACCTACGAAACTCTCCTTTTGCCAAAATGCCCAGACCCAAGGACCCAGCTCCTAAAATCTGGTGCTTCTACTCCAAGCCCTTGCTGCAGCAACCAAAGGCTGAAGTCAAACCAAGGACACCCTTGCCGAACGGCAAGGGCCGTGGAAACCCGAAGAAAAGGCTCACCAAGGTCACAGCTCCAATCCACAGGCCTAGCTCCCAACTTGGCGGGGCTATGCAAAAAATCCGAACAACACCAACCAGATTTCGACGCAGGCAGCTTCGAAACCCAGCTCTCGCCGACGACACCCCAGCTCTTGCAGAAGCTCTGGCCGAACAGCTGCCTTAAAGCCCTTTTGAATCTGCCTTGACGCCAAGGGGACTCACGCCGACTCTGCAGAGTTGCCAAAGGCCAGCGTTTCTTTTCGAAACTTCCTTTGAATCCGTCAACTGCCTAGCCCTTTTTACCTAGACCCTTGCCGAACGGCAGGTCTTACTTAAAGCACAACTATGCTCCTATTTTCAAAGACCCCAGCTCCAAATTGGGCCAGTACCCCAAGCCCACGAGGTTAAGCCAGAAATTGCCCATTGCCGAAACAAAGAAGCCTAGCTCCCGTGCCTACACAAAAGGCCCAGCCTTTTTGACCCCAGGTATTTTCCAAGAAATTAAGCACACCCCAAGGACCCAGCTCCTTGCTTTTCGGAATCTAGCCATAGGGGGCCCAAGCCAAACCTTGGGATAAATCATGAGTGGGCTCACACACACAAACAAAAAAAAAAAAAACAAACGTCTTGGCCTCCTTGCCGAACGGCAAGGAGCATTGAAGCAAGAAATGACCCACCCACTCATTGTTGAAGTTTTAGATGCCTAGCTCTAATTATGACCCACCTGCCGAAATAAAGAGGGCCCAGCTCCAATCTTGTGCATACCAAAACATCATGCTGAAAGTCCAGCTTTTCGCCACAACCCCAAAGGCCCAGCCCACTACTTGCCAAAACCCATGACGTCTAAACAGGGACCAGGCTCATATTGGCCCACCTTTTGGACCCATGTTTCTACTTTCTAAAGTCATCACTTGGTTACCAAAGATGCACAAGCCAATGTCATGACTTAACCTCTTTGCCGAACGGCAGGACCCGGGTCATAGGTACCAAGGGTCACAAATCTGCCTGCTGAAGCGTCAAGCCTACTTTTCTCTCAAAGATACCCAGCTACCAACAGTTCTAAAACCTTACACAGCTACCAAGTGTTGACGCAACTTCTAGCTTGCTAACTTGGGGGACTAGAGAATGCCCTACGGCTCCCACTGAACCTGGAATGCTCGGTCATGATTACACAAAAATCTAACAAGTTCCCAACCCATAAGTTACTTCTTGACTGAGAACTTGGGAGACTACTGTTTACACCATAATCAACCGAGCATATCCAGCATCAAAGCAACTAGCACCAAGAGCATCAACGCCATGACACGTGTCACCACCACAGCGATTGTGCAAAGTCCCACATCGGAAATCTACACAAACCTCCCACTTTCACCTCTCTATAAATAGGGAATAGTATCCATGTGAAAAGGGGACTTCCGCTCTCCACTTAGAAGAGGATCCGGGTCTCAGAGCTAGACCCTAGGGCCGGGGACTCTCTTCTAGATCCCTAACCTGGGTATCTCACTTGTCATCTTTATATTCGGGTCCAACCCCATGTACAAATGTAATCATACACTATTATAATGAGAACATACTTCTCCGTGGACGTAGCCCATTCATTAAGGGTGAACCACGTATATCTTGTCTTCTTTACATTTATCGCTTGCCCAAGTCTTTACACACATGCTTAAGGTCCTCACCTTCATTCATCATCCATCACACCTCATCACTAAGTTGAACTCAATCTTGGCCCAACCATTTTGAGCATCAACAGTGTACATTGATTTTAAGTGAGATTGTGCAAGTGATTTTGGATGTTATTTGATGACATGCAAATACAGTAGGTGAAGAATCTACCTACTTTGGGCTGAACCTACAGAGAACTCAGAGTAATTTTGGGTTGAAGTGGAAGTTGGGTAAGTTTCTACTTTCAAGTTTGTGGCGTTGGTAGTTGCGTGTGTTGGATAATTATGAGTTTGTTGAGGGGATAATAGTCATTTTATCTTAAATTTGGAAATCTGCATTTATGCAGAAATCTGAGTATGTGTTCTGTTCTGGACAAAATGATCTAGTTCGTATTTATGTTTTAAACTGGGTTTTTGATGGGTGAAAAATAGACATTTCGATGAGTATTTTAGTCTTTGTCTTGCTTCCTTGACTCGGAATTCAATGAAATTTTGATATGTTGAAGTTTTATGTGTCTACTTGTGATCTGGAAATTTTTACATCATTTCGAATCAATATGGATTTATAGTGATTTTCCAAAGTCAAGTTGTTCCTGCCTGATTTGTTTAACAAAACTGAAGTTTCTGTTTTTAATTGAAGTCTTTGATTTCTTTTATTAGTCCAGAGCAGAACCACATGATCAGAGACTAACCTAAGAGCTAGAATTGGCCTAATGATATAAACACATAATTATTACATATGTTATCCCTAAATTTATATTGTTAGTGCCTTATTTAAATTTATTTTATTATTTTTTTTCAGTTTTCTGTTTTAGGTACATCTTTCATAAGTGCAGCCATCACCGGAGAAAAATAAGCAAACTCATGCTTGAGGTGTTGCCCAACCTAGAAAAGAAGAAGCAATAACCAGCAGATATTGAAAATAAAGCTTGGAGTGCCGCACCAAGCTTTTAAGCAAGCTAATGGGTTGAACGGATGAATAAGAAAATGGGATGTAGCCAATAAAGAAGACTCCGCAACACTATAGATGGAATTGTATAGACAAGGGCAGTTGGAAGATAATAAATAAATGTATGGAGATCTGATTGTGGGCTGGCGGCAAGTGGTGAGAATTTGTCTATTCATGGCAAAATATGATGCAACAAGAGCAGTTCCCATTCCTATAAGTACAGCATAGCTGCAGATGTAAAAATTCACCAAGCTCACAATCTTCTCTTGAGCTCTCTCTCCTCTTATAGTGTTAACTATATTCTTATTTTCAAACCTAGCTGGGGTGGCCTTTTTTGGGCAGTGGTTATTTAGTGAAGCTCGCCCCTACACTATATTCTTATTTTCAAACCTAGCTGGGGTGGCCTTTTAAGAACCTGTTTTGTTGTTGGAACTTACTGTAAATTTTGTGCTCTTATGGGTTTTGTAAATAAATGGTTGCTTGTGAATATAACGAGTTTATTTACGTTTCCATACCATTTTCAATGTCTTATTTCTAACTCAAGAGCCTTACGTTCAATTGAGAACGTGGTGTTATGATATTTAGTTATAGAGCATGGCGCTGTTACATGCTCATTTTCCGAGCGTGACAATATTGATATCCAATTAATTTTAAATCAATAGGGTGTTAGTTGGATTGACTCATGTCTTTGGTTTACTTCAAAGTGGTTCTGAGTTCAAGCCTTTATGGTAACCATATGTGTGAGTTTTTCCCATCTCCTAACTTCCAAGAAATGAATCTTACACAAAAAAATAAAATAAATGACTTCTGAGGTATAGATGCGCTCCCACAGTTTAGCCTGTTAAGTGTGCTGACTAATTTCATTATAAAAGAATTCATTTTCAATCAAATAGATGAACAAATTCACTAATTTCTTTTCTACAGAAGACATGAAAGAAGGATTCAGACCAAAATTCAGCCTCCAGCCCAAAGTCAAAATCTGAGTCTGCTAAACTCTGCAGGAAACGTGGCCACAGTGCCAGAATCCTTGTAGCATCTAAAATTTGGTGCCCCCAACTTTACATTTTTTGGTTACATTGGAGGGAATCAAACCAGGGCTTGGCCCTAATCTGAACCCGAGTAAGGAATGATCCAAAGCCTTTCAGGCACGGATTTTATAGCGAACCACAGCACCAAATTATGGAGATCTTATTTCCCTGTTTCCACTATGTTCACTATAATGCAAATTCTGTTAATAGGGTAATATGTCATTAAGTAACAACCTGCGGCTTCATGAAGTTTTAAGTATTGGAGCAGATGATAGACGAGCATTGAGCACTACATAAAACTGAGAAGAAGGCTAGAATAGATGAGGAACGTAATAGACAACCCACATAGAAGAGAAAACCGATCGAGTGTCTTTGAGGAACTTAATTATTGATTGGCCCCATGAAAGTTAATTGTATTCTCATTTTTCTCAATCAAGCTCAATTTGTCACTTTACCTTCTAAAACTCAATTTGTCTCACTTTACCTCATTTCCGTATGTTCCGTCTAAAGTTTTGTCATTTTTAATGTCTATTAATTATTGTTTTTAGATTAAAAAATAAATAAATGTTTATTAATTGTTAAAGAAAATTAGTACATTTATGCTATATGCAATATTCTCAGCCATTGGATACTTTTCAATCTAACGATCATAAAATTGTGCCATAATGTGTATAAAAATGTGCCATAATGTATATAAAAAAATTTTGTCCCTCGATTCTAACCTATATATATATATATGATTGTTCAATCTCCCACTCTACCCCTTACCCACATAAAAAAGTCCATTTTTTTTTTTGGTCAAAGTAAAAAGTCTTATAGTTATTTATATCAATTGACAGATAGGCAATAAGTTTTTTTTCTTTTCCTTTTCCATATGGGACAGATAGGTATGCAATTATATATCACAAGATTGCCATGAAAATTCTAGTATAGTTTTTGTTTTCAAGTCAAACGTGTGAACTACTGCATTTTATATATTTTTGGAGAGAATTACTAGAAGTTAGGAGGTACTTGGCCGCCACCCTGAACAAGATTGTGGTGATCGAGGAGTACTCAAGAACTTCTGAGTTCAGCAACTGTAAGATACCTGCTGTTTCCGTTTTCAGCATAATCGAAACTTGCAGCAGCAGGTTCTTTACTCCGATCCATTGATTTTGCTATATTTTAATTTGTTTCTATTTTCATACAGGTTGAGGGTATATGATATATCTAGCTTCTTACCCATACGGAGGAACTCTCCTTACCTTCTATTGTGGGTCAACCACAAAGAGACATGTGTCCTCTTTTTTTAATTGTCAAAACAACTTCTTCGTTGCTTTGTGATTGAGCTACAATAGAAGGTAAGCAAAAGTTCCTCCTTATGAGTAAGGAGAGAAATATAGAACGTGTTTTGATGCAGCTAGTGAATTCTTTTGTTAGAATATATAAATCTTTTCTTGAATATATTTTGTTATTGCAACCCTTCGCTTTGTACTCTTTGGAATCTTCCTTTAGGATCATTCTTTTGAATCCCCTTATCATCATTTTCGCTTGATCGAACAGACTATGTTTGCATGCACACTTTCAATTTTCGCATGATATATTATACAATTATGCCTATAGAGCCTATTTAGAGGGAAAAAATTCAAAACTAGCCACTTGTCATTTTCTAATTGATTTTATGGGTTTATATAATATGTCATGCTAAAATATTGAGCCTATTAATAAAAAGCTCTATCATTTATAAGTTCTTTCAACAACAATTCTGGTTCCAAAAACATACAAACCATTACAACTATACAAATTCATACATTCTAGAATTTATTCCATTCCCTTTTTAATTTAGATCACAACCCACCAAACACAATCTCTTTCAAACACCTTTCTAATAATCACATAATCTCCCAATACGCCGGAAAACCCAATGCCACGTACTGGGTCTGTCAACACGCCGGAAAACCCTGTTAAGTTCTCGAAGCAGTGGTGTATCTACCGGATTCCTAGCAGACTCAGGAATGTAAAAGATGAAGCATACACTCCTCAATTGATTTCAATTGGTCCTTTCCACCATGGCAATCTGAAACTGAAGGACATGGAAAGCCATAAAAAGAAATTTTATGAGAATTTCTGCCAGCGAACTTCAAGGAAAAACAAGGAACTAGAAAACTTCATCCGTGAGAGAGAAGATGACATTCTTCGTTGTTATGCTGGGGCCATTGAGCTTGATATTGACTTTGTGAAGGTAATTCTAATTGATGCCTGCTTCATCCTAGAGCTCTTTTGAGGAACTGTCAAACCGAAAAGCATGAAAATTATTACATTTTAAGATCGCCATTGCTGAGGAAAGCTGTCGAGCAGGACCTGATACTCTTTGAAAATCAGCTTCCTTATCCTCTTCTTCAAGAGCTATATGACTTTGCCAACCCCATCTATTCCAGTTCCAATCCCGAGAAAAATGTTCAGGAGAAAGAAGAGGCGGATGACCTGCAGCACTGCTTGCCTTGCTTCCAGCCTTGTTTTCCATTTTCCCCTTCGACCCCTTCTGATGATCATCGTATAGAGATTGAGAAAACAGAACCTGCTTATGATCACCCCTTTCTAAAGCTTACTTGTGAGTTCTTTAAGGAATTCACGAAGTTACAACCCATTGAGAATGGAGTACAAGTGAAACATTTCACTGACTCAGTAAGATATTTTCTGTGGCCAATTGAAAAAATGACTTGGGTAGGAAATGGTGACTGCATCCCTACCAAAAGTATATACGACGTAAGAAAGCTGAAGGAAGCAGGGGTGAAGTTTAGGCCAAATGAAGGTAGTGAACGCTTCGTCATAAAAAGAGGTGAGGACCACAAACGTAATTTCAAAATGGCATGCTTTAGAAATATGAACTTGAAGCTTACAAAATTTTGGGCAAGGTATGAGGTAGAATGCGTTATTCGAAACGTGATGGCCTTGGAGCAGCTTATGTACCCAAAGAAGGCTTATGTTTGCAGTTACTTTTTGATGCTGGATCAGCTTGTGGACACTGCGGAAGATGTGAATGTGCTGATTGAAAGCGAAGTTATAGTTAAATTGCTATGCAGCAGCGACGTAGTGGCGAAGCAGATTAATTCACTTAGTGAGCAGATTATGGACGATAGATCCTGCTATACAGACATCTGTCAACAGCTTAACGAGCACTACGAGATCAGCTTATGCAACCGTAACATTTCGATCCTGAAACGAGTTTACTTCAAGGATCTTTGGACGGGCAGTTCAACTATTCTTGGACTCTTTGTGCTGGTATTCTCCATCATTGGAACCATTAAGTCTCTCATGTCATAAAGCTTGATTGGTTTCTAGTCTGATTATTATTTTAAATAATTAGGTCAAGTGGTGGGCTGGTAACTCGTGTTATAGCTTTAATAATTTGAACTCTCTAGAACACTTTTATAGCTTTGTAATGAAAATATTTCCAATCAGTGAACAGTTGCATTGCTTTGATCTTAAGCAATTAACAACGTTTCTCCAAATAAACCGTTCCACGTCGGCTTATTTAGTAGATGATAGACCCGATCTTCTTGAATAATTTCATTATATTTCTTAATATCTGACAGGACCCGCCCCGAATTTCTCGAAACCCGAGACGAATCCTGTGGAAAATCCTGACATCACCCCAATGTCGGGCCCACTTCTGAAACCATATCCTCTTTTGCCAAAAAGGGACAAGGGCACGAGACTTTCTACCGAAATTTCGGCAAAGTCTCCCTTGTAAATTGAACATTTCCCAAAAATTTCAACTTGCATAAAACACATTTAATATCCCCAACTGGTAGCATGCACAATATAACAACATGCAGTTCACATAAACGGCCTCCGGACTTCAAATAATTTGAAACAGAAACGCTAGCAATGTTCTTAAATCAAATTAATGCATTAAACAATGCATAATATAAACTCAAACTTATTATGAACGCCTACGGTAATCAACATAGAATAACTTCCCAAATAACCAACATACAAGGTTTTAACCTCCTAACACAATCACATCTCGTTCTCACTCAAATAGCAAGACCAATGACAAGGTCCGCATCATACTCAAAAATACACAAGTAAAGTTTAACCCGCAGCTACACCTAGGCATCATCCTAGGCTGCCTACGTACCCTCGCAGAGGGATCAAGCCATACGTAGTTCTTTCAACAACAATTCTGGTTCCAAAAACATACAAACCATTACAGCTATACAAATTCATACATTCTAGAATTTATTCCATTCCCTTTTAATTTAGATCACAACCCACCAAACACAATCTCTTTCAAACACCTTTCTAATAATCACATAATCTCCCAATATGCCGGAAAACCCAATGCCACGTACGGGGTCTGTCAACACGCCGGAAAATCCTACGCCACGTGCGACCTCAACATAATATCACAACATCTCCCCATACGCCGGAACTACCAACGCATGTATGAGGTCTGTCAACACATTGGAAAATTCTACGACACGTGTGACCTCATCATCATATCACAATATCTCCCCATACGCCGAAATTACCAACGCCATGTATGGGGCCTGTCCTCACGCAGGAAAATCCTACGACACGTGGGACCTCACAATCATATCACATAATCTCCCCATACGCCGGAACTACCAACGACACGTATGGGGTCTGTCATCACGCCGGAAAATCCTACGACACGTGTGACCTCATCATCATATCACAATATCTCCCCATACGTCGGAACTGCCAACACCACGTATGGGGCCTGTCTGCACGTCGGAAAATCCTACGACACGTGGGACCTCACAATCATATCACATAATCTCCCCATATGCCGGAACTACCAACGCCACGTATGAGGTCTGTCATCACGCCGGAAAATCCTACGACACATGTGACCTTATCATCATAGCACAATATCTCCCCATACGCCGGAACTACCAACGCCACATATGGGGCCTGTCTGCACACCGGAAAATCCTACGACACGTGGGACCTCACAATCACAGGGTGGTACTTACACAGTGAAATCAAACATCTTTTTATCTTTATAATATATATACATATATATTAATTTCCAAAATAGCATCTGATAATCTCCCACTTTAAAACCATAAACCAATATCCTAATCCCACATAATCAACATAACTCAACAATGCTCAAGACCTGTTACTAGGGTCATTATAATCCTCCCAGTAAGGGAAAACTACCTCGGAAGACTCACGATCAACCAAGGGTCAAATTACCCAAACTTGGTCAAATGGGCCCACGGGGCCCACGACCTCCAAACTCCGATCCGAAAGTTCTTATGTGCTCAACAAAGCTTAGGACACACGTCCTACATGTTTGGTCCAGATCGGACGGTCGGATCGCTCACGATCCCACGATCGGACGGACGGTTACTAAAACCCTAGCCCTAGTGTTGGCATTTCCGGTGTATCCGGGACTCCGTTTTACGATCCGTTGAATCCTACACGATCCTAAGGATGTCCAGATTAACCTATAATAAACTCAAGACAATCCAATGGTCCAAACCTAGCGAACCCGGATAACATGTAATAGGCGATATCCGTTTGAGACTCAAACGGTATCCAAATAGAAATCCGAGCACACCTACGCGCTCGTGAGGACCAGGAGATCATTTTAGAACCTAAATCCGGTCCATTTTCCTAGCCCACCCGCCGCCACACGCACCGGCAGCGCGTGGGTGCCTTGAGTAATTTCCGGCGGCCGGAAAAACTCCAAACCGCCGGCCAAGCTTCATATCCTAGGTGTAAAACCCCATTTTGAGTCACTTTTGTTCTTGGACATACCTCGAAAAATGGCTGGAAGTGGCTGGAATCGCGATCCAACAACCGGCCGAACCTTAACTCGAAAATCAAACCTCCTAGGCAATAAATTGATGCAATCCTACCCAACCATCAGCTAGAGCTCGAGGAATAGATGAATTTCCATACCTGGATCGCCAAAAATGGCTATCGGACGATGAATATCGAAGCCGGCGAAGTTTCAAGCGAAACCGGGCGTTTCTCTTCTTTTTTCCGGCGAAATCACGGCGTCTGACGGCGGGGCCTGACTGGGGTTGGAAGAGGACGGTGGCCCGGTCATTTTGGTACCGGCCCCGTCAACTTTGGTGCTCGGATGAGAGAATGGCCAGCCAAAACGTGGCCGGCTGTGCTGCTTTCGCGCGGAGGAGAGAGAGAGAGAGAGAGAGAGAGAGAGAGAGAGAAAACCAGATTTTTATCGAACCCTTTTTTGCCAAAATTATAGTTACGCCATTGAGGGTATTTTGATCGTATCTCTCTCGTTACAACTCCGATTCGAGCCCACAACATGTCTACGGACTCATCTTACCGTGCTCTACGCAACAGTGTAGTCAGAATTCCCAAATTCCTTCCCGGTCAAAAAGTCAACTTTAAACCTAATAAAATATTCTAGGGCAAAAATGGTCTTTTATCTGAATAAATTAATATTTACTTATTTATTTAGGACTGGGTCGTTACAATATCCAACTTTTACTGCATTGGATTAGGACGACGAAAGTCAATCTCTCTCCACAAATCTTGGAGGGTATTGTAGTACATTTCAATAGAGCCACATGATTGTCTCATTATAGATACTCGCCTTTTAAGATCATACATTTGAAAGATATCGGTGTCATCAAAGTAAGTTGTGGTAATTGAATCCCATATTGCTTTTGCAATGGGAAGGCGAATAAAATTACTAATCAATTTTGGCTCTATAAAATTGATTAGACATCCTTTCACAATCGAATTTTCTGTTCGGCATTTGTTGAATGTCGGGTCCGTCTTGGGAGGTTGTGGTAGTTCTTCATTTATATATCTCAATTTGTCTTCGCCTAAGATATGCATCTCAATGACTTGGGACAATATGGCATAGTTGGTGCCATCCAACTTGATGCCAATTTGTGTAGCGGAAGATTTATAAGTTATAGTATGAGTCGGGACCTATGTATGGGCCTGATTCAGTAACTGGGTCATGTTGGAGATCCATTCTTCTAAGATCATGTGGAAGGTGGTAGAGGAGTTGGTGGGGCTGCCTCCATGGGATGTGATTGGCAAGTCTTGATCACCCATGGTGGCGATGGCTAGGGTTTAGGTAGAGCAACAATCACAAGATCGTTGCTCTGACACAATGCAAAAATAAGGGAAATAATTGTGGGAATTTTCTTTCTATTCATCTTCTTGTAGGAGGCACATATATATATAGCACATTATGCCTTGAAGGCCAAGTAACCTTGGAGGCTCAGTAAAACTATAACTGCTGATAAATCATAAATAGAAAAGGAAACAAATTACAATAAATCAATACGGGAAACGTCAGCTCACTCCAACAATTCCCAATAGCAAATGAGGAAATTAAGTCACACAATTATGATTACGATCATATTTCTTTGGAATGTTTAGGAACATTCAAATGACCTTTGTTGTGTCTAGTTTGATCCCATCCTTGGGATAGCTTTGTTTGTGGGGTTTGGTCAGTTATCCCCAGCTGTTTAATTATTATTTTTAATAAATTTCTCCTCGTTCCGTAGAGGTTTAGAGAAAAAAAAAAAAAAAAAAAAAAAAAATTGACCTTTGTTTAATAATTATTAAAAATTTCATTATTTTACAATTATTATTAATAATTAATGGAAATCATTTAAACAATAATGACAGCATTAGTGGGTGAGATGGAGTCGTGTATTTTCAGTCTCTGATACAAAACTTCCAATTTATATGATAGTTTGCCTATCTTCTTCACTTTCCCCTGACCATTGTTCCACTGGTGAGTCGAGAACAAAATTATGGTCGCCTAACACCAGATGCATTGGATGTATTGGTCGAGTTAATTCTAGTTATGTTAGTGAATCTCGGGTGGGCTATGTTTTGAGGGATATTTGGCTCGGTTTGTTGACCTACAAGTGTTTGCTAACCTACGTCTTTCGGATCTTCATGCTATACTGTGATGGTTTTAGCTAGATTTGTTCCTCTTTGTTTCCTGTTAGTTTTCTGGCTGTGTTTTTGCTAGGCTTTATTTGTACTATTCTTTAACCTTTTGGGGGAATTGCAATTGAAACTTAGACTTAGACAAAAAAAAAAAAAAAAAAAACAAAAAAAAAAAAAAAAAAAAAAAAAAAAAAAAAAAAAAAGACTCATGCCCGCCCTGTAATTTTTAATAATTTTAAAAATTTTATTTCTTTAAGAATATAGTTTAATGAAAATATATTCTTTAATATGAAATCTTATAGATATTAAGAAAATGACGTATAGTGTTCAATTAGCATTTAAAAACAATTTAAGCATGCATTTTCTTTGTGTATTCACACAGAATTAGTTAAGCATTTGTTTTCAGTTCGAGAAATTTCAAAATAATCTCGTTAAAACAATGGACTTAAAGGTATTTTACAAAATTTCTTTATCTAGCTAAACTTATTAAGCCTCTTGATGCACGGGGAAGTGCACGTTAAAAATCAAATTTAGAATATTTGATCACGTGAAATGACATGAAAATTGATAAGTTGCTTCAGTTACCTTTTCAGTTTCATAACAGCTGTATGTGTGGTCTTTGTAAATTCAGATGAAACATGTGAACAACTTGTCTGTAGCTAAACAAACTTATTTAATCCCATCATCGGCTTTATCGCCCAAATTTATATATAAGTACCTCCCCAAATTTCTTTCTGAGTACAAAACGTAAATATTGCTCATGTATATAGGTTCTTCCTTTTGTAATGGTTATCATTTTAGAACTCGAGAGCCAGTTTTCAGGTTTTAGTGGAAGGAGATGGAGAAAGAAAGGGAAAATAAAAATTGAGATACAAGTACAATTAGTAAAAGAATATTCCATTGTAGAAATGAGTGGCATGGGAGAAATTGATGCAAGAGAGATTGCTCTTGTAATGCAGCGCAAGGTACATTTATTTGCTTGTTACTTGCTTCTTTTTTTCTTAGTTATTGTCAATTTGCTCTTGATTCATTATTAAATTTAGCATAAATGCCAAATAAAGACCATGTTTGTGAGACTTTGGAAATTTTATGGTGTTTTAAAACTATTTGTAGAATTTTGGAGAAAATATTTTGGATGTAATTAAAGGAAAGTACATTGTTTATGAGTTTATAGTATTTTTCGGAGAATTTTTCGGAACTCGGCTGAATTTTTGGTGAATTTTTGGAGATGTAGGAGTATTGTTGGTGATTCGAAAGAGGAAAAAACAGGGGCAAACAAGTTTCTCGTGTTTCTCTTCACGAGTTTCAGCCACCTTCCGTGACGCAAGGTCGGGGTCGTTATGAATAGGACAAATATACACCAAGCCTTTGAAGGATGAGGTTCCAGTTCAGCTCCTACTTCACGACTCTCTTTCCACAAACCCATTCTCTCCCTTCTTTCTCCTTCAAACTTCTTTCTACCATAACTTTCACTCTACAACTCCAATTCTTGTGCCGCTTTCACCTTTAGGATTGTATGAACGAGCTCTACAAGATAAGGTAAACCTTCTTGGATTTGGTCAAGTTTCTAAAATTTTCTCTTTCTGAGTTAGTGACTGATTAAGCTTTAATCTCTTGTTTCCAAGTGTGTTTTGGGAGAATGGTGGTCACTACTACGCAGCTCATTGAAGGTTGAGGATTACTTTGGAGCTGTTAAGGTAAGATTTGTTTGCCATACTTGCTTCTGGAATTCTAGTACAATGTACATTGATTTAAGTGAGATTGTGTAAGTGATTTCGGATGTTATTTGATGACATGCAAATACAGTAGGTGAAGAATCTACCTTGGGCTGAACCTACAGAGAACTCAGAGTAATTTTGGTTTGAAGTGGAAGTTGGGTAAGTTTGTACTTTCAAGTTTGTGGCCTTGGTAGTGGGTGTGTTGGATAATTATGAGTTTGTTGGGGGGATAATAGTCATTTTATCTTAAATTTGGGACTGTTTTGGTGTTTAAAGCTGATTAGAACTGAATGCCAAAGAATGAGATGGATGTTGATGAAATCTGCATTTATGCAGAAATCTGAGTATGTGTTCTGTTCTGGACAAAATGATCTAGTTCGTATTTATGTTCTAAACTGGGTTTTTGATGGGTGAAAAATAGACATTTCGATGAGTATTTTAGTCTTTGTCTTGCTTCCTTGACTCGGAATTCAATGAAATTTTGATATGTTGAAGTTTTATGTGTCTACTTGTGATCTGGAAATTTTTACATCATTTCGAATCAATATGGATTTATAGTGATTTTCCAAAGTCAAGTTGTTCCTGCCTGATTTGTTTAACAAAACTGAAGTTTCTGTTTTTAATTGAAGTCTTTGATTTCTTTTATTAGTCCAGAGCAGAACCACTTGATCAGATACTATCCCAACAGCTAGAATTGTCCTAATGACACACAATTATTACATATGATATCCCTAAATTTATATTGTTAGTGCCTTATTTAAATTTGTTTTATTATGTTTATTCAGTTTTCTGTTTTTAGGTACGTCTTTCATAAGTGCAGCCATCACCGGAGAAAAATAAGCAAACTTATGCTTGAGGTGCTGCCCAACCTAGAAAAGAAGAAGCAATAACCAGCAGATATTGTAAATGAAGCTTGGAGTGCCGCACCAAGCTTTTAAGCAAGCTACTGGATTGAATAAGAAGAAGCAATAACCAGCAGAATATGTTTTGTTGTCAGAACCTACTGTAAATTTTGTACTCTTGTGGGTTTTGTAAATAAAAGGTTGCTTGTGAATACAACGAGTTTATTTACATTTCCACACCGTTTTCAAAGTCTTATTTCTAACTCAAAAGCCTTACATTCTATTCAGAACGTGGTGTTATGATATTCAGTTTTAACATTGTAGCATTGCGTTGTCGATAGAGTGTGGCGCTGTTATGTGCTCATTTTCCGGGGCATGACAATATTGATATCCAATGAATTTCGGGGCTTGACAATATTGATATCCAATGAATTTTAAATCAATAGGGTGTTAGTTGGATTGACTCATGTCTTTGGTTTGCTCATAGTAGTTCTGAGTTCATGCCTTTATGGTAACTGTGTGTGTGAGTTTTTCCCATTTCCTAACTTTCAAGGAAAAAAAATTTCCAATGAATCTTACACAAATAAAATAAAATAAAAGACTTTTGAGGTATAGATGCCTACCCACAGTTTAGCCTGTTAAGTGCGCTGACTAATTTCATTATAAAAAAATTCATTTTCTATCAAATAGATAACAAAAATTCACTAATTTTTCTACGGATGACATGAAAGGAGGATTCAGACCAAAATTCAGCCTCCAGCCCGAAGTGGAAATCTGCGTCTGCTAAACTCTGCAGGAAATGTGGCCACAGTGCCAGAATCCTTGTAGCATCTAAAATTTGGTGCCCCAATTTTACATTTTTTTGTTACATTGGAGGGAATCGAACTTGGGATTGTCCTAATCCGAACCCGAGTAAGGAATAATCCCAGGCCTCTCAGGCTAAGATTTTATAGCAAACCACAGCACCAAATTATGGAGATCCTATTTCCTTGTTTCCACTATGTTCACTATAATGCAAATTCTGTTAATAGGGTAACATGTCATTAAGTAACAACCTGCAGCTTCATGAAGTTTTAAGTATTGGAGCAGATGATAGACGAGCATTGAGCACTACATGAAACTAAGAAGAAGGCTAGAATAGATGAGCAATGTAATAGACAACCCACATATAAGAGAAAACCGATCGAGTGTCTTTTGATTCAGAATTGGAAGGGCTTAATTATTGATTGGCCCCATGAAACTTAATTGTATTCTCATTTTTCTCAATGAAACTCAATTTGTGTCACTTTGGCTCTTGAAACTCAATTTGTGCCTTACTTTACCTCATTTCCGTATTTTCCGTCTAGAGTTCTGTCATTTCTAATGTCTATTAATTATTGTTTTTTTTAAGGACCTATTGAGAGGGGCAATAGAATACTAAATTCACACACAGTACATGGATGCTAGGACTCGAACCTAGGACCTTGCCTGAGGGAGTAAATACTTCAAACCACTACACTAGTGGGTCCTTTACATTAATTAATTATTTATTGTTTTTAGATAAAATAAATGTTCATTAATTGTTAAAAAGAAAATTAGTACATTTATGCTCTATGAAATCTCAACCATTGGATGCTTTTCAATCTAACGATAATAAAGGTGTGCCATAATGTATATCATAAAAGTGTGCCATAATGTCACCACTACATTTTAGGATTTGCGCGACGAAGAATATTTCGTCGCGCAAAGTTACTTTAGTCGCACAAATTTCAGCGAGACAGAAAACTCGTCGCGCACAATCTGTCGCGCAAAGAGCGTGAAGAAAGACTTTGCGCGACCAATATTTTGCATTGGTCGCGCAAAACAGAGCGACAGTTAACCTTCGCTGCACAAAAGGTTTAGGGTCGACACAATTATTCATCGCACAAACCTTTGCTCGACGACAACATGATCGTCGTGAGTACACTGCGCGATTAGTTTCGCAACCGTTTGCGCAACGATCTTTTCTTCGTCGGGCAATTCGTGTCTCCAACATTTGCGCGATGAAACATTCGTTGTCGCGCATATCCATTTCGCAAGACGAATGCTTTTGTCGCGCAAGAATAAAATATATGTATTTAAAATGTAGTTTTTCGTTTTTTTATTTTGTAAAAAGTGAATTTGCGCGACGAAAAAGATTTCGTCACACAAAATTAATATATATTATTTAAATTGAATATTACAATTTTTTATTTTGTAAAAAAATAAATTTGGTTTTTTTTTGGGTAATAAAATGAAATTGCAATAAAAAAATGAATTGAAGAGAACAAAAAATTATATAAAATAAAATAAATGTATATACAAGAGAAATGTTTAAAATATAATTATGAAAATAAAAAACTAATCAAATAATGTTGCAAAATCTACTTAGTCGTCGCCTATATGCGGCTCGGATGTCTAGGCGTCCACAGGGGTAGTGGTTTGGTGGGCATGCTCGGGGTGGACAGGCTCGGAGGTCAACGCATCAAATTGCGGGACTGGAATGCCGGACTGCGCAAGGGACTGCAGAGTCACTGACATCTGACCCTGCAGCTCGGCCACCTTTACTGTCAAAGCAATCACCTGACTATTTGACTGCGCTGATGAACGGGGTCTAGGTTCCCTCCGCTCGGCATTCCCCATCACTCGACAATATGTCCCCGGCCTCCTCTCGAGAGTCTAATCCAACGTCTCTATCAAGATCTGAAACCCAGCACCCTGTGTAGGGATGACAACGGGTCGGTTAGGGGCCGGGTATGACAATACCATCCCCGTCCCCACTCACCATCCCCATCCCCATCCCCGCCCCAATCCCCGGTTTAGGCTTTTCGGGGAATCCAGTCCCCGTCACCGTCGGGGAAGTGCCTCCCATACCCGCCCCAATCCCCAGTTTTTAACAAGATATTTCTTGTTAAAATAATTTTCTAAAGCACAATCACATCATTGTGAAATTTTAAAAACAACCACCACAAGATATTTCTTGTTAAAATAATAACTCAACAAGGCAAAGAAGGAGGACACAAAACTTGAAATAATTTCTATCCAAATCTTTAGAAACTTTTTAGTATGCACAATAAATCCATCTAGTCTCTAGGGTAACTTTGTTTATTATATTATATTAATATATATATGATTATAAATAAATATATTACTTATCGGGCTGGGTTCGGGGATGGGGATAACAATCCCATCTCCGGCCCATCCCCGGTCGGGGATTTTGCAAATTTGGGGATCCCCGTACCCGGCCCTGATTTCCCCCCTAAAACTCCCCCCGTTAGGGGCAGGGACCCAACGGGGACCCAACCCGACGAGTATTATTGCCATCCCTAATCCTATGGAGGATCCACAGACTTGATCAGAGTATCGAGAGGAAGTTGGGAGGCGGACTCCTGAAGAACCAACTGGCTCCTCTCCACCATCGTCGTCTATTTAACATAACATAAAATATAAATTAGAACATTCATATAATAACCTTGAAACTTGAATGCGTAACATAAGAATTAAAATTAAATAATACTTACATGAAGGGACTCGGCCAACTCATTCCCAGGTCGAACATAAACGTCGCCAAAGACGTCGATCTCTTGGAATTTGGACCCCCTTAAATTGAACAAGAGAAGAAAAATATTAGTACGAAAAAAATAAATTAATAATAATGACATATTAAAAATTAAATATAAACTATTTTATTATTACCCGTCGTCGTGCATCCATCCTATATGAGAAGGGCCTGGAACCTGAATGGTGGAGAAGAGTCTTCTTCTTCCTATTGCCCTTATTGACTTTTGCTTTATTCTGTTATACAAAAAATAAAACATATTAGTTGAAATTGAAATGAAATATAAAAAATTAAATAACATTAGTAAGAAATATGTAATAATTTTGAAATTAATATTAAAATATACCACAAAATTGGGGGCCTGAAAAATGAGCGCAGAGCCACGCCCAACTATCCTCCCGCCCCTCAAGCTCCTTCGGGCAACCCTCTTGAAGAGGGACTTGCGGATCATCAAACGCCTCAAAATGGTGGTGCAAGTCGCTCTTCCACTGCTTGTACCTCTCAGCGAAGAGTTTGTTGACGTATGCCAACGACTAGTCGTAGAGGTCCTCTAAGTTGTAGTTCGTCTGCAATAAATTAATTACATACATTAAGTAATAGAAATATATAAAGTTTGAAAGAAAAAGAATTAAAAGGTAGGATACATACCGACAACTGGCCGCAAACCTCTGTCTTAATCTCGTCAGGCATGACCTTCCAAGACTTCCATTGCATCGGGCAATGGGTCTGAAACGTGACCAACGTCTTGGGCCAAGGAGCTATGAACTTCGTCGTTGGTGCAACCCGATGCCACTCATCATATCCAATGTTGATACAACTGTTGGTCACCCGGGTGACCTTCGCCTTCTTCAACTGCCGACACAGCGCTCGGGTGTTCTTCTTGGCTGCAAAGAAATATGACATTAATGTTAAATAAATAAAAAATTTAACTATAAAATACACAAAATTAAAAAATTAAAAAAAAGAACTGGAGTTGAAGGAAATCTATACTTGGCTGTGACCCCAACGCACTAGTAGCGTTGGTCGATGTGGTGTCAGTGGCGCTGGTGGGGCCGGTGACGCCCCTTGCCACTAATAGGCTGCGCCACTGATGAAGCCGATGACGTAGGCGCCTGGGACCCCCCGGGACCAACTGGCACATGATCCATCAGTGTTGGAGCAGTGGCAGCAGATGTTGGCTGAGCCGGGGGGCGAACTATGTGCAGTTGTCACTGCCTTACGACTTCTAATTAGGTTTGACATCTGCAAAATTTCATTAATACACATACAAATTATTCAAATTTACGAATATATAATTGTAAGCACATACAATTTCATTAAGAATCCAACACGATCCTAGAAATACAAGGTACAACATACGTGAGTTTGAGTTCGATCCAACGGTCTGAATATATTAAACCCGAAAATCGCACAATAGGCGAAATCCTTACGAGACTCAAACGGTAACCAAATTCAAATCCGACCACACCTACGCGCTCGTGACAACTAGGGGATTGCACTAGGACCCAGTGCACCACTACTACATTATCCCATGCGCCACCACACGCACCGGCAGCGCGTGGGTGTCCAAAGCGATAACAATCCCCGAAAAATTCTAAAAACTAAGGGCCAAGGTTCCTACTCTAGGTTGAAAACATCAATTGGAGCCACTATTGTTCTCGTACCGACCCCGAAAAATGGCCGGAATTTAAATTCAAAAACCGACCAAAACTTAGGGTTTCAATTCGAGATACCTATTGCGACAATTAATCAAATCCTACACAACCATCAGCTAGAGGATAAAAAATAGTCCAGAAACCATACCTCAAAGGTCGGATTTGGTGGCCAGAGGAGCGAGAACGAGGCTGGTGAAGATTATGTGAAAACCAAGCAATTTCCAGCGGTAGGCTCGACGGTGACGATGGGGAGGGTTTGGGCTTCGAAGGATGTGGTGGCCCGGTCCTTTTTTCGGCGAAGCAGTGGGCTGAGGTGACGGCGGAGAGAGAGAAAGGTTAGGGCAGAGAGAGAAAGTGAGGAAGAAAGGAGGCTGTAGCGTTTTTTCTGAAAATCTAATTGATCTTGCATGACGAACAAAATAAAGCGCATGGTAGATTTTCGGCCCAAATTTTCATTACATTGCGCGACGAATAAACTAAACCGTCACGCAAGGTAGGTAATCCGCCAAAATTTTCATCACCTTGCGCGACAAGGAAACAAAATTGTCACTCCAGGTTGTCATTCTGCCAAAATTTTGGGGTTTATGGTTTTTGAGGGAGTGACTTACGTGACGAATTCTTTATTTCTCCGTCGCGCAAGGTTCAACTCTATAGACTTTGCGCGACAAACAATTAAATACTCCGTCGCGCAAAGTTGTCATTCCTCCAAAATTTTGGGGTTTAGGGTTTAGGAGGGAGTGAAGGGTCTGATCGATCTTGTGCGACGAACAATTAATTACTTCGTCGCGCAAAGTGGTGTATCTGCCCCAAACCCTAAACCCTGAATCGAAGATTAGGACAACTTGCGCGACGAAGAAGTGCTCTGTACATTGCGCAAACCTCTCACAAAGTAATATTTTAATTACTTTAAGTAGTATTTAGTTTTTAGTTTTATTTCTTTACTTTATGAATTATTATTTAAATATTTTAATTTATTTATGTAATTACTGAATAAATAGTATTTAATTGTTTTATGGACTTCAAAACCTATTTTTAATGTTCAAAAGTTTTTTAAAATCCTGGAAACTTATTTTAAGTAGGCAAACATATTGTAAAAACTATTTTAGTATTCCAAAAATTGATTTTTAGCCTCCAAAACCCAAAATCCATGTCTCAAATTAAAAACTCTAACTTCTAAACTTGTTCCAACACCATTCTCAAGTCTCGAACCCTAACCAAATGCCTACTCTAGGGCACTTGTGACTCGATTATGCTTGGATACTCACGTAACTTGACCTAGTCACCGGACCTAATCCAAGTTAATTGAGTACAACTTTATGTAGACAATTATATTAAACTTATATCTTTAATTTAAACTGTATAGCCATTTTTTAATTGAGTACGCCGCGTGGAATGTGGATGAATTGTGGGTTAAATCTCAAATAGAGTCAACACTTTATTTTTGAAATTGTAGTTTTTACTCTTCTTATGAGTCTTAGTAGGTTATAAATATGTTTTGCGGGATGAAAAATTACAATTTCATCGCGCAAAGATGTGTTGCGCGACGCCAAGAATGCTATCGTCGCGCAAGGATATATTTCACTGGAAAATTATCGCAACTTACGTGACTTACAATGTTACATTCGTTGCGCGAAGAGGTGCTGCGCGACGACATTAATCATTCGTCGCACATGTTTTAAGCATAAATTTAATTGCTATAAAAATTGCACATGTTACCTTAATGAACTTAAGTTTCATATGAATTACGAAAAAAATTCAAAGATTTCGGTCCAATTAAAAGTTAATTATTTATATTTTAAATTTGAATTATTATTTTATTCTCGGATGTGAGACTTAATTTACACATTATAGTTTGTCTAATAGTTTAGTGCTTGATTAAATCATTAAATAAAAGGGGTTGTGAGACTTATGGGCCTGATTCTTGATTTTTTTTTTTCAATTTTTTTATTCTTTCAATTTCAAGATTTTCAACTTCAAAAATCCAAAACCCAAATTCTTATATTCATAAAGACCACTGAAAATCAAATAGACAGATTCAAATCTGTTTTCAAATTTAGGTATATATCTAAATTTTAATCTATATATTATATGACTTATTTTAATTTGTGATTGCCAATTTTGTGTGCAACTTGATTTTAATTTGTGATTGCCATATTTACACTACCATAATTAAATTACAACAAATTTCATTTACTATGTTTTACATGGGTAGTTGCTAATGAATTGCATTATTCATCATCTGACCTATAATAACCTTCGTTATCGTTGCTATCATCACTTTCGGTCTCCCAATCCTCCTCCTCATCACTTTCGTTGTTCGGGCCCACTGGAACTTCGTATCGCGGAAGATCACCGAGGTCAATTGTAATTGACTGAATCGGTATTTCGATTGAAGATACTCCTTGAAGCTGAAACAGTTCTTGTATAACATTTGTATCTCGAAGTGTTTCTGCGTCATTTTCCATGGAAGATTCCAACTGTTGGTCGGTGACGTTGTTCGACGTCACTGACAGTTGGGTCTAGTTCTAGTATAACATACATGTTCCTCTGATCCATCTGCAGAGCAACTTTCCAACCACTCCCGACTTTAGGGTCATCTAGATACACAATCTGTTTTGCCATGTTTGCCAAAATGTAACCGTCATCATACCAAGTTCTGTTAATGTTCACTGATAGTAAGCCATGATCAATTTTAACACTTCCCTGCCTATTTGGGTTTGTATCAAACCATCGACACTTAAACATGATTACTTGGTATCGGTCTTTGTAAAGCAATTGCACAACAGTTGTGAGTTTGCCATAGAAATCAATGTCCGTACTTTTGCCTCCACTTGGGACATGGACACCGCTGTTTTGCGTACACAACTTGTCATCTAGTGCAGTCCCCCAAAAACTTGACACTGTTCACATGGCAACCTGAGAACAATTCAGCGTGAATCGGGCCGAACGCAAGGTTATATAACTCTTCATTGTAAGAGGGTGAATTCGATGATTTCAACTTATTCACCTAATATTATACAAAAACATTCACAAGTTAGTTTGATAACATTAAATAATACAATATATATATATATATCAAATACAAAACACTTATAACTTACATATTCCAAAAACCATTGTGGAAACAATTCACGGTGTTTCTTGGCATACAAATGTGATGGATGTTCTCGCTTCATCATCTCTTCATGCTCATCTAAGTATGTCATTATCTCAACACAATTGTTGAGTACGAACTAATGCGCTACCTCCATGTCATTTCTGGAAAACGACTCTCCTTGTATAGGATCTCCAAAGGGTCGTGCGCTTTGGGCAAAAATAGAAAGTTTCTCATTTCTCAGACCTCCGTCATTATTGCGCTACGGATGATTGAAAGCCGTGTCCACATCTTTTAAATACATTCCACAGAAAGTAAGCGACTCATATTAAACCCAAGCCTCTATAATTAATCCTTCGGGCTTCACCCTGTTGCGTACAGTTTTTTTCAGCTCTCCAAGAAGCCTGCCAAAATAAAACGAAACAATACAAATTAGTGAGTGTGTGATAAGGGTGCATAAACAAATGATGACAGGACCAGCAAGTAATGCCTCTTCTGGCAAGTGAACCATCACGTGGATCATACTTGTGAAGAAAGCTAGGGGGAATATCATCTCAAACTTGCATAGGACTTGGATAATTTCATGGCGCAACTGATTAATGTCTGTCTTTTGCAATGTTTTTGCCGTCAGTTGGGAAAAAAATCTGGACAATAACATGATGGGTTTCACTACATCTTCCAGCAAAAGGTGTCGAATACCCACAGGAAGTAGGCGTTGCATAAACACATGGCGGTCATGGCTCTTTAGTCCAGTAAATTTACCCCCGTCAACATTCACGCAACACGCGATATTAGAGGCATAGCCATTGGAAAACTATACAGACGATACAAACTCTAGAAAATCTTTTTTGTCATTCGGTTTCATGGAAAAAAATGCCAAATCCCTTCTAGCTTTATCACCGTCCATATTCATCCATAAACCTCTTCGTATGCCCATTCTTTCAAAATCATGACGAGCTTTGATCGTGTCCTTTGTATTGCCCTCGATATCTAGAATTGTGCCCATCAATGTGTCAAAGACATTTTTCTTAACATGCATAACGTCGAGATTGTGTCTCAATTTTAGTTTCGACCAATATGGGAGCTCAAAAAACATAGGCTTGTGCGTCCAGTTCAAATGTGTAGAAGGTCTGGTCCGAGTAACTGTTTTCCTGAACGGAGAAAAATCCAAACGGTTAAGCTATTCCAAGATCTCATCATCAGACCATTCTCTAGGTATGAGGCGATGCTCTGTGTTCCCGTCAAACTCATTATCCTTTTCGCACCACTCGTGGTCCCATGGCAACCATCTCCGATGACCAAGATAACAAACTTTTCCAGCATGCCAACCAGAAGTTATATCTTCCTTGCATACAGGACATGCCATATAACCCTTTGTGCTCCACCCAGAAACCATTTCATATGTAGGAAAATCATTCACAGTCCACATAATTGCTGCCCGCAAAGTGAACATCTTCCCAGTGGCTTTATCGTATGTGCGCACACCATTTGTCCATAAATCCTTGAGCTCATCAACCAACGCCCTTAAGTAAACATCGATTGACCTGCCAGGATCCTCAATTATCAAAACAGTCATCATCATGTACTCTTTTTTCATGCATTTCCAAGGCGGCAAATTATATGGGAATAAGAAAATCGGCCAAGTGCTGTGGTGTTGGTTTAGAACCCTGTACGGATTGAATCCGTTAGTGGCAAGTCCCAATCTAACATTTCGGAGATCAGCAGTAAACTCAGGGAATGTTCGATCGAACTCTTTCCATGCCTCCCCATCTGTAGGATGCCGCATCACATCATCGTCTACCCGTTTGTGCTTATGCCATCTCATGTCTGTGGCAGTATGAGTTGACATATACAATCGCTGTAGCCTAGGTTTCAGGGGCAGATAATGCATGACTTTTTGTGGGATCTTAGTCGTTCTATTCTGAGATGTTATCTTGAACCTTGACTCTTTGCATATAGGGCATGTATCCAATGTTTCATGTTTCATACTCTTTGTAGATTAACATGCAATTGTTTTTTGCAAACATGAATTTTTTTATAACCCAATCCAAAACCATTCAACACCTTTTGCGCGTGTCTATGGTCTTTCGGCAAACAATTGTCCGTCGGAAGCATTTTCTTGAAAACCCCCAAAAATTAATTGAAACACAGGTTCGACATACGATACTTTATTTTTCTGTGCATTAGCTCCACAATGGCCGTGAGAACGGAAAAGCTCTCGCACCCCGGGTATAACTCTTGGTTGGCATTTTTAACAGTTTTTCATGTTGTTCAAACTCTGCACTGTCCATTGGTGTAGGCACGTCATCTTCCCCTTCCTAATTGATGTTGGTCGATGCAAATGGAAAAGCATCGTGTATAATATCCATAACTTGATCATTAGGATCCACAATAGGTTCAACATTGTCCAACCCTTGTGGCATTTGAAGACGAAGCATTGTCTAATTGTTCCCCGTGAAGGTTCCAAATGCTATATGTCTCAATCATTCCATTCCTTACTAAATGAAATCCAACATGTTCAATTGTCTCCCACAACGTATTGTTACACCTCATATAAGGACAACGGATTCTAGTTGCACCCAAGTTGTGTCTACGTGCAAACTCAATAAAATCCTCGATTCCATCCAAGTATTCGTCTGCGCATCTATTCGGGCTCTGTATCCACCTCCTGCTCATAATTCCTAAACCACAATCACAACACAACAATCACAACAACTTCTTACGAAGTGATAATGTCACCTTACGCCTTCTGTAAGGCCCCTATCCCATTCAGGAATGCATAGTCCTGTCACGTAATCTACGGCTGCATCTCGATACAGTTCTTGAGGTGGGCAGAGGTATAAATACCTACGTACCACCCGAATAACATACAGAGATGAAACCGAAATCTCCACAATTGAAACCTAATCCTGTAGCCGTAGATTACGTGCCATGACTATGCATTCCCAAATAATGGGACATTTCAAGAATTAATTGGACCACAGTTATGCTTTACGCATCCATGCATGAAATCCAAGTAATCTCGAACGAGAAACTAAGTGTTACTAAAAATAAAAGTACGAAATTAATTTCAATTAACTTCGTACATCACAACACATTGTGCTACGTCACGCACAATTTAACAACATAATATAAATATAATTTCACAAAAAAAAAGACAAATATAACAAACCAAGTTTAACATAATGTAATTAATTTAATATTTTTAAAATGTAAAACGAATAATATACTTTCTCAATCGTTCTCCACCAATTGCTAATTACAAATATCCCTAACGAGAACGAAATTAATAGCGTTAGTATGAATTTTCATTAATACTTTTAAACTAACGACAAAAAATATTTGCCCAATGAACGTACTGAATTCACAGCAAAGGCAGAGGCAGAGGCATACTTTTTTTTTGCATTCTGCCTCTGTAATGGAGAATCCTGATATGAAGAATAAGAATTTTGCATGACGAAGGCGCTAATTCGTCGCGCAAAAAAAATCGTCGCGCAAAATAACATTTTCGTTGCAAAAGTGATCCATCTTGTCGCACAAAATACATTTTTCGTCGTGCAAGTGCGTGGCGAAACTCGACTTTTGCACAACGAACAATTATTTTCGTCGCACAAAATTCCGTCGCCCAAATTCCAGAGATCGCCGCGCAAAATCGAATTTTTGTCGTGCATGATTGTGCCAACATAACTTTCCATCGCGCAAGTTTTTGGCGCCAAGATAAAATATCCCACATTTTTCTTATGCGACGATCAAGTTTGTCGTCGCGCTAAGTGGTCTTTTGCAACAACTTTTGTCGTCGCGCAAATGTTTGCCGCCAAAGAAAAAAACCTACTGTTTTGTGTCCAACTTCGTCGCGCAAGGTTCTCTCTCGATACGAATTCTGTTGTCGAGCAAATTTTTGGCGCCAAAAAAATAAACACGCGTTTTTCTTCCTCACTTTGTGCGACGATCTTGTCTTTTGTCGCGCTAAGATCTCTTGCGCGATGCAAATTTTCGATATTTTGCGCGACGAATACTTTTTCTCGTCGCTTAAGTGTATGTTGCGCAAATAGTAAAATGTAGTAGTGTGTGTATAAAAAATGTGCCATAATGTATATAAAAATTGTGTCTCCCTCGATCCTAACCTATATGATTGTTCAATCTCCCTCTCTACCCCTTACCTATATAAAAAAGTCGTCTTCTTTTTTATTTGTCAAAGTAAAAAGTCTTATAGTTATTTATATCAATTGACAGATAGGCAATACCTTTTTTTTTTTTCCTTTTCCATATGGGACAGATAGGTATGCAATTATGTATATCGCAAGAATTGCCATGAAAAGTCAGAAGCCAGTTCAATTAATTAGGTTTCCGTTATTTGGTCATTGGTCAGCATTCTAGTATAGTTTTTGTTTTCAAGTCCAAAGTGTGAACTACTGAATTTTATATATATTTGGAGAGAATTACTAGAAATTAGGAGGTACTTGGCCGCCACCCTGGCGATAGCCAATCATGTGCATGAGTGTTTTGTGGAAAACTCTCAAAATTTGAACGTGGTTAGTTTACTTAACGCCAGTCTTTGTTTAAGTTAAGTTCATAAAAATAAAAATAAAAAAAAACTTAAATCCCCTCTTCTTTTAGTCTTGCATGCCGTGATCAATATGAATAGTAGAACGATGGATTAGAAGCCTACAAGAACAAGATTGTGGTGAAAAATAGACATTTCGATGAGTATAAAGGCAAAAAAAATTAGATGTCTGGCACAAAAATAAAAACCAGTTTTATTTTATTTTTTCCTTTATACTCATCAAATGTCATCATTGGAAAGATAGTCAAGGCAACTGGGTGTCTGGACACATTTCGATGACTATCTTTTCATGAATCTTACACCAAAAAATAAAGGGAAATGACCCCCACTACCACCCATTTGCTAATATTAACTAAAAATACCACCCTTTCCCAATTTTTGTAAAACTATTTTTTTTTTTTTTTTTTTTTTTTTTTTTTTTTTTTTTTTTTTTTTTTTTTTTTTTTTTTTTTTTTTTTTTTTTTTTTTTTTTTTTTTTTTTTTTTTTTTTTTTTTTTTTTTTTTTTTTTTTTTTTTTTTTTTTTTTTTTTTTTTTTTTTTTTTTTTTTTTTTTTTTTTTTTTTTTTTTTTTTTTTTTTTTTTTTTTTTTTTTTTTTTTTTTTTTTTTTTTTTTTTTTTTTTTTTTTTTTTTTTTTTTTTTTTTTTTTTTTTTTTTTTTTTTTTTTTTTTTTTTTTTTTTTTTTTTTTTTTTTTTTTTTTTTTTTTTTTTTTTTTTTTTTTTTTTTTTTTTTTTTTTTTTTTTTTTTTTTTTTTTTTTTTTTTTTTTTTTTTTTTTTTTTGGAGAGTAGTTGGTGTATTGCATAGTTTTAGCCATTGGATTTCACTCCAAACCAACCAAATGACTCCTCCCACCATATTATGTTGTTCCCCAAGTTTTGGACTCAATCCGATATCGATTGGTCCATCAAATCGGACTATTCAGGTTCGTAGCAAGTTCGTTCTGAAATGGAGTAGTTGGTGTATTGCATAGTTTTAGCCATTGGATTTCACTCCAAACCAACCAAATGACTCCTCCCACCATATTATGTTGTTCCCCAAGTTTTGGACTCAATCCGATATCGATTGGTCCAAGAAATCGGACTATTCAGGTTCGTAGCAAGTTCGTTCTGAAATGGAGTAGTTGGTGTATTGCATAGTTTTAGCCATTGGATTTCACTCCAAACCAACCAAATGACTCCTCCCACCATATTATGTTGTTCCCCAAGTTTTGGACTCAATCCGATATCGATTGGTCCAAGAAATCGGACTATTCAGGTTCGTAGCAAGTTCGTTCTGAAATGGAGTAGTTGGTGTATTGCATAGTTTTAGCCATTGGATTTCACTCCAAACCAACCAAATGACTCCTCCCACCATATTATGTTGTTCCCCAAGTTTTGGACTCAATCCGATATCGATTGGTCCATCAAATCGGACTATTCAGGTTCGTAGCAAGTTCGTTCTGAAATGGAGTAGTTGGTGTATTGCATAGTTTTAGCCATTGGATTTCACTCCAAACCAACCAAATGACTCCTCCCACCATATTATGTTGTTCCCCAAGTTTTGGACTCAATCCGATATCGATTGGTCCAAGAAATCGGACTATTCAGGTTCGTAGCAAGTTCGTTCTGAAATGGAGTAGTTGGTGTATTGCATAGTTTTAGCCATTGGATTTCACTCCAAACCAACCAAATGACTCCTCCCACCATATTATGTTGTTCCCCAAGTTTTGGACTCAATCCGATATCGATTGGTCCATGAAATCGGACTATTCAGGTTCGTAGCAAGTTCGTTCTGAAATGGAGTAGTTGGTGTATTGCATAGTTTTAGCCATTGGATTTCACTCCAAACCAACCAAATGACTCCTCCCACCATATTATGTTGTTCCCCAAGTTTTGGACTCAATCCGATATCGATTGGTCCATCAAATCGGACTATTCAGGTTCGTAGCAAGTTCGTTCTGAAATGGAGTAGGTGGTGTATTGCATAGTTTTAGCCATTGGATTTCACTCCAAACCAACCAAATGACTCCTCCCACCATATTATGTTGTTCCCCAAGTTTTGGACTCAATCCGATATCGATTGGTCCAAGAAATCGGACTATTCAGGTTCGTAGCAAGTTCGTTCAGAAATGGAGTAGTTGGTGTATTGCATAGTTTTAGCCATTGGATTTCACTCCAAACCAACCAAATGACTCCTCCCACCATATTATGTTGTTCCCCAAGTTTTGGACTCAATCCGATATCGATTGGTCCAAGAAATCGGACTATTCAGGTTCGTAGCAAGTTCGTTCTGAAATGGAGTAGTTGGTGTATTGCATAGTTTTAGCCATTGGATTTCACTCCAAACCAACCAAATGACTCCTCCCACCATATTATGTTGTTCCCCAAGTTTTGGACTCAATCCGATATCGATTGGTCCATGAAATCGGACTATTCAGGTTCGTA